TTATCTGTCGTTTCGTCTCTATCCTGCTCGATGTGCTGGCCTTCGGAAAGGAAGGCGAGGATAAAGGTGCGTTGTTCTTGTGGCTCGAGTATCAATTGGTCAATGTGGTTGACGTAATTGAACAGTTGATTAAAATGGTAATCGTCGGACACCGCTGCACGACACCATGCCACGGTGTTGGTAGCAATGTCGCCCAGATCGGCGTCGGCCAAGTCGGCAATGTTTTCGTTTCGCAGCTGAAAAGCAATCTGGTTACGTAGATTGGAGCGCATCTTGACCAACGTGCGAACGTCGGCAAGGTTACGTATTTCCACTTGTTTGAGCGCATGGAGCCCATTGCGGTAGACATTGTCGAGAGTTATTCTTCCATGCACATGGGTAAGTTCGAACAATGCTGGGTTGAATCGTTGCGCTGTTTCCTCCGAAGCATCGTGGGGTGGCTGCATAACGGATGATGATGATCGTGCATCCTGGCTTGACATGACTTTCAGATCCGGCCTAGAAAGTGGCGAAGGGCAGAATAGCAAGCGCAAACAAGTGGATGTGGATGAAATATGGCTACCGTGGGATAGAGGAGAAGGGTCAGAAACAATTTTTTTTTGAAAAAACAAAAGCGTCCACCTAGAGAATCTATCACATACAACTGTAGGAGTTTCAGAGAAAAAAAATTCGCTCAACGGAAAAAAAAAAAAAAAGAAAAAGGAAGGAAAAAAGAAAGCGATCGAGTTGTGTATAACAAAAGGCTTCAAAAAGGGTGAGGTGTATATAGTCTTGTTTATTTGTACCCGTATTTATGTCATATTCTTGGAAAAATAGGGCTCCTGTAAACAGGCACCTCGCTTACGTTATTCGCAGCGGTCCATGAACTACACAGCATAACCGTTGCTCATGGGAACCATCATTCCCAATGGACCAATGCACAGAATGCTAATCAAACAATGTGAGAGTTCACTACAGCTCTGGGTCCCATTTCAACCACTCTAAAACAGTTGTAGAGGGTTTATACATAATTTTGCCGGTGCGATATGCTTTCATACACATCAAAGATTGATCAACGGGCAGATGTTATTGGGGATCATCTCATCGGTTGCACAGAAAATCTACGGTATTTCCAAAACAGGACAACGGCCACCCAAAAACTCCCGCCATACTGTTTGCCAGAGTTACCATTGTCAAAGCCTCCACTGGTGGGTCTCTAGTAGACGTGAATGGTTTCATTCATTGTGTGGCAGACTTAGAGTATAACATCAGGGTTCGTAACCCGTCTTTGGATTGGAAAGATACCAGTTCCTTGTTGTGCCTTGAGCCATTGAACAATTACCGCTGGAATCCCGCTTGACAGAGCGCTGTCAATCAATTAAATAAGGTATGCTTTTCAATTATCTCCAATATATAAAATGCTTTCGACAAATCCTATCTTAAACAACATTTTGAGAACATAACATCGGCAAAAGACCATTGCGAAGATATACATACAAGATACTGTCCAGGTGTCGACTAATGGGCGTTGAGCAGACAGTAAATGATAGCCCTCCTATAGTCTTTTTACATGGTTTATATGTGTACATTTTTTATGTTTTTGCTGTGATCAAACGTCGCTGAAATAAAAGAGAGCAGGATTTCATTACACAGAGATTGACGGCACGTATTCTGACGGATTATTACGTTACGGTATATGGTCTGAAAGTTCGAATGATCATGCTTTAGCCTTTGATTGTTCGAGAAATGCAAAGAGAGAGAGTATGATAATGGGTGTCAATATCTATATAACAAGCCGTACACCCGCTGTGCAATGGATGCCGCCTGCCACCGGAGGTCGCCCTCTTACATTGAGCGACTTTCGTCAGACAAAAAGCCTAACGCAAACACGGCATAACCTGGGCGAGAACTCTTGACGGAACTTCGGTATATTAATGACAACCTTATGGCATACGTTGCAACGTGATTTGTTTCTGAACACGCGCAGGGCAGCACTGGTTCCCCCCCTCAGTTCCATCCCGCCCAGGCTATGATAGATCTAGAAAGATGTGTGGGTATGTTGGGTATTTAAAAAAAATGAGTTAGTAAGCTCTTTGATTGATTCAAATTTTCGTCAAGATATTTTACCTTTGTTATTTGAGTTTGCAATAGCCATTGATCGCTTGACATGACTTGGATTATATGACATTGAAAAAATTTGAATTAGTATACGTTCATTACATCATAGCAAAGGAAAAGAAATTGGACTTGCCTTTGAACCAAATGGTGTACCGGGAAAAAAAAAGATGATACGGATCACAGGTAAGAAGCTTCTTCGATGCGGACGATAGAATTGCTTCCAGTGACGGTTAAGTGATAGATCGGTGGTGTCAGCTTGAGCAGGCAAAAAATATTGACGTGGCCATAAGTGACGGTAACTTCGAGTTGGATTCCAGATATCGAGAGTCCCCCGAATAAAAAGAAAGAAAAACAAATAAAGTACATGATGATAAAAAAACAATGGTCGCGTCAGTAAAAACCTCATAAAAAACCCTGTGGGAAAAAAAAGAGGAAAAGGCTGCGAAAAGAATATGTACATGAAATATAAAATATAAAATACAAACTATAAACTAAAAATACAATAATCGGGAAGACAGCTCGAATACCATATGATGAGAAGCAATCAAAGGAGAGGAACATGAAGAGGACACGTAAGCATTGCTGATTAAAAAGAGCACACCACCGACGATGGCCTTTGACGTCATCCGATTTCGCCAGATGGATGGATGGATGGATGGATGGCGAGAGAAAATCAACTTGTAGTATCCAGAACTTGTCAGGCGAAGGAAACCGGAAGCTGGAAGAAGGATGGAAGTAAAGGAGAGGTAAGTCTGTTTTGCCGGAGCAAAATCGATGGTAGACCACTCGACGCTTACCTTTTTGAGGATGGTGGTCAATTTAACCAAGTTAGATACACGGGATAAGAATGGTCTGGATGATGGATGCGGATGGGATCTTGATACAATGATAGTGAGGTTTATCAAGCAAACAGAAAGAGAGAGAGAAAATCAAAAGAAGAAAGATAAAATTGAAGACAAAAATATATGATTTTCCATGGATGAAACAATAGTCACCTTACTGGTGCATGAACTCAATAGATCGAAGCACGTCTGCTTATGTATTATTCGATTCATTGAAAATTGAAAGAGAGTGAAAGGACATATATAGTATAACTGACAAAAAAAACAAATTGAATGATGCTACAGAAGAACGCCAGTCGTATCATCAACCACTTTTCTTCAAAGAGAGCTCTACTCACATTTTTATTCGAAAGACGACGATACTATTAAAATCTTTGAAAAATTAGCGATTTAGTAAATCACATGATCTACACTAAGTTATCAAGACCTGTTAAACCTTTTTTTCATCTTTCAACCATGCCTCGTTGCCCACTTTCACGATAATAGGCGAAACAATCAGCAGCAAGATGCCGTTTGCGCCAGTTGTGGTCAAACAGAGCATCGTCGCCGTTCACATAAAATGTGAGTGGAGCTCTTTTTTGAAGAAAGGTGATTGACGATACGACGATCTGGTGTTTTGTAGCATCATTTAATTTGGGTTATCTGTCAGTTATACTGTATATGCCCTTTCATTCTCTTCAGTAATCGAATGATACATGGAGCAGATATGCTTCGATCTGTGTAGCTCATCATTCATGCATCAGTGAGGTGACTATTGTTTCATCCATGGAAAATCACATATTTTTGTCCGAATTTTTTCTTCTTCTTTAGTTTTGCATCTCTTCTGTTTGCCTGGAAATCCCTCACTATCATTGCATCCATCATCCATCATCCAGACTATGGCGTGTATCTGATCCGGTCGATTCGATTATTATGAAAAAAGGTACCTTTTGTGTGATGTGACTATTCGTTTTTCGACAAGAAAAAACTCACGTTCTTTTTTCTCTACCCCTTCTTTAGCTTTTGGTTTTCTCTCCGGTTTTCTTTTCGCTTGGCAAGTCATCCATCCCTCCAAAACCTTTCTACTTTGTTCGGGCACCAGATTATGGCCAATCCGGTTTTTGTCGTCAAAGGACATCTTCGGTCGTGTGGCTCTCTTTCTCATCGGGAAACGCTGACGCGTCCTCCCCAGGTTCCTCTCATATGGATTGCTGCCCGTGGTATCGCCTTCGATATTTCTTCCCGACCATTTTATTTTGTAGTTGTAGTATGTATTTTGTATTTTAGTGAATAGTCTTCTTGCAGTCTTTTCCTCCTTTTTTTTCCCACAGGGTTTTTAGGGGGTTTTTACAGACGCACCTATTGTATTTACTTTTTTTTTTATATTTGTATCCTTTCTTTATTTCGGTCGGGAAGCCCTCGGTATCTGCTGCATCAAACATCAAAGGTAAAATATCTCAACGAAATTTGAATCAACCAAAGAGCTTACTAACTCATTTTTTTTAAATACCCAACATTCCCACACATCTTTGTAGATCTATCATAACCTTGGGCGGGACAGAACGGAGGGGGTCAATAAGTGCTGCTTTGTTCATTAAAAGTGTTTCATGGTATGCCAGAGTATTGACATTAATATACCAAAGTTCCATCAAGAGTCTCGCCCAGGTTATGCCGTATTGCGTTAGGCTTTTGTCTGACGAATGTCGCTCAATGTAAGAGTGCGGCATCCAGTAGCAGGTGGCATCCATTGCACAGCGGGTGTACGGCTTGTTATATATACAGCAGACATAGAAAGCAGCGCAATCCTTTGGTTTCCGAGCTAGCCGTGTGGTACGCTTTGACTCGAAGATCAGCGAAACGCATGTAATTCTATCTTCGAGAACGATAATGGCACTATCGGGAATCGAGTGCTTATCTCCCATTTATCATGCACGAGAATGTACCATGTGATATTGATAACGCTGGAATTTGTGACAAAGCAGTAAACTATATATATTGATGGCGCGGTCGGGCTGCTGCCCATAACTCATCGCTGTATCTTTTGCAGAATTTAGCTTCTTATTATTCCTCATTGGATCCGTGATGTTTTCTACGATCTGCTGGAACACACGTTCAGCCAGGCGGGGAGATGCGGATTGCACTGAAACAAGGTGTCAAGACTTGTTTTCACCGATTGCCGAACCTCGAGCGATTTTTGCGCAAGTGCAAGGAAGTCTTCAGTGCGAATCATTGACCGCACTACATCAACACTTGCTGCTTCTGATTGCCAAATCAAGGTAAACCATCCGTCTTTTAGTGCTTTTTCAAAGCCATCAAGCCTACAGTTCATTTGTTCTTGGTGAAAAAAAGCTAATATCCACAAAGTAGGATATTTACACAGTGCGATGCGGCGGATAAACCAAGCCTTTTTACGTATGATACACACTCCGGCGGCTATCCGATGCCCAACGTTGCGATATACGACGAGAAATCAGACACAGAGATCAAAAAAGAAGAACATGCATCCCATGTGCTTCCAGCTGACTTGCAGCATGGATCCGCCGCTTTTCAAAAACGACCTCCATGGATTCTGACGCGTGATTATACCAGAGATTCACGTGCCAATTCTGACAGTTGGCGTATTCTTTCCGCCGAGTTGGATATGATCCGACATTCAAAGCTTATCAAGCCATTGCGAAACAGGCGGTACAAGCATCCGCGGCAAGATCCTTTTGTATGGGGACGTCGAAGCCATCTGAGTATCAGCTGTTCATGGTTAGAATAATTATTGACAGGTCCAGACCAACGTCTTCCCCGCCCCCTCCCCCGGAAGCTAATTTCCTTATCTCGCGGTTTCCACATGCCGCGTATCATTGCAGTATAATTGTTTGAATGCCCTATGTGTTCCAGTGCCTCAAAGAGATAACAGCGCTGCAGGCCTATTATTTTTGGTAGAGCCAACTATTCCCTGCAATTTTTGTTTTTTTTTACCACTACTGATTACATTAGCGTGTAATTTTCCTTGATAACATGTTGGCGCAATTCAAGATTGACAATACTTGGCAAATAATGTAAAAAAAAATACAGTAAAGACACACTTTAGAGATACTATAATGCTGACGACAATTAAATGGCTTCTCAGCAAGCTCGCTTTATATAAACTTTGGGATTTTATCTCTGATGATCATCATACAATTCACTTGTAAATTATTTTTATTTTTGATTTTACATTAACGCGACACTTCTCTAAAAGCCATTCTTATCTACATTAGCAGTATAGAAAAACATAGGGTACATTTAAAGAGACTGACGATTGTTAAATCAAATCGGTCATGCACATTTTTGATGATGGGTCCATGGGGCGGGTGGAAGAGCAAGAGGGGAGGAAGTGGCTTGTGCGAAGCCATAGTTTCCATTGGCCAATGGAGTGTCAAAAAAATTTTCCCAAAAAATAAATAAGATTTTCCGCTGGCAAATGAACGGTCTTTCTCTTTTGCTGCCCACTTAGTCACCGCTGGTAGGTTTTTGACGCGAGCGGTTCGTTAGAAGCACCCAACAGTTAGCTCATAGTCTTTTTCTATCTTCTTTAGGGATATATTAGCATAAAATGTCTTACGTCGCTAAGAACGCCACTCAAAAGCCCGGTCTTGAGGAACAACAACCTCAGCCCAAGATTCACCGCATTCGCATCACCTTGACTTCTCGCAATGTCAAGAACTTGGAAAAGGTGTCTGCTGATCTCATTCAGCGCGCCAAGGACAAGCAGCTCAAGGTCAAGGGTCCCGTTCGTCTCCCCACCAAGGTCCTCCGTATCACCACCCGTAAGTCTCCTTGCGGTAACGGTTCCGAGACTTTCGACCGCTACGAGATGAGAATTCACAAGCGTTTGATCGACTTGCACTCTCCCTCCGAGATCGTCAAGCAGATCACTTCCATCTCCATCGAACCCGGTGTAGAGGTAAGAAACAAATTTGTCATCTTATTCACCCATGAATTTAGTTACTCATTGCTTTGCTTTTTTCACACAGGTTGAGGTCACCATCGCTTAAGCCACCTAAGCTGGATGCTTCATTCTTTTAGACGAAATCTTTTTTAGAATTCAATAAAAGGATATGCAGTGAACTCTTTATCTTTTGTGTGTATGAGATCAACTCAGAATTGGAAAGAAAACCACAACTCGAAGCATGGGGGAGGCTGGTAGATTGTGTGAACAAGGCTGGGAAAGACTTTGTATTCACTGCACTGACACAAACCGTTTGTGTTAAGTCTCTCTCTTTCTGGAAGTTCGTCTTTTTCCCATCGAATCAACCTACGGCTATAAAGAATGGCGATCATTTCATCTGTATATCGAGGAACTATCCACGATCGCGTTGGAGCACGACCGTCGATACGAGCCATCAGCTGTATGTCTTTTCTATTTCGTCGTTCAAATGCGCAACCATACAAACACTTTTGCATACGGTCAAAGAATACCAGGCGATCATCAATCCCTTCCAACCTTTATTGCTTCAATTAATACCGGAACGAACTCGTGCTGATCAACCCATAGTAAAAAGAAAAGCTCTTTATTTTCAAGCCAAAAAAAAAAAAAATTTGCAGCTCAAAAATAGTAAAAATGTGTTTCCTGCTGCGAGGTTTGAACTCGCGCCCTCTTTCGAGGATCAGATCTTAAGTCTGACTCCTTAGACCACTCGGACAAGCAGGATAGAGTGACTGCAAAATTTCTAGTTCATATACATTGTCGTAAGCGGATCACGTGACTTCACGCGAATTTCACGTGCAGAGTTGTTCATTCGTCGGTTTTCCATGCCCGGCGAAAGCTACTCGCCAGTAAAAAGGGCAAAAAACTTTTTTTCACGCCATAAATTGATGCCTATGTTGCTTCTAAGCTTTTTACCCGAGAAGACTTTAGCATTTGGGGTGTTGATATAATGTCGTTTTCTGTTATTCTCTCAAAGGCAGGTGCAAAGATGGTTTTGATCGGCTCTGATTGGATGACACTTTGTGGAGAGAGACAAAGCGATGTCTGATCCAATCAGAGTTCTTTTTGTTCAAAGGGACAGTCACCGTTGGTCCCAAAAATTCTTTGGATTTAGTAGTTTTTTTCGAAGACCAAAGCACTTTGTTCATTTTCTGCCATAATCTTTGATAAATCATGAGTGTTGTCGAAAGAATCAAGGTAAATGTCTTTTTAAACCTTTTGTTTTCGCTTTAAAGTGTATACTTATTATAAGCACTACTTTTTCTTTAGGAAATCGAGGTACATATCCTGTCAATTGGGGGCAGCCATAAGCAATCAGAGAAAGAGTGTGGTCAGCTAAATGGCTTGTTTTTCCTTTATATAGTCCGAAATGGCTCGAACCCAAAAGAATAAGGCTACGTCTTATCATTTGGGTCAACTGAAGGCTAAATTGGCCAAGTTGAAGCGAGAAATCATGATGCCCAGCGGTGGCGGTGGCGGTGGCGGTGGTGCGTACCAAGAATTGAAGTCGAAGAAAGTATCTGTCGTGCTCACATGCTTGTTTTCTCGGTATATATAGTTGGTTTCGATGTGGCCAAGACGGGTGTCGCTCGTATCGGTTTTGTCGGTTTCCCTTCTGTAGGAAAATCGACGCTCATGTCCAAGTTGACTGGTACTCATTCCGAAGTTGGTGCTTACGAGTTCACAACCCTTACCACCGTGCCTGGTGTGGTTCAGTACAAGGGTGCTAAGCTTCAGGTAATGCAATTTCATCTTACAGAATACAAATTTTGCATGCAAACTAAATTCACAAACCCCAAAACAGATTCTCGATCTTCCCGGTATTATTGAAGGTGCCAAGGACGGTAAAGGTCGTGGTCGTCAGGTCATTGCAGGTATGCTTGCTATAATGTTTTTTTATATATGGGAGCCTTCAATTGACGCGGAAATAGTGGCACGTACTTGTTCTCTTATTTTCATTGTGCTTGATGTGTTGAAGCCGATGACGGACAAGAAGATCATTGAAAGAGAATTGGAAGGCTTCGGTATTCGATTGAACAAGAAACCTCCGGCCATCATTTTCAAAAAGAAGGAAAAGGGTGGCATCAACATGACCAACACTGTTCCCTTGACTCACATCACTCAAGAAGAAGTCAAGGCGGTATTGAGCGAGTACAGAATTCACAACGCCGATGTTTCTTTCAAAGAAGATTCAACCATCGATGATCTCATCGATGTTGTCGAAGTAGGTTTTTCTTGCTGAAAGTTACCGTTGCTTTGTCTGGTTTCCATTTTTACTTACTGTTTCCTTTTGTAGGGCAATCGGTAAATAACACAATTTTCCAGTGGCAGCTCGGCGCATCAATCCATTGACCTTTTTTTTTTTTGTTTTAGTATTTATATCCCGTGCATTTATGTGCTTAACAAGATTGATCAGATCTCTATTGAGGAATTGGATTTGATCTACAAGATTCCTAATGCCGTTCCTATCTGTGCTCATCATGAATGGAATTTCGATGAACTGCTGGAGACCATGTGGAAGGTAAACATATTTTTTTCATTGCCTTGGCATATATATATCGGATCGCTCGGGTACTCATCAATGTTGTTTTAGAAATTGGCATTGGTCAGAATCTACACAAAACCCAAGGGTCAACTGCCAGATTACGAACAGCCTGTCGTGTTGACGAGTGACAAGTGTTCAGTGGAAGATTTTTGTCTGAGTATTCACAAGGCTATTATGGAACAGTTCAAGTGTGCATACGTTTGGGGTTCTTCTGTGAAGCATAATCCTCAGAAAGTGGGTAAAGAACATATCCTTCAGGATGAGGATGTTGTACAGATTGTCAAGAAGTAAGTTGCTCATGAAACTGGAGGGTTCTGACCAAATACTGATACCATTTGTCATGATCTCTAGGATTTAAATCATGAGGTTGAACCTCCTGAAAAGTCAAATTATGGACCGAAAAAGAAAAACTGAATAAAAAAGTCTAAAATAGAAGAATCATTTACGCTCATTACAGCATTTTCAATCACAGATGGATGACAGTTGCTGGTTTAGAAGTTTTCGTGAGGTCGCCGATCTTTACTGAACCAACAGCGGCGCTCCGAGGATACGTTAAGATTGATGAATCGATGATTGTGGGGTATTTCGAGAAAAAAACAGTTGACTTGATTGGTTGAAAATAAGTTGGAAAAAAAGTTCCCAATGCATATGAAGTATTGAACGGCCCAATGTGTACGCATGTTTTGAATACTCTCTTTGCGCAGACATTTTCCCCCATTTAACAAATAAAACGGCAAAGTGGCACCACAGTATGAGTCTACCACAACAAGCATTAAACAATGGCTTGCCGAATGCTGCATTTGAAACGAATTGCAACTGATACATAAATTGTTCGGACACAGGAAAAGCTCAAATGATCAATCAAATATTTGGATTCTCACTTTTTTTTTCCCACCTTTTTTTTTCATTTTTTCTACAAGGATGCTCCAGTCCGCGATCAAGTCGAAAGCCAAAGGGAATATCTCATCTGTTTTTGCACATTTGGGAGCTTCCCGACCCACGCTCGGTCCTCGTTTCATTGATCTGAAAAAGAGCATCGCGCCCAAAGACCCTGCCGTACTACAAAGGGCATTTGATCGCTTGCTAAACCATCTCAAAAAGGAGGCGATTGAGATCCGACAACGAGGTTCTTCGGTCATTCCTGAAACAGACATCAAAACTATCCGTGCCAATGGTGGCCAGTTGCCAGAGTCTGTAGCAAAAGAAGTCAAGAAACGCGGTGCAGTAGTTGTCCGAAATATTGTGGATCAAGCACTTGCAGTAGAATACAAGGATCAAATTCAGAAATACATCCAGCGCCATCCCGGGATTGTCGGTTACCCCGAAGATCATCCGCAAGCGTGGGAAATTTATTGGGCCACATCCCAAGTAGCCGCTCGCAGCCATCCCAACTTTACAGCAACGGCGGTGGCGTTGAACCAGTTATGGCACACGCACGGCAATGCTCCCATTGACCTGACAAGAAATCTCATTTACTGTGATCGATTGCGTATCCGTCAGCCGGGCGACGCCAAGTTTGCTCTTGGAGGTCACATTGACGGTGGTTCAATCGAACGTATGTAAATGCCCTGATTTCATTTGATGGTCCGTAACGACATAGACACTAATAGTCAAAAAGGTTGGGAAGATCCTGAATATCGACAATGCTACAAAAAAATTTTGCAAGGACAGTGGGAAGACTACGATCCGTTTGATGTCACTCATCGCATCGAGGCTGAGATGGATTTTTATGAATCACCTTCAGGATGCTCTATGTTTCGTATTTTTCAGGGATGGCTCGCCCTATCCAAAATCGAACCCAACGGTGGAACGTTACGCGTGTGTCCCCTTATCCGTGAGCAAACGGCTTATTTTATGATGAAACCGTTATTGAAGGAATACCTTGACAAGAATGATTTCATGGGTGCTTGGCCCGGCCGATGTCAAGAAATTACGGCGGAACATCATCCGCATATCACCGACATCATGGTATCCGTCTCGCCGGTGGAACCTGGTGATGGTGTATTTTGGTATGTCAATATCGGAAATTGAGAAGTCCGTATTTCATATTCACCTTCCCAGCCTAGGCACTGTGACCTAGCCCACGCCGTGGAGCCAAAAAATGAAATGAAGAGTGATTCATCGGTTTTGTACATACCCTCCACGCCCATATGTCGTCGCAACTCAGAGTATCTTCGCCGTCAGCGGGATGCATTCTCCCTAGGCTTGTAAGTAAAAAGCCATTACTTTGATATTTGAAGAGCTAGGAAACTGATATACCATTGGTCGAAAGAACTCCCCCTGATTTTCCAGGAAATCATTGTGAGAAGGATTTCGAAGATCGCGCTATGCCTGACCATTTGACACAAGCAGGAAAGATGGGTATGGGCTTTGCACCTTTTGATGAAGAGAACGATAGCTTGAACAGCGGACAAAAGCAAGCTCGTCGGCAGCATAATCAAATATTAGGCTTGACAGGATCGTAAGCAACAAAAGTACGCTGGTATTCAATAAAGACACAGCGCGTGATGCTTCTCGATGGTATTTCTTATACTGTGACAGCACTTAAAAGAAAGGAACGATATCCCAAAAAACAACGAAGCGGCGTACCATTATTGTGCATTTTATACCACATAGATTTTTTTTAAAAAAAAAATTGTAACTGAACTCTTTACTTGTCCCTTTTACGGATTAAGAAAAACTGATTAAATTTTTTTTTATCAAGTGCCTTTTTTAATCAAGGTTTTCACAAAAGGATGATGTTACAAAAAGAAAACAATAGACACTGTTTTTCGCCGTGTCCATGGATTATTGCTAAAAGCACAACAGGGAGCATAGTGTGAAACTCCCTGATAATATTTTCTACCTAGTAATTCATCGACCAGCGAGTAAAAGTACTTTGTATATATCGGTGTCAAGACCTTCCCCCCTATTCTTCGTCACATTTCTCCTCTCCATGGAGATAATATGGTGGAGCAATAGTCCCATAAATATTTTTGTAAGCTGTGAAATGTCGCAACACTTCATCATCTACTACTGCATTTCCTTCAGTGCTTTTTTCCTTCCTTCCTTCCTTTCCTTTCAGCGTATCATCGACCCCAGTTTCCGTTCCTTTTTTCAATATCACACATTCCATTCCTTCCTCAGAATTCATCAGAAAACATGAAGTCGCTTTATTTTATGCTGCTTAACAAAAAGTTTGATGATCAATATACGTTTGATCTCCATGGTATAGTAAGTTGCATCGATGATATGGACAATGCCACTTGAGAGAGAAAAATCCTGTCACCCTTTTTTCTTCCTTTTTTTAAACAAATTAACCCTCCATATCAGCTAAGTGTGCAAGATTTTTGCTCTGCGATGAGTACGATCAATCGAACAATGCGCGAGTCACCCCCGCCTGGAAATACCGGCCTTTGGCTGGGGATTGTGTGGACAGTTTGGATATTATTGGGGGCTGCCATTTATATGATGTGGAACCACGTACAACAACGACCTTATATTTTGGTGATAATGCCCATCCTGATGTTGGCGGTGTCTCTGTTGGTCTTTTGGAAACATAGAAGGTCCCAAATAAAGGTATATTGGCGGGTGGGGTTTGGGGTTCAGTTAAAATGGAAAACTTAGTGGAAAGTTTAGTTTGAAAAAACAGTGATGCAAGTTTGCAATCAACTGAACGCCATTGAAAACGTCCGCGGCATCAATTTTCGATTCACAAAAAATGGAGCCACCGTCATCCGGCCACACCTGTTTGGTTGGCGTCCCTGGCACAAGACAGTTTATGCAAGTATCCATTTTTGGTTTTTCTTCAAAGTGACACAACCATGGAAAATTAACATGGAAAGGCGACTGGTGTAGGCTATTCTCATAGAATTTGATGACAGGTATAATGCTCTAGTTCAAGAAAAAGCAGTGAAATACGCTGCCGAAGGTTTCGTGACGGTGCCACTGCAACCCGCGAGCGTGCATTACGCGCAAGGACTGTCGGAGAAAAGCACTCATGCTTACTATTATCCAAACTTATGGACCGATATTCCAACTTATGTGGAGAAGACTAATTATAAAACGACTCCACAGTAACCACAGAGAAAGTCACGACACAAAACAAAAAGAAGTTTATTCTTAAAAATATACAGTGCAGCCAAGAAATTACATCATGTCGTTTTTGTTTATATTTTGGAACCGAAAAATTGTGATAATTATTTTTTATTTATTTTTCGAGAATGAATAAAAAAATGTTAACAAAAACTTTTGAGAGTATATAGAGGGAGCAGCTGCTGGCTCATTTGTTTCGGGTGTTTATTTTATCCTTCCGGAAGAAATAGCATGACACCGGTGTCTCAACCCGGTTTCAAACGCCGAACGGTGATTGAAAAAAAAGTGGGCAGCAGAAGGATGGAGGGGACTTTGAAAAAACTAGAAAAAATGATCTGCGAATATGCCGGCGCTTTGCGGGATATAAAGATGAACAAGTGATACAAACAACAGGCGAGCAAAACAGATCATTGTTGATCTGTGCGGAAAATCACGAGGTGCAAAATCAGGGCCGATTCAATTAGTTGGCAAAGTAGCTTTCATGTTGAAAACAACTCCGTTCACTTATTAAAGATTTCAAGCATGCAATGTTTCAAATGGATGGTTTCATGATAGCGACAGCCCAACCCACTCGAAAAAGAGCTGAAAAAACTTTGCTTTGAACTAATTTACGCAACTATAGCTTGATCAACATGATAACTGTTGTTGACATGACAATATTTGACGCCTGCCATAGTTATTGTTCTGTAAGAGGGAGAAAACAATAATAAAAATAAATTTTACACATGCTGCCCCAATACTCACCGCCACTATTTTTGGTGGTAGTGCCTTCTTATGTAGAACGAAAACTCTTTAGTGTTTTGATGCCTTCCATAGAAAAACGAATAGCAAGGATCAAAGCTCTATCATGGAAAAATGAGGGAATTTTGATGAATAAACCGGAATATGATTTCGATGATAGGGAAAATTCACAAAAAAAGAATAATCGAGTGAGTGGTAATGTGAGACATTACGTTCATTTATTTGCCGTTTTCGTCATGCATTTCGGTTGACAGCGCGATCGGATCCGAAAAACAGCGAGATTAACTAATCGAGCCGTCGTGGTGTGATTGTGCGGAATGCTGTATATATAAGCCAGTGGATCATTTGGATTTTAATTTCTACTTAATCCCTTTACATCACCACTGGCTCTCTTCCCCTCTTCATTACCGTCATGAATAACACTGACCCTGCTAATCTTCCCTCTGTCCGTTTGCCTGAAGACGCTTCCATGGATCAGGAAGAGTATAATACCGGCATGCATGAGGTCAACCAAATGGATCCCAACGGCAAACACACCAAACACTATCATCATTATCCCACATACAAGGCCATGACCCGTAGAGCCAGCGTCACTGTCAACGGTCAAGATCGTCGTCGACCCTTGACTATGGGCAATCCTGGTGTACTTGGTAATGGATAACTGTAAACCGAAAAAAAGTGGCATGGTTGACTTATATCAATCTTTTTTATTATTGCAAACCAGGTCTTTGGTCCTTTGCCACCGTGACAATTCTTCTCGGTACTTTCAATTTATTTTTGCCTGGAATGTCGAATCACGTTCTTCTCCCCACCGCAATTATGTTTGGTGGATTAGCCCAATACATCGCTGGGTAAGTAAAAAGAAAGCGCTTTTTTCTTTATGTTCACACGGATATGAACTAAAAAGCAATTTAAACTCATTCTTGTTCTTACCTTCACATATCAGTTTCCTGGACTTTTTCTATGGTGGTACTTTCTCGGCTACCATCTTGGTATCTTATGGTGGTTTCTGGACGGGTACTGGTTTACTTATGTTGCCTGCCTTTGCCGAAAGCATGGCAGCCTACACCACCGATTTCGATGTCAACAGAGCCAACGCTATCTATCACTTTATGTGGGCCTTTTACACCCTGATGCTTCTCTTGATGTCCTTGAAGATCAAAGCAGGAACCTTTATCTTATCCTGGTGTCTTGGTTTTGTGTTCCTCACTCTTTTATTGGAAGCCGTCTTTTATATGACGAGCATTTCTCCTATTCTCCGTGTCAGTGGTAAGTTGATAATCATGGCAACGAAATGGGAATGATTCAAACACGGATATTAATTGGTCATTTGCTATTTTCACAGGTGTTACAGCTTATTTGGCCGCTCTTGGAGCTTATTACAGTGGTATTGCCGCTGTCATGGAAGAACAAGACGTCGTCTTGTGGGTTGGCCATTATCATCAACATTAATTTAATAACCTTTTTAGACGCATTGTTTTTATAGTTAATTTGTTTTTCTTTTTTAATCTGGCATAACCTTTTTTTGCATCATTTATACAATAACAACTTTTGGCATTTTTTTTCACTCGATCATGAAGCCGTTTTCACTTGACAGTTACGTGACTGTATTAATTTTTGCATTAAATGGTTTGAATTTCTTTCACATCAGTGCGCGCGCGTCTGACTCCTAGTAAACCGAAAATGGATGCGCGACCCAGCATCAATGTGGTGAATAAACCATTCTTTCTCGACTGTGTTGGCTGGTCAGAGGATAACAATCTAGTCGTCTGTCTGGAGAACAACATTTATCTTTTGGTATGAGCACGTAACTGGATTCGCGTGCATGTCAATTCAAACTAAAATGTTTGTTCAATAAAGACCCCGATTCTGGTCAGCGTATCGTCCGATGTGGATCCTTACGATCACGTCAGTCTTGAGCCCGTGGAGGAAGCCAAAGACGACTTTGACGAAATGAGTGGTGAGCTACTTCTTTCAATATGGTTCTGCGAAATGCACCTGTCGCTCATCATGCACCTGTCTTTCCAGTCGTCGATAGACCCCTTCAACCAGCTTATGCTCTTCCTGAATCTTACCGATGCGCTGTTTGGTCTCCCACCGGCCTCACATCCACTCAAGGGTAACCGATCGCTTGCACACAAACCATGTCTTTCTTTCTGCTCACTGCACGAACTGTAGCTGTTTTTTGACCGTCGTGACCACAAAGCATCGCGTGTTTCTTTATAATCGGGCGGAGAAAGACCCAAAAATGGATTGGACACTCGTAAGCACCAATCAAACACATATCACCCCAAGAAAAAGAATTGGAGGCTAGAATTCGTTTTTTTTTTATTGTTGTGATGTAGGCAATTGATATGACATCCATGATCCGGAAAATTGCCTTGGATGGAGCACGTAAATTTTCAACTGTCCATGAGATCGACCGTTTTCAAACGTTATGTAAAGTATCAATCAATTTTTATTGGGTCGCTCGACAATTTACGTTTACTTTTTTTTTTTTTTTTTTTTTTTTTTGCGATACAGATGCAGCGTGGTCATCCCGTATCATTGGGGATTCTTTGGCTGAAAAGCCAGCATTGCTCGCTCTCAGCAATAAAGTGGGTGAAATCAATATCTGGAGGTTAGATATGGGTTTACATAAAATTGAATGGTTGTCGCATCCCAGGTGGCAGCAATTAACGTGTTGTTCATTGTTCATAGTTTCGCAAAGCATAAGGGCATTCGTCACGGAATCACTCTTCAGCCTCACCGGTCGTTTGTCAATCTCTTGCGTTGGACTGACTGGCATAAAAACAATCATCAATGTAAGTGAGCACGGTGTTGGGTTGTAGTGTTCGATACACGCTCTTATGAGATCTTCAATTGTAGACACCGCTTATCTTTTATCCACTTGCAGCGATGGCACTGTGGCTTTGTCCTCCGTGACGGTGACAATTGCAATCAAAGAGCAAGAAACCCGTGTGTCGTCTGTTAAAGCCAAAACGCTTAAAACTTGGTTTGAACATGATAATGTAGTCCCTACTCTCGTAAGAACATGGGATGATTTCGTGAGTATATCCCTGAAATTCATTGAACGCATATATAAAATGGACGGTGCACTGACATTGATTCTCCAGAGTCACAGTCAGACGATCAAACTAGTGGTAGCCAAAAGTATTACCGTTTATGCTGCTACCATTCAGGTGAACGGAGACAAGGTGACCATGCAAGATGAATGGACCAACTATCCATTACAGTATTCCGCTATGGGGCTCTCAGGTACAATTGATTTCATCCATAATGCAAAGGGATACGGTCAAGCTAATATTCCCTTTTTTCCCTTCAAATGTAGGAGCGAACTGGTCGTTAGACGGCGAATTTATGCGGGTATATACATTTGAAGGTGAATGTGTCGTGCTCACCCTTCGTGGCGGTCAGTTGGTTTATCTGGAAGACGACTCGAGCATGGTGAACCGTAAGCTGCTACAAAAATATAACCAACAATGGACGGAAGAGCAGACGGATATCGAAGAAGGCAACCTGTTCCCTCCGAGTGAGGTGATGCCGATCTTGTGGGGCACAGCCGTCTCTTCCCGAGAACTGTACACCGCCATCTTATTCTCGTACGTTGACTGGCCAGTAAAATGTGGTCCTGTTGTTATTTTATTCTAAACAGTGACCGTGAAATAGGTTGAGACCGAATGCAGATGTCACGTATCGAGGCGAAACAACGATGCAAACCTCGCTGGCTTTTATTATGCATGCTGAACCAAACAGTGAATCGACTCTCAACTCTCTAAGTGAAAGTATCAACCAATTGATTCAGAAACCGGAATTTCGTAAGTGATGAATTGGTTCGGCATGTAAATTGGTTTACTCAACTCATAATTGTTGATGCATTGTTGGGTAGTGTTCACACAGTCGATCCAAAGTCTATTATATGAACATCTAGAGTATTTGACCAAGGATGATGATCCAAAGTCCATCATTTCGTGGTTATCCGTCTTTGAGCGGATCATGGAGCAAGACGTGACACAGAACAGGTACAAAAGGGAAAAGCAGAAGCCTCGAATGGAACATATCGCTCAACGGAATGATAGCAAGCAGCAGTCTTTACATGAACGATTGTATGACAATATGCAAGCATGCGCAGCGCGCATGTTGCTTTACATTCACTTTGCACTCAAAGTATGGTGGGGTCATGACTATTGCCGGAACGTGCGTCAATCTAAAATTGAAGGTTCTATTTGTGTTAGTTTTATGAACTACCAATCGAGGCAGCCACGTATCTAAAGAACATTTGCGACAAAGCTCAAAAGCTGGCTTGGGGAAATTATCTGACCGCCATATTACAATATCTATTGGACATGTCGGATGCGGAATTTCAATCGTATCATGGTACAGGTTCTTAAATTGCAATTGTATGCTCTATGGTCCTAATCATTATGACGATAGATGACGATATCATGGTCATGCTACTCCTTTGTGATCGAGCATTGCGTCAAATTGACGCCCCTCGACATCTTGTCGAGTTAAGCAAAGATGTCTATGAGCGAATTGGCCGCGTGTTCCCATCATCCAGTGTTTATACCTCGCTGGATACTGAACTGGATCGTGCGATGGCATTATTGGGCGGAAAGGAAACCACGCTATTCGCATTGGTTCCACGCGAGAAATGCCCCGTTTGCGAAGAACATATCCTTTTTTAAAAATGTCGATAGTTAGAGCCCAATCATCACCCGTACTTCTCCTTAACCTTTGTGCTTACTGATTTCGCCATCCGATCAATCTTTAGCGATATGCCAAGCTGGTCATTTCTGGGGTAAGCGCTGAAAATTATGGTTGTGGTTGACCAAAAGTGTCTCACGATTAACCACCCTCGTTTTTCTCACAGAACAATGCAGCATGACGTTGCGGGTACTGGCTACCCCCAATATCCGAAAGTGTGCGACGTGTGGAGCAAAGAGTTTGAAACCCGAATTGGTGGGCACATCGTCCGCATCCATGGTCGATCATGCTTCGCTGACGAACCTGATAGTATCCGAGTGCCGAAAATGTATTGTCTGCGGAATGGGTCTCTTAGACGTGAATGTAAGGCATCACATTATGTCACGAATTACACGTCATATTGACCAATGAACATTGCACTCTAGGTCATACGATAGCGTGAAACCACAGATGTGGTAAAAAAAGCCCATGGATAAGATATAAAGATGCTTTTTATAAATTGTATATAATCACAAATACACACATACAGACACACATGGAAACGAATATTCTATTTGTATTTGGTAAAATAAGTACGCGAGTTCTTCATCCTTGTCCCGGAACTGGAAGCCAAAAATGGAGGCTTTGACAAAGTTCACATTACAGATAAATACCTGCGTTCTTTTTGGATTTATTCGATGGCTATAATAGATTTTCCATATTAATAGTTTGATCTGTGTGTCATTCTATGAATTTCTGTATATTGCGATAGAATACAAAAGGATGGTCAAGTGGTTGATCTCATCATTCGATTGAGGATATCCTTTTTTTTTTTTGCTTTCTATTTTTAGAGCGGTTGAGGTTGCTGTCCAAAACGTTGAGCACATTGCTGATTGAGCTTTTTACGCGTCTGCAAGAGAGTTGTAATGGGCTCCAAGTGTGTACAGATGTTTATGGTATCTATTGTTCATGTCAGCATTCAATGTCTAGAGAGGATCCAATGATGAAAAGAAGACTTACGCTAATTTCAGAGGAACTTTATCGGGATATTCCTCCTCATTGATTTTTAGTACTGGCGAACCCATTTGGACAATGTGAACCGGAACTTGTTTCGCGCGAGACAAGGCCAAGATCTATACAATCACAAAGTTAATACCTGTGATTGGAGGTCATTCCAGAGAATCCGTTTTCAGCTTACCTCAAGCTCACCACCCCAAACCGCGGTGTTTTCGACATCATCACAGTATCGATCAAAATCCTCTATTGTCCAATAATGGCCGTTCAGTTGTTGATTAATTTTAGTGACGAACATATTAATCAAAGCATACCTTTCGTGTACATGTCACCATTGTCTTTATACAAAAAAGGCATAAAGTCATCAGGGTGCTCTCGCATATAGTCGGCCGCGATTTTGCGTAATTCTGTATAGGAATTGGCTTGCTTATATCTTCGCAACAGTTGATCAGAGAAAGCATTGTATAGACTACCCGAGAATGACAATTGGATCAATGTACCGTATCACAACAAAACGACGCTATTCTTCCACTTACCAATGACCATCGGCTGTAATCTAGATAGTGCAAGAAAACCATCCATTAGAAAATCCAAGGTGTGTGCGATATTAAACAGGTGTCATCACGTACCTGTTTCACTTGTAGACGCATAGGAACGAGCAATTCCTCAATGGCAGATTTTTCGACAGCGGCCATGTCGACTTGGCCTTCAGCTTCTTGCTCAGCTTCGTCACGAAGACGCTGCATTTCGGCTTCTTTCCGTTCTTTCCGAAGCTTTTGTCGATTCGGTTTCTTTGCGGTTGTCTGCGAAGTGGCCGGCGTGGGTTGTGGTGCGACAGGCTCCTCTTCCACTGATAAACGATTTAATGTTTCCAGTGAGATGCCATCGTCGATCTAAAATTACGATAATCGCACGTCAGTGTCACACGAGCTTTTACGATCAAAGGAGGAAAATTTACATGGCCGTCGTCGTCCTTGATTCCATTGAGTTCATTGAGTTCTCTGTCGTGTTTGGTTTTTAATTCGTATTCCAAGTCTGCAATTTTGGAATTCATTTCTCTCTTTTTGCGCTTGTCACTTTTGGGGGTTGATTTGCGAAGACCGATGATTCGCGTTTGCAGTGCTCGTTGTTCTTCGCGATGACGAGTGAGCATTTCGTCGAGCGTTTCTGACTTTTCGGCTTCATCGTGCACAGGCGATGGAGGTGTCTCGACCACTTGCGCCGCTGCTTCCTGAAGCATTTCCTTGATATCGCTCATACTGTTCGAATTTGTAAGGTGGAGTGAAAGAAAAAGAACAAGAGAGCAGAATTATTTTAAAGACCGGCGGGCACTTGCAAATTTTCAGTGATCCAACTCTTGCGCTCGTTTGCTTGGTATGAATCAACCAATCAGGTTACAAACAAGTTGTTCACGTCCATGGTTGAACAACTCTGGACTAAAAGTAATTTGACCGATTAAGTCGTACCAAGCAAAGAGTGTCCAAAATCTGGCTATGCTATGATGCGGCATGATTGAAAACGGACAGGGTTGCTGAGAAGTTGGGGCGAGGAGCGGCGACAAGACCAACAATCCGACTACGTGAAGTGTGGTAGACGATCTTCTAATGCTTTTGATATGGATGACCGGGGAAACATAAGCCAAGTATCAGTTAAAGAAAAATGGCTCAGCAAACAATACTCGGATCATTGAATTCTCTTTCAAAACTATGCCTTGACCAGAAAGTGAATAATAGGGCAGCTCGTCACAGATTACTCTATCCCAACCCCTGCCATGGCAATATTTGAAACCAAGCTTGATTCAAGCAAGGGGCGATTGATGGGAACATGAACAATGTAAGCATGGAGCATCAAGGGAATCGTAAGATAAAGAAGCATTGAAACACATATCTTTGTGGAGTGATGGATGCATCCCTTTGGACATCTCCCTTTTTTTTTTTGTCATGCATGCATCATAGAGGAACAAGGGAGAAGACATCCGAAAATATGTTTCCATTGATGTATGGAAGGACAGACCTGGAAGCATTTTTCCCCTGATTTATCAATGCAACGATGCATCGATCACAGCTGTCATCCGCACGTCATATTTGGAAATAAAATACCATCCACCTCACCCAGTGGCAATTCCATAAACTGAGTAGTAGTACGAGTTGAAAAAGAAAAAGTTTTACTGCTAATTACTGAGCTGGAAAAAGTGACATTAAAAAAGAAAGGTTTCTATGGATTACTTCTTTCCTGATTGTTGTTGGGAAAATTCGAGGTATCGTTTCTGTTGCACGTCGAGCACTCGTCGCTTGTTAAAGTATTCAACCTACCGTAAAAACATGTAATGATGAGCTCTCTTGTTGAAAAGATTACCTAGCAAGCAGCAAGGACTTACCCAGCTTGCCATGCAATCGTCTTCGTATTTCTTCTTCTTTTCCAGACATGCTTGCGCCTTTTCAGGCGATTTCTCCACCACCACGGGATCAATGATATTCAATTTGTCCAAGCAGGCAAAATATTCGTCTCGCACTTTCCAGCATTGTTTACGTTGTTCACGCGTGGGCGGTTTGGTTGGTGCTGCCGATGAGCTCATAATGTTCAGATGGCCAACAGCAAAGCATCACTCTCTTCAATGGGGAAATCCAAATTTAGTTGGTCATGGTATGACTGTTTGTGACGGCTAGATTGGAGCAAGAACTCTGAAACTTGGTTTTTTTTTTTTTCGTTTTGATGATTTGAAAATGGCAAGGGAAGAACAAAAGCTTGGAAAAAAAATAAGAGTAATCTAAGGAATATACATTGAAGGGAAGAAAACAAAAACACAAGGGAATTATTTTGAAGAAAAAAAGAAAAAAAGAATCATGTATGAACAAAAAGGCACCTTTTTCGTCTTTTGGAAATGGATGAAAAAGAAAAATGTTGCTGGACAAGGGATAAGATTCTTAAGGAGAGCTGCTACTCTACAAAATATTTGAAAAATGAAAATGAAAAAAAAAATGTGGGAAAAAAAGAAGGAAGAAGGACGACGAGCAATGAACGTGGACAAGACTTCTGTTACTGGGATGCTTTGGTGGCGTCCATTTGGCTGATAATGCTGTCACAGCCTGGAATTCGGTCGTCTCGTTGACTCGGTAAAGCTTGTTGTTGTTCCTGACCGCGGAGCACCCATTTCTTGAGAATCTCTACTTGAATGTTGCCCATGATCAATTGTTCGATATGGTACAGTAACAGAGGCGTAGACAGCACACCCACGGTGCCAGGATTGCCATTCTGATAAAGCACATTAATCAGTGGAACTCCCATAGCAACGGTTTTTGTAGCACCGCAATACTAAATCAAAGGAAAACAAAAAGTTAGCTTGGTAAATCGGCGGGTGTCCATGGTACAAGTTATTTAGTGGGTTTTACCATGACAGCTACGGTGTCTTCGCGACTGTATCGAAATCGATTCACCCATTTCGGAGTTTTCACGCAACGTGGCAAAGGAATGTATGCAAGGAAAATGCAAAGAAGAGAAAAGAGGATGTAAAAAATGGCGTTGATAACAGCGACGATAATGATATCTTTGGTGGTGACGGCGGCAAAAGAGCCTGAATAAACAGCATCGGAAAACACGGACCACACCATGGCCAGTAATGCGATACTGCTGACTTCGGATAGATAGCATTTGACCTTGATCTTTGCCACTGTTTCGGTATAAAACCATTGAATGATCTGGCCAACAATCAACGGGGCCAGCACCGTCAAGCCGAGTTGCTTCAATACCGACACAAAGTCCACGACCCCACCCACTTGATTTTGACTTTCGTCTTCAGGTGTGGCATTGAGAAGTGGGCCTTGAAATGTAGATACCAAAGCCGGCGATACAAAGATCCCCAAAACGTTGCCAAGGGCAGCATTCATTAAAGCTAAAACAAAAAATAAAAAATGAGAAACAATGAAACACATTTCTCATGATTGTATCATCGGTGTCGCGAATAATTACCGGAAGCTTCGTTGCCTTTGGCGTTTTTGGTCATGACGACGTTGGAAGAGACGGTGGTGGGTGTGCTGGCGGCGATGACAACGCCAATAAGGATGAGAGAATTGATTGGAGCGTGACATTTAAAGAGCAAAAGAATGATGCCAAAGACGAAAAAGGGTATAATGATGAGATTAATGACTTGGATTAATACATGCAGGCGAACGCGTAAAATGGTTTTGGCAAGAATTTTCGTTCGAAGTGATAGTCCAGAAATTAAAAAGATGAGAATCACTGCACCTATACATTTTTTTTTTTTTTTTTTTTTGTGATGGTGAGAATGATGGAAATAAGAATCAAGTATCACGTTAGGTGATGATGGGTTACAGAACGAGACGTACCCCATTTAATGGTCCATTCGGCGCGTATGTAGCCCCCTCTTCTTGCAACGTCTGGTACTTGAGTTGCGAGAACGATGACAAATGCAAGGCCCAATAAGAACCAATATTTTTTGAGTAAAGCCAGTGAGATTGTTTTAATTTTTGTCAAGTACGCTTTGGTTTTTGAGGGGGAGTTGCATTGTGAAGCGATGGTATTTCCAGAGATGGATGCAATCATGGGCTGTTTTCGTGCCGATTCTTGTGGTAGTGTCGCTTGACTGGCAAATGAAGGCGAAGCTTTGAGTTTGGACTCATTCATCGCAAGTTTCAAAAGTCCAAAAAAGAGCGAAGGCGATTGTCTATGCTGAAACCAATTTCGAAAACCCATTTTATCGGTTAACGGAAAACGAAAAAAAAAAAGAAAAGAGATACACAATCATGCGATGCAGGTCTTTATGTCGTCGGTTTTTTTTTTGCGTTTGCTAGGGGTAGGTTTTTTTTCTGTTGGGGGAATATGAGGGTCCAAGGAAGGGAAGGGGGGGGGAGTAGAAAAAGAAAAAAGGTAAAGAAGGAGGATCTGTATAAGCGAGAGTGAAGGGGCAAGGATGGGCTACTTTTTTTGGGGGGGAAGGGCGCTCAAGGTATTCTTTCATTGGGAGAAAAGAATTCGGTCATGGTGGACCACAAAGGGTTGATTGCGTGATAGAAAGATCCATCGAAACTAATGAATAAAGAGTTTTGAAATGCTTGTCATTCGTTTTTGTTTTTGAATCAAATGAACAGTTATGGTCGATGATCTGTTATTTTGTTTTGCATCAATGGTCATGTTTCCACCATGCCAAAAAGCCCTTTTCAAGTATTTCCCCTAAAAGATGGCCACGTATGGTATGCTTGTCATTGTGGGCTAGAATAGTGGGTACAAGGCCGTAAAAAACAAACTATATTCTCAGGGATCTGCAATCAATTTCGCCACGGTGGCAATCGTACATGATACTGGCAATTACATCAATCATTTGTTGGTGAAGGTCGGCTTTGTACTCTATTCACTTGACCTTCCAAGTATTGGTGATAGACGTCTTTTTTTTTTCACGCTTGCGCTCGTCTCCATCAATATTGCCCCTTTTTCATAAAATACCATCCCCTTCTTCGTTAATAATATATCTTTTTTATTCCACTGTTTTCCATATTTGATAGAATCCCAAGGAAAAAGGGCGTCCATGCAAAGTATAATACTCCACCATCCACGGCATGATATGCAGCCATTATGTTCGTGCCTTGATTCTACCGTGAACTTTGATTTTTATTTTTTTTGAAAGCAAACATCTGAATCAAAACAAAGACTAATCACCGCGGCATCACTGCTGCACCCCCCATCCCACTGGTTATGCTTGGCAATAATGTGTTCTTTTTGTCACCTGTCAATGCAGGTTCTTTGTTTCTTGTGATCATTCTCTATCGACAGCGAGATCGTCGTCGTTTAGGGTTTATCCTTGCGCCCGCATAAAGCATACCGAAAAAGTGGGATGAAAAAGAATTTCGGCCGAAAAATAAGAGATGGAGATTTATCGTCACCACTTAAATTACGTTTTCAGATTCTTTTCAATTAAAAGAAAAAAAGATCTTACGAGAATTACGCCCGTGTCTCTTTTGATTGTTCACTCTAATTTTTTCTTGTCATATTGAAAAGAATGATTAAATTGGCAAGGTCTGCAGGAGAGGATTTTTTTTCTTTCTTTTTTGATTGCCAAGGTGACACCAGGTCCGAATGTTCCACGGTTTCTGATCGGTTATCACTATGCAGCAATTTACATGGGCTGTATGTCATCATCATCTTGGCAACCTTGGGTCCCAATTTTTTTTTTCATTATGATCTTTTGGTTGGAATGCCATACCCGCCGTGCCTCTCAAAATAATCAATAGCTCCTTAACACATTCAAATAATAATGCTAGCCGAACGATCAACGGTGTATCTACCTTTTTGGTGTCTGTTGTCAAAATTAAAAAAAAAGTCAATCAAAAACAACAACACTGGAAGATCTATCTATGTTGGCTCCATTACTGTAAAATATACCATGCATCATTTCGCCGTGATCCCCCAATATGGATATTTTAACATGTCGCCTTCCCTAATATTGGGAAGCAACTGAGATCATACTACGAAAAAAAAGGGCCTCAAACTAAGTCACAAGATGTCCGTTTTCCTCCTTTTCTTCCCCCCAATGGCGCCATTGGGTTCCACAGTACCGGATTCACAGACCAGTACGATAAACTTTACGGCAAAATATTAGGCGTATCGATCGGTTGATGAAGCATGAGCAGCAAGCTGAGATGCATGTCTCGAATGCAACATTCACGGAAACCAAAGCAAAAGGGCAATTGCTCGAAAATCGAACTTTCCGCCGGTCGATCTTGCACAACATCGAACTTGCTGCTGCAAGACGGCAATGCAGAGCTTATGTTATCATGCTCCGGCAGGGGTTCATTCTTGGCAAGCTCCACATTTTTTTTTATCTGGCTGCAAGGCATTACGACAGAAATTTTTTTTTTTTTTTTTTTTTTTTTTTTTTTGGTTGATGTTCCAACCGTTTTTCGACCTGATTCGCACGAGGAGCGATCGCCGCTTCGATTGGTGTTATTGATCCCTTGGATCTCGGCCAACAACAAAAAGTAGTAGCACATGTAATTCAAGAGGGTGTGGATCATCGCGAACCATTTTAAAAAAAGAGAGCCGAGGCGCCAAAAAAAAAGTACAAGTGTCATTTGGTTTTTTGGGTGCCATATTTTCCAAGTCTCGTTGTGATTCCCCTTAATAGACGCCAAGGATTCCATTATCGTCTATAGCTCTCGAGCAGTACATAAGACGACCATTTCAATAAAGACGGTGCCCTTGTTTTCCTTGTTCCTAAAAGCATGAGTCTCATCCTTTAATTTTTGAAAGCCTTGAATAAAATATACCCCGTTCTTAGAAAACGGGAGCCATCGAATTGATTTATCAGCGACAGAAATCCCGATTCGGATCATGCAATTTCGTAGAAAATAGTAATTGCCCATAAAGGCAGTCAATGGATGATAAAATCCTTTATTTATTTATTCATGTTTTTGACATGAGAGAAAGTGCCCGGTGGCGGCTTAATTATGCGTTGGGTCTCGATGGATTGCTCTCCAGGCCGTGCTCAGCGATAATGCTGGCGTGCTTGCCTTCGTTGAGTCGTACAATTGTGGGCTGAACCAGAGTGGACAAGGCTGGTTTCTTGATACCGGAACGAACTGGCTGCTTATGGTCTTGCTTCAGCTGTTCAACGTTTCGGATCGTGGCGCCACATGCCATCTTTAATTTACGATGAAAATGAGCATCCCGCAAACTCTCCATGTCATATACATACGTTCAGAGTCTTGTGCAAGGCAACAAATGCCTCCATATGCATTTCCTTATCAATGAATTCAGCCGGCACCGTCGCCCGCTATTCCTTTATCATGACATAAATTCCTTGGGCAGGTGATGACATGGTCCAATGCCAGAAAGCAGTACCTACTTTTCTTAGGCCAACGCTTGGTGCACTCCTCAAAATTTCGCTCCAATCAATCAACTTTGAGCGTCTTAAGTTGATGAAGCCTTCGCAGCCCACATTTTCTGGCTTGATTTGCCCGTGATAACACCCTGGTGATGATTTTCTTCGTCGTCGAGGGCTCCATCGTCGGGATCACCTTTGCGGGTTCCACATTCTTCGTAATGCTTGCAGGGGAACCAGATTACACAGTCGCTGGATCGTTTGACACTGAATACGATGTTGAACCTCCGTTTGATTTGGCAACAGCGTCGGGAACGGTGGCGGTTCAATGAATATTCGTGTAGGACAAATACACCAGTGATGTAAGAGGCGTTGGTCGGGATGATAGTGGCCAAAAGGAACAGAAAAGATCTCATCTTTACGCGTCAGCCCTCCAATTTTCAAAGCGGACGTCACCCTAATCGATTTTGGAGTGCACCCAAGTATAGGCATTTTTATAAAGCAGTGCATTAGCTTAAAGAAGTGTATCCTAAGATGGGCGTGAATGAAATGCATCGACTTCTGAAAAATGACGAGAATGATGCTTGAGGAAATTATATCATAAAGCTATGTGCATGTAACAATTGCAGTATGACAGGGTTCCACGGGTTGCCTGGACACCGAACCCAAAACTACTGTTCCTACAAGCTAAAGAAAGAAAATATCATTAGTTCACCAGTTATCAAAACGACAAGTATTGCAAGAGAAATTGGTCGCTTCCCACTCCAGGCTGGCTTGCAAAAATGCTACTAGGATCCTGAACCTTTCTCTGAACGTTGGTTTCAACGTAGGGCAGGGTTAATGTGTAAACTGCCATCATGTTTTTCTTGCACGATGATATATTATCTTCAAAAAACCATGCAAAGTGCGAGGCGGAAATGACAGAAAGAGAGAACACAAAAACAACTAAATCAACTTCACTTCAATCCACACCAAAATCAATTAGCATGACACAATTTGGAATGCTGACGCGTGGACTGAAACCTTTCTTTTCTTTCTGACCACCATCTACTTGACCTGACCAACATCTCTTACATCACTGCTGCGGTTGAAACCTTTCAACAGCCTTGTGCAAGTGACTGAAAACGGTGTATTTGTCCTACACGAATATCATTGAACCGCCACCGTTCCCGACGCTGTTGCCAAATCAAACGGAGGTTCAACATCGTATTCAGTGTCAAACGATCCAGCGACTGTGTAATCTGGTTCCCCTGCAAGCATTACGAAGAATGTGGAACCCGCAAAGGTGATCCCGACGATGGAGCCCTCGACAACGAAGAAAACTTCAAGGCAGCGTGTTATCACGGGCATATCAAACCAGAAGATTAGGCGCACCAAGTGTGGGCCTGTCTTTCGGGTTGACGGACTACCCCCATCCGTCATAAACTCCTCTTCCCTTGGTTATTGGAATGAACGAAAAACATTACCAAGCGAGCTTTGACAGCTCTTGGAAAACAAGCTAAATCTCAAAGGTAAAAATAACTGCTGCCAAAAAAAAAAAAAAAGAGACCCGTATTCAGTTTACCATTTGAAAATGTAGACTTTTGGGAACAAGAACCCCGCGATTGGACAAGCTTGAACTCTGTGCAACACCTTGTCTTGCATGGCCCAGCTGTGATTCGACGCAAGGCGTCAGAGAGGATGATGAAAGACGCAAAGACGATCACGAAGCATGTGGTCGCTGGAACTATTGCGGAAACGATGGCCAAAAACCTTGCGACATAAAACAAAACGGGGTCGCGCCATGGTTTTTCTTCTGTAGCTATTAAATTGGTTTGCAGTGCAAAGCAAGTCAGGGATTATTCAAGAACTTCTTTGACCATTATGCGAAGCAAATATCGCAAGCATCACAGAAGACTCGATTGGCAAAGGTAAAATATTCGCTGCTCATGCCACTGCAGGCTTACCCATGAATACTCTGGTTTAAATGCGCTTCCAAACTGCCAGGACCAAAGAAGCAGCCCAGAACAAGGAAAATGAAGTCAAGCATAAAGCTAGCCATGGTGAGCCTTCCAAGTCAAGGAAGCGGCAGCAACTTCAAATCATTGGGCAATGTTCGTCATTCAGACGCGGAGGATGAGGACGTGTGGATGCTTTGGAGAACCTTTTGGACGACCAATACGCCGTGATCCATCCTTTGCTTGGGCGAGCTTCTCATATGACGCTCGCTCCAAATTAAAAATTTTGGACTTGCTGTCCCTTACAAAAAAATAAATAAAAATAAAAAAAATCGCTCTGTATTAATGCTGAGAGGTGGAAATGGTGCTTCTTATTGGTTCAGCCATGGATCGTTAACGTTTCTTTTTCATACTGGAAGACCCCACTCGTTTGGTTTTTCACAGCCCGCAAAATTCATTGGTGCTGTGTGACGGTGTCATTTGTCCAAATTTTGTTTCTTTTTCGATCCGAGATTAAAGTTTTTTTTTTTTTGGAGCTCCTTTCAAGTACTACTTTTTTCTATTCACCTCTTGCAATTCAAGGCACCATGTCTCCCGCACCCGTGAGCCGTAAACTGGAAGGATACGAATTTTTTCGGCAGACATTACGCTCGCCTCGTCATGTCATGGCGCCCATGGTGGATCAGTCCGAACAAGCATGGCGAATCCTCGGTCGTCGTTACGGCACTCACGTTTGTTATACACCCATGTTTCACGCCAAGCTCTTTAGCGATCCTGCACAAGGTCATAAATACCGTGCCGAGCAATGGTCCACGGACGAAAATGACCGTCCTCTCGTTGTGCAGGTAAAAGAAAAAGAAGAGTTTGGTCTGTCCAACTCCGTAAAAGAAGTTCCTGAAATCGATCAAGGTACTGATGACTGTTTTTGTTCTTATCATAGTTCTGTGCCAATGATCCCGAAATCTTACTACGAGCGGCTAAATTGGTGGAAAACGATTGCGATGCGGTAGATTTGAATTTGGGATGTCCTCAGCACATCGCTAAACGAGGTCATTATGGATCGTATCTTCAGGACGAGTGGGAATTGATCCGCAAAATGGTGTCGTTGCTTCATGCCGAACTCGCTGTGCCTGTGACGGTTAAGATTCGCGTCTTTGAATCAGTGGAAAAGACAGTGGAATATGCAAAGATGATCGAAGCTGCGGGCGCTCAAATGTTGACGGTGCACGGACGTTTACGAGAACAAAAGGGTCATAATACCGGATTAGCGGACTGGGACAAAATCAAGGCCGTCAAGGAAGCCGTTTCCATCCCGGTACTGGCCAACGGCAATATTCTCTACTACGAAGATGTGCAACGATGTATGGATTACACCGGCGTAGACGGTGTGATGAGTGCGGAAGGAAGTTTATACAATCCGGCCATTTTCGCTCAGCGCGATATGCCGCCTTGCACCTGGGAAATGGCTCAAGAGTATCTGGAAATTTGCCGTGATCTCTGCCCTACTCGCTCCGGCATTATAAAAGCCCATCTCTTCAAATTATTCCACTGCAGTCTTCCCCATCACACCGATTTACGAGCTCGACTGGGTAAAGCTACCACATTTGACGAATTATGGGGTATCACCATGGATTTGAAAGAACGTTTGGAGCAAGATCGCGAACGGATCGGAGAACAAGAACTGAATGGTCAAGCCGATGAAGCCGGTATCCGCAAATACGGTCATTGGCGATGCCAGGTAAGTTTTTTATCCTACGTATGTGGCCCTATGCATGATGCTAAATCTCTTCTTTTTTTCAATAGCCCTACTTCCGTCCCAAATTACCTCCACCCACCGAAAAATCAAAGAAAGAAAAGAAGGCCGAAGCAATGAAACGCAAACAAGAGGAAGTGAGCGAAACTGCTACCAGTGAAGCGCCCGCCGATGCTGTTATCGAGCCTGCGGCAAAAAAGTTAAAGGAGGAACAGGCTTGCGAAAGTAATGCCACTGCAGCTGCTGTTACGGAGCCAGCTGCTGAAAGCGTCAGTGAGACTATCAGTACGGAACAAGCCACGAACTAGAATTTTATTTATACCACTATCAGTTACAATGCACATTTTATATTTGATTGAAAAAATAAATTACCTCATAATACACGTATGATCAACTGTTCAGACCGTCATCTGGTGCTTTGGCGATTGCGCTTAAAATTCGGTATCATAACCGAGTTGTGGATTCAGGAACTGCATGCTTCATATTCTTTTACCATTATCCGTTGCGCCATGACTCACCTTTTGAAGAGTAAGAGTCATGGTTTACATTTTCATTACCGGACTGGTGGGCAAAAAGTGAATGCATGGTGGGTAAAATCGCCACTTGACGAAAAATGCTGCTGGAGCGACGCTTCGCATTTTTATGGATTCAGCGCCATGAGACTGTTTCAACCTATTGTGACATGAAGGACATTATCTCTTGGATCCTTCACCGCGCTGTTCTTTATCTTTTATTTTGAGACGTCGACCTTTTTTATTTGTATTTCAGCACAGACATCCGAAGGATGAATAGGCATGGTTTGTTAAGCGGTACCTGCATGCAACTAGATAACGAGCGATCACGTAAAGTTAATCTTGCAGATGATCTTCATCGACATGTAGCGGCACCGCATAAGCTGAGATTTTTTTTTCCAGTACCACATTGAAAATAGGATCGTTGCATTTGCCTTTTATAGCCGTGCATAGCCACACACGTTCATAAATTACTTCGTTCTTTCAATTTTTTTTTGCAAATCTTTGATTTTGTTCAACCTCAACGACAACGCTTTTTTTCTTATTGCGGGTTTTCGCTCTTTTTTATTTTTTCCATTCCTTTTTGAACCAATAGTTGATCTTGAAAATAAGTTGATGGGTCAAAAGAGCGACGATATCATGCTGGAGAACGACCCGCCGGCGTATCTGGATGAGGATCTTCATTCACGTCATAGCCTCACCTCCGGCAAAAGACACACCACCACGATCGAATACTCAGACATTTCCCCAAAGCTAGATCACCAACCACACCCGTCGCAAGGTAGCAGCACAATGTCCGTGCTACTTCAGCTCAGTTTTCCCATTATCAACGTCATTATCACTGCCGTCCTTCTTGGCGCTTTGATTTACATTTACACTCACGCCAACGGCCAAAACTTGGATTACACACTGGCGGGCATGAAAATCCCTACCATTATCGCCCTGTTGATGACCATCACCAAGATGTTTGTTGGTGGAGGCATCACTTAGTAAGTCCATCTTTCTAATTTGTTGGACTGATCCACTCGACCTTTGATTTTAATCTATTTGTTTCAGTGCTGTATCGGAGTACAAGTGGGTGACTCTGCAGAGAGAAGGAGGAAAGCTGGCACTGCTGGATGTGTATGATGCGTGTACACGTGGCGTGGGAGGTAAGCAATTCGTGATCGTCAGTCTAATAGGCATAGGAGAAAGGAAAAAACTTTAATCTCAAGTTTCGGATGGGTTGGCAATCCTTTTGCAGGTATCGTTCGCGTGCTGGGCGCTCTTCGATTGGACGCCATCCTGGTCCCTGCCATTATCTTCCAGTTTGGGCTGATCGCTATCGGGCCAGCATCGCAGCAGATCCTCAATACCCAAGAGATCGACGTCTGCGAAAAGGGCGGCCTGTTGTCCTTGAGAAATATCAGCAACACCGATTGGTCCGTCATGTTTTCCAACCTTTACAGTTCTCCGCGCGCCAACACAGGGATGCGGGAACCTTACGTGGTGGAGTTCGCGATAGCCCAAGCCGCCAAAGGCTTGATGCCTATGCCTGTCCACTTTTGCCCTCCGTCGGCCTTGAACTGCTCGTTCCAAGGAGTCTCTGGGTTTTACACCGTCGCAGCATGTAAAGAAAGCTCGGTCCAGGCCACCATCGTGGACCTCGACCATAATAATGTGACGACCCTCTTTGACCATTTTGGTTACAATCGCGTCTCCAGTTCGTCATGGTTTGTTGCCAGCCCCGAAACCCCGTCCATTTACTACGCTGGATCCATGAAAGGCCGCACCTTTTACGATTTGAACAACATCACCGCTCCGACGTCGCGCAACGTGACTTTCGATCCCACTATCCGTCGGTTGTATGGTGATCAGACGTTTGTCATTGTCACGAGCAAGAACGATATCAGCAGCACGTATGTCAAGGACATGAAAGATTTGACGGTGCAGGAATGCACGCTTCAAAGCCACGTCAATCGAACCACAATTGTGTTCAAAAATGGGACCGTTTCTCAGACAGACTATCAGACGACGCCAATGGTGATTGACTATGATAAACTCAGCAACAGTACATACTGGGACAAAGAATTCCGGACCAGTCTGCATAAAAACTACACGATGCTCAACGCGTATGCTTTGCAGCTGTCGATTATGAAGAGTCTCATTATCCATACACGGCCATTGAAGGATATCGCACTTGATTGGGCCATGTTTGACACGATCAAACTGGACAACTCACCCAGTCAATTTCTGCATCATGTGCTGCGCAACATTGATATTTCTACCCTTGTTGCTCTCCCGGATTTTCCCACCCTGGGGATGCCAGGCATTCAGTGCCAACGCCAAAGCCGAACGTACGCGTTACAACCTTCGGCGTTTTATGGACTCGTGTTATCCTTCCTGATTCCTACGATTTGGTGGGCTTGGGTGTGGATTTCGAGTCTTTTCTATACCAACGGTGTTTCACGTGGCAATTCCCAGGTCGCGCTTATGGTAACCGGTCTGACTCCCGCTTGCCAAAAACAGTTTGATGATCTATCGCACGCCGGATCGAAGCAAATATTCCAAAAAGCCAAACAGATCAACGTCTGGTTCGGCGAAACCATCGCTCACGATGGTCGTCCTGGCCATATCCGCTTCGGTCTGCAAGAAGAAATCAAACCTATCCGTACAAGACGAAAATCGTTCTAGCTCGTCGTTTAATTTTATCTGATAACATTCACTATATTGACTATACCTATTGATTATTTTGATTCCATGAGATTAAGAAAAAAAACACGTTAAGCCGTGATATTACATGATCAAACAATGGTATGACATGATGAAGCGGTTTCTTCCCCTTTTTTTCGTTATTTCATGTATGTTGCCTGGCAAATAAAGTTACACCAAAAAAATTCGCCCATTGTCCGAAATGGATCACAGTCGCACAAAGAAAAAAAGAGTGGATCTATGAAATCCACGACCACCGATTTCTCTTATTTTCCTTCTTCCTTCCCTTTTCATCCCGCGTGACAAAAGTCCATCACTCAGCAAACGTATGTACTATGCCTGACGAGGACACCCTTCTTCCACCCTACACCGAAGAAGGTGTTCCAGCTGATAACTCGATCCGCTCCACCAGGGTAAAATATGCCAATGACTTGTATCATCATTTTGTCTCACCATTTAGATCCATCTTTGCGATTGTTGTAGACGCCCACCAGTTCGAGCAAGGTAGAACAAAAAATATAGTCTATCAGTCCACACGCTGAATCGGCTTTTTTTTTTAATATTATATTCAACCTTAGTACGATCATGGAGACCATGAAAATGACTCGCATGATTTTATCTGGGCTCTGGGCTTGCCTATTTTGAATATTGCCATTACTTGCGTTCTTATCGGCGTGATCATCTACATTTACATCAAAAGTACAGGAAAAGACAACTCCTTTACCATGGCCGGTATGAAGGCACCTACGATTCTTGCCCTCGTCGTCATGCTTGTGAAGCTCTTTATTGGCGGTGGCATTACCATGTAAGACGTTCAATGAATCAACCTCGTTTTTTCTTTTTTCGCCTGACCACTTCTTTATAGAGCAATGTCTGAATACAAGTGGGTTCGTTTGCAGCGAGCTGAGGGTCCGCTTTCATTGCTCGAAGTGTATGACGCATGTACACGTGGGGTGGGAGGTAAGAAGAAAGAGAGTCGACAAATTAGATTTCCCCTTAAAAAAGGATGCGCACTGATAACCTGTATGGTGTCTTTAGGCATCATTCGTATCCTGCCTGCTTTGCGGTTTGAAATCCCCATTGTAATAGCCGTCATTTTCCAGCTTGGCCTTCTTACCCTTTTGCCCGCATCGCAAGAGATTCTCGCTTCCAAAGCGGACATTGTATGCTCAGACGATCCTTGGAGTTACATTCAGTTGAACAACGTCACCTCGGACGATTTTTCCACATGGGCCAATATCTATTACAATCCCATGTCCGTACGAGGCATTCAGCAATCGTTTATTGTACGTCAAGCATTTTACGAAGCCGGATTGAAACTTGCAGCGCGGCCACGATACCGTTGCGCAACGGATGCCTTTAATTGTACATACGACGAGATTCCCACACCGCACACAGTAGCCGAGTGTCAACTGGGTTCGCTTCAAAGCCGCATCGTCGACGTTCGCGGAAATAATGTCACCACAATCAGCGGGTATTACGGATTTGATCGTCCGGTAACCTTACTTGAACCGACGGCCCGTGTCCCTAAAGTGTTTTATGCCGGTTCCATGCTTGGACGAACGGCTTACGAGCTCTACAATTACACCGAGCCGATGCGTTACAACGATACATACGATCCTTCATTCCGCCAATATTTTGGCGATCAATCTTTTGTGTTTTTAAGCAATAACAACACCCTCAGTACATTTTCCACCAAGAAGGAAGAACTGGTCATATACGAATGCACGCTCCGATCCCATGTCAATGTGTCTAGCTTCATCGCCAAAGGTCGTGATCTTATTCAAGAAAACATAGTCAGTACGCCAATTACGTTTGATTATAATACTTTGAGCAACAACACCTACTGGAAGGAAGCTGGGTCCCACTATCCCACGAACTTTACCATGATGAATCTGTATGCTATGCAGCTCACCTACCTGAAAACGTTGATTGTGGACGGTCTCGAAGCTGACCTATTGTACAAATTCTCGACATCGGCCACACCACAAGAGTTTATGCGTCGAGTGCTTTACCACGCAGATTTGGCCGTGGCGTTTGAGCTCCCCACTGGTAGTAGTGGTTATACCGGTTCTCGATGCCACAAGACGGATACGTACTATGTACCAGATCCCAAGTCCTTTTACCCGTTTGCGCTGTGTCTGATCATCCCGTTAGCCTCGTGGGTAGGTCTATGGATCGTTAGTTTATATCATACCAATGGTGTTTCTCGCGGGGTATCACAAACCGCCCTTTTGGTGACCGGTCTTACCCCAGCGGTGCGTGATCAAATGAAAGGTCTGTCCCATTCGGGAGAACGGGCCCTTGTTCAGCGCGCGAAAAAAGTCAACGTTATGCTGGGCGAATCCCAGACCAACGGTCATCAAGCAGGCCACGTCGGCTTTGGTGTCAAAGATGAATTGAACTCTATACGTGCCAGATAAACCACATTTACTGCTAACTCGCTCCATTTGGTAATGAATCTTCGGATAAATCAGGACTTTTTCCCCTTAACCCTTTTAGCAGCGCCACAATCCATTGCTTTTAATGGCAAGCGAGAAAAAAAAACGCTGGGGTAAATGAACTTTGTGGATCGCAAAAAGTCTCTTATTACTTTGCCTATTCTTAGTGATCATCTTTTTGAATAAACGACAAGCATATAATGACTTCTACGTAAGAAACGTTATCTGTTAAGACCGGCAGGTCATAATGGCGGAGATTAGACATGCAGCAGAAAATGTGCTTTTTGATCTGCGGATCAAGGTTTGGGTAATGATTTCGTTCACAGCATTATTTCATTGTACCACCTATTTCATTGTATTACCTTAGAAATTCCACTCCAGCCTGCGCTGAATTTGCACATAACTAAAGGTTATTCTATAATTCGAGACACGATTTTTTCTGTCTCCCTTTGTGATCCTCTGTTTTTTCCTTCCCTTTGACTTTATTAGGTGGCGTTGCGGGCCAGAGTCAGCCAATCGAGCATGTCTGATAATATCGACGAATCGGTTACCAACGTCCAAGGCAGTGAAAAGCAAAGCCTGGCACTATTGACCAATTCATCGGATGAAAAAGATACCAAGTCTTATGACCACGAGAAAAAAGCGACTGAAAGCGACAACGGCAGCAACGACCAAGAGGATGAACCGGTAATTGGCAGAGAAAATCCGCTCTACTCGGTTTGATTGCTAAAGCGTTTGCAAGGGCGAAGAAAAGAAATTCTCCGTGACATCGCTGGGAGAAGTAGCGCTGTGGCCAACGATTAATGTCGTAATAACGTTTGTGCTGATGGGCGCCCTGATCTACGTCTACTCGCGTGTCAATCATCAATTACTTGATTATACCATCGCGGGCATGTCACCGCCTGCACTCGTGGCACTTTTAATGACCATCACAAAAATGTTTCTGGCCGGTGGCATTGGCTTGTGAGTTGCTCAACGATGAAAAAGACGATGGAAGTTGTCGTCCCTGATGCTTTATATTTCTTTGTATAGCGCCGTAGCCGAGTACAAGTGGGTCCGTTTGCAGCAAAGGGAAACAAAACTGTCGGTACTGGACGTCTACGATGCATGTACTCGTGGTGTGGGTGGCATCATTAAAGTGATCACGGCTGTGAAACCTGATTTTGTGATCATTCCAACCGTCCTGTTTCAGCTGGGTCTGATTGCCATGGGTCCGGCGTCTCAGCAAATCCTGACGACCTTCTCGACGGATTTGTGTACATCTATGTTTGGCAATGTCTTCACAGTCAACAACGTCCAAAACCAGACCATCGTTGATACCGTGGACATATCGAGAAATATACACAAATTAACCGAGATCGAGGAAGATTACTTAATTCCTTTTGCTCTCAAACGAGCTGCTTACCACCTGGATCCGCCGTACTCCTTCATTTGCCCTGCAGAAGCTCTGAATTGTTCTTACAACAGCGTGCCAATTCTGTATACCGTACCAGAATGCACCCAAGGATCACTGCAAACCAAAGTCGTCGATGTGGCTGCTAAAAATGTTACCACATTGTATGATTTATTTTCTTACAACTCAACCATGCAGTTAGCCATACTTCAGCCGCAGCTGCCACGGATCTACTATGCAGAATCGATGCTTGGTCGCACCGCTGCCGAACTTGATGCCCTTCCACGCGTCACATGGGGAACAGGCGCCAATATAACGCTTTCACAGTATATTGGCGATCAATCGTTTGTCGTCGCCACCCTTCGCAACACGACGGAAACGAATTATGCAAATGCCAAGGATGTAGTTGTACTGCAATGTACGCTGCGTTCTTTCAGCACAGAAGTCACCTTTACGTATGATACCGCCGCCCAGAAAATGTCCTGGAAGGAGGATCGTAGCTTGCCTTTAAAATTCGACTATGAATCTATGGTTACAGATGCCAACAATGTAAAACCTGTTTATTTGAACGCGTATGGTCTTCAGATCAGCGTGCTGAAGCATCTCGCTTATGACAAAAAGCGCGACAACATGTTATTCGACATGGCCCGCACTTGGTCGATCAAACACGGTAAAGATGCATCGTTCCTGGAATATTTCCAAGATATCCTGACACATCTGGGAGTGACAATTACCACGGCCGCCATCACTGATTTTCCCAATTTTTATACACGTCCGACATTCTGCTTTCGCAGTCCGGTCATGTACCATTTCGAACCGTCGACGTATTACGGCCTTGTATTATCACTTTTGGTGCCGTTGCTGTGGTGGGTGGTGACCTGGATTACGAGCTTGTACAAAACCAATGGAATTTCCCGCGGCAACTCGCAAGTTGCTTTGTTGGTCACCGGGCTCACGCCGGCCGTGGCCGAAAAACTGCGAGGTTATTCACATGCGGGACAAAGTGCTCTTTTCAAACGGGCACGGCAAGTCCAAGCCGTGTTTGGCGAAACCAAGGCTGGCAGCGACCGTCGTGGTCATGTTGCCTTTGGTACAAAGGAAGAAATGAACAGCATTCGTCCACGTCGATCTTCCATCGATTCTCGCATATAAGTTTGTCATGTCATCCATCATTATTTCATATCCGTTCATAGTAATACAAAGTCTAACACAGCTAACCGCCATCCGGAATCGGGAATTTCACTTTTTTTATTACTCTTATAGATGATAACTAATGAGATGGGTGGGAGAAAGGATAAATGCTGCGAATGCGTACCACTCTGCTGATGATTGACAATAGCAGGTATAAGGAAGGCGGGTAATGGAGAAGGGAAGGGGAGGGAGGGAATTGCGCAAATGGATATTAGATACTTTTTCTTGGTGCATATTAAATGTGTGTTAGTCATTATATTAAATGGCGAGGGAAAGAATTGGATATAAAAAAAGTAGATAGCAAAGTCAGCTGTCATGACAGCGACCGCACCGGGCTAATTCAGAGAACTTAGCTCTCGCGATAACGACCAAATGTGATGGCCATCCCAGACGACGATGACTCGGACTGGAGTTTCTGATCCAGTTCAGGACGTTGGCAATAGTCACTGGTAGCCGGCCAATGCGGAACCTCGTCTTCTTCGCCTGATTCGTCAATCTCGTGGTAGGAAGGCCACGATGTTTCGTCCGAAAAACTGGAGATGGGGCGCAGTAGCGAAGGCTGAGGACGCGATTCTGGTAAGGGTCCGGAAATACTGGAGGGATTGACAGGATGTACGTCATAAGTAACCATGGTAGTGGGTGGATCTGCAGGGGAAAGAGGCGGATAAGGCAAGGTGGACGTGGAGTAATTGGGCTTGGCATGCAGCAAAGGCAAAGATTTCGCTGCTTCGGAAATCACCGATAATCTTTGTTGATGATGTTGCGTACTTGGTTGGTAAGACACCCTTCGCCAGGACGGACTGTGGTGGGTATCTTTCCCCTTGGACGATGGTGGACCGTGTTTCCCGCGTCGTCTCGTTAAGCCCTGAGTAAGACTCGAAAATGAAGTTGACAGTTTCTGAAAAGATTTGCGCAGTCGATCCTGTGGACAAAAAACTCATGTTAATCCAATGGCAAGAAAACCGCTTGAAAAAAAAAGCCTGCAAACAATTACCATCATGGTGACTGCATCCGTCACTTCCTGATCGGTCACTTGGACGGGCTGATGCTTTCTTGGGTCGGCCTCTTCCCACCAAACCTCAGGATCATCAAGGTCAGCAATGACCCACGGATGTCGCTACAAAGAAATGGTCAGCGATTTGAACACCGATCAGGATTCTTTTTTTTTTTGTTTTTTACCTTGACTTCATCCAAGGTAATCCGTTCATCGGCATTTTTGGTCAATAATTTGTGCAGCAAATCTTTGAGGTCGTCATCAATGTATACACCAGTTTCGGCGGGATCCGGAAATGTCAGTGGCACGGTGGGAATAATATCAAAGAGTTCAAATTCGGTGGCGGCGGTAAACGGACATCGACCGAATACAAAGCAATAGAGAGTGACGCCTAGAGCCCATACATCAATGGCTTTGGTGACTCGTGGACGTGATAGGCGCGAATGTCGACGTGTGGAACGCGCATGTTCATCTATCGCCGCAGTTTCTGCGCTATCATCCATGCTTACTTTTTGAGAATCGCCCGCACAACAAAGTTCAGGAGCGAAAAACGCCGGAGTTCCTGCTGTTTCTGCCAGTTCTCGATCAATGATGGTGATATCGTCTTTGGAAGGGTCGCCATGCGTGTAATTGCCGGCCAATAACTCGTTAAAGTAGGAAACGCCAAAATCTGAGATCTTGACAACGTGTTCTTTGGTCAACAGTAAATTGGCGGGTTTAATGTCTCGATGGATAATGCCCTGATAATGTACTACCGAGACATGTTAGCAATGCACTTTGCAGCTTGCTCCACACACAATACTGTAAGAGACAGACATACAATAATCTAGGCCGCTCACCGCATCGCGAAAGAAGCGCCGGGTGTCTGCCATGGAAAGCACGGGATTCTCGTTCTCGTCTCTCCATTCAATTTCCCCGCCTTCGGTATATTCCAAGGCTAAGATGGGCCCGTCAAATGAGGTGAACATATGATACGCTAGCGTTCATAATTATCTAATTACCCATGTAAATCTTGCGACTGGCTGGATCATCAATGACTTCGCGTAAGCGGACGACGTTTGGATGCGAGCACTTTTTCAAGATGGCAATTTCGCGGCGTATTTTCTGTTCATTCTCCTTGTAATGAGGCGGATCACCTTTTTTCCCCATTTCATCGGGCCATAAATGACGTTGACTGTTGCCGCGTAAAAGACTGTACCCCATCTGCCGTCGTCTATTGCGTCGATCTACAATCTTGATCGCCTATGCAGCCAAAAGTTTTGACAAAAAAAAAGTTAAGGGATAAAAAAAGGTAGACAAGTTTTGTTTGTTTGCTCATCGCCATAGTAAAATTTGGGATGCCAAGGTGTTTGGGTAGTTCAAGTCAACCTACCACGAGTTCGGATGTTTGGATATCTTGGGCTAATTTGACTTTGCCATGAACACCGCGTCCAATTTCCTTAATGATCATGTATTTGTTGATAATTTTGTTTCCGGTGGCTGGATCGTATTCTTTGTTCATCACATTGGTAATAATGACGCCTTCGCAGGTACGTTGGGGTGGTTGTGGCTGCAAAGGCGGGTTGGTGGGTGGACTGGGGCGGGAATTCGAGAAGCGCCGTATACGTTGGGTAATAGGCGTCTTGGGCGACTGAATGGTATTTGAAGCTACATGGACCCCATCAGGTTTGGAGGATGACATTGAGGATGGTATGGCGTTGGCTTGCTGTTCAGTGTTGGGGTGCAAGCCGGCTGTAGCAGATGCTTCATGGAGACTGGGCGCACTCTTCCAGGGCGTCACCAAAGTGTCGGAGAGGTCATGAGCAGGAGGTGGGATTGAATTATCGCCAAGTTGAGGCTGGTCACTCGTCTGACAAGTGTCATTAGACAGACAAGGAGATATTTTATTCTCTGTGGCGGAAGAAGTGACGGAATGAGGTCGCATATAACAAGGTGGTTGGAACAAAGAGAAAAAGAGCGGCCACGATTCAACCCAAAAGCGGAGGCTGAAATTGGGATGCCACCGAGCACCATGGTGCAGCGCAACGAACAAAGCAGAAAGGGAAGTCCCCCCGCCAAGTTCGACAGTCAATCAAGCTAAAACACCATTTTTGGGTATAAACATTTGGGTTTGAATGATAGTGCATCGTAAGATTATTCTCTTTATTGTTTGTTGTTTTGATCGATTCATTTCGTACTTTTTTTTTTCTCGTGGTTTTTCATTAAAAATCTCGGGATTTCCCTTGTTGTTTTAAACCTTTTTTTCCCTTTATACGTGAGGATTGGATCTTCTTTACTTTCAAAGAAGCTTTTCTCCATCACAATAAAAAGAACATTTTTGGATTCAACTCTCTCTTTTTCTCATTCAGAATTTGACATCCCATGAAAACAACCTCGGTTCAGTGGCTCGTTGCAATATCGTCGTTATGTATTTCTGCTCACGCAACAATCATGGTGGTTGTAAGTTGAACATTTCTATGATGATTTGCCTCAAACAAGTAATAACACAAAAAAAAAATGGGTTCACTAGGCAACCAATGAAACATACACCGACCGTATGGCCGCTTTCGGACCGCGATTGCCGGAAAAAGGCGTGTTTGGCTATCTAGCCGAACCTGCCGAGGATCCTACCGGATGTCATATGGTGGAGGCCCCATGCAGTGATTGGGTTGCTTTGGTACGTCGAGGGAGTTGCTCGTTTATCACCAAAGTTCGAAACATGCAACTCAGTGGTGCGATTGCGGTGGCGGTAGGCGACACCGAACCGCAATCGGGCTGGATCACCATGTATGCACCAGGTAACCACCAACAACAAGAAACCCCGATTATTCCCTGATGAAAGAGTGTTCATCGTGTCCATGATCTGCCATAAATCAAAAAATACTGAACATTCTGGTATTCTAGGTGATACATCTGACATAAAGATTCCCAGCATGTTCTTGGCGCAAAATGAATACCATGCACTGCTGTATCTTTCCAAATTAGTCGATTCGCCCATGATGGTGCTCTTGCAGCTGGATCAATGGATGACTTGGTAATGGCTGTCAACCCTTTTTTCTTTATCCATAGTGATATCATATTGGGATTTTGACAGTTTTTTTTTTTTTTTTTTTTGGAAATGTAGGCCATTGTTGGATGTGCTGATGATTCTTTTCGTTTCTCCGAGCATCATCATGGTGTTTGTATATATCTCATGGAGGTTACGTCAGAAACATCGTCATCATCTCGAGATCGCTCCGCTGGACGTAGTATCGCAATTGGAAACGAGGCGCTTCAGCCGAGAGAAAATACGCCACAATGAAACTGAGGAATGCGCTATTTGCTTGGAAGATTACATGGAAGGAGAGATACTGCGGACTCTCCCTTGCCGGCATAATTTTCATGCGTTCTGTGTAGATGCTTGGCTGACCGCACACAAAAAACTGGTAAGTACACTGCCCTTGACGGTTCAGCCACTTTTTTTTTTGTCATCCATTCATTTCCTGTTAATATATCTACCTACTATAGTGTCCCATCTGTAAACGCGACATCACGCTTGGTTTCGATGCGACCAATGAGGTGACACCTCTTTTGATCGCTTGATCACTGGTAATCGGAGTTTTTGTATTATTTGTTTGTGTTTTTCTTGCATCAAAAAAAAATAAGATCTCAATTTGGAAAATATTTTGTATGCATCATGATGTTAGTGAATGCAAGCTTCTTTTTTTATTTTTATTTTTGGACCAGCTGGATCCACGTTTTCAAAATCACCCACGTTTTTTGGCGTGATCGATTTGCTAACATAGCTATAGGCGCACTACTTGAAAAAGAGTCGATTCGGTGGAACGACAAATATGTGCGGACCAGACTCGTGGCCATGTGCACAGGGATATGAAATCATCTATTATACATTTCTATTTTTTGCTCAAATATCATAAGCATGCTAATGACAGGATTTCAATGCTCTGCGAAAATAATCGCAGTCGGTATTGGTTAAATTTTTGTTAAAAAAAAAAAGACAAACCAGGAGTGTCGTGAGCTTGCAATGTCAGGAGGCAGGGAAGCAAAATAAGCACAGGTAATAGGATGGTGCTAACATGGCGTTGAACGCCATGTCTGTTATCTTTTTCACTCTACAGTGAATGTAAAATCCATATAAATATCATGACCTTAATGACAGTACCTTGCTCAATTCAAACGTGATCTTAGCTGCTCCTTATTCTCTTTTTTTTTTTTTCCCTGGTCTGTTCGCTAAACACTAACATGCAAGCTCACAGTACTGTCCCTGATCATACCGAAACCCACATGCGATCCCATCCTCACAACCTAATGACAGAAGTCAAAGTGAAACACTGTCGCGCTGTCAAATCATGCGCCACTTTTGTCTTGCGTTCGTTGCTTGGACGCAAACCAGAAAAGCCATGCGTGCGTAAACCGGTCTCCTTCACTATGGTGAATGCCAATGATTTCCGTAAGAAAGAACCGTGCTGCCATTCCGCCTCGTCCATGGATGCTGTCGGAAAACAACATCATCCTCAGAAAAAAGCAGTACTCACTCATAGCAAGCCAAGCAACCCAGAGAAAACGCAACCGAAAGAAAGATGTGCAATGGAACGTCAGTATACAGATCGGGACCGTCAACGATCGAGCACAGCCCTTAGTACCAGAAAACATGACCATCGAAAATTGATGCAATCCAAGAGTGAAGAAAGTATCGCAAGGACAGTAACAGCCGTTCACATTTCCTTATCACCTCTCTCTGCTGCAGCGGCATCGGCTGCACGCAGTCGAAGACGTCCTGCAGCCAATCGACCAAGAAAGCATATTTGCCATGCTTAAACATTCTGTATTTATCATGCACCTATGTATCGTTGTATAGCTTAGAGTGATGCAGTATATTTATTGTAGATTATACATATATAGATTGTAAATACATAAACATCATTTTCACTGTGGTCACCTTTGCATACAGCGGGAATTTTTTTATTTTTTTCGGTGCATCGGTCAAAAGAGCCTTTTGTGACTCAAATTTCCAATGACCGCACTGACTTTGGACTTTTTGGATTTGATTCAAGCAAAACCGGGTCGGCTGGGTTTGTGATCGACCTATTTACGCACATGGTTCATTCTAGCCAAGGATCGCTTCCCAGGCCAGGGGATATAGCAGCATCTCCGGGACCTGTAGCATGCTTTCTCACCGGCATGGCCGCGATTCTTATGGGGTACTCGGTGTATTCTCACTTGAAAACGCTTCACGATCGTAATACAGCTCCGAACCGACGTCGACGCCGTGCTCTTGAGCTTAGTAGTGCAAGAGCATTAGAAGATGGTGAGGAGTCACCTAACCCGCTTGTAATAAACGGTTCAGGAGCAAGACCAATGCTAAACCAAAATTACATTAGCCATTCCGATCAAGTCGCTCGCCTTGTTAACGCAATCGACCAATGTCAACATACAGAACAGGTAAACCTTGAACCTTCATTGTCTCCATTTGACGTTTTGGGCTCACACGACAGGGGCGCATTAGTGCGGTTAAGATCGTGTTTGAGCGAGCCATGTCAGGTACAGTATAACAGGAATGCATGTCTCGGTGAATAACGTTGGGCTTTACTGCATGTCATGCTGGTAACTAACTCGTACTTCGTAGAGGAATACTTGCCTTCCATTATTGAAGCGTGTAAAAAAGAGCAACCTATAGAGTCTCGATCCAAAGCATTGGCGGTATTGCAACTGTTAACTCGACGTGGTACGAACATTGGACGGTGCATCCTGTTTTTTTTATTTTTTTTATTTACCTGATTCAATCACTGTACTGCATTAGATCAAAATAAAACAGCACTGCTTAGTGCAGGTGCTCTGCCAGTGCTAGTCGATGCCCTGAAATCGACAGAACCGGGAATGGCGGAAATTACCCAGCGATACGTTGCGGTAGCAATCTGTGACTTGATCCAGGGCAGTGGTACGTTGCATTATCTAGTGTTGTTGCTATGTTTTAAACCCTTTCTTTTTTCATTGATTTATGTTATTGCTAGATCTAAACAAGCATTTTATCATTGAGATGGGGATTCTCGATGCGGTCAAGCGGATATTGACCTCCACTACAATTCGCAACAATGAGCTAAAATACTGGACGCTCATGGTGTTGTACCAAATCTCGCTCACAGGTAAACTTTCGAATAACCCAGTCCAGTATTTACAGTAATCGAGAATATTTATCTGCAATATTGCCCGCTATAAGACCCTTTTCCCAAGATCCTGATTTCCGGTGGATTCGTCAAAGTGCTTGCAAAAATGGCTCGCATGACATACGGCAACACCAACATGCCGAAGTTTTGTATGCAAAGCCTTGTCCGCATCGTTGCCAACGTGGATATTATGGGTAAAATCCTCCTCCTCCATTTCAGGAATCCGTTTCTCACTTTTTTTTTTCTTTCTTTTTTTTCCTGGTTTATACAGAAGCCAAGAAAATTCTGAACGAATTGCTAGATTATCGAATTGTGGACCTGATCTCGGTTTGTTTGCGAAGTGACGATGTGGAGCTGATTTACTGGGCGGCAGGGTTGATGCATGAATTTGTGCTTAAAGGTATGGTCAGGAACTGTGGCAAGTGACTTGGCGGATGTACTCATCTTGTTGCATTTTGCTCCGCAGATGTGGCAGCCGGTAAATTTCGCGACATCAAGGGCGTTCATGTCATCCTGGCCGGCTTATTGTCCGCGGAAGAAATGTATATCTCACGTGTTGTCTTGCGAACTGTCAAATTCATGGCCTATGGTCAAGGTATGCGAATATATATCTTTGCCAAAATCGAGAGACGTTAAATATTAATCTCCTTGCTTGATGTTGCTCAGAGAAATTCCGACAAGACATGGTTCGTGCGGGCATGGTCAAGAAGATTATGCATTGTTTGACTCTGGACGACGATGATGTCCGTTACTGGGCAATCCTGTGTATCCACGCTGTCGCCGGTCAAGGTACTTGAAGGACATTATGGCAACAATGTGACAACCTTTCTTACCTTTGTTTGATTTCAATGGTAATCAGTGGAATCTCATAAAGAAATCCTCAATGCCCCTGAATTCGACTTGTTACTGGAACTGGCGGCTTCCCATAAAATTCATGTTGCGGTTTTCGTGTCTGATATCTTATCCTTGATTTGTTGTATTAGTAAGTGGATTTGGACATCGTTCGTCGGCCCTGAACTGATGGATTTTTTGATAAATAGCGAGTAATAATGCGCACATGGAAGCTCATCTGGACAACATCATTGATACGCTGAATACGCTCATGGGAATGGAAGAGCTGGAGGTGCAGTACAATGCTGCTGGAGCCATCTTTAACGTGATGGCGATGCGTGGTAAAGTAAACGCATGGATTGCATATTATTCGCAGATCCAATAACCGTGCTTGTGTGTCTGCGTAGGTGATTTTGCGGCTGAAGTGCGTAAGAAATGCTTGGATACCATTATTTCCATGTGTATCTCGTCCAACCATGAACGGGTGCAGTTGACGTGTGCCAAGGCTTCCTTGATGTTGTCGATCAAATGTAAGCAAGCAACAACGAATAGATGGGATCCAGCGTAAGATATTAAATCTATTGTTTGATTTTCCCTAGATCCATCGCTCGTACCGCGGGTTTCGTTGCAAGTCGTCGAACCTTTGATCACCGCTTACGTCCGTATAGCGCACCGTTTATTACCTATTATTATGATGCAATCGTTGGTCTCGGCTTTAAAAAAGGATGTCGCGGTGGCAGGCGCTGGTCGTCTGTCCGTTCACGACAATACCGATATCGAAGGACTTTTCGTTCCGGATTACATCAATGTGAACGCTGAAGGGACCATTTCCAACGCATCCCGTCTGGAGGAAATGCTTCAGAACTCGTCGAGACATAACCGAATCGAAATGCTGAATAACAACGACATTCTTTTACCCTCCAATCTCTCGATTTCGGCCGAGCCACCTACGATTGAGAACCCACCTTTCGAAGGACAGCCAGCCTCATCATCAAGCTTATTCGGAGCTTCATCGTCTTCATCGTCTGTATCGTCTTCGGGCTCTTCGCCCTCTCCTTCTGACCGTATTTCCGCTTTTATGGACTTTGAACTGCCTACCGTCCTTCGCGTCCAGTTTGTTGGCGCTCAAAGTGCGTTGAGCGTGCTGTTAGAGAACGACGATATTGTGGATACCTTGGTTACCGGCAGTGTGCTTGAACGGCTGATGGCGGATATGGCCGAACTGGAAGCGGGTCTAGGAGATGGCGTGACAAGTTTGGAAGAAAGGGAGCCTGCTGCGCCGCTTCGTCTAGCCGATTACAATACGGCTTCAATGACGGCCGGCAACGAAGTGGTGCCGCTGCCAGACTCGGTTCGACAGTTGACGGAAATGCTCGTGTTTATGGCTTTATATCCTGTGCTGGATCACTGGTGCTTACATGTATGCAAAAACATCAACTTGGATAAAATGGACGAAGTGGCGGCCAAGAATGCTTATTACGAAGTGCTTCCTTGGATCCAACGATCGGTGAGCGTTATGGTCGATCCGCGTTCTCCGCTACGACCGCCTCGACCGCAAACATACGCTCCCAGTGATTCCAGTAGCGATTCGGAAGGTACGCAAGACGGCTTCAGTGCGCAGCGACCCGTCGAGTCCGCCGCCGAACGATTGGGCGAGACACGACGTCGAGGGGAAGAAAAGGAACTGCTAAGAGCCAAAGGTCGGTCTGCAGGCTATTCCAAATTGTACGCCGGATTTGCCAGTCGTGCGATTTTAGTACTTCGCTCCCTTTTACGATACCGTAAGCACAAAAAAAAAAAAAAAAAAAAAAAAAAAAACCAGATAATCGTGGATACCAAATTACTGATCTATAGAAACAGCTTCTCTGCGTTATTATCTCATCTACGAGATGAACTTTTTAGATGTTCTTATGTATATATTCCACCATTGTCCATATTTCTCAAGTCATGTTCTTACATGTCTTGGTATTCTGATCAACTCAGGTAACGTTCATGGTTATTTTTCTTATGGAGATCATATGTAAAGAAAAACAATCATCCAAACTTCTCCGCTTTTTTTACTATCTTTGTAGACCCACATTATATTTTACCGGAGCACTTGATTCCTGTGGTGGCCATCAGTGTTTGGAAGACGATATTGGGCTCTACAATGCAGAAAACGTCGTCGCGATTTTATGCAAGATTGATCATGAGTTACACGAGCCGATGTACCCACTCTCATGAGGATACGGCGGCTGACGGAAATCCATGCGATTTTGCTGAATTGGACCTGGTGGCGCATTCCCGATTTTGTGTGATCAACTATGAAACGCGTCTTGAGGTGCGTAATGATGCGTGGACGTTCGAAACTGTTCGCGGGACGCATCCCGTTCCGGCAAGGCACCATGACGATGACGATCAACGTCCAACCAAATACGCCTATGAGGTGGTCTTGGGCACCGCCGGACTCATGCAAGTCGGATGGGTGAACAAGGCTTGTCAAATCGACCCTGAAGGTGGCACGGGCGTCGGTGATGATAACGAATCGTACGGTTTCGATGGTTGTCGAGCCAAAAAGTGGCATGGCCGATTCCCCACTGGGGTACGTATGCAGCAATTTTTATCTACAAAAACCCGAGCAAAATTTGACTTGTGTATGTTCTGATCAATGTCCATCATACATTTATGATGCCCGCTTTTATACAGCGTTCCTCCTATGGATTGGAATGGGGAGAAAATGATGTAATTACGTGTGCTTTGGATATGCAGCAGGGCCATATTCGTTATTACAAAAACGGAGAGGATATGGGGATCGCATTTGAAAATGTACCCACCGATCGCGACTGGTACCCTGTAAGTAAATCCTCAAGAGAGATCTGGGGAAATAGTCATACTCATTTTTTTTGTCATTTTGCTCATACGCGCAGGCCGCATCGCTTTCTACCGGTCAACAGTGCATGTTCCGTTTTGGTGGTTCCATTGACAGTTTACAGTAAGTGACTCGTATTCATTGGGGCCAACCCACTGCAGCCCTAGAGTTGTTATTGACGTTTCCTGGTCGACGTCCTCTTTAGGTATCTCCCGGAAGGCTATACGCCTATGGCGGAGTTGGCAAGGCTCAAGCCAATCTCAGTGGTATCTTCTCCGGCGGACAATGAAGAGAACACCGCGGAAACGGGCGAAAAGACGACGCTGGAAGGATTAGCGATTCATGCTATAAGCAGTATCGAGGAAAATGATATTGCGGACTTGGCCGAAGCCATGGAACGTATGCGGGTAACTTCGCCGGCGTCGGCCGCTCCGCCACCAGAGGAGCACGTGAAAACGACCCAAGCGATTCCCGAGAATGAAGCAAGCGAGAATCAGGACACGAACCATGACAGTGGATCGGCCGTAGCTCGGAATACGCTTGAGGTCCGTTTCCCAGGCACCAAAAACTATTATGCTCCGCCTTCACTGTATTTCGAAGTCGCCATTGCATACCATCAGGAAAAGATTGATCTCTTGTATCCGCGTCAAGAACAAGCGTAAGCATACTATCCGTCAGATTTTAGCTTGCAATGTAGTCATCAGTAACCTCGATGTTGTTCCCTCCTTTTAGGTCGCTTATTATAGGGTTGCAAAGTCTTGGATCGCACAGCAATGTCGAACTGGTATATGACTATCAGCAGAAACAGGCGCAACTGTATCAGGGACAAATGCATCGCTCGGAACCATTTTCCATGACGATTATGGATGGTGATTGCATAGGTTTATTCTTCAACGAAGAGAACCAGCAGCTCGGAATTACCTGGAATGGATCTGTTTACGGTACGTGCATGATGAAAATGGAAAAATATGGCACATAGAGCGTCATTGTTGATTTGTATTTCTTTATTTGTTATCCGCTGTTTTTAGCCTTTGTTCCGCTCGTCAAGGAGGAGGAGAAATTCAGACCTTTTGTACCGTATAAATTGGGCAATGCAAAGATGGATATCAATTTTGGAGAGAAGCCGTTTTCATGGCAACGGGCCAATACGTTGACTTGCAAAGGAAGATTGACAAGTTATCTCAGTCGATTACTAGGGCAATAAAAAATAGAAACCCAAGCGATGATTCCTCAACTTTTTTTGTGTCGTTCCTTTATTATTTATTACAAACACGATCGTACGGATGGTGCTTCGGATCTAAATTTTTTTGGTTTGAGAGGGAAGAGGATTTTTCTGATTTTGAACTACTGAATCATTTACATGCGAAAGAAAGGAAACGTAAACAAGGTCGACGTTGCGCAAAAAATTGACAAGCCGGTGAAAGAGGGAAGACAGACATAGAAACACAGACGACGACATGACGATGAAAAAAAGCAAGAGGATGGTGATATTTACTTGGTGGAGAGAGCATCGACACCGGGAAGGACCTTGCCTTCAAGAAGTTCAAGCGAGGCACCACCACCGGTGCTGACATGGGAGATCTTGTCACCCTTGCCCCAGTTGAGAGCGGCCGTAGCGGTATCACCACCACCTAAAAAAGGCAATAATCAGGACGATGCGTCACGTCATAAAAGAAAAGAAAGGGAAACAGGGGTTTTTCCGAAAGAGATCAAAAAAAAAATGTGTAGATTTTTTATGTGTTACTTACCAATAATGGAAGTGGCGCCCTTCTCGGTAGCCTCGACGACGGCATCCAAAGCGCTCTTGGTACCGTTGGCGAACTTTTCGAATTCAAAGACACCAGTGGGACCGTTCCAGAGGATGGTCTTGGCCTTCAAGATTTCCTCAGCGAAGATCTTGTTGGATTCTTTACCACAGTCCAAACCCATGTAATCATCGGGAATACCCTCAGAATCAGTAGCATAACCGGTCTTAGCATCAGGGCTGAACTTGTCGGCGGTGACGTAATCGACGGGGAAGATGAGCTTGACGTTCTTGGCCTTGGCCTTTTCGACGAGACCTTCAACCAATTCAGAACCGGCTTGATCGAACAGAGAAGTACCAATCTACCCGATAAAAGAGGAAAAGAAAACAATATTATTTAGCCACCCATCCAGTAGAAAAATCATGCTATTCCGAAACACGTTTCCGGGCTGCATAATTTTTTTTTTTGTTCCCGTCTCGTCTTACCTTGACGTTCTCCAAAGTCTTCTTGAAGGTGAAGGACATACCACCACAGATAATCAAAGAGTTGACCTTGTCAAGCATGTTTTCAATCAACTTGATCTTATCAGAGACCTTGGCACTAGAAAAAATCAGAAAACCCGCAAAAAGATTTTTAGATAAGGAATATCTCGGGACAAAGGCTGGTAAAAAAATTGATAAGAAAAATGAAAGCTTACCCGCCCAAGATGGCCAAGAAGGGACGTTCGGGCTTTTCAAGCACCTTGGCAAAGTATTCGAGTTCCTTTTGCATAAGGAAACCGGCGGCGCGCTGAGGAAGCTCAACACCGACCATGGAAGAGTGAGCACGATGAGCGGTACCAAAAGCATCGTTGACGTAAACATCAGCAAGGCTGGTCAAAGACTTGCGGAATTCTTCGACGGCCTTGGGATCGGCCTTCTTCTTGTTACCGTTAGCATCCTTGGCGCTACCTTCTTCTTCAATGTGGAAACGCAAGTTTTCGAGAAGGATAACCTGACCATCCTTGGCTCCCTGGCAAGCCTTTTCGACCTCGGGACCGACACAGTCTTTGAGGAAAGTGACAGGCTTCTTCAAGAGCTTCTCGACTTCCTTGGCCACGGGCTCAAGAGAGTACTTGGGGACATTTTCACCGTTGGGACGACCCAAGTGGGACATCAAGATAACAGCGGCGGCACCGTTATCAAGAGCGTATTTGACGGTAGGCAAGGCCTGGACAATACGGTTGTTGTTGGTGATGGAACCATCCTTCATGGGGACGTTGAAGTCGACACTAAAAAGAAACGTGTTGCATGGTAAGCCCAACCACCCATGAAAACCACAAAAACAAATACCGAGAAAAACGATTAAGCTTACCGAATAAGAACGCGCTTGTTCTTGAGGTCCAAATCCTTGATGGAAAGCTTGCTAGACAAAGACATGATGAAGGGAAAAGATAAAAGAAAAAGTGGAAGAGATGAAGGAAAAAGAGAAAAAACACGTAAAGAAAATCGAGCGGTTTTTCTGCTTTAATAACCCTGCTGAGTGTAGAAAAAAAAAGCCTTAACTCTGGAATTTCCTTTTATATCCACACTAGTTATCCTTGTTCTCGAAGCATCATGTGAAATATCGGAAACCAGTCAACCCGAAATATTTAACACACCTTTTGCCTTTTTTCGCGTATTTTCTTGGGAGTTTTTGTTTCCCTTACTTTCAGGCAATTCTTTATGTACATCGACCACTCTTTGAGTAATCAAGAAAGATCATCGGCGATCAAGGTGAATCCCCGACTTATCAAATGGAAGGAGTTGGAATCCCAATGGTTGAAAGGGAAAAAAAAAGGGGACAAAAACCCTTGTCAAATTGACGAGAAACCGATATTTCACAAAAAAACTTTTTTTTTTCTTTATCATCCATCGATCAATTCATTTCGTTCCATTTTGTTTAGTATGATCTCGACTACGACGACCACCCACCTAAAAGAAAAAAGAAAGAACCACAAATATCAGTAGGTATGGTGATCATGCCCGCATGCAAGTCGGGTTAGGTTTTACCTGAACGACTTTGGCGAATAATCGGTCTACCACGCTTTTATCGAGTTCGCCCCATTCCACTTGCCACCGTTCTCCATCGACGAAACTGTCCATATCCATCCAACTACCAAACACAGGTCGATGATCGAGTGGTATAGGACGGCCAGAGGCGGTGGTGATTTTGAGAATCTTTCGTGTGCGAAAGGTGGCAATAATTTGGATCTTCTCGGCAAGTGACAATCCCGTCTCGGTAGGTTCCACGTTAATCCATACCCGATGTTCCTTGTTAATCGATTGCACGGTAATTTGTCGAATTTTTCCTACAAATAAAAAAAAAAAATTGGTGAGATACGTCGAACTCCAAAAAAAAGACCCTTGCAATTTTCGCTGATGCGTGTCTGTGTACACGAAAGGACTCATAATGAACAAAATTCTACTTACGTTCAGGTGTGTCTTTTTTCCTCTTTGATTTTTTATCATCCTTTTTGGAGGAGGGTGGTGATGATGATTGAGGTTGCGTCAATGCGGACGTGGGATTGGTGACAGAGGAAGTGGCGACGGGTGCGACGGAAGGAAAGGTGGAGTTGGAAACGGGAGGTAAATCGGACATGACGGGTTGCCACGAGGATGAGGTATACGTGACATTGGCGGGCGCTATGAAAAACCACAATCGCGTCAATGATTCACATGATGCACGTTCATTATTTGTCTTTGTTATTTTCTTCGAAACAGGTCACAAGACTTACATTGCGGGTATGGGAGGTGGGATTCTTGGATCGCAGTCATGGGTGAATAATAATAATTGTCGTAGGTCGTCGGTGGCATGGGTTGGGCTTCGTAGTAAGGCGCGTAGTGTTGTACAGGTTGACAAGAAATAGGCGGAGGAGGAGGAGCGGGAAGGACAAAGCCACCGGGTGGAATGGAATTTCTCGGTGGTGGAGGCTGCGGTGGTTCTTGTGGCAACGGTTTTGAGGGTGTCTGAATGGGTGGATAGAGAGGTGACGAAGTAAAGGCAAGAGGAGTAGCTTGTGCTGCGGTGGTGTACATGAGATCAGGTGTGGCGGATGATTGCCAAGGCGAGGAGGATGGATGAGTAGAAAACTCCGATATGGATTCCGGAAAGGCTGAGGCCCGCCGAGACCGCAGGTCATAAAAGTCAGCGGAGGATTGTCGGTGACTGGAGACTCTCCACGATTCCGAATGGCGTAAAGCGGATACTTTCCAGTTTTCTTTTAGGCCATAAGACGACGACGACGACGACGCAGGAGGCACCGCCACCGATGCTGGTCGAGAGCGGGGTGGTATGTGCGGCGTGGTTAGCCCTAGCCCATTGTGTGATATTCCGAGTCCATTTACAGGAGCAGCACAGGTCGTCACAGGTGACGTGAGATAGAACGGTTCGACAGGTGGCTGGAAAGAGGACCCAATTGGTTAAACGAAAGAAATTGCAATGATTTTCTCAGTGGGTAAGAGTCTGAGTTTACCTGTGGTTGCGATGTTTGAAGATACAGTGGTTGAACAGGTGTTGGAGGACAATGCATGGTGGAATGGTTCATGGGCGATGGCGGGTATGGATCGTTATTATATGCTGTTGTCCTGACAATGAGAAAGGGTACAAGAGATATACACAAGGATACAAACGATACATACCGGGATAAGCCATAAGTTATACGTTCTAAAAAGAATGAAAATGAAGAAAAAGGGAAAACCAGGTCAAAAAACACAAGTTGCCGAATATTTTTTTTTTATTAAATCTTCCGGAATCTCGTTTTTGAACACGCTGCTGGAAAAAAAAACCGGCTCAGCTTTTTTGTATTCGTTTTTTTCTTATTTCAGTCATTTTGACATCAAAGTCCCTCACACGATCAACCAAAATAAGCCCGCATTGAGCGGGAAGGACAAATAAAGAGGACAAATAGAAAAGAGCTAAGCCATTTATGTAATGTTCTTCTGGACCGACGATCATTTTTTCTTTCTTGTTCGCCTGTTCAGTAGAAGCAATAAGATAGTGCTACCATAAAACCCTGTTTTTGTGATATACCTTTTCGGCCCGCCATAAGCTTTAATTAGATCATCCATTTTTTTTATTTTTTATTTGTTAATGGTTTCTCCTACTGTTCTTCCCTTTTCTTCGCTCTTTCTCTCTATTCTAGTTTTTTTTTTGGGGGAGATCCTTCTGTATAAGCTTTTTTCCCCCAGGTTGCTTATCTCGTCGCTATGCCGCAATTCTTGGGACTCTATTCGCCCAAGGAAAAGCGTCCCGGACTTTTACCCAGCGGTCGTCAGGCCAAATCCATGACCAATCTCATGTCGCCATCCCTACGATCCATTGGCCGATTGGGTTCATCCCGGTCCACATCGACGTTAGAAAAGAACGGAGCCCCATCCAGTGATACCTCGACAGCCGTGGATATGGCTGAAAAACATTTGATGGAAGACATTATTCAAGTACGTCGAGCGTTGGACTTGTTCCTCGACTCACGGATCCCGGAAGCAGAAGCCATTTTGATGCCTCGAGTTAAAAAGTCCATGTATTATTCTTTGGGCTACGCATTTATTTTGTTTCTGAAGAGCATGATGACCTTTCAGCATTGCGATATCCAAAGTGCACTGGAAGCCATGAAGGAAACCATCAGTCTTGCTGATAATTTGCGGAAACGAGACGGAGGCTGGATTGGTAATTTCACCTCGTGGGTCAAAGGCAATTCATTATCCGATATTCTCACCATGTCCAAAGTCCATCGACACGCCGTAAGTTCCTTTATCTCCCTTCCCTTTTTTTTTTTTTTTTTTTTTTTTTTTTTTTTTTTTTTTGGAGGCCATGTTTTCCCTTATCAATTCAACTTGTTATTTTTTTTCTCGCTGCCATTTTAGGAACTCGTGTATGCCGAGGCTTACTTGCTGAAAGCGCTGCTTAGCATCATTCATGACGAAAGCTTCGTTGCCTTTATTCGTGAAGGATTCACGATTCGAACGAGCTATTCCATATATCGCACCCTTGAGAAATACGTTTCCTTTGTGAAAACCGAGGCTGAAAAAGGAGAAGATGTCACACAATATGATCTGGACGATCATTTCTCTTCCGGTGTCGCATTGGGTATTGGATGCTTCAATATCATGCTCTCCCTCCTCCCCACTTCTGTTTTGCGAGTCGTCGAATTCATCGGTTTTTCAAGCGATCGAAAACACGGCATGGAAATGCTGGAATCGATCGGCGGATGGCAAGAGTACGGCCACATGCCGCTGGATGTATTACCACCCAAACAAAGCAACGATGAGGGCTTACGACGCCAGTTTTGTGATATGGTGTTATTGCTTTATCACATTATCCTTTCCAAACTTATCCCGCTTTCTGACGTCGATGAACAACTTGCCCAGCGAATCCTCGCTTACAATCTCGGCCTATACCCATCCGGCACCTTTTTCCTGTATTTCTACGGTCGCCAACTCAGCGCCCAAGGCCAGCTCACCAAGTCCGAAGCTCAATACCATCGAGCGATTGAAACACAGAAAGACTGGAAACAATTGCAGCACATGTGTTTCTGGGAATTGGGCTTACTCAACATTTTGCAGTCCAAGTGGCAGGCCAGTTACGATACATATGATACCCTTCTTCGTGAAAGCAACTGGTCCAAATCTGTATATACTTACATGAAAGCCATCTCACTATCTATGCTCACCGAGATCGACGCCGATGCGAAAGTCAAACAAAAGGAAGCTCTGCAGGACATGATGCATCATGTCACAAGCGCCAAGCAAAAGATTGCAGGAAAATCTATACCATTAGAGGTAATTTTCAGTATCCGCAGCTTGTAATTGGCAAGCTTTTTTTTTTTTTTCCGTGGCTCACATACTTCTTACAGAAATTCGTTTCGCGTAAGGCACGCAAGTTCATTGCTCAAGACAATTGGCTGTTGTTTCCCGACTTGGAGATTCTCAACGCCTTCAGCGTGCTCGATTTCATGCCGGCCGATCTTTTGGAAAGCAACATGAAAAGAGTGACGGATACAGCTCAGCAGTTAGCCAATCAGCACAAACCCAGTTCGCTGAACCATTACGACGATGTGTGTCTCGCCAATTATTTACGGGCCGTGTTTGCCCGTCTCCTTCTGGCCACTCCCGGACAAGACTCTGCTCGCCTCCAACGGGTCCACAAGGAAGCCCTTGCGCAGGTGTTTCAGCACGCCAACAAGATTCAGCTGGATCACTACATCTATTACTTTTCACGCTACGAGAATGCGCGCATGATGATTATTAACAAACAGTTTGAGGAAGCAGAAGAGCAAATCCAAATGATTCTCAAAGCGAGCCAAAAAGGAGAGTACAATATCGGCGCCGGTCCGCATGCCAAGAACAAGTACAGTCTAGAAAACTCGCTTCTTTTTAAATGCCACAATTGCATTACCGAAATTCAAGTCTTAGCCAAAGAACACTCCACCAATGTCCGTGATGATTCCTCCGACACTTCTTCCGTTTACGAGTCAGCATAATATACAAAGCCCCTCGCTCGCAAAAGAAAAAAAAAAGAAAATAAACAACACTTCCTCACTCCCCTCACTGTTTATGCTTTATTTGCTTTTTTCCAACTGGAAATCCTTGAACAAGTTTTTGTTGCCATCGGCATTGGACACAAACATGTAATACTCATCAAACTTGCAGCCTTCTTTGGTCAATTTCGCCTTCTTGTCGGCCACCAACTGAGAGTCACCCCAACTGCCCGAAAATCCTCCAATACATAAATCCGAAGCAATGACACGGTGACAAGGCACAGGCAACGGACAAAAAGGATTTAGTCGCAACGCTTGGCCCACCGCACGCGGACTTGAATTCAACGCATCGCTAATGAGCTTGTACGTTGATACTTGTCCTTTGGGAATCTGCTGCGGCATCAGTCAACGTGGCCCCCTTTCATACGAACAAACCAATGATCGTACCTGAGAGCATAAATCATAAACTTTGTATTGAAATGGAGTCAGTTTTCGTTTGGTCTTTGGGTTAATAAAAGCATGCCGCTCCTTGGCAGACGACGGCATGATAATCACCACTAAAAAGCAGAAGCACATTAGATGCATCGTTCCCCAAGATTCACAAAGTATGCTTCACGCTTAACAACCATCCACACTGTCGTCCACAGCGACAAATGTTTGTTTCTTGAAGCGTCGAATGGGTGCCATATGAACTATAAAATCAGGAAAGAGAGACTTTGCAAGTTGCTGCGGTTTTTCCTGATCGTGTCAAAAAATCGAAAGTCTCTTTCCGAAAAAGGAAATCATTGTGGGCCATCCTATCAAGCGAATTTCTTGTTGGGTTTACAAATGATCGGAGCCGCAAAAGCAATAACGGGCCCTAATACACAGAACGAATGCTTTATAGATGGCCATAAGGCCATTGGCTGTGGCAGTATTATATTGAAGAAAGTTGCTTCGTTTCCATCATTTACTTTATGAGCGTTTTTCTTTCTGTGGAAAAAAATAAGGGCTTTTTCATCATTATCGGTTATCCATTCGAATCAGGACATTTTCGTTTTCAAAAAACTTGTGACGGTCGGTTTCCAAAAATGGTATATGGTCGCCCTTTGTTCAGAAAAGCAGCGAGAATAACGTTTCCTTTGACCATCATGGCCAAACAGCTGCCGTTTTACAATTCAGGGCCTAGTGATACGCCTTCCATATTCTGGAAGCGGCATCGTAGGAGCATCCTGATTATTTTTTCTCTAATTACAGTACTGTTGCTTGTGCGTACCTACGGGCAACGTGACATCCAGGCCGATCGACTCGTCGACACTGATTTGCAGGATGACAGCCAAGTCGACAGTTATAACATCGATGCCGCTTTTTGGCCTGCAAAGATGGCCCAGTCCAAAGGCGACGATCGCACCAGCGCTTACACAACCGACATGTTTATACCGGAGGATCAAGATGGTCCCCGTGCTAAGTGTATTACTGCCGTCATCCTGAGAGTCACCGACGACGACAACAGTATTCAAACGGTAGTTCAACAGTTGCTCAAGTATCCTTTCATTCAAGAAATTCTTATTTACAACGCAGTAACATCACGCCCACTGTCAGCGTCAGTACGTCATCTATTTTTTTTTGTTAATATTTGCAAGGCTTCAAATTACTCACGCCATTGGATAGCAACTCAATATCCACCAATCCAGTGTTCCTATTGAAATCATATCTTCCTACGAACCAATGCAAAGTTTGGCTCGATTCACGACATGTGCCAGTTCGGCCACTTTTGCGCACTGCTATTTCCAGGACGATCGCACCATTAATCGTCAATTAGATACTCTTTATACCAACTTTTTGCGTTATCCGAGTCTGATCCATGTGAATGGAAACCCTCAACATTACTTGAACGCGATGCGATGGCGCATTAGTAACCCAGGTATATACTACATAGAAGCCTCGACGATACATTTGAGAACATCTTTTTCGTTAATGCGATCGTTTGCAGATATCTATATGCATGCTGGTTATGCCGATCTTCGTTACGGTGCCTTTGTTCCTCGATGGAAAGTGCAAAATTTCCTTACCCAACTCGGAAAATCCGGCCTGAGTAAAGAACGTCTTCGTCTTGCCGATATCTATTTCACCCTGTGGACGAATCAGTACCCCTGGATAGTCGCCGATCCTTCGATGGCCACGGAGACGGATAAGGGAGCGGAAATTGAAAACTTCGACCGAGTCCTGGTAAAACGCAGTTCACTTTATCACCTGGGAACGCGCAATAACCGAGAATAAAAAACAATAGTTTGATGCCATGCGACGGTTGCAACATGTGCTGGAAGCAGATACATCCGATACACCAAAAGATTATATTGAACGTCTTCACGAATCGCCAGCATTGGGGAATAGGGATGTAAAGTAAGTTTTCGAGTGAACGGCTATGCCAACCATTTCGTCGCCCATCTTATTCACATATGGAACTCCGTACGTACGTATTTTAGGGCAGCATGTTTCAATGGACAATGCTTGTTCACCACCAACATTGATCCTTTCCCCGTGCCGCATCACGTCCATTTTAATGCATCCGATATGCCGAGTCTGCATGCTTTGGAAAATGCGTACAACTCTCTGGATGAGATGGACGTCGGTCTGTGGACGCAGTATAGTTTTGAAAAGGCAGTGGATCAAAACAAGGATACATGCTGGAACACGTATCGAAGTAAGTTTTGGGGCCTTGTGCAGCCATATCATAGGTGATTGGATCTTTTATTTTCTCTGACACGCGTAAAAATCGTAAAACAGATCCTAAAGCGGGCGATTACTTTGGTTTGATTATCGTCGGAAGTATCCAAGCGGACCAATTGTCCATCTTTAGCCGTCAACCTATATCCAATCAACACGATACATGGCAGGTGTACGTGATGCAAGATGATAACGAATGGGTATGTCAATGAACGTACATTCTTGGAGTATTGATTGTTTGTTTTTCTTCCGTTCCCAAAATTAATCCCGAATGTCGAACTTTTAGATTACTTGTCGTACATCCATTCTCGATCAATCTTCCAAATCGCATGATGCAACACTACAACTTGATTGTGGAGACACGACTCGTTTCCGAGCCATTCGCGTTGTATTTGCCAAAGATCAAAGCGAGCCTTTTAAGCTGTGCGGTTTACGGTTAGACAGTCTTGCTGTTTGAAATTTCAAATAAACTAAAGACTACATAAACAAGAAAACCTCCTAGTCTATCCTGGTGTCAGTTGGCGCCTCAACCAGTCCAGACAATATGGAGCCACAGACTCTTATTACAAGCTCCATCCATATCACTATGTAATACAGCAGCGGCTTGGCCACAAACTCAATGAACACTGGGATGCTGTTTGCTCGCAATCAGGCTTCCTTTAAGCAGAGAAGATATAGTCGAACTGTAAACGGCATGTTGTTACCGCTTGTTCTTTTGTATATAGGGAATTGTTCCACGTCAACGACTTGATGGTGCTCATGCCTTATATCCACGGGTTGACTGTTCTCGGAAACAACCGAGCCGATATTGAATGAGAGAAATACCTATCCTACTGTGGCGTTAGCCAAGACTGCTGGTCTTTAGAGACCCTATGACTGCTCTGACCAAGTGGGGATCAGCAATACGACGCGAGTCGAGTAAATATAGTATAGCTTTGACTTGGAGGAGGGGTTTCCAATGATGCCAGGCATCCATCTTCCATTGAGCTAGTGGGGTGACCAATGAAGGACGAGGGATCCTTGGAGACCGCGCTCTGGTTAAATGCAACCCTAGAGTCGGTATAGAGTTGTGATATATAAAAGCATTAATACGATATATTTTACATGCGCCCTCACGGTCGATGAGAGTAAAGAACATTTACAGTAATTTTGCATAACTGGGACAAGATGAGACTGCGTCAGCCACACCGGAATCGTTTTTGTGAGCACCCCCCCAAAATCCCAGCATACAGTTAGCCGTTTCTTCTTCCATTTTTGTCGCCTTCGTGTCCTCCAGTCATGAGTCTCCATGGCAAACGCGATGTCATACGATCGCTTGATTATCTGTTATATTGCTACTTTACATACACTTTTCTTCTCGATGCAAGTTTACTTATCCTGGTTTTCCGGGTCTTTTGTCAACTGGTAACCAAAATCGCTGACCCAGCCATATGAAAAGAGAGAAGATTTAAAACTAACCAACTATCTTGAAACCATTAGCAACTGCTCTCACCTCGAATACTGACACAATCACTACGGACGGCCCTTGCTATTGCCACCATGTCCTTATTTGTATGTCTGTTGCATCACTGCACATCAGAACTCGGTCAGCCAGGAATACTTGTAGACTTTATCGGTAACCGTAAGTACTTTAGATAACGTGGGATATCGAGAGGACTCCGTAACGAGGACCAAACAAGTAATTACTCACTCCAATGCGTCCAATGTTAGAGCATCGGCCTAGTTATTCGCGGGTCATCTTGCTTGATTTCGTCATCTATGTGTTCCAGACGATACGTATCTTTATATCATCCAGTCTTTCTTCCCAGCTCTTACTGAATGGAACGGCGATTACGACAGTGAGGATGCCGCCAGCATTGGCAACGGCTTTGGGGGCAGAGAGTGTCACGTTAATGTTGCCGCCATCGTCATCAAGTAGCTCAAGTCAAGGGGAAGATGACGAATCCACGGACGATCCCTTTTATCAACATGAGTTGGTGGTGGATATCGGCCTGCGACAGACTTATCGAAATATTATGTATGCAGAGATCGAAGATATTGGAACGGCAAGGGATGGCTCAGAGCAACTGCCTGTATAATACGGTCATGGAATCCAACTTTTTTTTTCACCACCATTGTTTTCTATGTTGTACATATATAATCTACTTTACCACCACTAGAAGCCTCATACAATACCCCCATTCTTCGCCACCATCCTTCCCCCGACTCCATATTTTCAATTGAGCGACAATGAATTCATCATAACCCATTCCCATCTTAGTATGTGGACTCAAAAAGTGAAGACGAAAAAGAAGAAAATTAAAAAGCACTCCAAACATGGACTCTTACTTTTTATATGATGGTTTGGTATTTATTTTTCAAGTATCTACAAGCGAGCGTAAACTGGTGGAAATGTATGTACAATAAAGGGCGGGAAAAGATGACAGTGGGGTTTTTACTTTGGAAGGAGGGCAGCAGCAGCAGCAATGACTTTTTCAGGGAATTCACATTGGATCATGCGGTCGAGAGTGGACTGGGCTTTGGAAGAAAGATCGTTTTCCATGTAGGTTTGGATCATGGCAAAATAGGTACTTGGCTCACGAACGATTTGGTCGCGGTTGGCTAGCTTGTCGTCGGTCATTCGGTTGAATACTTGCTCGGCCTTCACCACATCGCCCTTTTGCCCATAGCCGCGGATGAACAGGTTCTCGATGTACGCACTGCTCTTGCCACCCGATCGTTGCAAGTTTTCTTGGTACAAGACTTCGGCCTCGGTAAGCTGGTCGTTGCTGATCAATGTGTCCAGCATGGCTTGGTACACCACTTCGTCTGCCTGAATACCATTCTTGATCATTTCGTTGAACACACGTTCAGCGCTCTGGACGTCACGCTGCAAGGTACCGTAAGAGTAAATGAGGGATGCGTAGTGAGTGGCTTCGGGGCGAAGATGATCGATGCGTTTCATGTCGCTGAGCAACTTGTAAGCGGTGGGCATATCGTAGGGGGCAATGGTGCAGTAGGCTTCCATCAGTAACTTGTAGGTGTGAGCGGAAGGCTTGATGTGGCGACGACGCATTTCATTAAAGTATTCCAAAGCCCGTTCCCGGCTGTTCTGTTGGCGCACATAGAATTGGATCATGTTGTTGAATGGGCCTACACGCGGTTGATACGAAGCGCTCGAAAGCATTTCACCAAACAAACGACGAGCATGGGTTTCGGACCCGGCACGCACACACGCGGAAATAATGGCACCGTAAGTAATACTGTTCACCTGAACCTTGAACTCTTGCATTTCTTCAAACAGCTTCAAGGCCGTGTCCAGCTTGCGAGCACGTGCCAGTTTCGAGATCACCACATTGTAGAAAAAGGTCGTAGGCTTGACATTATGGCGCTTCGCTTCTTCATAAATGATCAGGGCATCCGAGGCTTCATCTGTCGCACACTTGGCCGTGCCCAAAAGCAAGCTGGCATAACCGTTGCCGTCAGGATAGCGACCCATTTCCTTGATCTTTTCGTAATACACCTTGGCCTGAATCATGTCTTCTTGTTGGGCATAACCAATCAACACACTGTTGGTGATCATGTAAACGGCTCGCTTCGCACGCATCGTCGTTTGACTGGCATATACCGGGTGACACAAATTATACACCTTAAGAGCGATATCCAGTCGGCCTTGCTTGCCCACAAACGCAATCGCATCACGCATGATCTCGGGAGACGGGAATAAACCGGGTTGAATCAACTGGGTTTCCAGCATCTTGACCGCCTCTTCGTACTGGCCTTGCATCAAGCATCGCATCACCATTTCAGACGCCACGGTTTCCTTGCCCACACCTGCATCTTGCGGCTGGCGAACCGGAAGCGCAAGTTCTTTCGACAGCGGGACGCCAAACGCGGTCCTCCATTCCATGGCAGCACGCATATCTCCTTGTTTTTGCAGTTGCTCAAGGACACGCTTGATCAGCGAGAAGTCCAATGCATCTTGGAAGGGCTGTTGCTTCACATCCGCAAGGATGGTAAGCACCATCTGACCAAAGGATGGGCCACGAGGAAGGCTCATCACGTCGGCATAGGCCACCAAGGCGGCTTCGTACAGAAGGTGAATATCAGACAAGGGCACCATGGTGGCGGAGGGGGTCTTGGGATGGTACGCTTCCATGATGAGCTTGGCAAGCTGGAGAGGCAAGCCCATAGGGCACATCGGCTGGAGGACACGGGCGACTGACAAAATAGCAATCAGTTTGGCCTTGCAGATGGAAGCAATCTTGACGGCCAACCTGGTAAGGGTACCGATGCTTTTAGCCACGGCACGAGATGACATGGCGGGAAGAACCACTTGAAGCGCTCGAACCGCCTCGGCGCTATCGTTTCCATTGGCAAAATGAGTAAGGATGCGTTCGGCCAAGACGGGATCCGGTTCTAAACCGGCATGGTGCATATCGGTGACGATGGACAGGACATGGCTGGCTTGCTGGTCGGCATACTTTAAGCATAACAAGGCATAATTGGCGAGGTTACCATAGGATTTGGAAATGTCCATCGTGAGCAACTGACGATAAACACGGGTAGCACAGGCCAAACGATCTTGGTTGCAATAGGTGGCAAGAATAGGACCATAGCTACTGGCATCCGGTCGAGGAAGGGCATCATCTTGCAATAGCTTCTCGACCAACGCCTCTGCTTCCTTTGGTTGATGCTCGGCACAGTAAAAGCGGATAATGGAGTTGTAAGGAACAATGGTGAGCTTGACGTTGTCATGGAGCATGTCTTCTTGGACAACATGGAGAGCCGCAGGTAGCTGATTGCATTTCAAATAGGCATCGACCAAGGCATTGTACACGTAAGAGGCATCATGACTGGGCATCGATGACTTGAGGTCCTTGTACTTTTGAAAGTAATGAAGCGCAGTATCAATATCACCAGATCGACCAAACAGGTTAATCAAGGCGGCAAAAGTGGCAGACGAGGGCTGAATGTTGAACTGCAACATTTGGTCGTACACATAAAGTGATTCACCGGTGTTGCCATAGTGAGAAAGAACACGCAACAGTTGGTTGAAAAGTTCCACATCGAAATGTCCCGCCAGTTGCTCGGCCACAGCGTACTTGAAGATGTCAAGGGCCTTGTTCAGGTTTTCTTCGGATTCCAATACAGCGATGTCGTGCGACTTGTCAACGGTACCTGGCGAACGGGCGGATTGGCGTCTGAGCATAGCCACCACCTTTTGGACCTCTACGTCACGACGGCACAAAGTACGGACCATGATGGCACAAGTCGAACTGCTGGGATGAATCTGATATCGAACCATTTCGTCATACACTGTGATCACGGAGATTGAAATACAAAAAAAAAAGGGCAATGAGTACAACATGAACCGCCCATCATTCTCAGATTCTTTTTTTGCTTACCTTTGATCATGGGTGAGAGCGGGGTTCCTTCACGACGAAGATTAGCATAGCTGTCAAGGACAAGGTTGTATAGGTGGTCCGTCAAGACGGTGCCTTCCTTTTTCAAGTTGAAGAACTCGGCCATGACGGCTTTCAGGTTGCCATCACGACGACAGCTCAGGATACGGTCATTAGCGCTAAACGAGGCAACGGAAGGAGATTGTGCGGATGATTGCGGAGAAGCGCGAGGCGAAGGCGGAGGAGTAATCAAGCCGGCATTAGAGGCGCTGAATGAATCGGGTAAAGTCGTTTTGGCCAGCAAATCTTCCTTTGCCCAAGGGTATTCTTGAAGCGGGCTCACGGGACTGGAAGGGGAAACGGATAAAGGAGGAGACGCAGGCCGCGATGTGGACTGGATGTGATGTTCGGACAAATGACGGTATTCATGAGAAGATGAGCTGCGACGACGAGAAGAAATGTGATGAAGAAGTGCGGAAGAATGGGTTGTCGCTACACACCCATGACGCTGCAACGTCGTTGTGTGAGAAGCAATGGCGGACAAAACAGGGGAATGCATGATAACAGGGATGTATGTGTATAGAGCGGGGAAAAATCAAATGAAGCAAAATGGAGTAAAGAAAAAGAAAAAGAAAAAGAGGGGGAAAAACCAAGAAATTAAAGAGAATTGGAGAAACGGGCACCTTTGGAGAGATGAGGTATTTTTATATAGAATATTGAAAATCGGCTGGCGTAACCTTCATCAAACAACTGTCCAATCAAAAGACAGTTGCATATCAGATCCTGACCCAATTTTTTCTCGCGTTTCAAGGATCCTCCGATTTTTTTTGTTATCAGATTCTTGCGCCGCCCTTTCGGTCTAAAATAGCGCTCAGTGAAACCGTGGTCAAAATAGAGTACTTTTCCACATCTTCCCGTTTGTTCAACATTAACTTGTTGACACCGACCACACGATAAAGCTAATCCTTCAAAACTAAGTAGCAAATGATTTGCGTGAAAACCAGATTAAAAAGAAGTAGATGGAAATCTTGATCAGGCACCACATGTCGCAAAGCCCAAGGGATAACATGACTCATGGGTAACCTCGTCAACCTATTTTTCTAGACTCTCTCAAGATTGATACGCCGCCTAAATAGCGTTTCCATCTGATAAACATCTGTTCGTGATGATGACACAAAAAGGAAGACACAAACGAAATGAATGCGGTTCCCATCCTTTTTGGTTGGAGCGATACAGAGAAACATTACGGAATTTCCATTTTCATCCAGGACAGATTCATCTCGTTCTTTTGCAGATAAATAAAAAAAAAAGATGTGAACAGAAGAAGAAGAAGCAAATGATCTAATTTCTGAACAAGATGGCATGATGCATGCGCGGAGAAAATAGTAATAAAAAATAACAAGGGAAACGGGGCCAGCAGGTCTTCTGTTTGTAAGGGTGAAAAAATAAAAAAAAGATCTGATAAAATAAAAATTTTCATCCATGGGGGGATGGCAGGTGTTTCCGAAAGGAAATATTGCCATATTTGGATACGCAAGATGGTGTAACCATAAATTAAAATGGTCCATTTTGGTGTGCATTGCAAAGGCAGATCCTTTTGACACCATTTTCATTGGCAGACAGAGTTCGTCCCTGCCCGCCGCGATTTTTATCAGATCCTTATCCTGAAAGGTGGTCCATTTTTGTCTGCGGTTCACCACATCATTTTTATCTATTCCCCGTTCCTCCATTTCCTTGTATTCAAAACGTAACGTAACGTAACGTAACGTAACTTGCTGACATAAAGCTTATTAAGATAATGATGGGCGCAGTAAACCTATTTTCGCTTACAGTACTATTTCGTAAGCTCTTTGACTTTCTTTTTTCCTTGATGGATGGATGGTTTGGTTGGATTTTCCATGTTCTGGAAAACTTTTTGAACCGAGGTTTACAGGTAAACCCACTACTTTGAAAGCTTGCTGGGGACGCCTAGGTCCATACACTAGTCATTGTATGACAAGCTAGTCACAGTGTTAGTGTGTATGGCTTTGTTTTTAGTACTTTTGGATGGGATGAAATGAGATAGGACAATCTCACGGCCGCTATAGAGGAAATGCAGTCATTTGCCATTTGGTTGGGGTGGGGGGGGAAGGGGAACGGTTATTGTCAAAGCGGACTTAGCACATCGTGAAATGCACCTAGGTATCCAGAAGGATGATGGGTTCTTGTGATGGAAAGATCCTGGCAACTTTGGGCGGAGCTCGAGATGAGGAAATTACTGCTTCCCAGCGTTCGATTCTGGGGGATGGAGGATATTCGGAAAAGCAACACAAGCCCAAAAAAAGAGAGAAACTCGGTCGTTCAACAAATGGCATTCCGCTCACATCCACTGTCACCCACGGTCGGCCCTTGGCACGATATTCTCGCAATTGGCGGTGATTGAGGCTTTTATGCCACCGTGCCAATTTACCCAATCATAGCTTTACTGTGACCTCCGCTCAATTTTATCTTCCGGTATGTTTTCTTATCTGCATCAACACTGCATCGTATTACGACGTTGTTGAATAACACATGAAAAAAGACCTAAAATTTTCAATATCCTTATCTTGGCCTCTTGACGCAGTGACTGCAAAGTGTTGAGGTCTTAAAAATAGGCTCAGGTGGATCTATTTTAGATCATCACCCCGGTGGATGCAAACACAGAACTTTACAGCTGTGCTGTACAAGACAAGTTGAGATTTTCGAATGTGTGGCTGCTGCACTCCACAATATATTGTATGCAAATGTCATGAATAAACTTTTTTTTTAATCCGCGGGAATGTTACTGTACAAGCTATTTGAAAGGTAAAGTGCAAAAAAAAGGATGTTTTACTAAGTGGAGGAGGAATCATTTTCTGTTGAAAGGGGTCTCATGATGGGGAAGGCCAAGACTTCTCTAATGTGATTTGTCCCGGTCAAAAGTTGGACAACACGATCGATGCCCATGCCCCATCCTGCCGTAGGAGGTAATCCGTACTCCAAAGCATCACAAAACGCCATGTCGGGTATCGGTGCTTCCAGATCGCCTTGCTGTCGATCTCGCACTTGCTGTTCAAAACGTAACCGTTGTTCCTTGGGTTCATTCAATTCTTCATAAGCATTCACAATTTCCTTGCCATCAACAAACAGTTCAAACCGAGCAGCAACAAGACGACCCTGCGCATTTGGTGTGAGTATTCTTTTTATTTCAACTAGGAATGACCATTTTTCTTACCTTTTCATCGACCGCCGATTTCGCCAGCGGACTCAGTGCTAATGGGTGACCGAACAAAAATGTGGGCTGGGTACACTGCGGCTCGATAAAATGAGAAATGAGTTTATCCAGGATACGACTGGTGGTGATCGCTCCAGTCACATGGATACGATGTTGCTTGCACAGTTCTAATAATCGCTGAGGGGCCTCTGTCATAACCGGCAATTGAGTTCCTCCGTGTACACTACAACCAATAAAAGGACGTTGTTCATTTTTACCTTGAGTTTCGAGGTTATCCAACGATACGTTGAGCTTCGCTTCCAAATATTCCAAGACATTGATTCGACGGAACGGCGGTGAAAAGTCGACAGATTTGCCACCGTCCAATGTTAATGTGGTGCTGCCGCGAATGTGTCGCACGAGTTCTATAAGAGCATGGATGAGTTACTTCCATGCCATGGTTCGACGGTTATCCTGCTTCCTCTAACCAACCTGAAACCATGGTTTCTGTATCTTTGAAAAGTGATTCCAAATTGCCGTACGCTTGATAGAACTCACAGGTCGTGAACTCGGGATTATGGTCGGCATCGATTCCCTCGTTTCGAAATTGTTTGCCAATCTCATACACTCGATCCATGCCGCCGATGACCAATTGCTGCAGGGGTCCGCTTAATATCGAGCCACTGCATTCCTAAATTGTGCGTAACGTACCTTTAAGTAGAGCTCCGGTGCAATACGTAACTGCATATCCATGCCGAGGGCATGGGCGTGAGTCATAAACGGTCGGGCATTGGCACCGCCTGCAGTCGCTGATAACACGGGCGTCTCGACTTCGTAGAATCCACGCTGATCCAAGAATTGACGAATAAATCGAATAATCTAGCATAATCCATCGTCAATCGTCAATCGTCGAGAATATATCTCATTACATGTTCAAAGCTGGATCATCACCTTGGTACGTGTACGTAGAATTTCCACGGATTCTGGATTGACGAGCATATCAAGATGTCGTTGACGAAATCTTTTTTCCTTTGAGTGAAAATAGCATAAGACAAGGAACAGATCGCTCCACAAAAGTCAAAGACTATATCACTTACAGGATCCTTTAAACCTGAGCGTGGGATATCACGAAGACAAGGCGTGAGCACTTTCATGCCTTGGGTAACAAACATACTCAATTGACCGTGGTTGGTTTTTCCAGGTACACCGGTGAACGCTGGGAACAGTGGGAATCCCGTTAATACGATTCACTGTAGATCTCGACTCGAACCACTTACACACAATATCGCCTCGGCATAATTCGCGATTGGCGGCCGCAAATTGGTCTGGGGAGCCTTCGAAACGGCCACGAGAGGCTAGTACTTGAATTGTCTGTCCATCCTGAACGACATCGTAAAAAATGAGCTTGGCACTCGATTCACGCTTGGATCGGATGCGGCCCGTTAAAGTGAACACCTGACTCGCTTTTTCGCCTTTTTGCAAAACGGCATCATATTTGACAATATCATTCACGGTAGCCCATTGGCCTTGTTCGGGCGTCAATGACCAGCGCGGATACACTTCCCGTGGCTGCTGGCGCCAAACCCCTGGGTGTGCAAGCGATTTAACCCACTGTTTTTTTCATTTTATAGTCATCGACGCAGCCAGCCATGCTTACCACAAGCGGTGAATGAGCGGGTATGGCGTTGGAACCATGCATTAGACCCTTGTGTTACTGAAGAATATGTGGAGCGGGCCACTCGGGATGTCCATCGCTTGGCATACACACGGAACATGGGGGAATCGTGAATGAAACTCTGGCAGCGGAATTTCGCAGTCTATATGAAATTGTTGAGTGGCTTTGAATTTCCATTTGAATTTCCCTTTGAATTTCCCCATCCCAATTTTTGTCGTATTTACCAGTCTGAATTATGTGATCGTTTCCAGAAGCAAGACAATCAGCGATTTTCCAGCAAAGTATACGGCCTTTATACCATTCATCTAGCATGGTTCCAGACTTCATCTTTTTCTTTCCGCAAATGCATAGTCCAGACCAGCGGTAGAAAAGGAAGACTGGAAGATCAAGAGCCCAGACACCGTTTCTCATGAAACTCGAGAAAAGAATTCCATGATTTCAGATCACGACATTCGCATTGCAGCGAACCGTGTTCAGTTGCATTATTTAATCACGTGTCATCTCGAGAATCACTGATCGATAAAGCAGTTGATGCATGGTTTTTTCTGCAATGATTTGCATCGTGTTGCACGAGTTATATACCACAAGCTCGCTCACCAGCCATTCCTATCATTGTGAATAAATGATCAAGTTTGCTCAAATGAACAAAAGGCAAATTTTGATGCATATCGTCGCAGTCAGTCTCCATTTAACTTTAAATCGTTAGCGCAAAGACCAGAACAAGTAATAAAAAACCTCGGCAATCGAAATTCTTATTCCATGATGATGCGGTTGTGACAAGCAGGCGATGGAACATTGACCGTTGCGGCAAAAAGAGTTTATTAGGCCAAAAGATAGCGGATATAAAGATGATATTTACAAGCAATGACATTATGCAGCGGACGGAGCAGATCAATAAAAAAAAGTTGTTTTATTTGTTTGCAAAAGAAGCATAATCAAACTTAACCTTTCAAAAACTCCAAGCTCGGCCGTGAAAATCCCGTGATCGGTTCAGCCACAGATAATCCGTATTCGAGCGGTGTATCGTGCGAAGAAAGGGGACAAAGATGTAACGAGAAGGAAGTGATCCAGTCGCACAAAGACAAGATTAAGTTTTCTCAAGCGCAAAATGCGATCCTGTATACTGTGTGCACCCTGGTCATTCCCCCCTCCCCCGGTGCTTGCTGTTCTTTGCTGTACTCACCGTCCGATTTCCATCGACACCGTGATGTCTCTTTTTTATTTATTTTTCTAGTCAACATGCCATAAAACTCTTGTCCATAAGCTGAGGTTTCGGAGCATTTTTCCTTTTTTCCAGCGTTGATAATCTACATCTATTGCCATATAAAGCATGGATAAGCGGCGTTCCAATTTGATCGCTTTTCCCTTCAAATTTTTTTAGAGTCTGTGCTTCGGCATTCACCCTTTCCTATTTTCTTCACTTTCTTTTTTTTTGATTTTGTTTTTTTATACCATAATCTATGGCAGGCCCTTCACGAAGAAGTCAAAGAGATAGAGAGAACGACGCCGAATCCATACGTCTCGAGACGATGCGAGCGCGCCGGAGTCCTTCCAACCAAGCTTCCTTTGAACAAAAGCCACCATCCGTTTATGCTGATCAAAAGCAAGGTTCCCTAAACAGCCAAGAGTATGCGGAATCCGTTTACAGTCGATCTTATGCTGGAACCCTTCCCGATGCTGTCGATAAGCCCACCCTCCAACGTGGTCTCAAAGCGCGTCATGTAGGTTCATCCTCAATGCACTTGGAAAAAACCATGCAATCGGGTGCATCAAAAACCAACTTGGACTTCTTCTTTTTATAGTTGACCATGATTTCGTTGGGTGGTACCATTGGTACCGGTCTGTTCTTGGCTTCCGGTGCTTCCGTAGCCAATGCAGGTCCAGGTGGTGCGTTGATTGCATATGGTTTGATTGGTATCATGGTATTTTTCATGATGGAATGTTTGGGCGAAATGGTAAGTTGAAAGGCAAAACAAATAGAGATCAAGGCGGTGATGCAAACTCATCGGGATATCTAGGCAACATATCTTCCTATTTCCGGTAGTTTCAACAATTATGCCGGACGGTTTATTGATCCGGCTGTCGGTTTTGCTTTGGGATGGAATTACTGGTAAGTGGATCAGTTCATTACTCTATGGGGTCGGTAACCGGATAAACTGATGCATGTCGACTTGATTGCAAAAAGGTATAACTGGGCCGTTACCGTCGCTGTCGAACTGGTGAGTGGATCAGACGAGAAAAACAAAAAATAACAAAAAAGCGGGGCTACTGTCACACAGTGATCTTATATATTTCTTTTTTTTTTTTCGCACCTTGTAAGACGGCCGGTTCCATGGTGATGGGGTTCTGGCTTCCCAATATTCCCGGCTATGTTTGGTCAATTGTCTTTTTACTTCTCATTCTCGGGTTAAATCTATTCTCGGTGAAAGGCTATGGCGAAGCGGAATATTGGTTTGCACTGATCAAGGTGCTGACAGTTATCATTTTCATCATCCTCGGTATCCTGGTCGATACCGCCGTGCTGGGTGGTGTCTATTATGGTGTGGAAACATTTAACCGAGGTGGTGTCCAAGGTCTTGGTGTGTTAAGTACATTCTTGACCGCCGGTTTCTCCTTCCAAGGAACGGAATTGATCGGTGTCGCTGCTGGTGAAAGTGAAAATCCCAGAAAGAACGTCCCCAAAGCCATTAAGCAAGTGTTCTGGCGTATCGTATTGTTCTACATCCTCGCTCTGCTCATTATCGGTCTCATTATTTCGTACGATGATCCTCTTCTTTTACGAAAGAATGTCAGCGATATTTCCGTCTCACCATTTACCCTTGTCTTCCAAAAAGCCGGTATTCCTCCTGCTGCACGTAAGTTGGACACGACCTTTTTCTTTATGTTTTTTTCTCGTGACACCAGAACTCACGGGTGGATTTTTTTGTACGGTCACTAGATTTCATGAATGCAGTCATTTTGACAACGGTCCTGTCTGCTGGCAACTCTGGTCTTTATGCGTCAAGTCGTACTTTGTATGATATGGCTCTGGAAGGAAAAGCGCCTAAATTCTTTAGAAAGTTGACCAAGAATGGCATCCCTATTTATTGTGTGCTTCTCACGGCGTTCATCGGTATGCTGGCTTTCTTGACCTCGTTATTCGGCGGCGGAGTTTTGTACAATTGGCTTCTGAACATCAGTGGTGTGGCCGGTTTTGTTGCTTGGTTGGGTATTGCTGCGTCTCATTGGCGATTCCGAAGAGCTTATGTCGCTCAAGGCCGCAATGTGGACGATTTGCCTTTCAAGGCGCGTCTTTACCCTGTGGGCCCCATTTTCGCTTTCGGCGTGTGTCTTTTCGTTTTGGTAGGACAAGGTTACGATTCGTGGATGGACGATCCCGTGAAGCCAGCCGATATTATTGCTTGTTACATCGGTATCCCAATTGTGTTGGCGTTCTACATTGGTTACAAGCTTATCAAGAAATCCAAAGTGGTGCCCTTAATGGAAGTGGATTTGGATACAGGTCGTGAGGAAGTGTTATTGTAAGTATTTTCATGCCTGCCTTGAGAAAGTAGAGAATCATGTCGATTAATGAACGGGCTTTCTTTTTTTATAGACACACCATCGAAATGGAAGATCGCAAGACCAAGGATCCTTTGGAGGGTGTGAGCATTTTCAAACCTTCTACATGGAAACGTATACCGTCTAATCTGCGCTCGTGGAGAGATGTCATTAATAACTAGAAAAAGTAACATATGTCCATTTTTTATCTTCTCTGTATTGTAAATAACTCACAAAAAGTAGCAACTACTACACTTCATACATTACCGTAACTTGATTAGAAAACAAGATATTCATACATGAAATAAACATGCAAAATGCATGCGCTCATTAAAATCATTGTTCCAAACTGGATTGCTTGATGGCCTAGGTAAAATGTAAGGTTGAGGCTCCTCTTTGCTCTGTCATTCCCGTTTATCAACGCCAGGGTGAGTAATTTGCAAGTGCGGTTGGCAGAGTAATCAATATTTGCCAACAAGAGTATTTGCCTGATTTCAACGGAACTTGGTGTGATTGAAATATTTGGAATTTTTTTTTTTTTTTTAGGAAGCGTTGTATTAAAGGCACAACGCTTTTGTGTGTGACTATCCCAAGTTGTTGCTGCGTTTCCTTCTTTTGCTCTTGTAGACAATGAGTCGAACGGCTACGTCGCTGTTAACGCCTCCAGAGCAATTCGGCATTGTCGAACCTGGAGTCTACCGCTCCGATATGCTTCAGCCTATTCACTTTACATTTATCAAGCAATTCGGCTTCAAAACCGTCGTCATGCTCAGTCCTGAAATGCCTAGCAGAGTGACATCCTACCTCATTGAAGAAGGTGGTATCAAGCTTGTAAGTGGGGCAATGAAAAAAGCTGGGACTGGACCAGTAGCTTAGTTCCATGACCTTTAGGTTCATCTCGGTATGGCAACTTGGAAACCCATCCAGCCGTCGACATGGCGACCGATTTCTGAAGAGCTTATTAAAGAAGGACTGGAATTAATCCTCAACATAGATACGCATCCTGTTCTGATCATGTGCACGTGAGTCCATCTTGCGACGATTTTACTTATCATAACAAAGGCCCTCATTCCGTTCCGTTTACTAGGTCTGGCATTCATGAGACGGGAACTTTGGTGGGCTGTTTGCGGAAATTGGAAGGCTGGAATTTCAGCTCCATCATCACCGAGGTAAGTGTGCTATAAGAAGGTATGATTAGTTGGGCGGCTTATGACATGGGATTACTAGTACCGATCTTATGCGGGAACCAAAGCACGATACGTGAATGAACAGTTTATCGAACTATTTGATCTGGATCTCGTTACTTTACCTCCGAATTTACCCACATGGCTTATTGATCAACAACGAATGCTGGTAAGCATCAAATTGATGAAATCGACAAGTTCATCCAATATAACACACTCTTCTTTTTCTTCAATGGCTCACACAGGCAGAAGAAGAAGCATTATCACAACAACAATGAGTTGAAAGATCCCAAATTTCATGGTTTTCCCCGTTTTTTGTATATAAGAAGCAGTTCATTCATTATTTCACATTATTTTCACCGTGATATCCTTGTAGAAAACAAAACAAATCAAAAATTATGTAACATCCCAAAACTCTACATATTATAAGACACTGTGTAAAAACAAGCAATTAAACTTGTCAAATTATAAAGTGGTATCGGGGGCATGGCCCAGATGATTGCCAACGCGGACCTGTCAAATGCCAGAAATCGCTATGAGTTCACCAGCCGTTTTCAGTCAACAGATTGTTCTTACCAGCGTTTCAAGGGTTTTCTCAGAATTACTGGTGAGATCTTTATCGAGTAGGATCTTGTCGCGTTCCCAGATCACCACCAAGGTGCTTCCGCCAAAAGCGAAATAGCCCATTTCATCCGTACGGTTCACATGTTGCCCGACCTTGACTGTCATGATAATGGAACCCACCAGCATCGCGCCGATACACACAACCGCCACCTTGCCAAATCGATCCGTGTCCATATAAATGACGGTTCGCGCATTGTCCCCAAATACGTCCAAACTAAGATCGTTCATTCATGAGTACAAGATATTATAAATACAGAACAGGGATCAATGGATGTTTTATGCATACTTACGTTGTTCGAATGGCCATTGGATTGACTGTGTAATATTGACCGGATACTACCTTGATATCAGTAATAGTACCATCTACTGGTGCATGGAATCTAGTGGCAAGAGTATAAAAAAAAATAAAAAAATAAAAACGTCAGTTTGTGGAAAAATGGCGTCTGATATGAAATGGTTTACCGATGATAGTCCTGCGGTGCTAGACGAAAGATAGCCAAAGAGCCGCATTCAAAGTTTCTGGACCCAATTGGATCGTCCAAAAGTTTAGCAAGACTAAACTCAATGCCTTTGATCCAAAGTCGTGTGGCATCATTGACGGTTTGGAAAGCAAGCATACGACAATCGGCCGGACTGACCGCCACCGATGGATCGTTGGGGGAATCACATGGACGCGATCCTGGTTTCAGTTTTCGATAAAAGAAATCGTTGAACGATTTAAAGTTTCCCAGAGGTTCAAGCACCTCGTCCATACTAATATTATGGAATTTGATGAACGCCGGGATTTCTCTTACAGAACTGGGGGCATCAAAGCGACGACCTTGACGCACCGTCATATTGGTCAAAATACGTTGGGCTGTAACAACAGAAAAACGAAACATGGGTGAATAACTCCTTGCAAAGTAAGGCGAGACACACACACACACACACAGAGAGAGAGAGAGAGTATATACCTGTTTTCGACTGAATGCCAGTTCTTAAACCTTTATATACAAGCCGCATGCCGAGACGAATATATACACTCATGCGCTCTTCAATGAGCTGACCCGTGCGGCGATCTTGGATGATGATATTGGCATTATTCTATGCATAACAAAAAAAATTATCAACAATGGACCCTTTGCAGTATCTAACCGCTTTTTTGTACTTACGGTGCCTAGTGAATATTTGCCATAGCCTACTTTGCTCACCAATTTGACGAACCACCTATGAGATCTAGGAGTGAGCCATGAGAAGGGCCATCTATATGCTGTGCGTTCCTACCTTCGCTGAGCATACGCTTCAGTGAGAAAATTGCCCATCAAGAACCGATCGACCGTAGTCCAATCGTTGGCCGCACAGGTGGCGACGTGAGTAACAATATCCATTTGTGCCCGTCGCGACAGATTAGGGCGGTGGCAAATAGGACATTCAGCAATACGAATAACTTTTTCTTCCGTGGCCGATTTTCGTTTGGCAGTAGAGGGTTTGCGCATAGGCCACGTCTTCAAGGTATCAGTAGGGGACATGGATAACCCCATGGTATCAAAGGACACGGGCAATAGCCCGTTGTATTGTACGTCTTTAGCTTCGTTCAAAATAAGCTCGTCATCTGCATCCACATCATCCACTTCATCTGAAGAGCAGAATAATTCTTGATCATCTGGACTGTCGCCGCAGCTATTCTCATTGAGCCAATCAGTTTCTTCGTCGTCTTCGTCATCACTACTGTTATCCTCGGCGTCGTCATCATCATCTTGTTCGTCTTCCTCGCCTTGTTCTTCTTCTTCTTCATCCTGACGAAAATCATCATCGCTTTCCTCGTCGTCTTCAGGACCATGATCGTTCTCTTCAACGTCGGATAAGATGGAGGAAAACTGGGTATCCTTGAAGCATGCGCTGTCATTGGTATCTGTTGGTCGTCGTGTGTGAGATGTGGGGGCTGTGGCAGGATGATCGTTGGCCGCGAGCATATGTGCTTCCAAACTCGACACCAAATTTTCAATGGGTAACTCGTCGTTTTCGTTTTTCGGGTCCTGGCCATGCTGCCGCCAAAAGCTATCGATGGTGGTCTCGGATAAAGTGGACCCGATGGTTTCCAGCATTGACTGCACTTCCAACCGGCTCAGTGTCCCGCTTCCATCCACGTCGTACGTTCGCGCTAAAGCTATCCAGAACATTCTGCGAATTTCATCATACGGCATAAACTTGGCTCGAAAGGTCAAGGTAGGGTGTCGATCTTTCCACTTGTCTTTGTGAAGCATGGTCAAGGGAACCGTGTGACGATCCATTTCTTGATCAATGGCGTTGTCGGGAATCTCGTCCGTGCTTTGACGCTTCTTTTGGTGGGCTTGGGATTGTTTGATGATATCCATAATAGGAATTTCATGCCATGCCACCAAATCGTTGCCTGAAAAGCGATCTTTGTCGTACACCGTCAATTTCAGCCGATAGTCTACCTCATTATGATGCACATGGAAATACAGTTTTTCGTTCCACACGGGATTGAGGTTGTGCCGTACGGCGCTGGTTCGGAAATTGGAAGTGCCATACGATATCACCACAAATGGATCCATGTCAAACCCCGTCCGCGTGACTAGTGCATATAGAATTTTTTCATGGATGAGTGGTATTTTTTCAAGGTATCATGACCCAAGTCGTCATGGCGGCGGACTTACGATTGCGTTCAGGTGGTAGGTCATTGGCATGAGAGATTTCCAAAAATGTGACCCCAACCACATCCGAATGGAATTGCGCGATATGTCCTCGACGTCGCCTTCGGAATCGTCTTTTGCGAAGAATAACAGTTTTATCTTTTGTGCCATCCTCCAGCGGATGCATCGACACCACATTGTTCATGGAATCCATGCTGGCGAACTGTTGTTGATGAAAATTTGAATTGGGATTTTGTGAATAAGCGAGAGTGTCTCTTGAGGACAGTTGGCGTGGCAGCGACGAGGAACTTTGCCATATCGAGTTATTGGAAGCAGCTGAAGCATGTTGAGCTAAAAACATATGCCATAATTGCTTGAGAGCACGAGAATTCGACGGTTGGCCGGGTAGAACGAGGCCGATTTTTACTTGAATCTCGCCCATGGTATCAGGTGAGCTGCAATCTTCCTGGTTGGAGGATCTTCGTCGACGTGGTAAATAGGGACTTCTTCGTGGTTGCGACTGCAGAGAATACCATTGTGGCTGAAATAAGGGTTAGCTTTTCGATCGATATGCAAGCGAGTCCTCACAGAAGCGGTTGGCGAAACTTGCCTGATTCACTGCGTGATCATAGTCCATGGTTTCTTCACCGTCAAATAACTGTTCAAATGGTATCTGAATTTGGCCGACAAACACGGATCGAAACCGATCCTTTTGACACACGGTGATGATCAAGCCTTTGTTCAGTAGACGTCGCTGTTTTCGGCGTCGCGGCCGCGCTTGGGTATTCAAGAGATCCATATCAAATGTGCAATGCCATTCTGGATCCGACGACTTTCGAATGACATTGGTCCGTTCCCGCCGACCTGCACAGCTTACAATGGCATAAGGATACTACAAGTGACGTGGGGAGGGGTTTAATTTTTTTTTCTGTCGGTTTTTAGGGGATAAGACGCAACCTCGTGGGCACAGACAATTATTTCCCATTGATTCCCTTAAATGGAAAAAGAACCTACTTACACCTTCCTTGGAGGCTAAACGGCGAGCACTAATAACCGTCACTCGCAACCGTAGCTGAGAGACGTGAAACGCGGACGACCATAATGGCGGCCGTACCTGAAGATCGCAGCTGCGACTGCGGGGACGTCTTAATTTAGTAATGGTCGTTGTGGTTTCAGATGAGCTCTGTCGAGTGCTCGGTGACGGCAAAGGTAGTGGAGTTTGGACATGGCCCGTGGATGACGATTTTGAATGGCGCAACATCCATCGCGGGCCTTTGGGACGAGCAAAGCGCCAAAATCGGCCATTGGAACTCATGTCATTTTTGAGCATGCCATTTGTGCCATCGTGCACCACACTGGTCATGACGGAGTTAATATTTCTATTTCAAACCGATGATTTAAAAAGATAAAGGAAAAAAGCCAAGGAAAAAAGAAAGAAACTAAAAAAAAAAGGGCGAAAAAGGAAAAAGGGATAAAAGGATGGGTATCTGCTGTTCTCTACCGCGTAAAAGAACAAGGATGCATAAAATAGAGTACCCAAGCCAAGGCTTAATAAAAGCTGAGCTTCAGTCGCTCATTCATTTTTGGGAATTTTACCCTGTAACACATTCGATCGAGCCACATCTCGCTTTTCCTTTCGCATTCAGCAACGAAAAGCTGCTAAATAAACTTTTAAAAAGGAAAAGCATGACAGTTGACACCATAATCGTTTTTGATGCGATTGCTTCAAAAATAACATCAATGTTTTGATCGGTTCAGCCATGGCATGACATCCCGAGATATCAGTTTGTTTGGTTTGTGATAAACTCCCAGTTTCCCTGGTGTCACAAAATAAAGTGGAATAAACAGATCCATTTACTATTCAGTAGATAGGTTCGTCTATGCACCAATGCGCTAGATAGGGCCATTGTTTGACATTTATCTCAGTTACTAGTATCTCATTGGCCGGCAGAACCCTGGTGCCGAGAAGGCACTAGACTACGATAATTCAAGAGTGATAAACTATCCCTCGAATGATGACGAGAAAATACAAGCAAACGTCACCTTTCCCAATGAAAGTAAATCCGGTTTTTCACGTGTAATAAAAACCATGGAGGATGAGTGAAATAAAAAACAGGTAAAAGCGACACCAAAGATCTGTCAACAGCGCCGCATGCTTCAATTCATGGCACAGTACATGATCGTTTATTAACCCCCAGTCGATAACCTGCATATCGCAGGTTAATGCAATAAAATGAAGATGGCACGAAAAGCCTGTGTTGTTCAGGGAAACCTTGGTGCAAAAAATATGTATCTTCCCAGTTTGAAAATTTCATCTAAAGATGTCCGTGTGTGTACCATTGCGGAAAATAGCTATATGGCTTAAATTATTTCTTTTCCCATGCGTTGCGTGGATTGATGAAAAAGATGAATTCATGCTCTGCTGCAACACCAGCCACACGCTGACGCGAGCTTGCGTAAGAAACATGGATTCAGGTTCGAAAAGCGGATTCTAAGCGGAGCTATTTCCCGATTCAAGCAAAAAAATCTTACCATTGACTCTTACGAAAGAAAATTAGAAAAACGTTTGCAACAGAGAAAAATCGCGCACGAACTTTTCGAGAATCGGGACAAATTTATGCATGCACGGCCGATCATTGTAATATGCCAATGGCTTGATCAAATGCATCATATGCACACAACAACTCAATGAAGAATAAGACTCCCTCCCATGACAACTTTCCAACTTGCGTAATGCAAGGACTATTCAACATTTTTCAAAATCCACGGAAGCTTTTGTGATAACCGAGATAAACACGCTGTAATCCAAATACAGCGTCTGAGTTTTCTATCAGAGAAAGCTTCTTTCATGACCGAGTCACTGCATGATGATACGTGTTTTTTAAAAATCTTCGCCTTGCAGAAGTTCTTGCTGCCGTGATGAATTCTGCGCAAGCAGGCCACAGATGAACGAGAACTTTATTAAGAAATATTACTGATCTGCTGCCTTCTTTCTGGTCCGCTTTTATTCATCAAGATGCCACTCCCGCGGTGGTGGATATTTTTAACCTTGGGATCGTCCTACACAATCTTGCAGCATCAGAAGAACATTGTCCGAAGGATAGGGCGGAAATCAATTTGATTGGTAGAACCATGGTAATGCATGGTTGAGTCAGTCACCATGCTGTCATTTGATAAATTCACATGTTTCATTACATCGTTCCTTGGGTTTTTGCGAAAGTGGCTTTGAAACCGAGCCAATGGACATGGGTTGGCTCCAGCAGCTCCCGGTCGAGGCTAATCAGCGTACCTTTAAACGTCGAAGGCACTACAAAAAACATAAAAAGAATAAAAAACGGTGAAAAGCAGGGAAGGTAGAGACATTAACAGAGGGTTGTATTTATGGTGCAGTGCACATGAACAAACAAACGAGAAACTGGAATCCCGGTCCATTTCTGGGATCTTCCATGGTAATAAAATTTTCGTTCCCCCTGTCCAATCGTGTCGCAGCAATACTATAAATAATCCCTGAAAAGTTTTTTTTTACCTATTGTCTGCATTCCGCTTCCCTTTGTGCACGATAATAATAGATTTTTTTTTAAGCACAAACAAAAAATACCAAAAGGTAACCTTTCTGAGCACTTCCCGTCGACCCGATGGGTCATCCAACGGTCGGATTGCGTGTGACAATGACCAAGTGTTATTTATACTTCCTCTTAGGTTGCAGTAAACACGTAAATGGGACGTAAAAAGATCAAGATCCAACCTATCAAAGATGAACGCAATCGCCAAGTGACATTTTTAAAGCGTAAATTTGGACTCATGAAGAAGGCTTACGAACTCAGTGTTTTGTGCAACTGCGAGGTCGCGTTAATCATCTTCAACTCCAACAACAAACTGATTCAATACTCAAGCCACGACATGGATAAAATGTTACTAAAGTACACAGAGGCAAGTGTTTCAACTTCAATTTGCGTGCTCATCGCAAGAAAAAAACGCTCACCGCAGTCCATCGGCTCTTTTAGTATAACGAACCGCATGAGATTAGAACAAATGGAGATGTATGTTGGTTACACACAAATGACCGTTCGTGACAAGACGCCCTTTTTTTTTCTCATTATATGTCTTTTTTACTAGTTTATGAGCGGTGCATCGAAATGCGACGACGACGACGATGACAACGGTAAAAACGACAACAGGTTGCCGATGCAATCAACCGAAGCGCTGTCTTCGGTTCCTTCGGTTCCACCTTCGGCGTTATCGCATCATCCTATGGTTCCCACTATGCCTCATCCTTTAGCTGTTACCACAGTTGTGCCGCCGGCCTATCCATCCGCGAATACGAATTACCCTACGCTTCCTGAATACGGGCCCATACCACAGAAAATGGAACCCCCTCCTGCTGTCACTATGAATAGAACCACCCCCGTGGTTGAACGACCACCTTCTTATGCGACACCGAACAACAATCAATTGATATGCAACCTTAACAACTACTCATCCGTTTCCACATACATGCAGCCCACTTTGGACCCACCTTCCAGACCTCCAACCTTGAATCGGTATTCGTCTTCGGACGAAGTCGGCTTGGGATCGACAGCTACCACGCCACTGCAGACACCAACGCATAGTCCTCCCTTTGCAGGCGAGATATTGAAAGATGAGAACGGACCGCAGATAAAACGACCCAGACTTCAGCTGAGGATCCCTTCACCCATATTGGAATCGTCAACAAGAATGGTGCATGCAGCGGATCCTCCTCCTTTAACCACCCTTGAAAATCCGAAATTCCAAGTGCTGCCGACCACCGTAACGAGCTCAGATTCAGCTGCCGTGCGTGATGAGACGCCCTCGTCCATCGGCTTGTATTCTAGCTTCACACAAGAGAACGAATTACCCAGTCCACTACGTTTTACATCCTTTACTCCTACGACAGCCGCTGCGTTCAACTGGGTTGAACCGCCTTCTACCCAGTTATCTAATCCCACATCCTCCGGACTCCCAACTTGGAACAAGTAAGTCGCTTGCTGCACCCCCGAACGATATTGCCTAGTTTTCTTTTCTCTTACCAACAATTATGACCAACAGGCCCAAAGAGATGAGCTGAATCAGCCAACCACTTGAACCATTCTAAAAAAAAGTGTACACCCTTGAATCATGTGCTGAGTGTCGTTTATTCCATCTACCTATCTATCTATTAATCATCGTCATTATATGCTCAAACCAAGTATATCCTAACAATGAAATATATCGTTCAGCCATTGAACAGAACGCTCAGGCGCATCTTCACCAGCACATCTTTCCATTCAAAGTGTGATGTTGATTTATTTATGACAAAAAAAATATAGGATAGTCCTGCTTGCACTACTCTGCCGTAATATGGTATGAGAAGCAGATGATGTTGCTTGCATTATTCTCATCACCCAATGTCAAGAGCACAAAAAAAGCGTTTTAAAACCGCGATTTCCCTTTTCGAGAAATTAAAAGATTTTTTTTTCTTTAGTGTTGGGAAGTACGATTATGCTGGCAAGTCCCAAGGCCATGGATGATAGCGTGTCTTACCTCAGCGATTATGCCGACAGTAAATGTCCTGTTTTTCGTTTGAATGTCGCTTGAATTGTACTTACCAGACAATAGCTGTGGAAGCACTTCCTTTGGAATTGCAACGCAATTTTACCTTGATTCGCCAACTGGATGAAAGCGCCCAAGGCAAAGCAAAAACATGATCAGGGTCTCATAGGAGCCACAGAAGCTAATGTCGCCCATTTAGATCTTATGAATACTGTGGCGACCGAGTCGATGGAAATCTCACAGACAAAACAAATTTTGACAGCCGAAGAGCGAAGGAAACGGTTGACGCGAATAGGCCACTTGCTTAATGAAGCATTACAACGTGGAGAAGAAAAATTTGCCTTGGCCAAATCGACTTATGATACTGTAAGTTCGGTTAACGTAACCCAATGCATTCAAAATCACGTTCATAAAAAATGATGAATTGGCGGGGGGCAAAAAGGTGGATCGTCATTGTACACGCTTAGACAATGATTTGCAAAAGTTTGAAGACGAACAATTAATTGGGCCTGCTCGTGCCCTCAATCCACGAGAGCCCAAGGCAACCCTCCAGGAATCCACCGACACTCAAGGTAAATCTCATTTTACTCTTTTGTATTGATCCATTTTACTCAACTGTATGCATGCTTGTTTAGAACCCTCAAATAAACGTACGTGTGTTCTCTTCCGTCCTCGCTGTGCTTACCATTGCTCGATGACCCTCTCTGACGATCTTTTTTCCACTATTCGATAGGACGAAAGACAGCCTCTAGTGAGACTGACAGTCGTGGAAGACCCAAGAAGAAAAGAGGAAGAAAGAAGTTACATAAAGAAGAGAAAGCGGAAACGGATGCTGTTCAAGGGGACTACCTGTCGGCAGAAGATTCTCGACAGCATGCTCAGGCGTAAGAACCTTTTCCCGATAATGCTAATGATCGAATGCTCAAATCTCTCAATAGAGCCATCTCTTTGAGTGACCTGCCGATTGATCCCAACGAACCGCTTTACTGTTACTGCCGACAGGTTTCCTTTGGTGAAATGGTTGCTTGTGATAATGATGAGGTAAGCCGACGAGCTGAATGTGTTGTTTTCTTTTTTTATTTGCACGGTGAGGTTTCTTAACGGCCATTAAAATCAGTGCGAGATTGAATGGTTTCATCTGGAATGCGTGGGATTACGAACACCTCCCAAAGGCAAATGGTACTGCAAGAATTGTGCGGCCGAACTCAAGGGAAAGAAAAAGATCATATAGAGAATACCATTTGTATTTCGTATCTTATTCTTTTGCACTTGATCTCGCCATGTCACAAGTGACTGTTTCATGGTGCGTCTTCTTCACCGTCCGTATCTACATTTGGCTTCTTCATTTTTCGACGTTCTTCACTATCCCTTGCTTCCTCCGCTGCGCGTTTCTTATACCTATCCATCATTTTTCTACGATTAAACCATCTTGCTTTCTCATCCATGAAAGCTGGAGTACAAATATCATGGGGAACTTACAGTGCCGACTCTGGATTCTTTGCAGGGTTCGTGCATATACGTAATCGATAATCAATCTCCTTTGCTTGTTCGGGCGTCACCGCCATGGTTTTTTGGATGGTCTCTGCAACCTTTTCGGCAATGTCGAGCAAATCTTTTGTATTTTGCGGGAACCTTTTCTCAATATATCTATTGTATGACGTTAGTGTTTAACAGTGTCTGTCCTTGGTCTCGCATTACAACACCTACGATTGTACTTGCGTCGCAAAGCCGTTGTCTTTGCCCGCAATCAAAAAGGCGGCTAGACCAAGTTGTGACGGTTGGTAGATGAGCGGTAAATCCGTCAAAAGCATATCGCCAATAACGCCCGGCACTTTTGCATAAGTCTCCTTTAGCAATTTTTTATCCACTTCCGTCTAGGTATGCACCAGTTAGTTTTGTGTTGCTCATGGGTTTTGTTATCGTAAAGCATATTTCGCGAGAGATACTTGCTTGCATGTCCAAAAAGAAGCCGTAGGCCGGTCGATAGGGATGGTGAACGTAATATTCAAATTTTAGGCCCTGCGATACCGTAAACTCGAGGTTTAAAATGCTTTTTGTCGATGGTAGTTGAAGGCTTTTGCCGAACTCGTCAATGGAGATCCGTTCACTTTCAGACTTTGTTGCCAAGAACAAACACGTCAATCTAACGGTAAAAAGAAGCACCATCAGTGGCCAATTCGCCCGCACGATCGATCTCGTTATTACAGGACATCCTTTGGATGATAATCCATCGCCGTGTTGTACAGAAAAAATCGCTTCATATAAATCACTGCCGTCGCCTACATGGACGTCACTGTAAGTACCATCACGCCAAAACAAAAAGACTATTGTATTTCTCAAGCGGACGATGCGATCCTACCATGACCATTTCTGTAAACTTGAGGTGTTTGCAAATGCCTTGCAGCTGTTTCTCGTAAAAGCGACACAAGGCCATTTCTTCGTCCACAGTCAAATACTGGGTATTCTCTGCTGTTTCTTGCTCTGATTTGGTACCGGCTTCTTGCTGTTTTTTGTTATGAATGAGAATATTAGACTATTGAATTGAGTCATACGGACATGGCGTTGATTTGTTACCATATCTTCCTGCACATTTTTCCGTACGCGATCCACGGCTGACGTTGTCCTGGATCGACGAATATCCCATATTTGCTCGGGACTGAATCGCCAATGCCGATACTGCGACGATTCCTGATATACTGGTGGTTTGCTCTTCGTTTTTTCTTCAACTGTCGCCATGGCTGCGGTTCAAGGGCTGCTGAGCGGGGTTCGTCAATGCGAAAAATGTCGGGCAACTCTCTTTTTGGTTCAAACGCAGTCAGATAAAAAAAATTTTGCCTGCTTGTTTCTTGGGTTCCAATAACATGAATCACCCAGCTCCTGTGCCCCTTTTAACAGTCAACCTATTCGATAAACGACCATTGTCGAAGCTGGATATCATTTCCATTACTATCAGGTTCGGTGTTAATTTCAAAACACGCACGCTGTGTCCTGGCAACCGAGCGATGAAAATGGGGATTCATCTGTTTCGCTGGACAATACTAAACTCTGTAATCTTTGTAACAGGACATGAAAACAATTATATGATGTATGTAGTGCTTTTATCTTTTCAGGAAAGAGCAGATGGAAGGGGGATACCGCATACAGTTGTTCGTTTGTCAGGCATATAATCAGATGAATTAACGTACGTGCTGTATCAGATCTGCTTAAGCACCCAGCAACATTTACAGACAACTTTGTGTATCATTGAAGAAGGTTGTGAAAATTAAATTATTAAGGCATGTCCTTGGGAGTATTTTACAAGCATCTTTGGTGGGCGGCGTCGGAAGACCCACAACTTACGGTGTTTCCAATATCCAGCTATACGGCGCTATTGGACGGATTGCAACTTCTTCTTACTTAAAAAGGTAAGAGCTTTGAGTCTCCAGAGTAGCGCTCTTTTTTTTTACGAGAAAAGAGTGTTGAGATGGGTGACTCGCTCTTTATCAGTGATTTTCTGAAGCCTTTGGGATCATAGCAGGCAATTCACGCTTGAGTCCGGCTGCTTCTGGCTTGCGCCAATGAAGTAGTCGGAATTATGAGTTGGCACATTCTTTTTCAAAATTTAATGAACTTCAAATGAAAAAAAAAAATGAAAACCTAATTCCGACGACTTTTCAGGAAACTCGTACTCCGAAACTTCCTTTGAGGTGCATTTTTTACATACGGACGTATTGCTAGATCTCGTCACGCTACGTATATGTCGCTTTTTCTGTTCGCTCTGTTCAATCATCGCTTCTATAGCACAAATGACTACAGGAAGTAGAGATCTCAGGACCCCGTCAAAAGAAATTCGATGGTATGAAATGGTTTGGATACAGTGGATATAGTAAGTAAGAACCCTTTAATGCATCTATTTTTTTTTTCATCAGTGATTTGGATTATTCTGGGATTAGAAAGAATAATAATTGCGCTATTGTAAAGAAGGTTGGGGAACTTCATAAGTTATATGTAAAAATATATGATACAACTTAGATTACCACATCTAAGAGAAAAACAAGGGCGATGCATAAAAGATTATAGGAAAAAAGATAAAATGGTGAGAAGAACAAATAAAAAAAAAAAAAAAAAGCTGGTGGAAGACGCCCAAAGAAGGACAGGTTTTCAGAATGGAGAGGTGAGAGAAAGTTTTGGCTAGGAGCGGATAATGAAAGCATAAGGAACGGTTTTTCATACAATAAAGGAGAGATCAAAACCGATGAATAAAAGTGAGTGGTGAAAGAAAAAAGATAGAACAGGAGTGCTAACAAGAAAAAAAAAGGGTAATTCAACAAGCGAGAATCGAGCAAAAAGTTGGAGACCAAAATGCCTTGAAAAGGAAAATTAAGCCCAGGACTGAGCGTTGGCAACATCTTCGGCGGTAGGACCGGTGTGATCATCGTTGGATCGAATCATGGGCAGGGGTGTATAGCCCTGAGAGAAGGATCGTTGCATCCGTTGTTCGTATTCTTGCTGCTGGCGTTGTAACATGGCGCGTTGTTGCAGTGCGGCATTTTGTTCTTCTCGCACAGGATAGAAACCAAAGACTGAAGGCGAGGTGGGCTGCTGAGGGGTCGCTTGAGCCGGTTGTCGAATATCGAGCGGATGAGCAAGCTGACGATCATGGGCGCGGTGACCGCCCAGACCGGCCATTGCAGTGTTATCAAAAGTGAAGGACATTTCCGGAGGCGAAGAAAAGGAGGTGGCCGCCATGGTGTAGGGTGAAAAGGAGGACGCCTGCATGTTGTACGCAGGTAAACCGGATACGGTGTAACCGGTCGCTTGCTGGGGCTGAGGTTGTGGTTGATGCGTTGGTGCATATCCTTGATTCATAAGGAATGGTGTGTCGTTGGGCGAATGGAGCGATGGATGCGGTGACGGCACGGTGCGTTGCTGGTTGGAAATATCCAGTCGATTCAATCGCTGTTGTTGCTGTTGCTGTTGCTGGTGAGGATGGTTGTGGAAAGGCATGGAGGACGAAGACGACGAAGATGAGGATGTGGGTGAGGCCAAAGAAAAGAACGAGGTGGTTGAGTTGCCGCCGAATGCAGCAGCAGGTGGACCGGTCTGTGGGCTAGGACTTTCAAGACCCGAGGGAGAAAAGGTTCGCCTGGATCCCTGAGACGATGAATCAGATGACGATCTCAGGGGTTGGGATCGAACGTAGATCAGGTAATTGGGAACGCTGACAATTTGAGTGCCTTTAGGAGCTTCCATTTTGGATACCAACGACTTGCGACGTTTGGCGGGTGATTGTTGTACATCGTCTAGATCGCTCATCATGGGACTGGAAGTGGAAATGGCCGATACAGGAACCGAATCACCGAGCGACAGCCGATTGGTATTGCAGGTCAGCTTGTCAGCTTCGTTTTGGATCAAATCCGTCTGCAGATCGACCAAGGTGTGAATGGCTTCCGGAGGTAGACGACTCAACTGGCAAAAATTTTCAAACATGCGAGCCAGATCGTTTTCTACGCATAAAGCCCAATCTTCATTGGATGCCACGACTGAACAAAGACGGGCGGAAAGCAGGAGTAACCTCTGTGAGCGTTCGACCACACCGCGTTGTCGAATCCGTTTCCGTTCCTCTGTTAATCGGTTGTAGAAACGGCGTTCATTCCATGTGATATCAGGGAATCGCTGCTTTACGGCTTCGCGAATCTCATGCGTCTGTAGTCGTTGACGGGCCAACTGGATAATGGTATCATTGACTTCGGCAGGCCAAGCCTTGACCATTTCATCAGGAGACATCATTTCATGGTTGTGCTCCGACGCGTTGGGATTCATGGACTTTCTAAACTCCCATTGTTTGCGTTCATTCTCTGAAAGAACGACCCGCCAACGACAGTCGCATCGTTTGGAAGGTCGCTTACGCTGAGGTGAAGGTTTAGGGTTGCGTTGTGAGTCTGGTAAGCCTTCGCGAGAACAATAGACGTAAATATTCTAAAAAGATGGGATTAGGGTTTTTAGTATGAAGCTTAATTTTTTTTTTATGATGAACCCAAAAAATGATGCTTAATTCCAACAAGGTTGGATTGCGTCGTTTGATTTCGACGATCGATTCAACATACCCTATTGGCGCTTGCTTCTTGTTTCACGGTAAATCCGAATTCGCCACAGACAGTACGGCAATATTCAATAGCAGACACGCTATCAGGAAACGGTTTTTTGAGTAAACGTTCATACAGTGGTTCCATCTACGAAGGTGAATATCAGATTAGAAAAGGGCGGTCATTTCTTTTGTGTTACAATAGCAAACCCAAACATACAGAAATTCTAGTAAAAGGTTTTTGGTCATTCGACATGGCGTCTTCTGGTTTTGTCATGGTAATGCTGTGCCCGATTAAAGTTGGAGATCTTTTAAGATGTCGTTACGTTGGTGAAACTGGGGTATGTTTGCATTCAGTAATAAGCCGAGTTTAAAGCTTTATATACGTTATCGTTCCAAGTTCAACGGAAAAACAGACGTTTGTTTTATGAAGAACCGAAAAGAAAATGATCCGTTTGATTTCTGAAGTTCTACGTGTGCTTGGTCTAAATAAGAGAAGGAGAAAAAAAAAAGAAAAAAAGGGGGGATGGAACAGAAAGGATTAGATAACTATGGCAGCAAAGGATTAGCAGGGAGGGAAAAAGTGATGTATTTATTTTTTGGGGGAGGGAGAAAAACTGGATGAGCCCATTCAGGTAAAGAAAACAATTATCTCTTTTGCTCGCACAGATACTAATCATTCAAGGACCCCAAAAGAAGGAGGCAAGTAATGTGCGTTAAATAACTATCAATGCAGGGCTAAACCAAAACAAACGGGACCCTGAAAGGCACAGCTCACGATAGCAAGGAGAAAAAAAAATCCAATAGAAAAAGGAGATCCATCATTAACCAAGATCAAAATCATTCATACGCTTTCTGGTACCTCTTTTTTTTTTTTTGGTTACAGAAACATACACTCTCATCCATCAACAAGTGAGGGGAGGTTGACGTCATGAAAACTGACCCAGAGGAACAGATGATTTCAAAAGTATTGACTCGTTTTTCTTATTCATATGTTTTCATTTGCGCGGGCTATGGTCATGCAAAGATGACAAGTTTAAAAAAATTGAGATAAGAGCAGCCATGACAAATTAAGTAACCAATGATGGGGTAAGGAGCCGGTGATTGCTGCATCAAAAGGCGAGAGTGTGCGGCAGAAACGTGAAAAGGACAACGTGAGAAAAAAAGATGTCATTCAACAGCATTTGACAAAGAAAAAAAAACAGTTGCATGATATCAGTGAAAAGAGAAAAGAATTCACTTTATGATTTTTTTTACTTTATTGAAATAGAGTTTTTTGATTTCACTTCACTAGAGAAACGGATTGCTTATTTCACAAGTTGTAACGTTCAGAAGGGAAGGAAAAAAAAAGTTAAATCATAGTTGATAACAGTATGGAGTAGGGAATATGCAAAACTGTAGCAACAATTGACACTGGTGATTGCACCACAGAGATGATCCATAAATCGGCCATTGAAGTATCTGCTTTTTCCGGTCAATGTTAGCATTGTCACAAATTCAGGGGAAGGAAAGTTTCCTAAACAATGAAGCTGATCAACAGTAAAAAGGGCGCGATCAAATGGCTCCATGAATATGAAAAAAAAGGAGCATTTGGCAGCAGGGTAGGGGTCCATCTCATATTGTGTCATGTTGGCTTTTTTTTGCCACCCTACCTGCCTTTCATTTTCGTCACTTCATCATGATAGGCGGCATACGGCATTGAAGCGGGATCAAGGTAGGTAAAAAGATGGGTTATGATAGCAATGGTAATTGAGGATCTATACAACGCATACAACGCATGCAGTACAATACTTACAACAGGTACGACGCGTACAACGGAAACAATCGACTGTGGTGAAATAATCCAAGGTTAAGAAAAGAAGACGACAAGAAAGAACAAGTGTAATGCATCCTATATGTCATACAACACATCTACATGCCGAATATTACATTGACCCGCGCAAATTTAATTTTTGTTGGCGTTTCTATTGACATTCATTTCAGTTGCGTCTTCATTGGTTGCTTCTGCATTTCCCTTGTTTTATTTCCTTTTTCTTTCTTTCTTTTTTATCCGGAATATCCCATTTGGAGACGTAATCACTCCTTGATTTGGCCGCATCTCCTACCAAGGATAAACCCCCTTCGGTAGATTGATGGTGCGCATTTTTTCTTCAGGCACCATGTTAAATTAAATAAAAACGGGAAAATGGAAAATCCCATAAATGATGATGTACACATTTAACGGGACGAATCTGGTGTAGATTTGTTGACAGCGGCAGGACCCACGGCACCTCCTGTGGCGCCAAACACGGCAGTTGACGTGAGCGAGTTATTAATGTACTTTTGCAGCATCTGGTTCTCAGTCAACAACGATTGATGCTCTTTTCTAGCCGTATCCACTCGCGAGATCAAGCCTACTCAGTTTGTTTGGTTATAACGATATTACTTTTTTTTTTCGTGGACCAAGGGGGCGACCTAAACAACTTACCACGCAACTGAGTTTGGAGTTCAAGAACATTCCTAACGAAAACCACCGTCAAGTAAAAAAGAACCCTTTTTTTGTTACACGCGCATTTCGTCCTTCATCTATACTTACTTGATAAGTTCTTGCCTTTGTTCAGTTTCCCCATTCTCATCAGCTTGATGACCGTTCTCCATCCTGCACTTGACACAGTGGTGATGGACTGGGAAAAAAAACGTAGGAGTACGGTGAAGCAGATGAACAAAGTTGGGTGTGAGACCGAATCGGGTTGATTTTTGTGACGGGGGTATTCGCCCAATGCACAGCAATTTTCCCTTCCGACAAATTGGTGAGAGAAAATTGGGAAAATATTCCTACTGCGCAAACTTCACATGCATAATGGCGCCATGACCCCAAAGGCTCCGACATGGTCAAGATGAGGTGTATTGGCGCGGCTTATGGAGTGATTGTATGCGGCTGCTGTTGTGTCTAGGAGCTTGTTGTTGAACCCGTGAAGCCCAAATGGCAATACGCAAAACATCGTGGCAGCTGCAGCAACCGGCAGTCATGATTAGATCTCAGGAGATGAAGGGACTCTTTTTCTTTTCTACAGTGTTTTGGCCATGAGTGTGGGTGCCAACAGTCATGATATTCAGCTTTGACGCTACGGTGGATCGCATTTTATTGTCAATTGTCGTGCTCTTTGGCCTGCTGTGCTTATTCTGTCTTACCGGTTTCACCCGCAGATACCCTTTGTTGTATTTACGTGGCAAAAATGATCCTTGAAAACAGTAGTAAAAGGGTTTTCTCGTGGGATGCATAGTTCGCTGTTTCGATTGCATCTGCATATATATAAGAAAGACCATTGATCGTTTTTGACCCTTTATGACATCCATTTTGGGCATATAGTGACAAATGCTATTTTCTAGTTTATGATTCGTGACCAAACCCACGAAAATGGGGTCGCTCTTTTTTCTTTTAACGAGAAGAGCACGAAGAATTTTTGATGGATTGTGTTGTCAAACGCTGGCAAAGGAAAAGAAAGTTGAAAAAAGACGGGGACAGCAACGAAAGCAAGGGAGGAATGAGAAAATGACGAAAATTGGTGTAATAGAAGCAAGGTATCTTGTACGTATATAAGAAAAAGAAAAAGAAAAAAAAAGAACGACCAACGGTGACTTTAAATGAAACTCCACAAGGTGCCACTAAAAGCCATGGAAGATGCGATCACGATGAGAACGTAGTTGAGAACCTTTTCGGAGGAGGACATGGAGTCCCCAAAGAGACGAAGGTGGCAAACCAGAGGGAAGATACCGGAAATCATAAAGGAGAAAAAGGCACCGAGCAAAGCCATGATTTTATCAAACCCAGGAATGATGTAGGCTAGTGACACAATGAACATACTCACGATCACTTTGCCCACAAACGTAAGAAACGGTTCTCTCCAACTGCTACGTGCACACCATCCTTCGATAGGCGACGATCGGAAAACGAGAATTTGCCAACTGAGATTCACCGGATTAAGTGTCAGGCCGTATTTCGCAATGGGATTCATGGCAATAAGCCAAACCGCCAATCGATTCAGTGTTTGATTGTATTCTGGCACGGCCACAATATTTTGGGTAATCTATAAGGGTTTGTTGCATTAGACAATCATGGGGATCTTCTTTTGTAGACGTTGCACAGAATGTGAAGCGCTTGTGTTTAGGTCCTACTTCGCATCAATAAAAAAAAAAAAACGTTCTTTACCTCCTGCATTGTCTGTGATCCAAACATCATGTAACCGCACGCCGCCACAGCAAAGTAGACAATGGTTGTAGCCACGTACGTCCAGTTTACCATGGAACGGTACCGTTTGGGATCATCCATATCGCGATACACCGTTGGGAAAACTGCATGGCCTGCAAACCCTGCCATGATCAAGCCAAAACTCAAGGGAACCGTCATCCAGTCAGAAGGCAGCAATTCCGTATCCTACCCATACCATATGGTTAAAAACCTATTCCTTTTCCGTGGTTTTTGGGAGCATTCGACTTACAGCAGGTTCGATGAGACTGCCGGGTGCAAAGGGTTTGGATAAACCGTCAACGACAATGACAATAATGATACAGAACGCGCTCATGATACCCAGTAAACTGGTGTAGGACAAATGACGTACAGGGAGGAAAAGCATGGGCGTCAGAATTAAAAAGGAAAGCATACGGATGGAGAGAGTGTCATGTCCGGGAAACAACGAATCGATACCGTCACCAAGTAATACAACAAGAGCCACACTGTTTTTGTTTTTTTTTGTATACAAGCAGCCATAAGTAATTAAAAACCGGTGAATTAAGAGGGCGATGTCCATTACCTGCTGGTGATGAGTTCCGTGATGAATAAGACCGTCACCATCACACAACCTTTAAGCCCAAACGCCATTGCACCCATGTCGCCGTATGTGCGTGAGTTTGGATCAGCGTCCAAACACTTGGCCAGTAGTTTGGCGGTATAGTTCGTCAAACCACAGCAAAACACAAAGACTGAAATGCCAATGACCCATCCAGCACACTGTAACGAAACGAGTAGCTTCAATGTTAAACACACCGCTTCTTTTGGATCATCAGTACGTGCCACATAAAAAAAAAGTTGGAATTACCTTGAATCCCAATGGTAAAGCCAATATACCAATTCCGATCAAGATATTGATAGAATTGAAGATAGATTGTGTGAACGATGATTTTTTCCCACTGCTGGATCCGTGGGCATCAAATCGGTACTCGTCTGCAAAGGTGGCGACACTGTGCGAGGTCAACACCTTGTCAAGGTTGCTGAATAGTAGCGAAGCGCGTTCGTTGGCTCCTAATGAGTCAATACGTGATATTCTTGAAATAGATCGCCTTTCTTGATCAACCGAAGCGCGTCTACAGCCAAAGGTGAATCAGTCGATCCCCTTCCACTTCCCTGTCCCCCACCCCTGAACCGACGACATCTCCGATCGATGTACGTACCTGGAAAAGTAACCCGACGAATTGATTGATTTGAAATCATCATCATCATCTAACTGTAACAAAAAATAGGGTATTGAGTGTTCTCTTTCCTTCGATATGCTTCCCTTCCCCGTTTGCTGCTTTATCTCTTCCTATGGGACCGGCTGTATGTGGGAGTTCGAACTTACCGAAGCGGCAGAAGAAGGGATGGCCAAATTTTCTGCCATAAACAGTAGAGACGTCCTTGAATAAGAGCCAACAAAGGATCCAATACGTTCGGAGAGCGTGTTGGTATTGGTGCGTTCCATAGAGCCCATATCTTCATGATAAGTTGCACCATAATACTGATGCTGGTCGGGTGATAGCTGGGATGGATGGAGATTGCGAATGCGGGGAATGTCTTGGCCTCCATTGGAGGAATCTCTATTGCTGGGTATATCCATTCAAGTAACCAGATGGGGAAGAAAGCAAGGAGAAGCGCAAGAGAACAAGTGAAAGAAAGTCAAAACTTTTTTTTTGTTTTGGCGTTTTTATATGCATCCTGAATGTAAGCCAATCATAAAAGGGAACTAAGGAAGTTTTTTTCTCATTCGTTTTTGGTTTTCCCCTTCTTGGATTGTGCTTCCGTTCCGTCTAGTTTCTTTTTTTTTTTATCGATCCTCCTCTCTCGGCTAACGATCAAACATTGAGAGATGCTGGATTGTAAAGACTAGACATGGCCTTTGGCTTTTTACTCATGGAGCAATTATTTACTAATGAACATGTCAATTCTATGTATTTGAATCGCAGATTGTTATCGAATGATTTGGAATGTCATGGTGTCTTTTTTTTCTTAGTTTATTTTTTTCACGACCCTTTGTTGATGTTTGCGATCGAGACGATAACGGTAATTGATCGATCTAAAACCATAATTCCCCTATGTTTCCCCTTGCAACCCCAAGTATTCCCCATGTTACAACCTGAAAAATAGCTTTTTTCGGTGCCGCTTGCGGGCTATCCGTTTCTGCTCACACACGTACAGAAACCCATCTGTGACCCTTCAGTAAGAGTAACAGCCTAACAGTTTCATCCATACTCACTCTTTTTTTCCCCGATACCTACGGCAAACGATAAAGATAAACGGTTTGTGATGGGCGTTGAAGCTGGTTTCAAAAAAATAAATACCATGGCAACTACCACCGTGCATTCTGAATTGACCATGGTTGATTTGAAACCATGACTTCCCCCTGGATTCCAACAAAAGATGATTTGAAACTAAAATACGCCGTCTGCTTCACCCTGTTGACGCTTGCAGATTTCACTGATTATGCAGTTCCTGGTATATCTCAACCGTCATTCCCAAAATTTCATACGGTCACTAGGAAAAATAGCAGCTTCTATGTTGGTTTCGTTAGACTCGTTATTGAGAAAAAATGACGGTGATACAGAACCGTCTCCATCTGAATGCTTACACATTCATTGTCATATTCCCAACAAGGTTAGATTGTCCGAATCTTCCAGGTAGCACAATACGGTCGACTGGACATGGATCAATTACACCAATTGGCGTGGTTCAAAACTGACAAAGTGGCGTGTTTCCACCATTATTTTAGAAATGAAATGACTAAAGTTCTATCAAAGCTCTCTGCGCAACTGAAATATTTTTTATCCGGCAGTGGCAAGGTTCGTAAAACAATTTGCAAGATTTTTGTATGCAGCAAAAGAAGAAATGGAAACATCTCAGTTGTGGTTACATTGTTCCTGTGCAACAGTCGATGATTCCATTCAGCAGGTCCGTGATCCCATTACGAGCCTAATATTTACGCCTCGGTTTCGTTCAGTAAGCACCGACTTACAAACGTGCCGGTTTTAAAAACAGCTACAAACCATTGTTTTCGAGACACTCTAGTATTGTCGTCTGCTTGGTTCACGAAAGGAAAACTTGCTTGGATTGTGCCAGTTGTAACTTTTATATGGTAAAGTAATAGCTTGGTTTGGCAGTGGTACATTCAGCTGAAAAGGTGGTCTTGGTTTGTTTTTTTTGGGCTGACCAGTGCCTGTGAAAGGAGAATGAACAACAGTGATTTTAATTTTTCATTTAATCTGGCTGAATGGCCTCATGATACTTCGACGTGATACAGCGCTTGACCCATTTTTCCATTTTTGGATTGTAAAAAAAGAACTGGCGGCCAACACGTTTCGGGATCCCATAATTTCCTTGGTCATGCAAGCATTTACAAGATCAAGGTTGGAACCGATGACTTTTTGTCTCTTTCGCGTATCTCAAATGTTCATTGGTCGATCATAATGGCGACCAAGTCGCCTGTAAACTACTCCAGCGTTTGTCCAAGGCCTACGACTTTTTTTTTTATTACTTGCTGCTTGAAAAGACAAATCCTTTCCGGATTATGTCCTCCTTTCCATTGGACGGAAACATAATTGAGAGGCGGATCCGTTGGAGAGAGGGTTTAAAAAAGTCACGTACCAGAATGGCCGTGACAGCCCGGTGGATTTGGTTCCATTTTTGTTTACTTGATATTACCAAAAAAGGAAAAATCAATGTGTGACGTATTTCAAAAAGCACGCGCCTTTTTTTTTTTTTGATTTCGGATGTCCGGCGATTCTGGCTTGGCACTTCCCTTTCACGTACTCATTCGTCGATTTCGGGCTCTTGTCAATTCTATATGCGTCGTTCCGAATTCAGTCCTCACAGCGCTCGGCCTGTATCCGAGATACTTAGACCGGGAAGCTACGCATCACCAGAAGGTTAACTATCACGTCCATATTCGAAGCAAAGGAAAGAGTTCACACTTTACTTACCACCACTGTAATATATAGCCGAAACCTTGAATAGTCGATACGAAGATCTGCAACAATATGAAAAGAATCTCGAAAGCATTGCTTCTGCCAACTTGAATCAGGTGAGTGACATTTAGTCCTTCATTGCTTGTGGTAGGTTTTGAAGCTTATGTGGGTGCATAAAAAAAACCAGAGTTTCAAGGAAGAACTGCAGCATGTGGATCAATGGTTTCGTTATTTATCAGACGCTGAAAAGACGGCTACCGTTTACACGTTGTTGCAACACTCGTCCCAAATACAGCTCCGTTTCTTTCGCAGCGTATTACAGCAGCTGATCCAGCCTGACATCATGAAAGAGCCCGTGGATCAGAGTAAGAAAAAACACCCGTGTTCACTCAGCAAACCATGATCATCACGTACTCACTCTGTCTACCGCATGTGTTAGTGGATCTCCCTAATCATTTAGCTCATCTTGGCTTGCGAGACAGCCCTCATGTCCCATCGCCACTCGCGTACGCTGAACGATCGGCCAAAACAGCTCTTCACGATCGAACGATGGGCCGTCATTCGCTTGCGGTCACTGACATGGAGGATCGTGACGCATTATTCAAGCCTCTCATAGGAACCGATCGACTGGATCAAACGGTTCCATCGACTTTGGCCAGCGTATCTTCCGGTGCCACCGCACCTTCATCGTCGATTGCGGGCACCACATCAAACTATACTGGCAATAGTTTACTGAATGACGCTTCCCCCGTGAGTCGTGCACGAATGTTTCGTGCGCCTGATTTAAGAGCGGACATGGGATCTTCGTTTGGTTCAAGACCTCGATCTGTGATTGAGGGCAATTTATCCAACTTCATGTCCAGCAATTGGATGACACCGTCTAGATCTAGCGTGGGAAATATTGGCGATCGTAAACCGGACGAACGACCCAAATCGGCCGACATTTCATCTTGGGCAATCACGGGAGGGCTGGATCCCTTGGATACATCACGCACTGGCAACGGATTTCAATCACCCTGGCGGTTTTCTTCCAACCTTCAATTTGCGGATTCCGAGATCGATTTTAGTACTTGGCAAGGCACACAGCCCATTCGACGACAACGACATCGATCCAATATCCCAGGTACGGTGCCGGAAACCGAGGAACAGCATCAACGGCAAGCTACGCAAGGCATGGCGTCTTTCAGTAATGTTCCAGAGAGCTCCGCCACTGGATCCACTGCACGCCAGCACATGGTCTCCCCCAGCTTTGATCGAGGCTTTGGCACGTTTCTGAATCCTGCGGATGCTCGCAACGATGGAGAGCAAGACTCGTTAAGTGATCACAGCAATACGTCTCATGGGTATCTGTCATCTGGCGGTAAACCCTCTTCGCGTGAAAAACAACATATGGAAGAAGTGGATATGGAAATATTAAAAGGTAAGAACCAAATAAAAGAGGAAGGGAAAAAAAGAGCAACGTTATTCAGGGTGGGCGTGGTTTTTTCTTGACAGATGTGCCAATGTGGTTTCGCAGTCTTCGGTTGCACAAATATACCAGCATTTTTGAGTCAATGAAATGGCAAGACATTATCAAATTGACCGACGAGGACTTGCTGGCCAAAGGCGTCGCCGCCTTGGGTGCTCGACGAAAAATGCTCAAAATCTTTGATACAATCAAAGTGCACTGTGATGCGAATGTAAGATTAACCCATCACCATGCCAGTTTATTAATTATTGTTCACTAACGGTTGGTTTAGCATATCGATTATTGACTGAATCCATAAGGGTAGATGCATGATAGCCAGTTGGTTTAGATAACTTTCAAGTGAGAATGCTTGCAGGCAAGAAATTCCACAACATACTCCCATCGGCTTCCACCGGTTCAATTGGCTCAGCTGGAGCGAAAGTTACTCTTATTGAAATACACTTTTCCACCTTCTTGTCTCTCGCGTTTTTGTTTTTTAGTTGTGTCCAATTTGTCCGCAACGAACAAAGCCAGTCTAAGTAACCAGTACCACTGAAAAGAGGATCGTCCTTATTTTCATCATGTGTTGTATACCATGGCAACATTGTGTCAGTTTTTTGTGTTCTTTCTGATGAGTTTTTTTTATTCAACCATGAGACGTAAACGATGTGAACAGTTTAAGACAAGTTGAATTTAAGCGGTCTTGGCAGCCTTGGCAGCGGCCAAAGCCTTCTCGGTACCCTTCTTGGCGAAACGCTGGTTGCGAAGGAACTTGGCATCAACCTATATCATGAAGTCAATATCTCAATTGTCAAAAAGGGATGGGTTAAATAAGTTGAATACATACACCCTTGAGGGAGGGGTACTTGTGGGTCTTGGGCTTCTTGATACCGTTACGGTGGGCCTTCTTGTCTGTAGAAGGAAAAAGTCAGTATCAAAGGCCAGACTTGATCATAATGAAGGGAAGTTGATGCTTACTTTGGTTGTGGTTGGTGTGGTTCTTAGACTTGGCCATTTCGTTCGCTTATTTCTAGATCAATCAGAGTTAAGTACGAGCAATGATCGAGCATCCATCCAGTACAGTAAATCAAGGATCCGATGAGATGGCGTTTGGATGGATGATGTCTCTTTTGGATATATACACACACCTTATCGAAATACAAAAGGGAAGGAGGGAGCTTTCTTTGGTCAGCTCTTGCCTGCACTCTTAGGCTTCCCAATCTGGGAATCCACTGATCGCTCCTCTCCGGGGCGATGGATTCCCATTTCTACCGGACGGTTTTGTATCTCCGCAGGTACGTCACATACCGCTGCCGGACAAATTTTCCCCAAAAAAAAGCTGAGAGAGTGACAAGTGCCAGTGAATTTCCTTTATTCAACACTTGGGGAGGTACATACTCAAGAATTCAAGCACATTACCATGAACGCCCCCGATCGATTTGAGCTTTTCGTCATTCCCGAAGGGAAGAAAAAGTAGGTTCAACGTTTCCCTATATTGATGAAGAAAAAGAAAAGAGGACTGAACCATTTTCCTTCTTTTTTGTCTGTTAGGGTGGAGATGGAAGTCGACACCAAGATTCCTAATGCGGCCACTTTTATAATTGAACGTGAAGATCATACCCTTGCCAATATGCTGAGAGCGTGAGTAGTTTTCTTGCACATTATTCTCAAACCATACCGTCTCATTTTTTTGTTCGTGTGACAGACAATTGCTGAAAGATCCGCGTGTGCTCTTTGCAGGCTACAAAGTACCTCATCCGCTCGAGCACAACTTTGTCATTAAAGTGCAAACGACCACCGGAACAACACCTGGAAAAGTCCTGAAAGAAGCCACCTCGGAACTCATCTCGGAACTGAATGCACTGAGAAACAAATTCGATATGGATGTGATTCGATACCGCACAGTACAAGACGCAAAAGCTTCACAGGACGTGAACGCCTATGATGCTGACGGAATGGGCGGCGTACTGGATCCGCAACGTGCGGCCATGGACGTTGACTTTTAAAAACAGTGGATTGGGAAAAAGAAAGAGGACGATCTCGTGGATATTCATTGGAAGTCTGTTATTCATTATCATGCTTAGATACATAGTAACATCAGTTTGGAAGGGGCAGTCGCAGTTTTTTGGCAGTGTTTCTTCTTTTGTAATATAGTTTATAAATTATATCGTATATTGGTATTTATGGGTCTCCTCAGTATGAAAAACGAGATGGATCAACGGGACACGGTGACGACTCAATGAAAGCTGGGACGCCACAATGGGACATATTGAAGGCACCTTACACTGCGATATGACAATCAGTCATGCATTACTCCAAGTTTTTTTCCGTTGTCTAGTGTCTGTTTTCTTCTGTCACAAAACAGTTTATGCTGTAAAATGGTGTGATGGGAAAAATCGGCAAGCATCCATAGCTCTTGGAGGAGTAAGGGTCTTCTCTATCGGACTTGCTTGACCAATTGGCAAACGTTATATTAGAAAAACGTAATTTGCAAGGATTTTCCCTACGCCCTAACAAGGAAGCCGACAGTTTTACGACGGCCCGCAACCTACTACCCAACTGGGATGTAGGCACAGCTCAATGTCTATGACGGAATTGCATCGTTAGCTTTTGCTCCAACCATTCATTTATGACTGTTGTCTCACGCGTGAATTTGTTGCTATCGCCAATTTGCCGTTCACTTTTGTGATTCAGTATCGTGGAGTTTCTCGCTTCCTATTATGTCTGATACCAATAGCAACAGGCATCTTGGCGGTCGTCAAAGTGATGAGCCTTCGCACGATGCTGGTGGTCATGTTACGCGCCCAGTTGTGGCTGATAGCCGTTCGCAACCGCCAGTTGGCGATGGTGGGGTTTTTCCTCCGTATGACTATGAGTCCTCCGATCTAAAGACGTTCCCGTCTTGTTGACGATCCGTTTGCCTCGCTCGAAGTTATCTCTACACTACCGGTTGCTGCTGGTGATGTATGTGAATATGTTGCATCGCTGTCGGAGGTGGTGCGTGCGAACAACGGTCTCATACGCTATTTTAGTCTGATGCGCGAAGGCGATGATCGTGCTCCCGATGCGCATTTGGCTGTTATTATGAAGAATATTTCGTTTATTTTGCCCATAATGGCACTTCGCCTGCTGGTGGATACAATCGAGTATTGTTCATTTCTGTTGATGCTGTCACCTACGATGTTAAACTTTCAAAAGTTGCCGTCTAATACGTCGTGCTTGCGGTACTACTAGACGCTACTTTCGTTATTACGCCGATCGCGTCGCACAAATTGGTCAACGAGAAGGCATGGTATATCATTGGGGTGTAAAGAACGGAGTACGCAGCTCCTTCAGTCACCTCGGTTTCGATCTCGGCGATACTTGTTCGTCGCGTTTCCTGACGCCGCCTGCACGTAGTGCTCTCTCCCATGCGCGTTTCATCGCTACTAGTCGTGGTGTACGACATGGATGAAGTTTTGCCTGCCAAGATTCAGGCTTCGAATTTGTCAAACAATAGTTAGGGTTAACATTGCTCGTTTTCTATTGTGATTTCTGCTTTCGCTCAATGATGTTTTCTACAATTGAAGATAATTTTTTCTTTTTGGCTGTGTGTATTTTTGCAAGTGTTGGTGGATAGGGCAGGATAGCAAGACCACCTATATCGCAAAACTGAATTTTTCCTTTCTTCGGTGGATGCACCGATAATGAAGAAGCATCACGCTTGTGAGCATGTGCTACTTTTTGATGAGTCATGCCGGCCTTCATAGAACAAGTCGATAGTCTAGGCTATATAGTGTTTACAGAGTTCATGTTGTTCGCTTCCAATAATTCGGGCCGATGATTATATTTTTACTACACGGCAACGTACATCGGAAGCTCTTTTTTTATTTCTAGGTTGCAAAAACCCGTTTTTAGTTGGCTTCTCCAAGCACGGCCAGTTATGCGACAATCAAATTTTTCAGTTTTAAACGGAGACGAGTTCGGAAGGTTATGCATAAATACACACACTAACTATACCATAGGAGAAGAGCGCGATCATGGAGCAGTGAATTTCACACTTTATGCAAGACTAAAATGCATCAAAGCTTATAAGCTGCGCTGAGCGTAGCAAGAGGAAACGCAATTTTTTATTCCGTTATTCATATGTGTTCCTGAGTTTGTGTCACTGTGTGACATAGGCGACAATTCCATGAAATGGGATCAGCGTATGTTTCAAGGCATAATTCAGAGATCTCCTTTGTTTGCCCGAGTAGGCGTAAGAGAGCCAACACAAATTACGTTGCAAAATAAACTATAAACAATGAATGTCTTTTTGATGAGCCAAGGCGAACGTGCCTTAAAAACGGCTTGCCATACAACTGAGCTTGTAAGAAACGTAGTACCGACAGTATAGCCGGAGATGTAGATCTTGCCATTGTGAATGACAAGGCGTCAGCTGCATGTTCTTTCTTCACAGAGCCTATTCAACGTGCGGTATTTTTTGGCAGGTAATTCAACGCGTATCGTCATTGTTGATATTTAAGGCGCACTCTGGCCGATACTTCTTTTTCTTTGTCTTTTGACTCCCTATTGTTTTTTTATTACTGTTCTTACTGTCTTTACCACTTTTATTATGCCTCGACTTAACCTCTCAAAAATCCACCTCGCCACCAATAACCAAATGAAGTCCCTTAAATCCCTTATAAAGCTCACCCAGTATGTGTTGAACAATTGTTTATTTTGATGAGCTTCTACTGATGTGCAATTTATGTAGAACTGACGACCAGGCCGGCTGTTTCTTTGTGGAAGCCGCGCCAAAGTTCTTTGAAACGGTCGATCAATTCACGTCCAACTTGGAGCGCAATGCCATCGCCAAGTGGAAAATCGCAATGTCGTGGCCGAGCTTGAAGCTCTAAAGACTGAGGTCCAAGATCAGTTGGAATCTGCGGAACTTCGGGCTGCTTCCCCTCCTCTTCCTTCGCCTGTCCTTGCGCCCGCCTCTGTGGATTTTTTCGCTTCTTTGCCCGCTAGCTCCTGCTTCTCCTCCCTCCTCCCCTGTGGCTGCCTCTGCCCACCTCTTTCCCTGCTCCCACTTTCCCTGTCTCCTCCGCTGTGGCCTTGTCTCCTGTGGCTGTGTCTTCCGTCGCCGTGTCTTTCGTGACCATTCCCGCTTCCACTACCGCTTCCGCTCCCGTTTCGGTGCCGGTGTCTTCTCCCGCTGGTGCTCCTTTCGCTCAGCCGTCAAAGGACGAACATCAACAGCAACAACATTTCTTCTACGAAGAAACCGAATAAGATACAATTGACGATCCCATGGACATCGATCATTCCGACGAGTTGGTCGACTGGATGGACGTCGATCATCCAAACGAGTAGATCCATTGGGATGGACGAACATCGTTAGATGTCCACCTCCCCCCCCACCGACGTCCATCCAGGAACCTTACAGTACCACTCGCAAGGTAATTTTTACTGGGTTTTTCTTCACCAATCAGACTGAATCGTCGTATTAACTCGTTTTATCCTATAGCGAAAGGCTATAAAAATGGAGATCGATGTCCACACAAGTTTCTGCTGGACAAATTGTAAGCTTTTTACATGATTTATAAGTGTCCTGGGCTGAATTTAGGCTGATATCTTCCCATAGAGTACAGACAACATACCTATGAAGAGTGTTGTGCCTATAACGCAATTGCCGTCGCGATGCAACGGACGACCCGTTGAACCGCGAAGAATAAGCAACAAAAATACGATCTCAAGAACGAAAAGGTAAAGCTCCAGAGCTGCTTTGAATTTATCATCAGGTTGCTAATTTTGTTTGATTCCGTATATTGTAGGTTCAGCCGAACGATCAAAAAAAAGCCGATAGGACCACGAAATGTCTCCTATCGGCTGTACCCAGTGTACCGCCTCTTCCCTGCCAGCAGAGCGTCCAGGGTGCTTCCACCATCCATTTTCCACTTTTTCACTGATGGGGTCCTAAGTGAAAGAGGCCAAAAAAAAGAAGGTGAGATAAAAATAAAAAAGGAAAAAAAAAAACCAGAAAAACCAGGTTCAGTAGCTCCCGCGATCCCTGCTACGAGATTGCCACGGACGCGGATTCCCCTGTTATGATCCCGCCGAGCCGGCTCCTCCATCCCACCATACAAGTACGATCCAATATGGTGTACAGGTTGTTGTAAGTCTGACACGGTTGACGTCCGCCTTGATATGTACTTGCGGTAAGTCCATTGAAACAGTAAACAAACCTTTACATCAGATTGTTTAATTATAAAGCGTCCTTTCATATGAAGAGCAGCACAGCTTTGGTCGAGGTTCCACCGGCGAGGGTAGATCGCGTCGCATAGACTACGGATACGACACTAATCAGCGTCCGCAACAGCATAGGGTTGTGCGCCATACAGGGCATAGAGAGGAAAAGGCAGTGAAAGTGGGGTCGTGCAGGTGAGTTCTTCAGCATGTATACCGTAAGTGAGGGTTGATTGTAGCAGGGACCACATGCGGCAGTGAAAGGTTTGGTGTGCATCCTACCAAATCTCAGGGCCTCAGGATCCATCAGTAGCATTTGGATACAATAGCACCCTAGAATCAATTCTTTGTATATTCCAAAAAGTAATTCTTAGACTGAGAATATGTGCTTGCTATGATATATGAGAGAATTTAAGCAGTAAGGCAAAGCGGTAAATTTCATACCCAGACGTGACTTTCTCAGGAAACGGCGAATGAATCTCATTGGCCGCTTTGCCCCTCTCGCGCATAAGCGATGCAAAAGGGAACAGCGCCCATCTCCGCCATGCTTCTGGCACCAAGACTATACATCGTATACGAGTTGGGATATGTAATGTATAAGGCCCAGCTGAGATGCTTTGGGAATTATCATACTGTTATTTACTTGCTGCATGACAGTTTCTTTGCTTTTGCCTTGCCGCTTAATTCTCCAGTTTGGTTTCATCTGCAGAGTTTGAGATCGCCCGGTTTAGATGAGATTGCACGTCACAGCGGGACGGGTTTCGTTAGTTCACCAATCATTTATCCGCATCTCACGAAGTATCTTTCAACTGTTCCTTAACTTGTTTCCACTCTTGCTATGAAAGTTATTGATAAAATTAAAAAGGCTGAGGCCGAGAATCGCTTCTTCTGGTCTTTCGAGTATTTCCCCCCGAAAACCCCTCAGGTACGTTGTTTCTGATTCGTTTTGGGGGACTTGTCACTGACGTCTCTTTCATCTGAATTCCCCAATGACAGGGTGTGCAAAATCTGTATGACCGTATGGAGAGAATGCAACGTCTTGGCCCCGAGTTCATCGACGTTACTTGGGGTGCCGGAGGTACATCGTCTGAATTGACCACCGAAATGGTCGCTACCGCTCAATCCGTTTATGGTCTCGAAACCATGATGCACTTGACATGTACCAATATGGAAGTGTCAAAAATTGACACCGCTTTAAAGGTAGGCAGTTCGGGTATTTTTTTACATTGTCTTTTTTGGTGCACCCAAACGGAACCAACGGACTTAAAGCGCATATTGTTAGGCTGCTAAAGAGTGCGGCTGTCAAAACATCTTGGCCTTGCGTGGCGATCCACCCAAAGGACAGTTGAATTGGGAATCGTGTGAGAATGGATTCTCCCATGCCGAGGACCTCGTTCGTTACATCCGCAAGCAGTATGGTGATTATTTTTGTATTGCGGTTGCTGGTAAGTTCCCACTGATGAAAAAGGAAGCTGGGAAAAAATGGCCTGATTTCTCCGCTCACTTTGAACTGACTTTTCTTGGTATTTTTTTAGGCCATCCTGAAGGTCACATCGATAATCCCGACAAGGAAGACGATTTACTGCAATTGAAAAAGAAGGTGGACGCCGGTGCAGATTTGATTGTCACTCAATTGTTTTTCGACGTGGAGATGTTCTTGGATTTTGTCAAACGCTGCAGAGACATTGGTATCACATGTCCCATTTTGCCGGGTGTGTTGCCCATTCAAAATTATAACGGTTTGAAGCGCGTCATTTCCTTCAACAACAACCATGTTCCTCAAAAAATCTGGGATGACCTCGAACCTATCAAGGACGATGATGCCGCCGTCAAGGAGTATGGTATCAACCTGACTATCGAATTCATCCGTCGCTTCTGGGAAGCCGGCATTCTTGGGTTCCACATCTACACTTTCAACCTTGAACGAAGCACACGCATTATCCTGGAACGTCTCAACTTGGTCCCTTCACTGGACCAAATCAAACCTTTGCCTTGGAATCCGGTAAGTTTGCGCGCTACTGTTGTGGTCTTCCCCCCCAAAAAAAAAAAAAATTGCGAGCAGGGTAGTTAACCCATTTGTAGGCTTTGACTTCCAAGCGTGCCAAGGAAAATGTGCGACCAATTTTCTGGAAGAATCGTACCAAGAGCTATATCCAACGTACAGAGACGTGGGACGAGTTCCCCAACGGTCGATGGGGTGATTCTCGTTCACCCGCCTTTGGTGAATTGGACGGTTGGGGCGTTTCTCTCAAATACCCTACGACTGAATGCCTTAACATGTGGGGCAAGCCTGAAACCATCGATGATATCGCTCTTTTGTTTGCCAAATACTGTAAAGGTTCCTTGGCCGGTATACCCTGGAGCGCTCAACAATTAGATGCGGAAACCGAAACCATCCGGCAACGTTTGGCTGCCATTAACTTACTGGGGTACTTGACCATTAACTCGCAGCCGGCCGTTAATGGTGCCAAGAGTTCACACAAAATCTACGGCTGGGGTCCCAAAGATGGCTACGTCTTCCAGAAAGCATACCTCGAATTCTTCATTTCACCCGAAAGACTAGACGACATTATCAAGAAAATCAGCAAAGATCCTCAGGTCACTTACTTTGCCGTGAATCGACAGGTAAAAAGAAAATGAAGCCCTCGTCTTAGAAAAAGATGTGGACGCTAATGGATGGTTTGTTTGATTGATGATGAATAGGGTGATTTCCGCACCAATGCACAGAGCGATCAGCCCAATGCTGTGACTTGGGGCGTTTTCCCTGGCAAGGAAATTGTTCAACCGACCATTGTAGAACCCATGGCTTTCATGGCATGGAAGGATGAAGCTTTTGAACTTTGGAACGAATGGGCTCACATCTACGACCGCGAAAGTCCGTCAGCAAAGTTGATTCTGGATATTGCCAACAACTGGTACCTGATCAATATTGTACATAACGATTTCCAGGATGAAGGAGGCATCTGGCGACTTTTTGACTTGGAAATTGACGGTGAAATTTCCAGAAAACTGAGACAGTCCTTGGTGTCTGCTCAGCGCTAAATAATGGCCCTTGATGTGAAAGGATACTCGTTTTTTTCTGGGGGACGTTTTCTTCTTTCCTTTGTCTCGTATTCAACATGCATTTCCTTTTTTTTTTTTTTGTCGCATAGTATTCAACTACCCGGGAAAACCACATTGAGAGGATCATTTAATTTTTGGGCTACTTCATTTGTCAGATTTCTCCTTTTCCCAACCTTTTCTTTTTTTTTTATGTAAATGAATTTGGTAATTTCTCTTCCCTTTTATATCATGCAATGAAGACAATTCAATAGAATTGATTGTTGTGATTACAATCTGCCTTTTTCTTTTTGGCATGTCATTCTATGCTACTGTGAATGATAATTTTAATTTAACACGAGGGCGCGCCGTGAGCCCACTGAAAGTCAAGCTTTACTTCAATAGGATCCTGTTGTGGGCCTTTATCAGTGGGAGGATCTTTGCGCTGTTTTCTATTTTTACGACGAGGAGGTGGTTCATAGTATGGGACGAACACAAGCGCATATTCCCAACTGGCTGGTGAATGTTCTTGAAAGAATTGACAGTCTGGAAGCTTCCATTTGGTGGCATATTTTTGGTCATGTTTGCCTTTCTTATCAGGTTCCGTAGCAAGCTCCGTTTTTGCTACCAACTGATACGTATTGGAGATATGATTCTGCACTTGCGAATATTGAAGAACCACATCTAATGACTGAGGATAATTCGGCTGAGCTAAAAGAAGCGGCATATGTGCCAATGAGTGGAAAACGTAAGGCTATCACGGGATATAGGACCTTACCTCCTTCGAAACTTGCAATGCTGTATTCGATTTGAAGTGTTTGGTTTTCAGAGATCTTTTGATGGTTGACAGGTTGGAGGACGGTAACCATGGGCCGTTGGCAGGCTACAAAATGGTAAACATGACTTATCCATAGCCCTAGCATAAGCCATAGACATGATAGCCGGTGCTCCATCAATAAAAGTGGTAATAGGTAGAATCAGGAAAAGGTGGTGAAAACAGGAAAAGAAAAGAAAGTAAAAAGAGTTGTATTCTCATTACAGGCATCGTTTTGTTTTTAAGAAAAAAGTGATGAATTAGCCAGCTCGAGTAGGTTCACTGGACCTCAGGGGGCGTTGAATTACATATAATGTTTTTAATGATGCAGTAAGGGTAACAACAAGCTCACATAAAGAGGATTCATGCCAGTAAAAGGTTATATTTAGCTCCTCCCTTTTTAACATTTGGTCTCTATAACTTGATCCTTTTCTCAAATAGGAGCATTAATTCGTGGTTTTTCACCGAGATGCCTTTCCACTCCTGTTTTCTGAGCTTTTAGAAAAAGAATTCAATGGGGTTTTATTCAGTTTTAATGCTTGCTTGCATCCAGATTTTAATTATTGATCGTATTATTCAGGATCAACGTTCTTCAAGACCCGTTAACCTTTTTAGAAATGATGCAGAGCAACGCGGACCATCAAACCGTCATTGACAATATGCCATTGCAGTGCATCCTCACAAAAAACTCCAGGGATTTCAAAGTAAATTCTAATTGCATAGATTCTAGATTATCATTAGACATCCAATATAGCAAAGACATTTTATATTCTATGATTCATCAAGGTGTGTGCAAAATTTGTTGTAACGGATGGTCTTAAAAAAAAGGTACAACGCCTTTCTAAAAAGAGGTTAGGATAACGTGACAGATATGACAATCTTTTTGCTGACATTGATTGAAACGATATGCTATGCCCAATAACGCTATGGAAAAGCGATAGCTGATGTAAGCCAAAATTACCTAAGATGATTCACAAGTGAAAGCACCCTATATCAGTTAGCGCACCCTGAAGCGTAATGAGAGCGAATGTTCCCTTTAGAAGATCATTAGCTGGACATGCAAACACCAAGAAAAATGTGCATCGTGTTCCTCGCGACTTGTAAGTAGGTTAATTTGCAGAGATAATATGCGGAACAGGCCGGAACGTAATAGGATGAATGGAACATTAAAGACAGAGAACACTGAATGAGAGAAAACAAGGTTCCATCTTTAAAGCCCAGTCAGAATTTCCCACGAAAAGTCTTCTTAACAACTGAATCCATCGGATTTGATCAGGGCAGAGTTGCTAGGGGCCCTTTTACAGCGTATGAATTTTTTTTTTGTGAGGTAGACCCTTTTTTATCACTTTTTTCTTATTTATGTACATTAGATGTCATCTGTAGAGGTATTAAAAGAATTCGTGGAATTCATTGGCGTGAAATGAAATGTTCGTTACTGGCAGAAACCACACGGGCTTTGCGCAAATCAGGCGGATTTGGACTAAAAATGGTCCACTCACCTGTACGCCAATTTTGTAAAAAGATGACATTTTTGAACATCGATCGGGTCGACATATTTTTTGATTCAGCAAACTTAACAATACAAACCAAAGTATTCTGATCTTTTTCACATTTTTTGCTCATGTTCATCGTTTTGGGTTCATCCTGTTGCGGTAACGTGAAAACGTGACCATCGAAAAGTCATCATGCCACGATTTCATTAACTTGACACAAGTTGATAAAGTGTTCCGAATTGATAAGATTAAGGTGTTGAAGTGAATCATTGTTACCCATCGTATACCAAAATCAATGGAAAGTGCTTCAAAGAAGTTGTGGACAAGACTTGGTTGGATCAAGTTGAATCGGGGATTGATTTTAAGCTTTGAGCCTTGAACGGGATTCGCGTTACACCAAATCGTATTACGTCGTTCCACCGATCTTAAATTCCGACGCTGGGGAAAAAAAACGGGCCAAAAAAAGGGACCCCGTGCACCCATGCGTTGTTTATCGTCAAAGGGTGGCGGAGTTGGTACGGGTCTCCACTCGGAATATTCGTTCCTCGCCTTTGCTTTCAAAAAGGATCAGATGAACATGATAGATGGGCAATCGTTCTCACTGGAGATTCATTCCAATCCCAATGGGTCTGTAGAGATCCAACTCGTATGTATCAAATGAATGATATAGTGGATTGTGAGTAATTGTGATGGGATATTGCATGTGTTCATAAAAATTTTAAGAGATTAAATTGATTATTGAAACCAATGTCGCATCGTAAGTTTTTGTTGATGGGTGGTTCTTTATTTTTCTATCGAGATAAGAATTATTGGCTTATCGTTCCTTCAACTGAATCATTCAAGGACCTATCAGCATCGGTTTTCATAAGGACCCATTTCACGCTTCAGTAACAATAATGTAGGCCATCACAATGGCCCGTTTAGTTATAGCATGCATGAAGCATATGATGACAAAAGAACATCCCAGAAACAAAGCATGAGAAAAATAAAAATTCGATCCTGAATAGGTATAACTAAAAGAGGAAATACTTTCCGGAATTGATCCCATCATCTTTTGTTCTCCATATGCGAATACACTTTTGATTCGTCGTGTGCTAAAAAATATGGGCACATTTTTTGTACAGAAAAAATGCCAAAAATGTCGCTGATCGAGAAAATTATTTGAATAGAGACATATGATCGCTTACCACCAAGTTTGGCAATGGGACTTCCATCAGGCCATGTTGTCTACCTTGGCAGGTTGATACCGCTTGATATGCACCATGTTCAGCTGTAATTGAGTATCCATTCATGATTGCGCGCCAAAAAGGAAAACACGGTTTTAACAGATTGTATACAGAATCCATAGAAAGACAAGATTGTAATGTTTCCATTTGGATTTAAAATGCCGACCAGCGCCTGGGTCTCATTTCGTTTCTTTGGTTCGGCTTTTTTCGCATCTCATAAGCAATGTATCATAGAATGGATGATGAAAACAGTATTTATTCCTGTTGCCAACTTGAGAAATTTTATACTGTTGTTCAGGCAAAAAAGAGGAATCGCTTTAAAGGGTCTTGCAGACAATTGATGGAAATCAGGTCTCGTTTCTTTTTCTGTGCATGGAATAAATTGATTGGCGGACTGTTTCACGGGTGAGCGAATCAGAGTAGAATACATGGATTGGTACGATGGAAAGCGACACGAACAGATGCCGATTACTATAAACGGTAGGTTGGCTTCAGTAGGTTGCAGATGATATCAAACTGTATTCCATTGCTATATGGAGCAAGAATTTCCACAAAAGGGATTTCATCAAATAGAGCTTTCTTAAATTTCGGACTGAGGTTTCGCGAAAAACCAAAGCGGAGTGGAACCAGTGATAGGGATTCGTGCGAAAAAGAGATTGATATGACACTCGGACTGACCCTTTGGTCCACTCAGCGCATCGCTTTCCGAATCAGTATCATATGACAAGATTCAACCAGATCAAAGAACATTTGGGATAAAGAAAAAACATTTCAAACAAAAGCTTATATAAGGCCCTTCTTCTTTATCACGCTTTCTCCTTTTCAAGCTTCTTTAATTAATCCTCCCTTTTTTTTTGTTTCTTTGGACTGATCGTGTTTCTTTCCATCTTTATTTATCTTGTTTAATCCACATCATGAAGGAAACACACCCAGACTCTCCCCCGCTGGAGGAGAAGATCGAATATAATGTGTATCGCGACAATGCAAGCTCGTTTAACGATGACAAGCAAGTCGTGGTGGATGACACACCTATCGGCCAGCAATTTGTCGAAGAATTCCACTTTACTTGGCGCGCATCCATTGTGGGTTCACTGCTGGGTTGTCTTGTAGGCAAGTAAAAAAAAAAAAAAAAAAAAAAGGTTACCTTGGGTGCCGAATCTGGTTGCTAACATGTTTTGTATACAGCTGCATCCAACACTTACCTCGGTTTAAAGATCGGTTGGACGTTTGGTGCATCCTTGTTTGGTGCTATTTTCTCGTTTGCTATCATCAAACCCATGTCGCGTGCCCTTCCTCCTCGCTGGGGCGGAGGCTACTTTGGTCCCAAAGAAAATTGTAGCGCTCAATCAGCAGCCACTACTGCAGGCGGTCTTTCTGCTGGTTTTGTGTCCGGTATTCCTGCCATGTATAAGCTTGGCCTTATGACCACTCCTCGTGAAGATATCGTCCCGCTTTTGCTCTTTACCATTTCCGCCGCCTTTTATGGTTTATTCTTTGCCGTTCCCCTTCGTAGCCACTTTGTCGTCAAGCAGGACTTGACGTTCCCTACCCCCCGTGCCGCCGCCACCAGTATCATCTCCCTTCACAGTACCGCTGAAGGTGAACGTGAAGCCATGAAGAAAGCCAAATGGATGGGTATCTGGTTCTTTGTCTCGTTTATCTGGTCCTTGATCTCCTACTGGGTTCCCTTCTTTGATACCAGTAAGTTGTCTAACTTTGCCCTTTTCTTGTTTTCACATTTTGATGAACCCTATGGAACTCATCGTTTATCAATTTCCTTAAATCAATAGTTCACATCCTCTGGTGGATTGGTCACAGTGCTGGTTATGAGCCTTTGATGAGTGCTGATGATGCGTGGGGATGGAGTTTCAAATTCGATTATCCTTTCTTTGGTGCTGGTCTCATGACGCCCGGTTCCACCGTTATTCCTTTCTTCGTTGCTACCTTGATGATCTACGGTGTCATCGGTCCTGTCTTGGTGGGCAAGGGCAGCTTTGTCAAACCCTATGGTTTCACCGATCTGGGTGACACTACCAATTCGTTCTTCTTGTGGCCCGGTATTGCCTTGATGGTTCTCTCCACTTTCACCGAATTGATGGTGCGTTATCAAGTCCTCTGGCGTGGTATCAAGGGTGGCGTGATTGAAATGAAGGATTTGACGGTCCGTGGTGTCCAGCAAGCCAAGCGCATCGTGTTGCGTCAAAAGGTCGAAGAACGTGAAAAGTTGAAGAAGGACGTTGATGCCGATGAAATTTATCGACCGGACCAATTGATTCCCGCATGGTGGTGGGTCTTGGGTGTCTTCCTTTCCGTCATTTTCACTTGCGCTATCATGGGTGAATACTTTGGCATGCCTGTCTATCAATCTATTCTCGCCGTGTTCCTCGGTTTCATCCTTTCCTTTGTCGGTATCCAGGCGGCTGGTGAGACGGATATCAACCCTACTGGCAGTATTGGTAAAATGTCCCAGCTCGTGTTTGCTAGAATGCCTGCCGAATCACTTCAAGCGGTGCAAAAGAACAATTTGATGGCCGGTAACATTTCTGCTTCGGCCGCTTCTCAGGCTGTTGACATGGTCGGTGATTTGAAGACGGGTCAATTGGTTGGTGCTTCGCCTCGTTCTCAGTTCTGGGCTCAATTTGTCGCTTCCTTCTTTGCTATTGCTATTGCCGTGGGTCTCTTTGTCCTGTTCGCCGATGCTTATCCCTGTATTACCGATCCCGACCTTGATGCCGAGTGTGAATTTGGTCTCGTCGCTGTCAAGACATGGTACAGTGTCACCAAGTTGCTTACCGGTAGCTCCGAACCTTTGTCCAAGGCCTGTATCATTGTCACCATTATCTGTGCCATTATTGGTGTCGCCGCTCCTGCCATCCGTTTCTTCCTTGTCCCCGAAAAATACCATCGTTTCTATCCTTCGGCTTCCGCCGTTGGTATTGCCATGATCAACACTTCTCCCCAGGTTCCTTTGGCTATGTTGACTGGCTGGATTGCTTCCAAGATCTGGAAACGTGTCAACCGCAAGAGTTGGGACAATTTCATGTACAGTGCTGCAGGTGGTATGATTGCTGGTCAAGGTATTTCAGCTATTCTTCAAGCTGTATTCAAAATCGCAAAGATCCCTCCTTATGTCGTGACCGCCTCGTGTATCGCTGGTGAACTGAAAAACTGTCCTTAAACGTATTCTGTATATACTGTGTAATTCGATCCTATTTATTGAAAAAGACCAAAAAAAAAAAAAAAATCTCATCTTGCTTGTGAACTCCCCCATAAAAAAACCAACTCACCTTCTTTTTAATGCCCTGCGAACCTTTCAAAACGTAACTTCTTGCATAGGCTTCAAATTCCTTTACCTCTCTCTTATTGTTAATACCTCCCTGCTTAACTTAATAAATAACTCTTTTTTTCTGAAAACAAACCTTTCAACGGTTACCGAAACATAGGCTGATTTTGGTAAGGATGTGACTGCAACAGTGATCCAACAAATGTACACATAAAAGCACATGTCTATACATCGTCTGCAAAATCAAAGTGAACATGGTTAAGACGTTTTAGCGTTGAACGTGATATAAACCGTTAGGGCATAGATTGTTGTATTGACGGACAAGCGTACAATATCGTTTAAAAGAGCAGAACAAGTGCGAAGACGAGTATGTTGATTGCTCGTTTTTCCTTGTCGTATAATTTAGAAAACAAGTCGATACCATTATTCTTGTTATTGTCATATGCCCAGTTTGCTCCTCATTTATTACAGATTATCGACGAAAAAAGACAGCAACAAAGAAAAAAGAAAAAAAAAGCATAGTTGAAGAAAGAGTGACCAAGCATTCACGATCATGCTCGTCCTCCGCGTCCTCCACGTTGTCCTCTTCCACCCATTCCTCCACGACCTCCACGACCGCCGTCGCGTCCTCGTCCTCGTCCGCGTGCATTCATTTGTCGCTGTCGGCCTTCTTCTTCTTTTACCATGTCGACAATTTCCTCTGGTACATTGAGATATTTGATCGTGTTTCCTCGGATATAGCATTCTGGTAATCTCCAAAACTTGTCACCATCAGGCGACGTTTGAATCACTTCGCGTAACGTTAAATTCATCCAATTGTCGCAATTCACCAAATGACCGTTGAACGTTTCGCCATTCTTTAGTTCGACAAGCATGGGATGACCCGCAGCTGTATGTAAAAGCGAGAGGGGAAGCATGGTTGGTTATAATCTATTATTTTATTCTTTGCATTAGCAACTCCTTATAAATTTCTTTTTGCCTTCCTCTAAGTTTTTGGCTTTCATTACCTTGAAAGGGTTTTCCTTTCGTTCAATGGAATGATTGCGTGAAATGCGAAATGAGGATCGGGAAAACGACAAGTGTCGTAATGGAAGACGAATGCTTCAAAAGTAGTCACACTATTTTTTCCCTAGATTTCCTTTTTCAGCCTATCGTGACACGCAGCCCACTGAGATCCATCCTGTGTGAATTTGATAATGCAAACCTCACCATTTCTCGTCATGTTACAGCGTAAAGTTAAATTGTTGATTCATATATTACGGTAGATAGCACTGATATTATTTATTGAGGTATAGTTCATAGCCACGTTAGATGACTGGAAACAAAATCGATATAGAAAGATACATCAAGTAGTTAAATGCTGGTAGATAAATTTGGTTTTTGCATATATGATTGAGGATGGGTATCTTGGTACCGTGCTGGTTTCTTCTTAAGTACAGTAGCAGAATTTTTACTTTTGAGTTCTATTAGCTTGGGATATTTTATGAGTGGACGCAAGACCACACATGTGCAATCAATATGTTTGAACTCATCCGTTCATCGGATTTTGTGAAGCAAAAAATGGCATGCAGGTTAGTGTAGCTTCTTTGAATAGTTTGTCCGTTTGTTTACAATAATGGGAATAGATTATCATAAATTTATTAAGAAGGTACTTTGTGAACTTCTTTATGAAAGCGAATTATGGCAAAGGTCATTTCAAACGTTTAGTTTGGCAATCTTTGCAAGTGCTGGGAAAAATGTCGAAACAAAGACCATGTAATGACCGCAGTTACATAGTGATAATGTTCAAATAAGCGATGTTTATGGTTTGTCTTGCAGTAGATCATGAAATATTGACAAGTTGAGGTTGCCGATTGGGCATATGGAAATTCAGCACGGCAAAGCATATTTAACTTGATTGGCGGGCGAAGAAGTGGCCCTGGGAACAATTGCCCTTTATATCCATCGCAGCGGAATATCTTTCAACACGAAATTGTCATACGATGATTCAATTTTTTGTTATGGATATACAACTGGTTCTTCTTCTGTCCATCAGACATATATATAAGGGAATTCCTTTCTTTGACTGATCCCCCTCTCTTATTGAAATATCTTTTGAGCATCTTTTTATATTCCTAGATGATCTTGCCGTGTCGTTCCTGTGAATGTTGGCAGATGCGTTGCACAGTTGACGTCTTTCCATCTCTATGATTCCGGAAATAGGAAATTGGCGCATAAGGCGAACGATTATATTTCACTGATGGCAATGGATCGAATATCCGCCATAGGCTGAAATACATTGTTATCCACACCAGAAATTATATGGATGTCGGATGGCTCTGGGATGGCTCTAACCTTGTCAAGTAATTGATAAAAGGCTTAGCGGTCTTTTTCATGTGTTACATTTTGTGCCCAATGTGATAAGGAATGGAAAAGGTACCAATGTACGGTACGGCGATGTGTCTGTCATTTTAAAAAGATGGGTACAAACCGAGCCAATATGTGGATGGTAGGATTACCAATGGCATCATGGTAATAAGAGTTTTAACTTCACAGCCACTGCAGTATATATGCGGCATATTTTGTTCTTTTTTTTTTTTTTGCAAAGAGGGATTATTTTCTTTCCAGAATTCGATATGTCTTTTTGGTTGATGGATCACGGTGAGATGACTAAAGAAATCTGTGGATGTCCTACGTTCGCCGCCCCCCGGTCTTTTTCCTATTGGTTCCGTGTTGACCCGTTATTGCTCGTCAGAATGCGGTGTTGTGGTTCATATTCATTCGCAGATCCATCTATATTTTTTCCCCCTCTTGTTTCCGTATTCTTCACTCTCGATCATGAACACGTCTTTACGAAGAATCGCCCAGCGCATCCCAGTATCGCGTCAGCAGCTATTCCTACTTACTGCATCCACAGCTCGGATTGGGTTTCATCGCACCTTCTCCACTGCAAAGGAAACCAACTCACCGGTAAAAACAATTACAGATACCGACACCCTGTCTGTGCAATGGCCAGAATCCGATCAAGCGAGCCACTACAGTTACTTGTGGCTTCGTGATAACTGCCAGTGCGAGCAGTGTCTTCATCCTTCCAATCGACAAAAATTGCATTCCAGTGCCGATGTTCCTCTCGACATTGCGCCCGTGTCCGTTACCGTGGAAGACGACCATGCCACCATTGTATGGAACAAACCATTGCGCCATCGATCCAAAGAACAGCACAGCAGTCGCTATCCCTTATCATTTTTGCGACAATATGCTTCACGACAAGCCAGTGAAGCCTTTCGTGTGAATAACATCATGCCTCGCACCTGGAATCGCGATCAATATGAGCACAAATGGATTTCTCATGACGACTACATGAACACCGACCACGGCCTCAGATCGGTCGTCAACCAGCTTTGCCGCGATGGCTTGGTATTTTTGAAAGGCGTTCCCTTGGAAGACGTCAGCGTTACCCGAGTGGCGGAACGAATCGGACCCATCCAGGAAACGTTCTATGGTCGAGATTTCAACGTAAAGAACATTGCCAAATCCAAAAATATTGCCTACACCAGTTTGTACCTAGGGTTCCACATGGATCTCATGTAAGCTAAATTTCGATAACCTGGCTACCGACATCGCGTCACATGACTCATCGCAATGGGTAGGTATTTGGACTGTCCTCCTGGGGTCCAGCTGTTGCACAGCTTAAAAAATAGCGTCAAAGGAGGTGCCAGCATTTTCGTCGATTCGTTCCGCGCCGTAGAACTGATGAAAGAGCAATATCCTGAAGACTATCAGGTTCTGAAAGATACCTTGGTCACCTTCCACTATATCAATGACGGTCATCACATGTATTACCGACGCCCGACCATTGTTACTGACGAGAAACACAGTGGACCTGCTTGGGATATGCACGTGAATTATGCACCTCAATTCCAGGGACCTATCGATGAACTTTCTCCCACGGAAACCAAGCGTTTTTACCACGCTTTTCAACGGTTCGCCGACTTTATCGAGGATGAGAAGTTGCGCTATCAGATCACTCTGCAACCGGGTGAATTAGGTGCGTTGATATTTTTTAAAACGAACAATCTCCAGCTATACTGTTGCTGACCGTTTTTTATATTCTATGGTAGTCCTTTTCGCCAATCGTCGTGTATTGCATGGCCGTACCGAGTTCGATCCAACCAGCGGTGACCGTCATCTGAAGGGAACCTATTTATCTCTCGATTCCTTGAAGGACAAACTGCGTGTGCTGAATGCACCAAATTAGATCCCATAGATTCTTTTTAAATAATACTAATTGTTCAACGACACTTTGCTGCCTGCTTCATGTGCTCTATTTGGCATCCAAGCCGAACTACTATCTCATATTAATAGTAAACTCACCAAAAATGTGTCTGCCATCATCAAAAGTTATTTAGACCTTTTTCTTTTCTTGCAAAATTTAAAGGTACTGCAGTTTTTTTTTTTATCCAATTGAATGGCGATTCTTGGCTCTGAATAAACACTATTAACCTCAGAAAATCGACAATACTTGCCACATTTTGCCGCTTACCTTTTTGAATAGACTTTTTGGCACCTGGCATGCCAACTGCGTCGTACGAAATTTTGGTTAAAGTCCGATGTGGATTAATTAAACGCCCTTCGAATCATCTCCAAGATGAGCTGGGTCGATAAAGATAGATCTGACATTCCATGATAGGTCCTCATCCCAACATCAAGAGGCAATTTTGCTGCGTTCATGCAATGCCGCAGAAAGAAATAATTAAAAAAGATTAATCCTATTGTAATCTGTTGTATGCAACGGCTGGATTTCACTCGGTATAAATCTCACACAAAATTCGGAGAATGGTATGTGTTGCTTTTCATGAATTAAATACGTGTCCCGTAGACGTTCATGTAAAACGACCGAGATACGAGATACGCGATATTTCGCACAGAGCGTATCTCGCGTAATATACAATTGATCGATCGACCGTTTAATTGATGCGATCTCATAGGTCTGATAAAAGGGATGATCCACCAACGCCTCGGCACCCTTGGGATGAGATTCGAGTATGGACGACAGTAATGATCAGAGTAGTGGTTCTATTATTGATTTAAATATATGCTAAAGAGGGTGGGTCTATGGTTTTTGAAATTTGGCTTGAACAAAAATGCGATCGACGTTTAACTCTAGTCGCCGATTGGTTGTTTCTCGGTAAATGTACTCATTCTTTAATGTCTGGAAACCTTCAGCTTCAAACCGCTGTTGAAGATCTTCCACGGAGAAGAAGTAGCTCATTGTTCCTGTTTTTCTTTGTATCAGAAAAATATGCGACCTAACGATCACAATGCTATCCATTGTACTTACCATCTTGTCGCACGTAAAGGTTTTCATCCAGCTTTTTATCAGACGCTGCGCTGAATTTGAGCTGTGCCTCATCGTATAAACCATAGTCTCGGAAAAGGATACATCCTCCCGGTTTCAGAATATTATACACGTTGCGTATGGCCAAACCTAATTTCTCTGGAGGGATGGCGGAGAACACAAAAATGGCAGACACCTGTTCCAACTCGTTTAGTGATCTCTCGATCCTTCCATATTCCTAGTCATGCCTACCAAATCCACGGTCTCGGGAGGTATATTATCTGTCAGCGCATCCGCGGTAATATCGCATACAAAGGCTTTGCATCTGGATTCATCGTATTGCTCGTTGCTCTATCCAGCCCGATGAGGATAGCGTCCATAATGTACTATACAGCTATAAATTAAGAACTACCTTGACCATGTCTACCGCTCGTTTTGAAAAATCGCAAGCATAGATAAAGATGTTGCTATTCTCTGCAAGGATCGGGAAAAGGAAGTTGCCAACGCCACAGCCGATTTCTAGACATGTTTGCTACATTCATACCACATTAGACGTGGCAGGCGCAAAGAAACAGACCTGACGCTACACACCTTTTTTGACCGATCGGCTAATTCCTCGAATTCTCTCTCGGTCCAATGGCGATCTGTGGAAAGGGCACTTTAATGAGACAAGTTGTATTCCTGAGCATCAAGAAAGCGTTACCGCCTACCTTTAAAGAATTTGGTTGTATTGCGTTTATAAAACAAGTCCCAGTTTCTGGCTGCTTCCTTTTTGTACTTGCTCACCCAGAAAGGAGGCACCACCTTTTTATCGTTCTCAAGTAGTTCTTTCGCTCGATTGTATCGATCGTTCAATCGATCGTTATCCATTTGAAGGCGGGCGGCATCAACACGTTGGTCATTGCTTGCAGCATTCACCAAAGCATCACTAGAGTTATTCTCCATAGTGACGATGGAATAGGAAGGGTGCGTTAAGCTTGCTGCTCTCCATGCAACAAATTTTATCGGTTGCCAAATAAAAAAAAATTAAGCCACTCGAACTGCATAAAATTTCCTAGAATGGAATTCTTGAGATCTCTGTTCTTTGCCTGGTGTTTTTGCCCTTGTCCATGTCTTTCTTTTTGTCATGGCAACAAGAAAATAACAACCGGAGTTATAGTTGCAGTAATAGAGGAAATAAAACGAGCAGCAATATGGATTGATGTTAAATCTATCCATCAATTTTTGCGCTCTGAATTCGGGGCAGTCTCGGTTGCAGATCATACAAATAGGAAGAATGAAATATTTATTTACAAGTTGTTTGTACAATGGTTTGAGCTAGTTTTCCGTAATCCAATAAATACAAGGAACAGACAAAGAGGCTAGACTTTGGCCAGTAGAATGTTATAGTCTTGACGTTAGGTCATCACTGGGGTCAGTGGCATCGGAAACTGAAGGAGGATGGGAAAGGGGAACAGTTGGTTCAGTGCTCGACAGAGTGGGCAGTGATGTTAATGGAAGGGCAGTTTCGGTGGACATTTCTTCCGCATGAGGATAGCAGGGCGGCGGCGGTAAAAGTGTGGTGACGGGATGGGTATGACTGGAGCAGTATTCGACCATGAAGAAATGGTCTTCGGGTAGTTCGGCGTTTTGTTCCGCGAATTGACGGCGATGTTCACGAGCTTCTACCAATTCATTTTCAAGCCGCCGTAGTTCAGCACGTTGTTGACGGTGAATGCGGTGGAAAAAGATCAAGCCAGTAAGATAAACTGCCAGTGGAAGCCAAAGCAGAAAGGCTGCCGGTGATAAATGTGGCACAAGCACAGACACGGAACCGATGAAAACCAACACGATGAGCCAAAACACCAAGTAAAAGCCCGCAAACTGCTCGGCAAAACACACATTAAACGCTTTGAGCCATTGACGCTTCTTTGACAGAGGGTTGCCGTCAGAATCATTTGTGCTGGACGTCAAAATATAAAACCAGCCACTCTGGTTGTACCGATAACGTTCTTCAAGCTGTGCTAATGCTTCATCTTCTCGACGACGCCATTCTTGCTCCGCATCGCTGTGGATTTTATAAAGCGGAGGTATTGATCCGCTGCAAGACATGTAAGATACGGTTCTCAGCGGTGGTCGGATCGGTCCCGATCGAAATTGAATAACGGTTTCGTTATGGCCCCCCAATTCCAAGTCGCTTGATTGACGAATATGATTAATAAACCCGGATTCTCTTTCCACGTAATCATTGGCATGATCCATGAAGGAAAAGCGGCGATCGGAGGCATGGTTAGAGGGTATATATCCAGGAGCGTGATACGCAGATTGCGGATCGTTGCTGTGACCGACCATTGATGGATCGATAGTTACGGCGGTATGTTCCTGCATGGCGACTGGATTGTCGGGTGCGCCAATGTTGTTTGTGTGTGCCATACAAAGTACAACGTGTTTTAGAAAATAGCCTTTTTATATTGAGGAATTGGATAGAAAGAAAAACGGTCAGTGCGACGTGTTTCCAAAAAAAAAAAATATAGGTACCAGTGTCCACGTTCTTTTTATGCGGGGTTAGCGTTCTATTATGTAATGCTTTTCTTCTTCGGCTTTTCTCTTTGCTCGCTTAATGATGAAACATTGCCAATGGCAGGGCTAATTTGAGGCATCCCCCTTTGGCGATGACATATTTAGGCAATTTATTAAACTACATCTGAGGATATGGTTTCATTTTTAACCTCTTGACAATGGGGTGGATCGTGTTGGGAGCCACCATTTCATCGGAAGCCGTACCGAAACGGCCAATGTCACCGACTGTGTAACCGTTCATAAACTCTTTGGCAGTAGTTTTGCCCTTGTTCTCTGCTTTGATGTGGCTTGCACCTACCACCTGGCCGTCGGCGCACATGACGTGGATCGCTTGACTCATTGGATCGAAAATGAAGGAGCCAGATCGAGGTCGTGGACTCATTGAAAGCATAGCAGAATGTTTCGGCAAAAATATATTCAACAATTGCATTGTAAGAGGACGTTTCACTTTTCCTGATTTCTTTCCATGTTCAAATTCAAACACCGTCCTCAGGGGGCTCTATGACATTTGATGAAACACCTTGAGTCAACATTTTGGGAAATCGACGACTGCGAGAGAAAGGCGAGAGAAATAAATGTACCTGTTCACCAATGGCACGATGAAGTTGATCTATTTGCCATGCTTGCATTGTAGCGAAATCGATTTCAGACCATTCCTTCTTAATTTTGGGGGCTTTGGTCGCTTTTGTGATATCTTGCGTGATGGCGTGATTCTAGAAAAACACCAGTTCTTTGAGTGGTCGTTTCTTTTTTTCCTTTTTTGGGGAATGCGTGCCATTTTACAGTTTTACAGTTTTACCTTGTGGTGGTCGAAATTTCGCAGTGTGTCTACCAACAGATGGCTGCCCACGTGTGCCAGTTGTTTGACCAGTGTTGTATAACGCGGGGGTCCGTCGACAGTGAGAGCCACACGTTCTTGTTGCAGAATTCGGCCAGCATCAAATTCCTTATCATGCAATTCTTGCACCGTCACTCCTGTTTCGCTGTCGCCACATAAAATAGTATGTTGAATCGGTGCGGCGCCACGGTACAGAGGCAGTAGGGAAGGGTGCACGTTGACGGCCCCCTTGCCAAACGAGGCAATCACCGCCGCTGGTATAAAATAACCAAACGAAACCACAACACCTAAATCAAATTGACCAGGCACCTGAGAAACCATCAGTGGTCCAGCGCAAGATGATTACTCTCTGTCTCTCTTTGCTGTTCAACTTACTGTCCAGTCATTTAGATGTTTCGCCTCGGGCGGGGTGTGGTGAATAGGGATATTGTGTAATTTAGCGAGACTTTTTGTCGCACCTGTAACATCCTATGTATCAGACATGGTTTCTTCTCTGATGGTTGAGAAAGCGCAACCTACTTTCTGTAATAACATTTAACTTGCGACCGGTTCGACGGTCTGGAGGACAAACCAGCTCGATATGATCAATGACCGATTGAGGCTGATCTAAAAAACAAGCATCCCGATGATGGTGAGAATCCCTTATGCAGGCCCATTCTTCTGTCATGTACCTTTTTCCTGCAGTAAAGATTTCAAATGGGTGGCAGCAAAATCGTCTGTACCAAAGAATAGAATCTTTAGCTTGTCTTGTTGTTGGCGACAAGCTGATATCGTAAAGTATCGTGCCGCTATGCGCGCATTCTAAGACGACCAAATAACGAGAAACGTTTATGTTAAAAAAAGCTACCAAACAGTAATGAATGCCGGGTCCTACGTGTGAATAAAGATACCCTTTAGGAGATACTCGGGAGAATCGGTGACAGCGCAGTAAAAAGTTCATTGGCAAACCATTCGTTTTAGATCGTTTCCCAGCGCATCAGGACATGTCAAGAGCTGTGACTGTCTCGTAGGATCCTCAATTCGTCCTTGCTCACGAATCGATAAGAAAAAGAGCTTAATTTTGTCAAGAATGTGGACATTGGTTTTGCCCAGCAACAAAAAGTATAAATAGCAAACGGGAGAAAAAGAAGAGAAAACATGAGTTGTGTACAATGAGCGAGTTGGGGAACACATTCGTTTCTGTAAATTTATTCTTTTGTTTTTTGCGCGACAAGCAAGATCATTAAATCGGAAAAACGACGTTTAAAGCTTTTTAAGCAGAGGCAGGCTGGGATCGCTTGACAGCTTGGGAGCCTAACACAAAGATACACACATCATAAATGAGAATTCACAACCATTTTTCCATGATTTTAGCATTCCCGTTCACTATAACAAGTGGCCCACTGAACTCGTTTTGTATGCACTTACCCTCACGGAAACCATTCTTGAAACGACGGTGAACTTCCTTCAAGTAGCGCATGCGACCGGTACCGGTGGTCTTTCTGCGTTGACCCTTTTCGGACCAGTTGAAAGATCTGATTTTAGCAGCAGGGTAACCGCACTGAGCGCAGGTTTTCTTCTGCTTGTGGAAGGAGCGGCGACCGCAACGACGGCACAAAGTATGCGACTTGGTGTGGCGTTTACCAAAGGACGAAGTACCCTTAGTCTACAATGGGGAATGCAAAGCGTCAGCAAAAAGTTTCGGTTGGGTGTTGGGCAGAATCTCAATAAATAGTTGAAATATAGGTGTGCATCATCCGGGTATCGATTCAATCGTAAGCTAATCTCGTCGATCGATCATCCACATCTATCTCGTCGTCTACGCTACGGATGGATGCATTAAAATTCACTATACATACCATCTTTTTACGACCGTGAAGGAGAAAGGAGGATCGGCCACAGCATCGTGTCAGCCAAGCTGTTTGTCCGACCACCAGTGTCCCCGCCGAACCTCCATTCCGCCAGTTAAAAATTCCCGTCCGAGCCGGTGACTGAGTTTAAATATTTAACTGAGCTGACTCGTCGTCTGCCAAGGGATCAGCTTCCAACCAAAGCGAAATAAATAAAGTGAAAGTGTTCAGAAGTAATTATAAAACAAAGTACTTGACTTAACTGCTCCCTTTATTATATGAAAAAACTACAAGCGCGTTTCATTGACAGTTGTATACGACTTTCATTGTTGGATCAACTGACATCTTTTTGTTGTAACATGCGATTTTCCCGACGCGACATTTAAATTCAAATACAGCCCACTTTACTTTCTGAAAGGACGGCACAGGAATACGGCAAGGGACACAAAGTGTAAAAAGGGGAGTTGCGTTTGAACTGCCTGCAAGTTTTTTTTTCACATATTTTTTCCAGCGGCTTCCTCTTTGGGATATCTAGTGTGAACTTCGTTTTTTTTTATTACTTCATGGCGCAAATCGGAAGGCTGAAAGGACGAACAGGTCTTCGTTTGGACCTGAATATGAAGCCGTTATCGTCTTCAACAAAAGAATCGCCCAATGCCGTTTCACTTAAACCCTCGTCATCTACAGGCACCAACTGGCGTGAAGATTTGCAACGCATCGTCAGCAAAAACCGCTCACTAAGTTTTTTACCGCAAGAAGAACCTACCCCCGTCCCTACCAATGATTATGTCGATCTGAAAGCAGACGATTTCGAAAATATTCAGAAGCTTGGTGAAGGAGCGGCAGGCACCGTGTGGAAAGTACGTTATAAACCCACCGGTTTGGTCATGGCCAAAAAGGTAACCTGACGCTTGATCCTTCTTTTTGCTCTACTCTTGTGAACTTGTTTCTCATTGTCGTTTTTTGCCTTGTTTGTTTGAAAACAAAAACAGACCATTACCGTGGATCCTGATCCTCAGTTACAACGTCAAATACTAAGAGAACTGTCATTCTTAAAAGATTGCGGTTCTCCTCATATTGTGGCGTTCCATGGTGCATTTTTGGACGACGGAGAAACGACAATTGCAATCTGTATGGAATATTGCGAAGGTGGTAGTTTGGAAGACATCTACAAACGAGCTCGTGATATGCAAGGTGTTATTGGCGAAACAGTGTTGGCGAAAATTGCTGAAGCGGTATAAAAAAAAAAGACATATTGGCTCCTTTGTCCACTCTCTGTTATTCAACATTAATACCGATGCATTCTTTAGGTCTGTAAAGGTCTCACGTACTTGCACTCACAAAAGGTTATTCATCGAGGTATGTCGACCTACTTTGTTTCCACCCGTCATCAAAAAGCATAACAAAATACAACCGAAAAACGCCTCTTTTTAACTGATGAGCTTGTTTTAGATATCAAGCCATCCAATATCTTAATGACTCGATCTGGCGAAATCAAGCTGTGTGATTTAGGTGTTTCAGGTGAACTGATCAATTCGCTAGCACAGACATTCACCGGTACGCAATATTACATGGCGGTAGGTTTTTTTTATGGACTGATAACATGCATGCCGTCCTACAGTATCTTGGTTTTTGTTTTGCTCCGGTCTAACTCTGTGTGTAGCCTGAACGTATCAAGGGTGGCACCTATTCCGTCCGTTCCGATATATGGTCGCTCGGCCTAACTATTATTGAAGTAGCGCAAAATCGACCTGCGTTGCCTCCCCCCGGCCAACCCAATCTTTCCATCTTTGAATTACTCGATTATATTGTGCATCAGCCCATGCCCAGTGTAGGCGAAGATCGGTCAGAAGCATGCAGAGACTTTGTTGCAAAATGGTAAGATGGAACTTATTTGGTTTTTGGCATTGTCACTCATTCAAAATTGCCTATTTAGTCTGATAAAGGACCCATCCGAACGTCCTGGCCCGGAAATGATGTTGGAGCACAAGTTTATCAAAGAATGGGCCGATCCATCCAAAAATTTGGCCCCTTGGTTAAAGGAAGTTTGGGACTGGCCGTAAATGCTGCTACTTCCCATTGTTTTGTTATACCCTTGAATTGCAGTTCTATTTCCCCCTATCAAACTGTTTGTATCTGTTAGATTTCCATGATATCATTTGTCCGTGATAAATACCTGTCCAGTGCGACCTTTCTGTTTTCTATCAAAGCCATTGCCTTTTTTTACTTGGAAAATCAACGATGCTTCATCTGTGAGGAGTGTTATATTCAAGGATTGTCTATGCCAATCTCCACGGATTAACTATAACAATGCTTTGATTATGATGATATATTTACAGAAGAGAAAGTGTTATTATCCTCGATGGGAAATTAGTTTGACACCTTGCAAAGGGAAGGTGAAATGAGGGTTGTCTTTGTAGAATTCGATGAAACTGCTCTTTGCCGCTATGCGATCTCGAAGATTATTGCCTTTTATTTATGAATTCACGTTATCTTTAAGTACAACTTTAGTGAAAGAACAAGCACACAAGCAGCTTGCGATACCGTTGGTCATTGATCGAAAATAAACTGTTGGCTCCTCCATAGTACTGTAACAATCTGGAAAAAGAAAAAACTGTCAATCAAACAATGTGCGCCTTCGAATTCGTTCAGAAATTTCCTTGATGAGCAATTGACATGACATCGCATTGTGCCATAGTGAGGCCTTGTTCATGATCATATATATACAGTATGTGTCGATTTATCTATCCCTGTACCTCTTCTGGGTGTTATCCTTTTTGTACATTAATTGATTATCGTCGTTGATACTGCTTTTATTTCATTATTCCATTTTTATTCCATATTCATTTCGATTATATCTTATCCTTTTGGCAATAAATTAGCTTTGGCTGTTGCCTTGTGCTTCTGGTTTTTACCTTCCGTTCCTACTTATTCCTGAAAAAGCACTTGACACCTTCTCCGTCCTTGTCCAATTCCCTTCGCTTCTCAACGAGGGGGCAACTCGGCAGGCATCAAGTGATGTGATTGGCTGAAACTGCGCAGAGTGCGCAAAGTGGCGGCGTCATGATGAATTGAGCAAGACCCATGAAACGGTTCAGGAAATGCATCTCCAAAAAGGACATGTCAGCAGCCTGTGGTTCCAATTTGTGATCGGATTTTGGAGGCAAGCAACATCTCCTAGGATATCGTCTGCCCCTAAGCTTTATCTTTATGGTAAATCAAATTTCTTTTTCATCATTCTTTTCTTCCACTAAGCAGTTATTTTAAGAAGGCCAACACTTGGTACTCTCCAATTTCCACTCCAAATTCCTTGTAGAAACATGGGCCAGCGCACACGTCATCATTTGACGCGCGTTCTTCTTCCTGCTTTGCTGCGCCTTCGTAGACATCTTCCATTCAACCATTACAAGAAGATTCGAACGAACCTCTGCCTGTCGTCCAAGCAAGAACAAAGGCCCTCTTTGACCACATGACGGCTTTAATCCAATTAGAAGATGCCCATTCCTTCGACGTTTTTGGGAACCCTTTTGGTGTGAAGCGAACGACGCGGAAACTGTTCTTGCGTCCTGGAGGGATTATTATCCAAAGCGGCTCCACTGGTCCAGAATAAGCGTTTTGTTTTTGCACTGAATTTTGGAGTGTCCCCGATGTTGACCAACTCTTGGGGACTCCAGCTAATATTCAGTCGCTTGAACTGAAGCAAAAGCGTGGGCTGACGTTTACCATTCTGCCCAACCCCAAAAAAGCCAAATCAGTTGGAAAACCTCCCGTGCCCACGCCCGTGGATATCGAGTTGATTCTGCGAAACAGTTTCGCAAGAGACGTACTTTGCGGAAATAGGTAAGACGAAATAGAACAAGGCGAAGGCATGCAGACTCACCTCATTTTTCTTTGTATGTGGACAGCTACATGGAGACGACAGACGACGTGGCCAAGATGTTCAATCAGGACTGCTTCTTTCGGCCACAGGTGGGACTGGCTCTTCTCCCACAGATGGGACTGATTCTTCTCCCACAGATGGGATCGATTCTTCCCCCACAGATGGGACCGGCTCTTCCCCCACAGATGCGCTTCTTTGCTGCGAAGGCACTTGCAGGTGCCATCCTGGTGGATGTGACGTCAAACACTGCCATCATGATCAACACCAGGAAGTCTATCGTAGCTCTAGTTTGGTCGACGCGCATCACGAAGGTGCTGTCAACAAAAGGAGTTCCTGCCATTTCGACCAACCCACCTGTCAACAGCCGGGTACAAGAACATCTGGGCGTGTCGATCCAAAGCGACGAAGGCACAAATTGGAATATTGGGACGAAGAGTTTCAATGACCTGGTGATGTCCAGTATCCATTCGCATACGAAGCGCGCTCCAGAACTAGGACCAAGCGCTGGCAAATCTGTGATCTCAGAAGAGCGTGGCCGCCATGTGCAAATCTTTTTAAACCGAGCCGACTATCAAGATGCAGAGAAGATCGCTCTGGACGAACAAGCCGCCAGTATCTTGGATTTCGATATCCTACAACAACTGCGCCGAGTTCGGTCAAAGTTCAAGCAGTTTTCGGCATACATACCATCTCGTGCAAGCAGCTCTCTATGTGACTTCCATAGATTAGAGCCACAGACCGTATTTACCTACAGTAGCTTTGAGAATGGCGCGCCGGATGGTGATGGAAGACGGGCTCCTCGTCTGTTTGCTCATGTTGCTCACGAGGTGATCCGTAAAAAAGAGAATGCGTTGCTTGAGCAACGGATGACTGAAAGCATTCTGAGTCAGTGCAAATCGGAAGGCAGGATCGCCAAAAGGTCAAGTCCTCGAACCAGAGACCAAAGCCCAGGCGAAGGAAGGAGCAGAGGCCCGAGAGCATGGTCAAGTATTCGAGCCAGAGACCAAAGTCCTGGCGAAGGAAGAGAATGAAGACCTGCGAAACCCATATTCGAACATGCATCGATTGTCAGATATTCGGCGACATACCCAATTTATCTATGGGTCGTTTTCCTCCGAATGCACAACAATCAACGTTGTTGGCAACCAGCAGTTGTCGAGTAAGCTCACTGACTTGGCGCAGGTGTTGTCTTCCCATATTTCCACAGCAAACAACACTGTTGCCCGAGAAATTGAAGGTCTGCTTCCTGACTTGGTGGCCTCTTTTACCTTCCTGTCTGCATCTCCCTGTCTCTCTGTGTGTGCGTGCCTATATTTAGTACGTTTACTCGATTGATTAACAGTGTGGTGTTTTGTGGTTTAAGATAGAATAAAAATACAAAAAGACAAGTGGAATACGTTGAGGCTCTTTGTATATTTGATTAAGATGAAAAAATCTTATGTCTTTAGTTAAAGTCTACTCTAGTTTTTATATCGTTTGATTTAATGTATCTGTGATAGATAATCGGAGTGTGAGCTTATTAGCATATAAGCTACTGACATTGACGTTGGTCCTAATTTGTACATTGACAGCTGAGATTCTGTCTTTGATCGTGGGTCGGGATTGGGATTGTTTGGTGCCTGAATGGATCGAGTACACCAGTCTAGTGGCAGATTCTGGATCTATAATCGCTTCATTATTAAGGATCGGATCCTTTATTACGATGTGATGGATGATGATTGGATCATAAAGTGTACTACACTCTTATTTGTCATGATTTACGGCTAAAATACCACAAAGAGCCTTCCAAGACGGTTTGCAGTTCCTTGAAGAGGACCACGTAACAAAGAAGGCCCAAATTGGATGAAGTGGATAGTGTGTTTGTGCACGTTCACACCTCTTATCACCATTTTCTTCGCTCTTTCCATGTCTGCAGGCATTTTCCTTTTTTGTACTTCTTTTTCTCCCGCGCGCTTATTTCAGCGTGCGTGCGTTTTGTGCACGTGAGCATATCCCCTATGCTTTGTACTCCCACTCCTATTGTTAAATAACTGGTGCTTATAAAAGCCCAATTATCAGGCTTTAATCAATAAAGCATTCATAACATTTTCAAAAGCGGTTTTTGCTTTACCATTGCTTATCACATCTAACTAGGACTGTTGGATATGTCTACTGTGGATACATGACCATGATGGCTACGAGTAGCGTGTGAATATTTGTTATGTGCATTAACTACAAGGTGACACTCGATGAATTGGTTTGCTCTAAAGGCGGAGATGTCGCAGAGCTTGGCGGCTGACGAACAAATTCCACCATGAGCTCGTAATGTTCTGTATGTGGGAACAAGTCGACTATGACTGCACGCGAGGGGACAAAGGGAGCTCCTGTAAACCGGCGGGAGGTCGGTTTACATAAACTAGAGAACATTATAGTATAGATGATTTACCATTAGTGCGCAAAGCCATATAAACTGTTTGCTGTGGCCCACAGAGTTGCGTTTTATTATCTTACCTTATGAAGTTGGGTAACGCCTGCTTGGCATCACAACTGATATAAACTAGTCTTTGAATATGAGGCGAATCTCGAATAGTGCGAATCACTTTTGTATGCACTCCAACCCTGATAGAAAAACAAAATAAGCGTTAGGCTCGTAGGCATCGTATGTATAGCCAAAGCCCGGACAACAACACGTACCGTGGCGGATCCAGTACGGCAACCACATCATCATTCTGTTGCTGAGCAATCATGTCCAAGCGATCTTCAATTTTGCTTGCAGTAAATTCCACATTTTCAATGTCTAGCAATTCTCGCATAAGAAAATACGGTCTACTGCACCCTCACAGATTAGCTTCACTTACTATTCAAGGCTGCATTGGCTTGAGCGTCCGCAATGGCTTCAGGTACAATATCAATTCCGATGACCCGATCCACCGATTTCGACATGGTGATACCGATGGTGCCTGTTCCACAGCATAAATCAAGCAACGTCGTCTTTTTGGACCGATCAATGTGACACCACTCGGCGCACTTTTTGTATAATTCTTCCGCAGCAGAAGTATTGACTTGGAAAAACGCTTGACTGGATATCCGGAACCTGTGTAAAAAAGTGTCATATATCAGCTTTTCGATGATGAATGCAAAATACCGCTCGGTCTTCCTTTACTTGTGATCCAACATGTCCTCGTAAATGTAACCATCACCGAGGAGGACTTCGGTTGGTGCTTTCTCGGTTATTCCAGTCGAACGTCCGTCCCACAATTGCAGTAGTACCGTCGCAACGTTCACTTTGTTATGACCTAGTTGCTGTTGCAGGTCCGTGTAAAAGCTGACAAGTTTCTTTTTTTCCGCCGCAATCTCTTGCTCAGAAAGCTCGGCTACTTTTATCTGGAGTACTATCATCACTGAAAATACCCATCATGGGCTTATCAGCACAACCAGTAGCGGATCCAGTTAAAATCATGCCCGATGCGTACCGTCTCCCGATCTCTGAGTTTTGGTCATCAATGAACGCCATACCCCCGTCTGGTTCACTTTATCATAAACTGGATGTTCGGATGACTGGATGTATTCCTGTGATACGATAACAAGTTCTTTTCTGTTATGTTTCGTGTATCGTGGTCATTCTTCATGCATCGAAAAAGTAAACTCACTTCAGTTGCTTTGGCAATCCGTTTTGCCGTGTCGGGAATGTGGATACATGCACTGGGATCCATCACTGCCGTGATGCCTTCACGGTATAAACCCAACATAAAACCAACCGTTGGTTTTCCGTCGAGATCCTTGCCAATGGAAAACTCGCATTTGCTGCGATATCCATCGATGACGGGCGATCCAATAGGGTCCAAAATATCAAACGGCAAATCCTCCCTGTCATGCAATGACAAGTTAGCCTTTCAAACCGTGTCGGGAGCGCGTACAGACTTAGCATTATGTGCTGTTTGACTTACTTTGTAAATGCCCACGCTATCTGCGCTTTGCTCGCTTCTGTTAAATCAGGCAATTGGGTCAATTTTCGTCTCAGGGCAAGCAATTGCTTGATCCCTTTTCGATTCTTCTTTCTCAATTGAGCTTCGTATGGCAGTCTACGCATCTATGTCAATACAGCGCGCTTTCGGAAAAAAGGTTAACAACAAAGATCAGTTACTTTGCAAGAGGGGTCACTTGATCTGCTAATTGTTCGGCAGGCGTTCGATGATCCTGCTGCAACTCCTCGGTCACCGCTTTCTTCTTTGCTTCAAACTGTTTGTCAATTTCTTCTTGAGATATCTTAATGTACTTCGTTTTCAACGTTTCATTCTTCAACTGTAATCCCTCAAGTTTGGTCATGGTCTCCCTGGCAGCGGTTTCTGTCTGAAAACAGTGAGTGCAACAATCCAATAGATCGAGCGTCCTACCTTAATACCCGTACCTGAAAATTAAGAAATCCATAATCCCACTGAGGAGATTTTCTGAGTCGTTTGATACCCAAAGACTCGAATAATCGCTTCACGGCACTGTTGTCTTTGGAAGGAAGATTAAAGATCTTGACGCGATGAATCGCAGCATCGGAAGATCCCGAAACGGTATGCTCTGTCTCGCGCAAGGGAACTTTCACATTATTCGCTCCATTCTCGTTTAATAATCGGCGGCAGCTGTGTAAATTTCTGGCATGGAGTATTTGAGAACGTAGATACATCCATGATCTTGTCTGTTTCCACATGATCAGTCTTTCTGAAAACAGCGTGGAACCAACCAGTTAGCCAGAACTCCGATCTGTTCAAGGACACCAAAAAGTCACGCCAATGCGTCGCGCTTACAAACGCGTCGTCGCTTTCTTTTTTTTTCCTTTTACTTTTTTTTTTTACTGATTCTCACTTCACTGCACCGATAATGACGGAGGATTCAGTTGTGGATGCGTCTCCGGTCACAAATGACGCTGCAATGGATCAACTTGATCAACATACGGAAAAGCTGACACTTCACAACGATGTCCAATTGTCGGATTCAGACGATGACCTGGAAATTGAACCAGGCAACAACTATGTGGACAATCTCAACCTTTCCAAAGGCATTCGAGGCCTGATGCGATTTAAACGCCTTGAAGAACTGAATCTCGATGATGCTGACGAAGACGACGATTTGCTGTTCATGACCCCGTCCGTCTTGAAAACGCCAGGTGCACTATCATCCATTGTTCAACCGTCACCCTCATCCACCACCACATCAACTGAACAAAGTCTATTCAGAGACTTTGGTTCGAAAAAGGCTCCAGAACCTGACAAGGCAGATGACTCTTCCACAAAAACGACCAAACGCAAATCAAAATCGAAAGACAAGGAATCAACAAAGGAAACGGGCTCTAAAAAACAAAAAGAGTCAAAAAAGAAGAAAACTTCAAGCGCAAAGAAACGTGAATCCAAAGGCAAAGGCAAAGGCAAAGCCAAGGCAAAAGATCAATCAGGGTTGCATGGTTCCGATGATGACGCAGAGTCAGACATTGGTATGACAACGGTACGCGAAAAACGACCAAAAGCACAGAGAGCCATGGACGATACCAGTGATAGCGAAACCGCAGAGGATACAAACAAACCTGCTTCGATACGGTCCACCTCATGGTTAACAAACGCCTTCCTGTCGGATACTGACAGTAGTAGCAGTGATGAAGCCAGTTCAACGTCTAAACGAGCCAATCGACCAAAGAAGCTTTCGAAAAAAGCCATCTTGGAAATGCAACGTGAGAGCGACCGTATGGCGCGAGCGATCGAAACCAAATTGACCCCACGCAAAGGGGCAAAGTCGTTTGCTGAGGTCTTTCAGAATCACAAAAAACCAAAAGTGACTTTTGCGTAAGTGTCTTTTTTCCTATATCAAAAATGAATGGAGGAACGATAGAACTCACTTCTGCATTTTTAATACCGGTACAGAATGGAAAATGAGGATAACAGTACGAATGCGGATGATGTCGAAAATGGAACCGCGACCAACTCGGCAACGCACGATACCAGTGATGAAAGCGACTGTGGTCTTGAGATCATCGGCGGACCTTCGCCACGACGAGATATTGTCCTATCCCCTGAACGACATCGATTGAATATACCTTGGATGTCACCACCACAACAACGTGGTTCATCTATCAGTTCTCTCAATCAACGATTGCAGGATCGTATTCGCAAGGAAATGTTGGAACGTCGTCGATTGCTGCAAGAAGAAGCTCGAGGTCACATCAAGTATGCCACTCCAGAAGAACATGCGAAAAAATTATTGGAACGCGAACGACAAGCACAAATGATTCAGATGGATGTGGAAAAACATTTCATGCAAAAAAATCGTGCCCAGGAGGAAGTCTCGATTCCGGATGATGAGGATGAAGATGGGGATTATGTCATGGATCTTTCAGGAGAAGAAGACGAAGAAGGGGAATTGAATGAGAATGGGGAAGAAGATAATGGCGCATCAGCGAACTCTGACGACGAGAGTGGTAGCGATGAGGAGAGTCCATACAACGCTGCAAGGTTCTCTCGCAAGCGAAAAAATCGACGCAAGGGCCCGCTATTATTGGATGAAGAAGAAGACAACAACAGTAAACATACTACACAACCAACCAAGAAACCTGAACCGGCTCACTCGATCGCCAACTTTTTCCGAAAACCTGCTCAGGTAACTCTTTTGTTTTCTGTGAGACGAATGTATATCCAATGAAACTGACAAATCGTGAAAGCCATCTGCGGATGATGTGACAGATGATATCCCTGAGAACGAGGAAGGTGCAACATCCAGAACATTTCATCGTCTAGTGAAACCCAGTGTAACAATGGTATCAAGCGATGAAAGCGAAGTTGGTGACGGAGACGAACAGCCGGCTCAAGAGGACGACCAGGAGCAAACCGAAATCATTAGCCATAACGATGATGCCACGAATAATAAACAAGCTGACATTCCTGCGACGAGCAACCACAAATCAGCAAACAACACGGTCAACCGACGGTTTAGAAGCGAATACTTTGATGCAGAAGCTGAAGAAGAAGAAGACGAATTTTTTGGTGCCGGTGGTATTGATATAGAGGACGATGAAGCGCTCGATCACTATGAACAAGATGGTCTGCTTGTGGATAAAACCGATGAACGGGTAGATGAAAGTGAGCTACGCGCAGCCTTCAAGTAAGTCATGAGGTGATGTTCTACCGGCTGATTTGGATTTTTGTTGACATGTCGGACGGATTGGAATAGCAAACAGATGGCAGAATCGGATCATAACATGATGGAACGTATTGTGAAGGATATTACAAGCGGTGGACTTCGCCGAAGGCGGGCCGCTTTAGAGGATGGATTTATATTAAACGATTACGACGTCTTTGACGATGAAGACAACGATTTGGTTGCTTTCCGTCGTGCTGCGGCTGCGAAACGTCGAAAGTTGTTGGAACAAAAAGGAAATATCATGGAAATTCTAGGTAAATCCATCTTCTCTTGAAAGGCCTTTTTCTCTATTGGGTGGTGACCTGGATACACATTCATTTTTATTATGGCGAATCTCATTGAATTTCCATTTTATTTTTCCAGCCAAAGACGCGAAAACTGCAGCGTTTGCCAAGGCTGCTCAAACCCTCCCTCAGGAAGATGAAGCGATCCTTTTGAGTGATGACGATGGCGATGACACAGTAGATCAAGAAGAGGAGAAGCGAAAGTACGAGACTGCCGGAAACTTTAAGCATCGTAACCAATTCCTGATGGAAGTAAGTAATGAATAGAAGGAAATTTGATACTCTAAAAAGGGACAAAAGGACTAATCAATTACGTTATACTCTCATTTTCCACCTTAGCTTGAAGAGGAGGACGAGGACGAAAGCGTTATTAGTGAGAACGATGAGGGAGTGCAGAATGATAGATCGCAGAAAGATACGTCGCAAGACTCCTATTTCGGCGATCAAGCACCACTCAGTGAGGTTGAAATCCGTACCTCAACCACTTCCGCAATTATGATAGACATAGATGGAGATTCAACGACTGTAGGAAAATCTGTTGTGCTTGATGTAGAGCAGGACGATACATGGATGATTAATGTTGCGGACTATGGGAAAAAGAATACTCAAGATGACACGTCCATGCCACCGGCGAGACCATCCAAGGCATTTGCTGCGGCGGGCAAGCTCGAGCGATTCCGATCTCTGATTTCAGAAGCTGGCAGTTCGTTGAGTGGTTCCAACGACACCGGTCCGCGTATTGGTTTTGGTTCGAATCAGCGTCAGGTAATTTCGGATCGATCAAATGAACACCCACGTATTTTCTCCATCTCATTATTTGATTATTTTTTCCTACATAGCCCTCATCTGATAATTCTCAGGAAAGGAAAACTCTTGAAGAGCGAAGCCGACCCGAGGATTCCAAGAACCGACCACGATTACTGAATGTCCTCTCCTCCCGCACTAGTTCATTTGTCTAAAACCACCCTTCATCTGTAATATATGTACCAACATCATCGAAAACGTATAAATAATCAGGCATCCCTCACACCAAAGGATGGGTCTTTTCGAATCGTGGCATTTTGCGTCCATTTCAGATAATCCAAAGGGCCGATGGCTTTGCAGATGGTTTTCACACATCCTCAGCAATATCAGGATAAAGGCTTACTGGTGTGAGCAGTGGTATTTTTTACGATGCAAGAGTGAAAAAGGGACTTTGTAATTGTAAGGAGGAAGTGGCATGACAAGAAAGGCAAATGCGAACTGAATCTGAAAAAGGCAAGCAAAAAAAGTGGGCGGACATCTGTGTCACCTTCCTGTCCGTTATTTCCTATTTGCAAATTTCCCCTTTGTCAGCATGTGAAAAAGCAGGCAACGCAGACACTGGCAACTCCAAGAGACGTTTTAAACGCCGCACAGAATATCCAAAAAGAGGGAAAATAAATCAGGGCATTTTCATTGGTCTTAAACATCACCTTTTTTCGGTTTCACTTCTCCACATAATGACAGACAATAACAACAGTAACTCTGGCAACAACAGACAAGGGGAAGAATTGGGCAACTTGCTTGCCACACAACCACCACCACCACCACCGGCGGCACCTATGCCTGCGCCTGCGCCTGCGGCGGCTCCTACACCCGCTCCTACTCCCTCATTGCCGTCTTCCTCTGTTACTACTCCTCCATCCAACGAGAGCGTGAGCCAGTCCACAGCAAAGACGCCGTCACCCGCTCCAACTACGTCAACGGCAGCGCCAGCAACGCCATTGCGCGAAGATCTCTTAAAGTCGGCCGTCTCGTTTCTCTCTTCTCCCAACGTCCGTTCGGCAGAAAAGTCGAAAAAGGTGGCATTCCTCCAAAAGAAAGGTTTGAATCAAGAAGAAATCAGCGAAGCTTTCAAGCGAGTAGGCGACAGTGCACCGGCAGGATCTGTCTTGCAGGTAAATATTCAATTCTGTTACCCATGAATAAAAGTACACAAGTTAATGTACTGGTTGTTCTTTGGGTTAGGTTTCAGCGCCAGTTGTTGCAGCGAATCCTACAGCTCCGCCACCTCGACCCGCGATGCCGTATGTCCAGCAACCCGCAGCGCCTCCTCAGGTCGTCTACTATCCTATGCCGCCAGCGCCTACGGTGCCCACACAACAAGTGATGGCCATGGCAGTGATTTTGGGTGTGGGCGCAGTAGGTGTCACAGCAGGTCTGGTTGGCATCGTCAAGGTAAGAAAGTCCCTCCATCTAGGCAGACTGGTATGAGCCCATATTCAATTGAACTTTTTTCAATGAACAGCGCTTCATATCTCCGATTTTCAATTCCATTGCTGGATATCAACGAGATCGGTACAATGATCACCGAGCCATTGCGGAAAAGATGGAAAAAGTGTTGAGGGGCAAAAAGGAGGACGGCGAGTCGGCGGAAGAAGAAAAAGAAGATGGCTTAACGACGTTGGCAGCACAACAGAAAGCCATGATGGAATCATTGAATAAGTTGGTGAACCAAGCAAAGAGCCGGGTGATCAAGAACAAGTGCCATGAAGGTTTACGTGACAGTGTGGAGGAGCTCCGAAGGGTGATTTCCAAGCCGGACAACATGTTTAGCTACTCCTCCTACACCAGTTATGGATCCAACGGGGAAGCTCCACCAAGCGTGCAAAGCTTCAAAAGCGACATTCGTAGTCTGAAAGGAGCGTTGTTGAATCGTCGAAATTTCCCCAGCACTGTAGCCGGCACAGTCACCGCACAATAAGATTTTGGGAAAATGATACATTATACTTTCGTTAGATGGAGGATACCACTTGTAACGCTCAGTTGATTAAATAAAAGACTACACCGACTGATACTTTGATACCCTTTTTTTTCCAGTGAACCTAGTTTTTGCTCTCAGATAATGGCGTCTCTAGGTACAGTTTAATTGAAAAAATCTGGGTACAAATTTTTTAAAGGAGACAAGGTAATGTTGTTTTAAGTAATCAAATAAGGGAGAAAACCAAAGGACAAAGACATACAAAAAAAAAAAGATGGATGCATTAGACAGGCCACACTTACTCTTCTTTTGTTTTTACTTACAAAAAAACTGTTGTCACCGCATTGCGGGATCCGCCACCGCACACCGCCAAGGCATGGGCTTTGTTCTTCAGTATTTTAAGCTACACAGTAGAAGCACACAACAAGTGAGTGGCTCGGCATAAAGTTCAAATAAGAAAGGGCACTTGAGCACAAATACATTACCTTTCAAAAAAATGATACGCCGACTTTTATTGGGTCTATTGTAATAACGCGATGCTGTAGATGATCAAGAAACTTGACCATCAATATCGCATGTGACGGGATGATTCTCGCCAGTGACGAGGGCTTTATTTTTATACGTAGCAATGCCTGATTTGACTTGCAGATGTGGCATCACTTGTTCTATCACTTTTTGTTTCGGTTTTAAGACGGTATCGGGTGTGCCCATGGTCACACCTTTGACTTGAACGCGTTCGCCAAGAAGGGTGACGCCCGTTGGTTCTAATAACGCCACCTGGTCGTTGTGGCTAGCAGCGAGCAACATGCCCTGTGACAGAATGCCACGGAAACGACTGGACTTCATGTTACACACCACGACAACATGTTTATTCTAAAGCAAAAATAAAAGGTGAATAAAATGGAATTGCAGTAGACGGTTGGTTTTAATTTACGTACAATAAGCGAATCCTTGGGTATATACTTGGCTAATCCACTGACAATGGTTCTCGGTTCCGACTCGGCTACGTCCACTGGAAATGCCGCCATGAGGTGAGTAAAAATCATTCCACAAATGATTTACAGGACTACCAACCTCGTTCTACGTATAAATGTTCGGCATTGGGATGATGATCGATTTGAACAATCTTGCCAATACGCAAATCGAGACGATGGATGGAATCGTCGGTCGTAATAGGTTCGGCGTTGACCGGGGTACCCGTTGTATACAGCCTGCAATAGCGAGCTTGGCGACAGAGAGCGCCAAGGGAGGATCGGAATGTGTAGTTGACCAGCATGTTCGCGGTTTAAGCGTTTAAAGATTCGAAAACCTCGGTGTGGTGCAGAAAATCATGACTGCTGGGCACTCAGCCCGAAATTTAGTGTCAAAAAGAGACTTTTGATCTGTGCATTTCAGACTAAAACGTGTCCAGGATGATTGATGTTTCTATATACTTGATTTTTTTTATAAATTGTTGTTTGAAAATGATCTAATAAGCTTATACAGTTGTTTTTAGGTCTAAAAGTACTTGGTGGGTTGGAAGACACGCTTTGGTTTGGGTGGTTTGCCGTAGATGGGTTCGGAAACACCCATGATCTCGTAAACCTTGGATACAGATGGATCCCATTCTTCGCGGAAGAAAGAGACACCACGCACCTTCAAGCCATGCTTCTCAGCAAAAGCCTTGGTATCAAACGCATCTCGCTCGGCCTTAATATCTAATTTGTCCTGGTTGGGTTGTTCGTATGCGATCAAGGTGTAGCGATGATATTTTGTGCCCTTTTCCGGGTGAGGAGGGACATACTCCAGGATTGTGTTGCCGTCCGTCACGCGTGATTGAGTCGCTGATAATGGTACGTTGGCCCTATATTTTTGGTATTTCCACACCATGATTAATTATCGAATGAATCTCGCCCCCCTCCTTTTTTTGAGTCATCCAGTCCACAAACTTACATCAACCAGTGACAGCGCTGTTTGTAAGTTTTGTTGGCCACATCCGGTGAATCAGGATCGACAAGTAACAGAGTGTAGAGTCGTGTATCCATGTGGAAGTTGGTAACATCGACAAGGGGCGCGTTGATGGTCTGTCGATGAGAAAAATTTATCAGTGAGCTGCTGCTCAATCGACCCAATGTGTTTCCCATTTCCTCGTAACTCTTCGTACCTGTTCTGGTTTAACAAAGACACCAGGTTCAATAGGTTCTGCCTCTTCGTTTACTCGAATTTGAACGTCGACAACAGGCATAAGATCCGGTGGCAGTAAATCAGGAATCACATTCATTTGCGTGATACGTTCCAACAATTTGCTGCGAGGAGCTTTTTCAAAGTGTTTTTGTCGCATGTATCGGAAGACGGGTCGGCTCATATCAACTATTCAAGTCATTAAAAACGTCAGTCGTCGTCATGGTGCAACGGCCACGTTCATCAGGATTTTGCTAATTACTTTGTCCAAGTTTAAATTGTTTTTGAATCTCGGGATCGTTGAGTTCCGATTTGACCTGCAGGTCGAATTGGAGAGCATCCAATGCGGCCAATTGTGCGTGCTGGCCAGGCGAATCGACTGTTGCGTAGCGAAGAATGTCAAACTGTGAGTTAAAAAGAAAAGAAAACCTCAAGACAACCGGGAACCTACCCTTCTTGATGCGGGCGATTTCCTTTTCGACACGGGACAGCATTTCAAGACGTTCCTTCTTATCGCTTTGGATAAGTTTGATGGCTTCTTCATAAGCGGTATGTCGTGGGGCAGCCTCGCTGGAAGCACAGCGGAAAGACTAAAGTAACCATGTTGAGTTGCTGAGAAGCGAAAAATAAAAAGACGCGAGGACGAAATGAAAGCTTACGGTACGAGCAGCACATCGGCTTAGACTGCCGTTGAGAATGGTACGTCGGACCGAATGACCAAACATGTTGTGTAAGAAAAACGAATACGCTTGGGTTGTCCGTCGGTCGGTTTCCTGGAACAGGCCTGGTTGTTTTTTTTTGTTTATTGAAAAAATTGGAAGGACCTTGAAATTTTGTGATGTTGTTTCACACATTGGTGGCTTGTGACTCGGAAACTTGAAAACAAGGTCCATCATCCACTCAATCCGCATTCACGGTGGTAGTTCACTCCAAACGGCTGTTATTTGCCTCACGCTTCGATTCTTTTACGGAATGTGGAACCTAATAAGTTTTACAGCATGATTACTATTAGTTTGGCAACAAAGGTTGAAAGCAAATCGTAAACTCAAAGGCACCGAATAGGCCAAAGTTATTCTTTTACTTTTTCTCATAGATACCTTGTTTGGTGAGTCTGGTCTGTATATTGATTAAAACGTATGCATGGCAACGTGAGCATAATAAGTGTGCATATGATGAGAATGTCTTTCTCGATGCCCAAGCCAGCTGTGTTGTCGCTATATTCAATACATTTTGTCAATACAAGCATGGCCCGCGACGCCATCCGCAAAAGAATATTATCCTATCCTGTAACTGACGGCTTTGCCTATTTTTTCGCGACATCCATAACCTTCCAGCAGTGTGGCAGCACGTAGAATAAGATGATATATCATGTGTTTATAGCAATTACCATATTGCTCATTGTCCCGCTGTCGTACAACATGAGAGAATATCATAGCACAAAATAATTCATATCATTACAACATTGATCAATCTATTTTTCACAGTAAACAAGGATTTGCATCACGATCATGTATGCTATTTTAGTGATGATTTGTGTAAATGAAAAAAAAAAAAAAAAACTTTGCAGGGATACTTCCCTGTTTTTTTTAGAATGAAGTAGAAAAAAAAAAAAAGAATTATTCTTCTGACGTTGTTGTATAGAATAGCTTGGACATAGCAAAAAATGAAATAGATAGAATGGCAGTCTAGATGAACAAGATATATAAAAAAGAAAAGAGCTACGGAAATAGGAACTAAAGATTACACGAGGAGGGGAAAAAAAAAAAAGAAAGATTACAAGAAGAAATGGGTGTATTGGCGACTTTCAACATGCACTTCCATATCCGTCAGTTTATACTCATTTAACTCCTGTTTGATCTTCATGGCCACCAATGGAGATAGTTTTTGACAGGTCGCGTTAGGATCACAACGGCGATCATATTCAGAAGCGGCGAATGTTTCATGCACCTGGATCGTCGTACAGAACTGAATTCGCCGCTTCGGGATGGATTCCACAAGTGACGAACTGGACGAGTGAGCCGGCTTCAATCGAGGCGACCCATGCAACGGTAAACCGTAATGAAGGCCAACCGCAGGAGGAGGGATCATTTCATCTTCCTGAGTCAACGAAGGAAGTCTAGGACGTTGACTGGAGGACGAAGACGAAGAAGGTGTAGGAGATGGTAACTCGGGATGCATCAATCGATGTGATTGATGCGCGGGAGGAGGCAAACGATACGATCGGGACGAAATCGCACTGTTGGGAGAATCAGGTGCAGCCACAGGTCGACCGGAACCTGGGAAAAAAATAGAAGAAAAAAAAATCCGTCGGTGAGAAAAAAAGGGAATTTCATGGAATACAATTTCCTCACGGGATCAAAAAATCCACATGGAAACTTACCTTTGGATGCATTTTTTCGCGATTTGGTAATGGCTTCATCTGTATCCACACGTAACGCCGGTCTATCTTTCTTATCATCGGATTTGGATCGAGCGGCCAGGTCACGCAGGTCGCCAGAAGAGATCGGCCGCGGTAACGAGTTGCCTTTATTGGTCGCGCCGATTTTCTGACTGGTGGACACTTCAGGCTCAGCAACCGAAGAAGTTTTGCCGTGATGATGGAATAGGTTGGACAAAGAAGCCAGAGAACGTCGTCGAAACGAATTGGGATTACGTACATCCACCGACTTGACAGATGCAGCATCCACATCTGCTGTCACCACTGAAGTCGACGATGTGTTTCTCTCGCGTAGTGCTCCCAAATCTTTGCTGGAACGAAGATTGCCCATACTGAACACTTTACGCAGTCTTCGCGACAGTGATAATTTGGTATTCACCGACATTTCGGAACGGATCGACACGGTTTGCGATACAGTGGATGACGCCACGGAGGTAATGGACGATCGACGCACACCGCCACCATTGTCTGAAATGATAACTGAGGACGAGGAAGAACTATTGCGAGGATAACTTAGTGGCGGTCTAGAAGACTCGCTGATTAATCGGGATCGTCGCATAGGATCGGTCGAACGTGGTGATGATGCTTGAGGTTTGCTGCGAGGATGGTTGGAACCGGAACTAGGGACTTGCGATGGTAATGGCGTGGAATTGGATTTTTGCATGGGCAAAACATCGCGTCCCGGGTTGCTGGGAGTACGTGCACGAGACGGTCGTTGACTGGTACGGGTATGTTTGCTGTTCTGATAGTAAGCATATTGCTGTTGCTGCTGTTGTTGTTGTTGTTGACGTTGCCAGTTCATGGACTGTTGTTGTTGATAGGACCAGACGTCTTGCGGCTGTGTACAAAAAGAAAGATCGAGAAAAAAAATTGCGTTAGAACAGTGTGACTGAGGTTCAAAGAAGGAAGGAGAAGTAAACCACACAGTGATCAACGGAGACTGCATAATAAATTTAAAAATAAACCAACCACCTTAAAAAGGCAATTGTGCGCCCCGCCCGTCCCTTCAATCGGATGGTGAGGCGCAACACAGGGGGGAAGGAGAAAAATGAACAGAGCACCAATAATTTCATACTTGCCTTGTCAAAACGCATATTGGAAGTCAGATAGGTAGCCAGTGCGACATCTTCATCTTCTTTATCCTGCTGTTGACGAAGCATCACCGGAGTATGTTGTATCATTGCTGCCATGGTCATAAAAAGTAGCTAGAGGTTTCAATTTTCTTGAATTTGGATATAGTAGTTCTTGGGAGATGGTCGTTATAAGAAAGAATAAGATAATAACTAGTCGTTAAGGCGGTTGTTAAGGTAAATAACAAGAGAGCGGAGAATCGGCTGAGACAAAGCAAAAGTAGAATAAAGGAAGGAATTGAAAGACGGTATGTTTTTTTTTGTTGGAATAAAAAAAATTGTTGAGAGAGAGAGAGAGAGAGTAGGGATAAGATGGGTGAGATGGACGGATGAAATTGTACAGGAAAAGGGTATATACACAAAGAAAGATGGCGTTTTTTAGAAGTAACAAGATAAAAGTAGAAGGTAAATTTAGTAACGATCAAAGAATAAATGAAAGAAAATCACACATTCAAATCCTCGGTTCTCAGTCTATTAAAACAGAGAACACACAATATAGGATTGAAGAAAAGAATAGAATAAGGAAATAGAGAGATAAAAAAAAAGCTAAAGACCAAGAGAAAAGAAAAAAAAAATAACAACGATGAAAAAAGCAGCAAGGTAATGGAGAAGAAAAGGAAGGGTACACAAACGCAGTCGGGAAAAAAACCTAAACGTGCCAACTCCGCTCTAAAAAGGACATAAATTGTGCACAAAGTAGACGAATCCTTGCACCGTTTTACTGGCTTGCCCCTTCTTCATTCTTCATTGTATGAAAATAACTAGGAAAATCTGAACTCCTTTTATGTATCATCTTGAGGATCGGCATCTTGTCTCTTTTTTTTTCTTTTCTTGTTCACAGTGAGAACAGAAAAGCCTTATCGACTTTTGCCCGATTGGAACATCTCGATAAAATCATACGACGGCTGTGAGTTTTTGGGATTAATTGAGTTGGACTAAATAAAAAAAATTAATGGAGCAGATGAACAAGTTTTATTGACCTTCTCGTTTTGTACGACTTTGCAGTACTACCACTTTCCTTCTTTTCTTCTTTTTCCCTCTCAGAGGTAATAAGGCAGAAATAGATGCCTTTCCTTATTCATGATTCATCCTTTTTTCGTCACATTATTTTTGCCACCCTTCGCATATCCTCGTTTATTAAGCTCACGTGCCCCTGACGACGGTTTGGAACTCTAATTGATCGGCACAGAAATTCCTATGCACCGATCATATTCATTATTTATTTTTAAGATGAATTGCATCATGATGCACAAACAGTCTCTCCCTTTCGTACTTGCCTCTTTTTGAATACGTTGGGAAACGTCGTCCAATAGTAACAGTGATCATCGTCCAATCGATAAGCATTACACGTCATGTTAGCAAAAAAAAAAAAAAAAAAAAGATAAAAATTTCTCTTTTTGCCATTTTTCCCTAAATGGTCGTTTTCATCGTTTTGTTGTACGATTCAGTTAGAAGGATGCATTATTAAGAATGAAAAACATAAAAAAAACAAGATACTAGCCAAAATGTTAAATGAAGCGGCTTTCGTTCCATCGAATAGTTTGCTTTTTTCTTTTAGTGTATTTAGTGCATTAAAAATTTATGGTCTTGGGTCAATGGTGTGTTTTGCGGAGGCGGTCAATGTAACCTGCGTGCAACCACAACCCTTAGGCTAACCATGCTGACTTTGAACCATGGTCTTATCCGGAAATGACGGTTATGCAAACCTTTATGACCTAAATAAAAAACCGATGAATCAAAAGCCTTTCCAGTAATTAAGTTAAAATAACAAATTCATCTCCATGACTAGCTGTCCATTGATCAAGCATGGAAACCTAGGAAACGGCAAGCTGTATTTTGTTTCAAACGGGGGTGGGGAAAAAACCATCCTTGAGCCCCAAACCGCCATCATTTGGGTTCGACTGTATCTCGATGAATGATTCTGAGAACTATAGGAAGAGAATGCAAAAAACATATTTCAAGAATGCACTTTTTTTTTCGAGGAGTTGGAACTTGGGGAAGTACTTGATGGGCATCCCTTGTCAATTCAGCAACATGCTGTAGATGATGGGTCGTATTAAAGTTTACTACGGCGGAGTGTGACCTTCATCTCCGTCCAGTGGGTCAAGTGAATGAAAAAAGCGTGGCACAGGCTCATGGCTTGTTTCGGAAAATGATAAACTGCGATAAAAAAGAAAGTGTCACGGTTTCTGCTCAGCAAACGTTTTTCTGGGTATTCTTCATCTTTATTCTCACTATGAATACTACCTCATCCTCATGAATGAAATTCAGGCCTCAACCGTACGGTGCATGCTCTGATCATGCTCCACCACGATCCGATGCATTGTTTACAGTTGAAAAACCGATCCTACTGTTTTGCGGATCACTGCGAGTCATTATTCTCGAGGAAATTTCATGCCGATGAAACTAAAAAAGAAAACAGTGACATCCGCCAAGGGTAGGCACAACAGTACGGATAAAGCAAGGGCGACGTTTTAAATTTTAGTTTGCTTCCCGTGAACCCAAAAAAAAAGTCATCGGTGCTTATGGACATTGTCCACCAAAAAAATCGGCTCATTTACTGTATGCCAATATACCCAGCCAATCAACTCGATGCAGTTATAAAACTCAATCTGGTAGCCAAGCTTATCGGTTATCAAGCTCATTATCGGTGGTGAACTTTTGATTGTCGCCGCCACATTCCGCGTTGTGGCTCAACCCAAAAAACCGGAGTTGAACTGTCAATTGCGCGTGTTCATCAACGAAGGAGTCGTCTTGATAAAACCGAGCGCGGGAAATGGTTCTGCTTATGGCGTTCACTTCACATGCAATCGCATCCAAACCCCTGGCAAAAAAAATTCATCTTGGCAAAATGATGCGCGGATGCACTCCATTATTTACCGCGTTTCAGATTCAACTTTTTTTTTGATGTTTTGACCAAGTTACGCAAGTCCACAAGGTGCAAGGCTGCTGCATTAGGCAACCTCGAGAGTTTCATTCAGAAGTAGAACTGACGAAAAAAAAGGAGAAACCTGATAGATTTTCATTGTCGACACTGAACAGAACTCGTGTATTTCGTGTATATCAAATATGTATTTCGAATTCCACATGTACCATTTCGTATGGTTATTTATGAAAGCAATAGCTGTACGTTTCTATCATACCGAGGAATAAAAACTTTTCCAAGTGAATGAGTTGATACTTGGATGTTCCCTTCCAACCATTTCGCTCAAATATTAAGCGTTACAAGCCCACTCTGTGCGAAAGCCCTCCTGTATTTTAATATTGTAGTCCTATGGATCCGTTTCATTCACTTTATATGTCTTGCTCCGTTGTGGTGGTATCTGCGGATGGTGTGGTACTGGGACCCCATGAAAGAAAGCCTGATCCATAGTAGATGATAAGAAATACGCAAATAGCCACAAAAACGTAAAAACACAGTTGCCGTTGGTGACGCTTTGATATCATTCGATTCATTCGACCAAATGAGTTCTGAAGGTTCGATCCAAGTCCCGAAAACGAATTATGCTACCATCCGTTTATCCACCCAAAGTCAGTAACCTTCACAAGTACCTGTGAACCATTTTCGGTTGTTTTCTTACCGTTTCATCCAGTGTTCGGTCTTGGTCCGTAATGTCTTGATGCATGTCAATGGTGATCTAGTAGCCTTTTCTGAGTCACTGTCATGGGGCTTGCAGCCAAATAATGATACTTACGTTTTTCAATGCGGAGAGTTTCGAGCCAAGTTCATTCATTCGGACATCATTCTGTTGTTCAAACACATAAGCAGAATCGTTTTTATCACGTTTGCCTTTACTTGACCCTTCACTGGGGTCGGAGGTATTGTTCCTATAAAATACAAGCTCAACATCCCGGCAATTCTCATTAAGTATCGTTCACAGTACATACCACATTCAGTAGAATGACGTTGGAAAATTGAACAAAAAGACTTGGCGTGGACAAGCGGGAATTGAGAGTAATGATTGGCGCAAATTTATTGGCCCATTTTGATCCCATTTATTTCATGGCCCTGTTTTCTTCCGTTTTTCTTTCTTATCCCATAAAGCGTAGCACTATCCCATTGCAGAGATGTTTGAATTCAATCGATCTGCTTTTCTGATTAGCATTCCGTTCTTGCTGCTTCGGCAATACTGGCATAAGTTCAAGGAGAAATTGCACATGGAGCATAACGCGACTTCTTATTTTCAATTCAAATGAATATCAATTGTTGAGTACGACATTGTCAATATCCGAAACTATGATTCTTGCTATGTTGAATGGCTGTGTCCCTTCAAGTGCAAGTCACAAAGCGAGGAAAACGGCACCAACTGATATGCCACTGCAGTGTGCCTACAACAGCTAAACCCATGATTTGAAGCGCATCTTTTGCAGGGCCACCCTTTGCACAAGAAAAAACGTAACATGCACTATTGATATGAAATGGAGATCCCTTATGGCGACTTTTTTCATCTCATAAAACTATCCCACCTATCCCACTGTGTTTCGTCTCTCAGGGCTTCTCCAAGTAGGCACGCGTGCTTTGAAGTGAACCTATTTCCCAGTCACGGCTGGGTATGAAATGAAGGAAATGAGTATATAAAGGCCCCACAAAAATGCCCATTGTCGCATCTCTTTGTCACGTCTATTTTGGACCTCTGACTCATATTAACATTGGAACGATACAGAGAAGATTAGCATGGCCCCTGCACAAGGATGACACTAAACTTCTGAGTTGGATTGGTTCTACGGAACCGTTTTTTATTTATCAAAAATAAAAAGGAAAATGAAAAAATAATAAGACAAAACCACTGTCTTCTTGACTGCGGCATCGTCATCATTCACACGTTAATGCTGACCTGATCAACCGTAGTGAATGAGGAGACTCGCATCTAAGGCTGGCTTGGAGGAGCGTGTGAGCATGTCCAGAAGTCTGGTTGAAGTACGCCCTGACTTTTTATTTTTTGGGTTGTTTTTGAGAAGGTCGCTGCGCCACCGTTTGTGGGCCTCTTTCGTGGCTTCGTAGTTTTTATAAAGGCGAAGCTTTTAAATAGAGGAATCGATAAGTGGTCTCGATGGACGTCGCCATTCTTATACGATCTCTAGTTATTTGTTGAAATAAAAAATCCAGATGTTGGTACTATCTTGCAGTTGCCATTTCCTGTTCACTCGAAACGCGCCCCTCCCCCTTTTTTTTGGCTTGAGAAAGGTCAAGGTCAAGGTCGTAGTGGAAGTGACATCAGCCCCGAAGTTATTATTTGTATATCTGACTCGTGAACGGACAACAGATGCTGCCTGACCTTTTAAATTAAAAAGTTCCCATCGCGGCATGTCTACTTTTAAAAGTCGGTTTATATCATGAAAAATGATCGTTTTGGATTTGAAAACATTTTATTTCCAGACACCGCATTGGTCAATATGCTGTCGACGAGCATTTTTGTAGAAAGACTGATTGGATGCTTAGTTGTTTGAATGACAGACCTCGCTGTAGTATTGTGGAACGAAAAAAAGCAGAGCGACTACTTTGGGGCGACAGGAATGAATTAAAGCTGCCAATTGGGAATGAAGACTGTTGGGCGTTTCCATACTTGTCTCTGAATCCCTTCGGGTGTCAGTTGGCGACGTGCACGAATAGACAGAATGCATTCATTTACGAGGGTCTAAGGGCAAGGTTCAATTTATGGATCAGCATGAATTGTTTTGGCTCGCATTCATTACCTTGAGTTGCCTTAGGCTACAAATCGTGTTGCGAATCATGCCGAAATCATAAATATTTTTCATCAATGAAAATTGCCGTAGTTGCACAAGTCTGTAAATGCCGTCGTACTGCAGATCCATTTTGAATGATCGACATTGGCATCCTACATTGACCCCCGCCATGATTTTATCAGTCATATCAAACAAAAAGGAAATATTGATGTGTACGTTACTTTACCTTCAATGTAAATACCGAATGTCATGGGTTGATTTACGTGTTCATCTACGAGATGATCCAACATAGTTTTCATGCCAAACGCCATTCTGACTAGTTCGGCCACGGTTGGCTGTTGTGGCGATTTGGCCTTTACAATAAGACAGTTTCTATTGTGATCGCTGATTACCGTACTGACCGTAGCATTGGCGTGAAACTCCCATGCTTCCATTGAGTGCTTTCGTTTTTGGCTGCAAATTCTGATTAGCACCATGTCGAGCATTATCATACGCGGTTTGAACGTATTACCCAAGACGACTGTGATGAATCTCTGAAAGAATCACATCGGCGAAAGGTTTAAAGGCCAAGTTGACGAATGCATTTTCTTCGTCATCGTCCGACAAGTCAATGTCCTGTTTGTAGGTTTTGTACCTGACATCGAATACGTGTTAATGCCTGACGATCATACTCAATCCATACTGTACCTACAATTCGTATATTACTTTGGCAACTGAATGCACCTTTGGCGATCCATTTCGTGTGGACTGTAAGTATTGTAATATGGTGCCTTCCGCATCTTCATTATTTAGAAGGAGCTATCGCCACAGTTTAGCAAGGCTGATTGCAGAACGTATTACGTCGACTCACATTTTCAATAGTAATGCATAGGCGCGTCGATTCTTCGTCCATAATTTCAAACCCAAAATGCTGCTTCAGTTCGGTTTTCACTTGGGCTGCAACTGGATCAAAAGCATGCGGAATGTAGGCACGGCAATCTTCAGAAGCATTCAGAGTGAACATAAAGATGCTATTCAAAGCCAGCAATTCAACGTCGGTCATGGGAAGATCCAGTTGCTGCTTTTGTATGCATTCCTTTTGAAACTGAAATAGTTCGCTCGAAACATCAATCGTATCCTCTGTCCATCGCGAAAAAACCTAACGCATTCATTTCAATTTCAGCATCAGTATATCGGCGTATAGTACAATAGTTACATCGTGAACGGAGGATGGTGAGGTCTTTAAACAGGACTCTTCCAATGCGCTTTTGACTTCAGGCTGCCGAGACCTTGACGTTGCCGAATTGATCTTGTCTGTTGGCAGTTGTGAAGATGACGTTGCCAATGTCGGAAGGGAAGCTTCGATTGCCGTTGCCGTTGCCGCTGTCGTTCCCGCTTCCGTTTCCGTCGATTTTGATGCTCGATTTGTAGTAAAATGGAATACATTTTGCGGTGCCTGTATTACAGGTTGTGTTCCGACTGAATCGTGCTGGTTTTCGGTTTGTACATTGGAAGGCTGTTTTGACTCTGTCAAAGCTTCTATTTGTGTTGTGTTGGTAACATGTTGCTGCATCGTGTCCAAAGGTTCTGCGGATCCTGGTTTCGTTTGAGAGTTGGAGGTGTCTTTCGTGGAAGACGTTTTTCCTTGTGTAGGCTTTAATCGTTGCAGCTCTTTTTTTTCCGCGCGAATCCATCGCAACGTTTCCCTCTTATCAATAGCGGCCCGGTTCTAACGCAAAAAAAATTACCATGCTGCTATCTCGGTTCATCTATACCACAATGTATGCGAACCAATTTGATATGCTCCACCAGATCTCGAGAAATCTGTTTCCACAGGGTCATGCGCACTCGTGTTCCCCCGATCTAATCCACAGAACAGTGAGATGAGCGACACCACATTCACACGAACAAATGGTGTTCCTTACCTTTTCCGCTTCCTTTTTCAACTCATCGTAAAGCTCTGAAAATCGGCTGGTCCATATAAGCTCCAAATCGTCGGGTTTCAAAGGTGTAATATGCCAAGCGGGAAAATCCGCCCTATGTTCTTGCACAAACTTTGTCAATGTAGGATGCGGATTGCTATTGATAAAATATGCTAATACTAGATGTGTTTGTCAGTAGTGCATCTATGATGGGTAACCCGTGTTTAACTTACAATTATATCCTTTGAAAGGTTCCTCAACAGTCATGGAATCAGCAATCAGCAAAGCGGAGGTGCACGTTCAACACCTTATTACACGCGCCGCCCGGGATAAGCTCGTTTCATTTGATGTACCGGCTGAGTTTTAAACATTTATGGCTCACAATGCAGGTCGGGAAGTCAGTTAAGCATAACACGCATGCCACTTTTGAGCAATATCCTCTTTGAATTCAAGGTGAACTCTGTGCAATCACCTTTATTATAAGCAAGTAATGGGTAGTTTGCCTTCTTTAAACAACGTATCACTTTGTTAGTCCTTTTTTTTGCCAGTTCTCCTGGTTTTGCCCATGTTTGGTGGTGCTGAAGTCTGAGAACCGATGCAAAGTTCCGATCATTATGAAACTGAATGTTTATCGATTTGTAAATCACATGATCTACACTAAGTTATCAGGACCTGTTTAACCTTTTTTTTTTATCTTTCAACCATGCCTCGCTGCCCACTTTCACGATAATAGGCGAAACAATCAGCAGCAACATGCCGTTTGCGCCAGTTGTGTTCAAACAGAGCATCGGCGTATTTCGAATAAAAATGTGAGTAGAGCTCTTTTTGAAGAAAAGTGGTTGATGATACGACCGGCGTTCTTCTGTAGCATCATTCAATTTGGGTTTTCTGTCAGCTATACTGTATATGTCCTTTCATTCTCTTTCAATTTTCAATGAATCGAATAATACATAAGCAGGCGTGCTTCGATCTATGAATTCATGCATCAGTAGGTTGACTATTGTTTCATCCATGGGAAATCATATATTTTTGTCTTCATTTTTATCTTTTATCTTTTGGTTTTCTCTCTCTCTTTCTGTTTGCTTGATAAACCCTCACTATCATTTTATCAAGATCCCATCCGTATCCATCGTCCATCATCCCGACCATTCTTATCCCGTGTATCTAACTTGGTTAAATCGACTACCATCCTCAAAAAGGTAAGCGTCGAGTGGTCCACCATCGATTTTGCTCCGATAAAACAGACTTACCTCTCTTTTTTCTCCATGCTTCTTTTAGCTTCCGGTCTTCTCCGTTTTCTTTTAGCCTAACAAGTTCTGGATACTACAACTTGACTTTCTCTCGCCATCCATCCATCCATCTGGCGAAACCGGATGACGTCAAAGGCTATCGTGGGTGGTGTGACTCTCTTTTTCATCAGAAAACGCTTACGCTTACGCGTCCTCTTCATGTTCCTCTCCTTTGGATTGCTTCTCATGATATGGTATTCGAGATGTCTTCCCAACTATTGTATTTTGTAGTTTATAGTTTGTATTTTGTATTTTATATTTCATGTACATATTCTTTTCGCAGTCTTTTGCTCTTTTTTTCCCACAGGGTTTTTTAGGAGGTTTTTACTAACACGACCATTGTTTTTCTTCTTTTTATTCGGGAAACTCTCGATATCTGAAATTACCGTCACTTCTGGCCACGTCAATATTTTTTGCCTGCTCAAGCTGACACCACCAATCTATCGCTTAACCGTCCTTGGAAGCAATTCTATTGTCCGCATCGAAGAACAAGCTTACCTGTGGTACGTATTCATCTTTTTTTTTCCGGTACACCATTTGGTTCAAAGGCAAGTCCAATTTCTTTTCCTTTGCTATGATGTAATGAATGTATACTAATTCAAAACAATCAATGTCATATAATCTAAGTCATGTCAAGCGATCAATGGCTATTGAAAACTCAAATAACAAAGCTAAAATATCTTAACGAAAACTGAATCAATCAAAGAGCTTACTAACTCAACTTTTTTCAAATACCCAACATACTCACACATCTTTCTAGATCGATCATAGCCTGGGCGGAATGGAACTGAGGGGGTCAATCAGTGCTACCCTGCGTGTGTTCAGAAATAACTCACGTTGCAAAGTATGCCATAAGGTTGTCATTAATATACCAAAGTCCGTCAAGAGTTCTCGCCCAGGTTATGCCGTGTATGCGTTAGGCTTTTTGTCTGACGAAAGTCGCTCAATGTAAGGGGGCGACCTCCGGTGGCAGTCGGCATCCATTGCACAGCGGGTGTACGGCTTGTTTTGAAATTGATTACACTACACTCAAGAGTTTTACTTGGCAGTAATGATATACGGGCGGAATAGCCAGTTAGTTGGTGCAATAAGGAGATGAGCTGCTGGATAAAGTTGAGTATTCATTTTCATAGATTATATTGTAGTAATGGTAATAATGAGAAATGAAAAATATTTCTATAAGCAAGAATTATAGGATACTTAATGAATGGATCTATAACATAGTATATGGCCTGAGTACGTAGGGTAAAACGGTCGGCTTGGATGGGGTATAGATGAGATGATGCTTTTTTTTGGGGAGAGGAAGAAAATGGAGGTCACATGAGGCCGGAATCTGTCAGGCATTCTTTGAGCAATCGATCTTGCACTACTTTGAAAACAGTTCTAGAAACGGTGATATAGAGTTAATTATGTACGTGAGGAGTCATATATCATGAATCGGGTACTTACTTTATCTATAAAGTAAAAAAGAGCCATGAGTGAGTTTGAAAGAAAAACTTATATCTCATCATACAACTTACATTAGAGGTGTTTGTTGCTTGCGTCAACCTGTGTAGGAAGAAAAATCATTCATTTAACTTAATGTCACATATTCTTTGATGACCATGTGAAAACATACTGTGCATAGATCTTGAGTTTCATTCGGTTGGTCTGTTGGAATCGCCACAAGATATACACGCAGGCTTTATCAGCGGATGGGCCGCCCGTGTAATCGGGGAAGTAAAGATCCAAAGGCACCTTTTGCAGCTTCTCCCGAAAAAGATCAATTTTGTTCAGAAATAGAATAATGGATGTGCGTAAAAACCATCGAGAGTTGATGACCGATTCAAATAAAACTAAACTTTCAACCATGCGATTCTGTAGATGAAAAAAAAAGAAGGTTTGAATTAGGGGGGTGTCCACGAAAAAAAAGTGCAATGTCCTGGGATCCTCCACTCCTTTCGCATCCCTTATAGATTTGCGCTTTCTCTCACCCACTGTGGTCTCCATCGTAAGTGAATACGAATATATTTACCTGTCGAGATTCTTCTAGCAGTACTTGATTATATTCACTGAGAGCGACGCAAAACATAATGGAAGTGACCGATTCGAAGCAGTGAATCCATTTTTTACGTTCGGATCGTTGGCCGCCCACGTCAAACATGCTATTGGTTACCAAGAAATACACCATTGTTTACGTCAGTTTGCGTAACCTTAAAGATGCCACTTGAAATTACTACATACTGAACACTCAACTCCCCCATGGAAAATCGCGTTTCAGTGATACCGGTGGTCTTTAAGCGGGCGTGCAGTACATCATCGACAGTCGGAACATATCCCGGTTTCGTTAACCGATGCAGGTGGCTTAAGAAGCTGTAAGGATAAGAAGATTGCACCCTAAGTAAGCAGATTCACTTGCTTCACACGATGGACCGGCCAAAGTATTTGACTCTTTACACTTACTAAGGAGCAGAATCCATGATATAAAATTGACTGGATCCCCGTTCCAAACATTCAGTCATCACCGGGTCGTTCCACAGTTTATCGATTGCATTGACAATAGACTCTGAAAATTCGTGAAAAGGTTCGGCAGACAACGTATATTCGCGAATCACGTCCATATCGACCTGTAATGCATTTGAACATCAACGCTAGCCCACTTGATACCTCACTTCTTTTTTTTTTTGTTGTTGCATCATTTCTTTTCTACCCTAATGACTTGCCTCCAACAGAGTAGTAAAAGAAAGCTCGAGTTTATGTGCCGTGCTAATGATGTCTTTAGCTGAATCGATCAGGTTTTTGTAGACAGTGTGTTTCCACGCTCGAAGCTCGTCAGTGGTGTAACCATTCTGATGAATGATTTTCATTTGTTTCACGATGGTGGATTTGCCGGATTCTCCACTTCCCAAGAGGAGAATTTTACATTCTTGCTGGTGGCGTCGATGGTCTTGCATAAGTTCACGATCGATTTTCTGGCTACGTTGTTTGTTTTCACGTTCTTCGGCAGAGATGCAGATGTCCATGATTGATGGCATAGTAATACTGAAACGTCACGATTGGTTTTAAAATATGAAATACACCGCAGTAAACTGATAGATAAATAACAAGAAGAAAACAAAAGGGAAAAAAAGGCTGTATAATGGTATTAAGGAGTCCATATATAAAAGAAAAAAAAACTTTGTGAGGCGAAAAAGAATCGAGTGGAAAAGGGGAGTGAGAAGGACACGCCCTTGCCTTATTAAATCGCAGGGATACAGCGCTGTACGCGCGAATTTGGGTTATTCTTATCAGGGTATGTGCTCAAATTTTTCCAAGCCATTGCAAACAACAAGGAGACGGCTTCTGGTGAACACGTTGCTCAGGAGTACTGGGAATAGCTAAAAAACTATACAGTATCTCCATTTTGCGTGGTCCGCAACGACTCTCATCACCACAGTGATCTTTGTTCCTCTTTCTTTTTTTTTCTCCCTCTCGTTGTCTCCCTTCCGAATCGTAAAGTTTCAGGATGATGCTTTTTGTAGCGACCCTTAACAAACATGAGCCGGCATGTATTCTACCTCTGATGTTTTTCCTCTTTTTTAATTAAAATCTTCATATTTCTATAGTACCCAATCTGTTTTTATAATAATATACTACATAGGTGTTTCCGTGCCCATACTATTGGGTCCTTTCTGGTAAGCGGAAGTAAACCCTTTCACTTCTATAAAAAATCAAGATGTTTTTTTTTTGGTCGGTAAATATAGAAATAAAGCCATTAATGGAATCTGTTATCTGAAACAGGCAATTGCCATTGATTACCGTTTGTCGGATTCAGCAGATGCGATTGCTTTCCAAAGCTCAGGTGTTTTACATTGGGGGTATTATTGCCTTGGCTCTCTCTCTGACCATCTATAAATTTTTGAATGTCAGAACTTGCCAAATGTGATGTCCCATTGTTTACGCGAACTCTCACGGTGATTTGTAGTATGATTGTCCCGCCACGGATGGTTGAATCCCGCAGATGATCTTCTGCGTTTGTAGAGAGATGGTAATTCAGCGGCATGTGACGACGGCGCTCCGTTGTGCTCAAGCGGTGAACTTTCCATGGGAGAGTAACCCGCCGGCGGTTGTAAAACCATCATGTCACGATCCTTTAACGTGTCACTGGGGGAATTGAGTGAAGGTACAGTGATAGGTGCAAGACGATGAAGTGATGGATGCGGTGGGGTCGTTATTCGTTCCACGGCTGCCTCTGAAGCGGAAGGCAACGGTTCATGATGTCGTTGCCATAAAGATGGAAGGTGAGTATCGGAGGGATTGGATGGATAAGAGGGAATGACAGCTCTAGGTTTATCAACAGTTAACAGATTTGACAAGCTTGACGATCCACTGGAGGCAGGCTTCACTATATTCGATCACATTAGCCACAGCTAAAACAAAGCAGAGCAACACGTTAAAATGACTTGATTTGAAATCTCACCTTCGGCTGCCTGCAATTTACATGGTCGTTCTTCAAGCGATGCATCGTGATCCGATCGTTGCCGCTCTCTTTGAAGTAAAGCTGCCTGCTTTTCCTTTTCTACCATAGCCAGCATATCGCTAAACTCTTGTATTGTCTATCACCCCACAAAAGATTGACCATCATCATCATCATCAGTGAGAAGGCTTCCTCATACTCCCATCATCGATGAAAATGCCCTACTTTTTGTTGCCTTGAAGAAATATTGATAAGACTGGTCGTTTCATGCCGCAATGCTTCGTATGCATCCGTTACGGTTCGCAGCTTTTCTTCGATCATGGTGATATGTTGGTACATGGCGTTCAAAGCATCATCTTCTGCACCACCATTCCCAAAAGACAATGGACGCGCATTGGCTGGTGAACTGGGTTTGCCACTTTTACGTTTTATATTTTGTAGATCGTCGATTGCGCCACGACGGAAATGCGGGTGTTTAAACTCCCATGTTTGTGTTTCCGTCGTCAAATTGGAATGGATCATGTCATTGACCTTGTGAAAGCCGTACACTATGTAGGGGTAAAAAAAAAAAAAAAAAAAAAAAAAAAAAAAAAAAACCAACCAACCCACAACAAATGGTGTCATTGCATTAGCATTTTTATTGCCTTTTTGATATTTTTATAATGCATCATAACAACTTACTGTTTAATTGTCGAACGAAACTTTGCCAGTTGTTGTGCTTGAAATACTGAGGTAGCACCACTCTGGAGAACACGGTGGGATTAGCCACACTGAATAAATCGCCATCTTCTGACCATGATATCAGATCCTGTATGGATGGATCTTCTACCATTCTGTTTAGCAAGAAAAGATAAAAAACCAGTGATCAGTGATTGCAAGTACTTTTTTTTTTCTATCAGAGGTTCCGAGCTTACTTGTATAGCTTATTCACAAAGGCGGCCTGTGTTTTCGTCGATCCCGGTTTGGACGACGAAGTGGATGTTTCGCTGGGGGATTTATTTTGCATATAGCTGTTGTATGAAGTGTGAACAAAGGCATTTTTCGAATCTGTATTCTCAAAGGCACTAAATTCACGGTTCAATCCATGAAGCTACGATGGTCGGATGCAACAGTGTTTATACCTCGCTACGTGGTTGCCGCCGCCCCTTTGGAAATTGGTGTGTTCTCTCGTGCCAATAATCTCGGTTGTACTGCTGTTGTTACTGTGGATACCATTATTGCCATCGAAACTATTATTGTCGTCGTTCATAATGCCACCATACGCACATTATTGGTATCGTGGGATAACGGGCGATAGAATAAATGATGACTGGAGCAATCAATGGGGTCAAAGAGAAGAGCGTTAAACGCCTCTTGGTTTTTTGGGGCCTTGGTGAGTGTTTTTTTTTTCCTTGATGCTAAGATATAGTTATCTGTGAGAAAACGTTCTCGAATATTCTTGGTAAAAGAAAGAAATCCCATAGAATATTCCAACGACGGTTACCTGATTCTTTGAATGAGACGCAGAGGTGAATGATATTTTTTTTTGCAAAGCGTGAATGGAAGCAGTAACAAGACCAATCAGAATGTATTGAAAATGTCGCGTTGGAAAATAAATGAGAAATGGAAAAACAATGTTCTCAATCAAAGGTGCAGCAGATGTCAGTCGGGCTGGTGCTGAAAAAAAAAAGATGGATAAAAGGTAAAAAGAACAAAAAATCAAGGGAGACTTTGAGGCTGTGACCACATGAAAAAAAAAAAAATCGCTTTATACGCGATGATGTCATAGTAGTGAACAGCTTTTTTTTTGCCCTTTTGCAATTAAAGGATGAAAACAGTTTGCATCGTGGAACAAGTGACAATGGCAGTAGAGGTGCCACCGTTGGAAAACATCATTGTTTGGGATTTTGGCACCACTTTTATTCCGTTCACTTTTTGCTTCCAGTCCCTCGTAATCACGTGATGAAGATCTGAATGTAATGTGCGTCCTCGTTTCCAAACAGACGTTTCCATCTAAATGTCCCTCCAATGCACTTAGCAGCTGCAAGCTTGATAAAGAAACGGAGTAGGCGTACATGTGTGAAGAAAAGGAAAAATCCGGGACAGCCTTGCCAGTAAAACATGAATACTTCCTAAGGGTTACTGAAAAACAGACAGAATCCAGTTAAAAATCTATCGATTTGACAGTGTTCACTCGAGTCGATAGTCTGTGGCTGCTTGTTCTGTTTTCACGGTCTTTGCCCGTCACCCGCATCTTTGGGACAAAATAGATAAACTTTTTTCGTCATCTTAGAGAGTTCGGAATCCTATATCGTTCTGGAAGATAATCGAAGCAACTCATGTGTAACGTACCACCGGAAGGAAGTGGCCTGGAAATTTATTTTTACACCAAACTCCCCTGTCGCAAAATAAAGCTTATTTAGCCATCGACAGGCGTGATTTTAATGACCTGCTTTAGCCATACGATCGTGTCCGAAGCACCTAATGGGGCTTTGCCGCAATTTACAGGGTAAATAGCTCCAGTCACTATTGTAAATTTGTCATCTGCTACTACGGTGCAAGGTTTGTGTTTTATGAGAGATTATGATTTACACTACAATACGGTATTCAGCTATATATAATACAAGTTCTATGCCTGTCGGTCTTGCATCATCAAGGTAAAAGCAAGAATACGTCCTATCACTTAAAATATATCATATTATACAGTCAAAACTCGGCTGCACCAGCTGTGGTTTTATATTCCAGAAAAAAGGCCTTGAATTGATGCTTGCGGTTGCATCATTTTCCGCTTACGGTATGTTCGTCCATAGGATAAGATAAATTTTCGTTGGACAGTTCTTCGAGTGATTTTCCTTTGGTCTCCGGAATGAGAAAAGAGGATAAAAGCCCAGTTAGCATAAAGAAGGCAAAAATTTGCAAAAGATGATCGATCCATGCATCGCGTCCTCCGATATCTTTGAGTAACCCGAACCCCAATTGAGCAACGATGGACCCAATTTTTCCCGAAGCAGCCGCTATACCATGCGCCGTGGACCGATATCGCGTCGGAAAACATTCTCCGGGAACAATAAAAGTGGTTGTGTTTGGACCCCAGTTGAAAAAAATTTGGGTCAAAGTATACAGAACAATAAACAGCACCGTCGAGGTCTCCAGAATCGGCTGATACGCAAAGCCCAGCACGATAAAGAAGAGTGTCAACATAATAAAACCCATGATCTGAATGGTTTTTCGACCCATTCTGTCAATGGTAAACACCGAGATCCAATAGCCAGGCACGGAGCCGAGTAGATTAATGATGATATTACCCACGCATGTACGAAATACAACACTTTTAAAAAGGAATAAAAGAAAACGTGTCAGTGCATCATAGCTTGGAAAGCGGGTGGAGAAGGGGCAATTCTTACTCGTAAGCGTCGTCACCTCCAGCAAAACCGATATTGCGCAAGATGATCGAATTGTTGAGACCAAGACCATACCACGCGACATCCAGTGCGAACCAGGAATAACTTGCGCCCAGCAGGATTTTGGCATTACGCCATTGACCAAAATATCTACGAAAATCGGCCCATGATGCCTTTGGCGAGGTGATGGTTCGGGCTACCACCATGTTATCGGTGTAATCTCCAGAGGAAGCGCCATGTTCGATGAACGCTTTAGCATCTTGGATTCCTTTTTGCACTCGTTGGGCTACGTCAATGGTGTATCGAGGCGTTTCCGGTATAGTGAGACGATAATATAAGGCGATAACGGCGGGGATGGCGCCCACACCAATGACAATACGCCATACGTAATCGAGATAACGTGGATCGGACCGGATGGCATGTTGGAAAGCTGCGGTTACAATGAGGCCGACAATACTGGCGGTCAACTGACCGATGCCTTGCATAGCGAATACTGCCGCCATCATTGCTCCTCGACGCTTGGTTGTAGCAAATTCCGAAGTAATAACAGAGGAAAGCGGGTAATCGCCACCGATGCCGACACCAAGAATGATGCGCCAGAAAGTGATGACTGCCCAAAACGAGGCGGCAGGACCACTGCCAGCGAGGGACTGTCCCAAGGTTGCAATGATGATGATGATCAATTCCACTCCATACATACGTTTTCGGCCCAGCCGATCGGCAAGATACCCAAAAAAGAGCTGACCAACTACCGTGCCAACAGAGCAGGAGACTTTAAGGGCCAAATCAATGTTATGAGGAACCCTGTTACCGGCATCTGACCAGTAGACGTAACCTATCATTGTCGAGATCAGGTTGATGGCAAATATATCATATGCGTCCGTAAAGAAACCAATGCCAGAAACAACGCAGGCCCGGATATGAAACCAGCCGAACTTTGCATTGTCAATCTGATAAATAGCCCAGTATGTGATTAAAGATATGCCTTTCCATGCATCTGAAGTGACAGATGATTTACCTCTTGCAGCGCTAGTTGACGTTGCTTATGAATGTCGAGGACGAAATATTCTTCAAAGGAGGAATCCGCTAGTACGCCGTTTGTCTGGTCATGCTCGGTATAAGAATTCATACTATAAAATCAAAGAAAACTAAAATTTCATCAAAGACATTATAGGAACTCAGTAAAAGAATATTACATTTATCCAACATTGTACCTTCTCGATATATAACATATACTCTGTGTCACCGTACGTTTTGCTCAGAAAAAAAAAAGCATAATCACCTATCAAACGACGCATGTGCGAGAATCATTAAAAGTGATGCATCGTGGTTTTTCCAACCGTACGATTGATAATCAACGTCCTTAATTGATTTTGTGTCTCCTCAGAAAACGTCCACAACCAACCAATCATATTTGAGACATTCATCATGCGTATGGTCATTTCCAGTTGGATTCGCGAGTAGAAATTGTATTTCCCGATCATCTTACTTTATGATTATAAACCTTTGTTGTGCCTCCAAGCTCGTACCATATATAACGTGAATTTCAACAGCCCATTCAATGGAAAGACGTATAAAGTCATTCAAACACCGGATAAGTGTAGAGTTCTCTTTTTAATAATGCCGCTAAACCGTCTACGATCCTCAGTGTACATTTATTGATCTTCAGGACAGCGCGCAGCAATATCTCAATTTCAGACACAGTATACGGGTCTCATTCGTCTTTAGATTGAGTCATGATTCCAACTGGAATAAATCCAGGACACCCTCTATGCAGTATCAAAAACAGTTTGGTGGTAAAAATACTTCCGTTCATGAATGAATCACGCTTTGGAATGAGAGAAAAGAATGAAATGATTACAGTATGGCAGCTTACTGTGTTCTTGAACAAGTGGTTAGAACTTGGGTGTATCATACAAGCTTGACATAATGTATGCACAGCCAGTGATCCAAGAAATCCCCCTATCAAACAGTAGGTGGAAGATAACCATGTAAAATGTACTCTCATTTCACAATTAATTATTTTCTGTTACAGAACAATCATATATTCATTTATTCATCGCAGCATTTAGCTTTTGTTGAAAGCTGGTCAAATGACTGTGCTGACTGCACGAACAACGGCTGGTGAAGGAAGTCAAAAAAAAAGTTGGCTCAATCACCGATCTATCCCGTTGATTGGATAGGTCCGACGTGATCCACACTACAATGAAAAATTGCAAAAAAGGAAATGGTTATTCTTACAGGCGATCCAGAGAGATTATTCTGTAATGCGCGTATTTAGGTCGATGTTTATAAGCCTAAATGGCTACAGGGGATCGAAACGTAGGCCATTCTCGGGTTGAAGATTTGATGGAAACATTGACTATAGTAAGGAAAAGGTGGGAGAGGCGGGTGGAGGTTCTGTTACGGGTTGGGTTCGATACGTGCCGTAGCCGCTAGACTTCGTAAGGAATCGATAAATGTCTCTGTGTGGCGGAAACAGCTGAAACCTTGTAAAGCTTCAAATTCGTCTTGGGTAATGTGGACTTGCTTTTGTGAAAGACGAGTGCCCAGATCTTGATTGGTACGGTGATTCTCGAACTCAGGAGACGTCACTTCTAATGGATCTGATAAGGGCGAAGCTAGGGATATAGGCGATACGAGGCCAGTAGAGGGGTGATGATGATGATGATGATGCGTAACCGGAGGTAACGAAAGCGACAACTGCTTCCCTCTAATGGCTTTGGAAACAGAGGCAACGGCAGAGGAAGAAGTCGAGGAAGAGACAGTAGGTAGTGAGGATAAAAGGGAGGATGTAGGCTTTTTGATGACTCGTTGTGAATGTGTTTGAGTATGCTGCATCATGTTATCGAAACGACTAAACATCCGAGAACATTCAGGCACAATACACCTGAATGGTTTCTTGAACGATGTGTGAGTCCAGGGGAATATTGATCTTTTTTTTGGGGGGTTTGCCACTTGTTTACCTCGCCTGTATGTTTGCTATATCCATGTCAAGGAATAAGACATTCAGTCACGGGCGGACAAGCAGTGGTGTAAAAAACCTCTTGAATGGGTGGATTGCTTACCGTGTGTGCCGTACTAGGTGTTCGCTTCGTGTGAACACCATTTGGCAAGCACCATATCCTGTACAACGGAAAATTCTTTTTCTGGGGTTCCGCGCTCTCTTATTGTTGTTACCGGATAAAGACATGGTGGAGAAAGAAACAAAAAAAGAGTGAAATAAGAAGGTTCAAAGTGTGAGAGAGAGATGTGAGTGAGAGCGGTAAGAAAAAGAAAAAAGGGAACACCCAAAGAGTACTGTGCGAGAAACAAGGAAAAAAAATAGAAGAGAGAGAGAGAAGAAGAATGACACTGTATTGAGTAAGTATATAAAGTATCAGACGATACGAAAAAAAAGGAGTTGAGCTTATTTGATGCGAGGCGTGGGTGAATCAAAATATCAAAGGGCGGGAACACTTTTTCAGGCACGCTGTCTGTAGGATCTTGTGCTGCTGCTCTTTCTTTCCCGTGGATTATTTTTTTCTTTCCAAATGACTTTTTACATCACATATTAAACTTCCATATCACCCATAATAAATGCATCGTGATGATGTGGTCGTCGACTGTAGGATTCGTCGGCACACACAATACAGGAGAAAAAAACTTAATCATCGTTCATCTTTTTACCCAAGATCACACAAACATAAAATCATACCTTGTTAAATCCTCATCATCATCTTCGGAATCAAACCCATCCAGATCTTCATCGTCTCCTGGTGCATTCATACTGTGAAAGGTACGAGATGTAAATGAAAAGGGAGTTTTAAGGTGGAGTAGCTGAGATCATTTTTCCTCATACCTTTGACTTTTGACGGAGAAAAAAACCATTCGTTTCAGTTTCCGATTAAAGAAGAAATAGTTCATGGACCATCTGCAAAAAAAGGAAACATGAGAATATTTGCCATCGCCGAGGTACATACAAATATCCTACTTACAAAAATCCATCTTCTTCATTCATCGGATCATCATCGCTGTCCGGATTGTAACTGTAAACGTCACAGTCGTTTAATTCCACCAACTCGTCAAGGATATCCCACATTCTAAAGCCATCAGCCAAAAAAACAAAAAAAGGAGAACAGCGCATGGGCCACGATCAGTCTATGGCATGACACAAAAAACCCAATTTTTTTTTGAACCACCTCCTTTTGTTATACCTGTATCGATTCACAATCACATCGTTTCCCAAATTAAATAGAGTGGTATTAACGGAGTTGATCACTAGTTCCACGGACGGCTGCTTGTTGAACTGGTCCGGTCGCACATCGCTAAAGTCATGTTCTGGGAAAGAAGCATTAAGAGTGGCCAGTAGGTAAAAAAAGGTTTTGCGCGGAGTAGTTTCGTCCAGTCTTCCAAACGGTGAAATGAGGTGTTGCATCGGATCATCGGGCGATATTGAACCAATAGTCAGGTCCACACTGTATTTACTTTCAAGTTGTTTGAATAGCTTTTTATCCGAACCGGCCGATTTACCTAACACACAGGCAATGAGTGAGTGGTCTTGCTCTCTCTTACCATGTCCTTTTTATGCAAAAAAACCAAGCATGGTCATGGGGACAGGAGAAACATCACTTACAAGAATAAGCTTCTATACGTCCAGTCAATATTGCTTCCGGGGTTTCCCACCGAAAGGCTGTATTTAGTACGTCGAGGGAATCGATTTCAAGAAACTTCATGATGAGGAAAAAAAGTGGATTGAGGAAAGGAGTAGTACAAAGAAAAGTGTATAAGCAGAGAGATTAAGGGAGGTTGGGGTGGGGGTGGGGGTGGAGGGAAAGAGAGGAGATAAGTGTTGGCCAAAACTCCGAGGCCCAGAGTGTGTGAGTGACAGAGCCCTACCCGAGAATTCAGGAAACAGAAGTCAGGTGACAATACACAAAAAGAGGGAAATTTTTATTGATGGGCGGAAATCCGAAATCCTTTGGTTTTGTTTCGTTGGTCAAGTCTCATGCGCATGAAATTTCTATCTGGTTTTCTCTTTTCCTTTAATGAAATTCCTAAATATGCTTGGATCAGCTTGCTTTTTTTCCCTTTAATCTTCAAGCTGACATCGTTTGGTGATGGACTTGCTTACCATTCCAAAGGAGATTCTTTTTCACATCCTGGGCTTTCTGGATCATCATGATATCTTGACCGTCTTGTCACTCTCGTCGTCATTGACCCATTTGTACAACGATGAGGACTTTTGGCACGCATTGGTCTTGACCCACAACATCACTTATCGTATAGACAATACCACTTGGCGGGACTTGTACACATCAAATGAAACTCTGAAAATGTGTCCGCACCTGCAACTCTCACATCGTGACAACCTGCAAAGGCAGCCAAAGCGGCAATGGGACGAGGACACTGATCGTTTGCTGTGCCTAGAGCCATCCTGCTGCTCAGAACTTGGAAACGCCGCTGAAAGCTCGTACTACAGTAACCGAAATCACGACGCATTGCACCATCGAATTGCACTAAAATTAGATCAATGCCAGTTTTTGACCGTGTGGTGCTCAGCTTGTCAAACCTGTGTAAGGACTCTATATAAATCTACTAAACCATCTAACGACCATGCTAACGGGTTTTCCTTTTTGCTTTCAATGATGCTATTCTAGCTTGGCAAAACCAAGACCGAGCAATATCTCGTTCATCAAATCATCCAGTCACTGCCATTTCTGGACGATCCGACATTTGTACGACGGAGGAAGGAGTTTGAAATTCGGTTGTTGATGGCGAATGGCACTTACATCATCGACAGAGCATGGTTTCTTGCATGGACTGCATACTTGAGAGGTATTGTTTAGAAAAAAAAAACAGAATGGATGACTGCTGAGTCAGTTTGTCTTATTTGAGGGAGCTTGAATTGTTTTTAGACGCCAACAACGAATATCCCGGAGTGCTGGACAATTCCAAGTTGTATCGAGAAGATGGAAGATTGAGATCGGATATCAAATTGGGAGAACACTTTGAGCTGATTGGACAACAAGCATTATCTTACATCATTCGCGTTTATAGACTGGTGGGAAATGACCCCGTGTCATCACGTAAGGGGGAAAAAAAACCGTCTTTGACGGGTCCAATCTAATATCTTTTTTGCATTAGTGGAATTACAACATCAAGCAGAATACTGCCAAGTCTATCATTCTCTCCTATTACGCCAACAAATGCTGTATCATCGACGTTATCGAGGACACCCGATTCTTGTTCTTTCTGAATAAGAAAAAGTCGTATCTCGTCCATGGATTGTTCCTTCAGTTTTGCCCATCCATTGTCATGCATTTTAGAGGACGAAGAATATTGAATAGAAGCTGCGGCAAATACGCGGCCATTTTGAAAGTATCGTTCGATAGTTCAAATACCTTAAAAAATATAGAAGTCATTTTCGGCACAATATTTCATTTCACCACATCCCAAAAGAAAGCCCAATGAACTAAGTCCTTGGCGGGTCAATGTCTGGTATTGTAGTTCCGCTTTTGGCACGAAATGTCTGTTTTCTGGACGTTTCCGCAGTCTTTATTTTTTAACAAGCCGTACACCCGCTGTGCAATGGATGCCGCCTGCCACCGGAGGCCGCCCTCTTACATTGAGCGACTTTCGTCAGACAAAAAGCCTAACGCATACACGGTATAACCTGGACGAGAACTCTTGACGGACTTTGGTATATTAATGACAACCTTATGGCATACGTTGCAACGTGAGTTGTTTCTGAACACGCGCAGGGCAGCACTGATTGACCCCCTCAGTTCCATCCCGCCCAGGCTATGATCGATCTAGAAAGATGAAAAGAGAAATACAAAAGTGTGGGTATGTTGGGTATTTAAAAAAAAAAAATGAGTTAGTAAGCTCTTTGATTGATTCAAATTTCGTCAAGATATTTTAGCTTTGTTATTTGAGTTTTTCAATACCCATTGATCGCTTGACATGACTTGGATTATATGTCATTGATTTTTTTGAATTAGTATACGTTCATTACATCATAGCAATGGACTTGCCTTTGAACCAAATGGTGTACCGGAGAAAAAAAGATGAATACGGACCACAGGTAAGCTTCTTCTTCGATGCGGTAAATAAAATCGCTTCCAGGGACAGTTAAGCGATGGATCGGTGGTGTCAGCTTGAGCAGGCAAAAAATATTGACGTGACCAGAAGTGACGGTAATTTTAAATATCGAAAAGAAGAAAGAAAAAAAAAGTACATGATGATAAAAAAAAATGGTCGCGTTAGTAAATACCGCCTAAAAAACCCTGTGGGGAAAAAAGAGGAAAAGACTGCGAAAAGAATATGTACATGAAACAGAAAATACAAAAAAATACAAACTATAAACTATAAACTACAATTACAATAATCGGGAAGACATCTCGAATACCATATCATGAGAAGCAATCCAAAGGAGAGGACGCGTTTTCTGATGAAAAAGAGAGTCACACCACCCACGATAGCCTTTGACGTCATCCGGTAACGCCAGATGGATGGATGGATGGCGAGAGAAATTCAAGTTATAGCATCCAGAACTTGTTAGGCGAAAAGAAAACGGAAACCGGAAGCTGGAAGAAGGATGGAAGTAAAGGAGAGGTAAGTCTGTTTTGCCGGAGCAAAATCGATGGTAGGCCACTCGACGCTTACCTTTTTGAGGATGGTAGTCGATTTAACCAAGTTAGATACACGGGATAAGAATGGTCTGGATGATGGATGCGGATAGGATCTTGATACAATGATAGTGAGGGTTTATCAAGCAAACAGAAAGAGACAGAGAAAATCAAAAGAAAAAAGATAAGATTGAAGACCAAAATATATGGTTTTCCATGGATGAAACAATAGTCATCCCAGTGATGCATGAATTCATAGATCGAAGCACGCCTGCTTATGTATTATTCGATTCATTGAAAATTGAAAGAGAATGAAAGGACATATACAGTATAACTGACAAAAAAAACAAATTGAATGATGCTACAGAAGAACGCCAGTCGTATCATCAACCACTTTTCTTCAAAAAGAGCTCTACTCACATTTTTATTCGAAAGACGACGATGCTCTGTTTGACCACAACTGGTGCAAACGGCATCTTGCTGCTAATTGTTTCGCCTATTATCGTGAAAGTGGGCAGCGAGGCATGGTTGAAAGATAAAAAAAAAGGTTTAACAGGTCCTGATAACTTGGTGTAGATCATGTGATTTACAAAATCGCTGATTTCCCAAAGATTCTATTTTTCGCTGGTTGACAAAAGGTGACAAAAGGAGACATCACACATTAACGAAAGCAACTTGTCATGGTCCCTTCCAGAGCCCCGAGCTCTAATTCACTTCCAACGCACGAACGTAACTTGAAAGCTTACGAGAAATTTGCACAAAAATACGGAGTTTGTCCAGCCTTTCCAATCACAGTGCCTAAATTGCTCAAGTTCATCAAAATCAAGAGTCAGACCAACAGCTATCGTTCCGTACAATGGTTAATGACCGGACTTCAGCTACATCCAACCCACAGTCCCAGCTGGTTTAACGATGTGGGTCATCATGCTTCGGTGTTAGAACTCCTTGCAGACATTCGACGCACGGAACAACAGTTGGGCGCTCCTCGTTCGAGGAAAACGCTTGGCGCCAATACAACCATGGCACCGAGTTGGGCAAATGGCCACGCATGTCACGTTGTGCAAGGACCTAAAGCCAAAGGTATTATATGCTTCTGCTTTTTGATTCAATTATTACGCTTGGTTGCCGATTCAATTTTTTTTTCTTATTAGGATTTGTCGTCTGCGACAGTGCCTCGCCTCCCGACCTGAAGACGATCAAACCTTCCACCACCGTGTCACCTTTACGGCGTTCACGGAAACTGACGGGAGCTACTCTTCTGACCAAACCGGTTGTGGATCTGTCTCCTTCTAATAGCACGGAACCAATAGGTCTCAAGACACAACGTGTGCGATTCCCGAAAACCACCACCGTATCTATTGTTCTTGAACCCTAATCAAGGACTTCTCTGTACATTTATACCAGTAACTTTCCATTTAATTTTTTCTTTTTATCAACGACCTATTGTGTCCTTCGAAATTTACAAATTTACAGCTATCCATTTATGCCCCTGTGTAACTCGCCACGAATTGATCGACAGCTGGAGGCATGATTCTGTATTGTCCCTCAAGTACATGTTCCGATCGCATCAGTAACGCTTTGTAGTTTTCGTACAGTTGCGGCAGGTCCTTTCAAATCCGCATTTCATGTTAGCAACGTATCCCAAAATCTATTTAACCATTGCTTTTTTCTTCTTACCTTGTCATCTTTGCGCCCCTGAATAAATATTTGGTCTGCCCAATCAGCGATCGTCGCCACTTGTTCACCCAACGGCACCAGGTTCTTGGGATCGTTGAAATATTCTCCCAGTAACCACGACATATTCAGATGGACTTTGCTGTCCCATGCCACGGCTTGCAGTAAAAACTCTTCCACCACCATTCGCCGCCATCGACGATCCGCCACACATTCTAACAGATGTCGTTTCGCCAATATGTTGACCAAGGTTCGGAAGAAGCTCAGGTACGTCTCTACATGCATGATATTGATAGCGGATGTGTCGTCTTGCGTAGGCAATGTTTCAAGAATGAATGGCAAACAACGTCCCAAGATGGCCACATCGCCTTCGTATGTGCGGTCCAACACGTAATGCACAAAAATTTTTCGCGCCGTTTCGCTCTTTTTCAAAAGCGCACGGACCACTTCGGCGTCCTTGTCCTCCATCACCCCCATATTGGCGTCGTCTTCTTCCACAATAATAGCACACATCGCGTTCCAGAATTTGTCTTTGAGATCTCGATCCATCTTTGGGATTTTGGACTTGGTGGCAATGGCATCTGGCGCATGCTCAGCCAGATTCAGCAGTTTTGCATTGTAATTGATGGATTCTTCCAGATTACCGGGAGCCTACCATTTTTTTAAGACATCTCTTCGATTCCAGCCATCTAATCAATTGCAACACTTACGCCTTCATCCACACTATTGCGAAGCCATTTCACAATGCAGACGGATAAAAAGTTGGCAATGACCGGATCCATTAGCACCATTGCATAATCACTAAATTCGGCCCGTGAGACACATGGTTTCATTTTGTCGCCAAGCAAGTGATTCCACATACCCATACAGAGGTTGTCCATTCCGTACATCATCAAAGCATTCTTTGATTTTTCCAATAATGGCTTCATCCATATTTTGATTGCGAACACATGTATCCAAAGACCAGATTAAGCGATGACACTGATCGAGTTCGTAGATCTACAAGCCATGATACAAGATGATGTTACAACTTTGGGCGGGCTGATTCGCATCTTCAATGCAACGTTTATGGATTTTTACCTCTGCAACATCCTGTTCATGGAACTTCATCAGAATATCCACTCGTAACGAACACAGACTGGGATAAGGCGTATTGACAAAGACGTCACGAATCATATCCAGGAACATGAGGTAGAGTTTCGGATCACCGCCGATAATTTGTAGTAATTTAGCAACCAAAGGATGTGAACGTCTAAAATAGAGAAAAAAATAGAGCGTCAGTATACAAGCGACCCGTTCAAAAAGATCGGCTGTGCTGTAGTTACCTGATTTCGATGACTTCTTGGTAGCTGTCCGGCTTCAAATTCATGGCGAGGGCTTGTAACGTGTCGTCATGATGATATTCATTTAAAATGCTCATCATCTGCTGCTGGAAGAAACCTTCATCTTGTTTCCAAATACGTTGTTTGATGTTCAAAGGGCATTGCTAATAATTCGTTTTCCATCAATTAAAACTGTCATATTCATTTTCCAGAGAAAGTATTATTTATACGGACCTCGAACACGGTGAGATTGGCTTTGAGTTGTTCGAGTGTATCGTCAGTAATATGTTTTTCGAATTTCTCCATAAGTGCCATTGGGATAGGTTGCATGGCGGGGTTGTTGATGTAAGGGAAGGTACGGTCAAAGATATCATAAAAGCTAATCGTACGTGAGTAAGCAAGGATTTAGAGGTTATGTTGAATCGGCCACACTCACTGTTCAAGAGCAAAGCTAGGATCGCGTATTCTCGCTACAACGGCATTATGAAGGATAGCAAGACATTTTGCGTGGATCTCTCGACGACTGTAGCCGCATAAATCCAGCAAAGGATATATCGCTTCGATACCAGGAAGATCTAGACCGTAATCTCGCTGAATGCCACGAATGGCTTCCAAAGGATCCCCCGATTGCGATAAAAGGCCCTTGATTTCTTCGTCTGCAGGTCCAATTAGAATCTTTTTCTCACTCATTTTGCGGATACCAGATCTGTGCTTGTGCAAACAGGTGGAGAGCCTTTTTTTCTTTTTTGGCTCTCCCCTTTTTTTCATCACCGCCTCGAAGCCGAATTTCAAGTCACAGTTGCCCAATTCGGGTTTGCAAGGTCATATGATTAACACTCCGCAATCATAGTCGACACAGTTGATCGAAAAAAAGCATAGCCAAATTTAGCCGATGATCTCGAATATTTTCTCATATGGTCATGCTAATGATAGCTGGTTGCAGCACAAATTTGGTCTTTTTAATGACGAGCCTCAGGATATTGTCACAATCGTTCTATATATCCCTGTTATAGAAGCTTTCTAATATATATTTTGTGTTGCTGGGTAGGATTTGTTATGGAGTGGTTTATTAACTTAGACTTGAACTATTTCGTAGCGCTAATAGCCAATGCAGTGCATATTGAAGAAAAAAAGTGCTGAAATGTATCATAGAATGAAAAAAAGAGGGAGAGAAAAAAAAAGGTATATACTAACGGAAATAAGTTAGCGATTATGTAGAGACAATTGGCTTTCTACCATGGAGATGAGTCGTGCAGAATAGGCATCCAGCATATTGGTGGTTTTGATCTCTTCCGCAGTAAGCAGTTTCTCTGGTCTAATCACTTTGGCCATTTTTTGCGTAATTTCAGCCACTTTCCTTTCAATAGATTCTATCAGTTTTTCATCCTTAGATTCGGCCGGACCGCTCAATAAGTTGCTGTAGAAATCAAGCACGCTGTCCAGTAAGATAGCTGCACCGTCAAGATCCGAGAGAATGGCTTTGGCTTGATCATCCTTGGGTCCTTCTTGGGGGGACTTTGGCTCATCGATGGGTGAGACTTTGGTTTCATCTTTTATCTCTGTCGATGTCGACGTTGGGTTGGTGGGGTTGGGTTCATCGGCACAGGATCGCGGATGACTGGTGATAGGTGGTATAATGGGTATCGTAGGAATCATCAATCGGTTCGCTGGGTCGTCCAGTAACCCTTGTGCGATATCGTCAAATTGATCAAGAGCCGCATCCAAAGGCACCTTGGAGGAGCTCTTACGCTCTCCCAAGGAAGATAAGAAACGTGCAGTAAAACTTTGTCGTTTTCTCGCCTTTTCCAACTTTTTCTGCAATTCTCGTAGAGCCAATGTATCTTTACACGTTTTGTCCAGCTCACATTGGGACGATAACTGATCCGCATCATGATGTCCGCCACTGTCACCTTTGCCGTCGCTGAATGGATGATTTCTGCGCAATGGCAGCGTCATGGAGGTAGTCCGACTCAACGAAGTCATTATGCGAGGCGCGTTTCTTGATGATATGGATTCAATGATGGCTTCATCCTCATTGGAATCACTTTCCTGTTCTTCTATTGCAGCGTCAACCAACCCGTCGGCCTCCAGTTCACATGCAGGCGATTTGCGCCCGTACATCGTGTTATCGCCCTCGCCCTCGCCCTCGCCCTCGCCACTCTCCGTCCCGATCGTGACTTCCTCGTTATGCGTTGACACTTCAAAAGGCGCTCCAATCTGATCTTGCTCAGGAGGCGACGTGATGAAAATAATTTCTTCTTCTTCATCATCAGCATCCAGTTCATCCGCATCCTCATCTTCGTTTTCCGCTTCGGCCTCGGCCGGATCGTCATCCTCTTCGTCACGATCTCGTTCTTCGTCTCGATCATCTTCATGTTCGGTCGCCGAGTTCTTGGAAGAATCAGAGGTACTTTGTTGTTCCACTTTGGGTGCAGTTAAAACGGGCATGCTCAGCTTTTTTACCACCGGTTTTTTGGACGGAAGAGGGATTTCAGGCGATTTTACTGAACTGCGACCGCTGTCCGTTACTTCGGAGGAGTCTCCTGACAGATCCGAACCCGAGTCGCTCGCTCTTCGCTGAAGAGGTGATAATACACGTTTTGGTGTGGGATCCTCTGGTTGCGTTAACCGAAAACGACCTTCTCTGGAAGGTTCACCTGAGGAGGAAGAAGAAGAATGGTCTTTTCGATACAACGCATCCCGTGACATTTGTCGACGAGTCGCTGGATGGAGTCGAGATGGAGGAGGAGGTCGAGAGGTCAGGTATGTTGTTGTTGCTGTTGCGCCTCCCATTCGACTGTTGGGTGGTGAATGGAATGTGGATGGAATGGACAAACGTTCGCGGCCCGAGGTTGGAATGCCGTTGTAAAGTCGTTCGAGTTTTCCTTGTTTATCAGGCGTCTTTCGTCCGCTCAGATTGCCTGCAGAATCCTTTCTCGAAGTGATGGGATTGCCCCTGTTCTGAGTCGGTTTTATAGGAGGATCCGCAAATGTGATTCTTGTTTGTGAAGATGGCGCTGTCCCTGCAGAAACCGGCAATGAAGGACTGGTCACCCCATCGGGTGATTGAACGACCGGTGGTGAACTGTCCGGACGATTGGGGGCTTGCTGTGGCAATCCATTGACGTTACTGCCTTCATGACGATTACGACGCTGTCCAAACCGTTTGTAAAGGTCATCGTATTTGTGCTCGGCGGGAGAGACGGAAGAAAATGTTTTGCGTTCGCCTTGTCGGATCATCTGTGACAGACTAGGGGTCGGGCGAATCATGGCCGCTGTAGACACGCGTCGCAACCGTGGTTTGCCTGCTCCGCCAAACAGCATGGCACGCTTGTCATCCGGCAGTCCTTCATCGGATTTCATGTAAACTTTGTCCGTCACTGCTCCCAAGGCTGCCGCTTGCTTTAGTTTGAATTCACGCTCATTGGCCCGCGCTTTGGATCGCGCCACAATGTCTTGACCGACTTTCCAAACAAAGACGGTGCCGTCCGAGCAAGTACTGAGGATACGCAGGTCGTCCGTGGCGGTTCGAATGAATTTCACGCAAGTGATCAGTTCGGCGTGCGCACAAGCCTTTTCGATGCAGGTACTGTTGGTGAGATCAAATAACCGCAGACATCGGTCAGAACCGCTTGTCACGGCAAAGGTCCCGGAAAACGGGTCAATGTCGATGTTAATTAGACTGCCTCCTGAATTTTCTGACGACGTGCTTTTGGCGATCTCTTCGGGAGTTTCGGGTTTACAGGTTCGGAACGGTTTGCCGGATTCCACGTTGAAAAGGTACAGCCGACGTTCGCCCGTCACCGTCGCAATATACCGAGCGTGCAGATCCAATGCCATGTCGAATACCGTGCTCCGCCCAGAGTAATTATGATACGTAGTGTAAGGGGAAGAGGGTGGCTTTACGGCCCGGGATCGAAATATCACCCCTTTATCCGCACCGCAGCTAATTAGCTTTTCGGCTCCGTTGGCAAATCTGACGGCCGTGATGGAAGACGAATGGTCATCCAAACTTTGCACCAGTTGAAAATCCGTGCTTACATCAAAGATATGGATGAATCGATCTCGACTTGCAGTAGCAATAAGATGAGGTATATCTAACCCAAGTTGAATTTATCGACTGGAGAAATCAGATTATGCTCAAAAAAGATGCTCTGATGGGCGACACCCATTTGCTAACAATACGTATGACAAACCGGTGCGGCATCGAGTCATTTTGCCACAATAAAAACATGCGACTTACCCGGTTGATCAAGATTGGTAATGTCAATGGACAAGATTTCCGAGTCATGCGCTTCTTGATATGTGATCTGATCCCAAGTATCTGTGTGATGAACGCGAAGATTGCCATTCCGATCGCCGGTGGCCAGAAGCTGTCCGTCGTTGCTCATTTTGAGGGACCGAATACCGAAATCAGGATACTGATCCTCCGCGAGTTCTAGCCCATCAATTACATTCTGCTTTTTAAAGTGATGGACCCCTTTCTGACTCGGCACCTACCGACATCGCGTTTCAATTTAGCAAACTCGGCGGCGTCCGGATCAACGTACAACATCTTGATAAGCTCGCGTGAATAGATATTTTTTCGATGGAGAGGCGCACTGTTTGTATTGCTCGAGGTTGGGCTGGGTTTATCGATGGCAGGAGGGGACAACGGAGAGCTGGAGTGGGAAGCAAATGGCGATAATGAAGAAGAGGAAGCCACCATCGATGGCTGATCCAAGTTCCAGAAACGCACCGTACCGTCGCTGGAATAGGTAGCAAACGAAAAAGGGGGTATCTGAGAGGTGCCATGCGTTATCATGGGGCATGGCTATATTTTTGGAAATAATACATAGAGATCATGGATCAGTTCATGTGTAAAACGAAAAAAGGTTCCATATCGCTATAATTAAGGTACCTCCACGCCCCAGATACAGTCACTGTGCGAAATGAAGCTGCGGTATTTTCCAATCTTTTTCAGTTCTTTGACATCCCATACGTACAAACTACGATCGGAATAAACCACGGTGATCTTTCCGGTTCGTTCGTCCAAGGCAACAGCAAAGGCATCTGGATAATGAGTGGTTTTATCGGATCGAATCATGTCGGGTGAACTGATCGCGCTAATATCCACACCTAATGGATGCGGTTTCGGAAGCATGCCACAGTATTTCAATGTCAAGGGTTCGAATAACCTTATGAAAAGGCATATTAGACGGAGGGTCGTTGGCATTCAGATGTGATTCACGGCAAATCAAAACTCACCTGATGATGCCTTCTGCACATGCGCATACGATATAGGTCGACGTCACGGAAATAGAGTAAGCTGATTTTACCTGTGATATAGACATCCGTTTTCCTTCAAGATTTAGCTTCCCTCGGTTTCCATTCCTTCGTCATTTGATTGGACGACATTATTACCTGCAAATCCACCCATTTATCAATCACTCGGCCCTCTTTAAACATGCATAGAATCCCATTGTCGGTCAAAAAGTAAACGCGTTCGGATTTGCCTCGATCACAACCAACATCCACAAAATTGCTTTCTCTTAGAGCGCCGAGAATCCCGGATCTTCCGTCAAGCACTTGTGTTTCCCTTGATGCCAAATTGCCCTAAGCCCACGTGAGCAAGACAAATGATAATGCGTACACTCTTAAAAGTTGACAAGAGACGTCCTTTTTGCTGGAGCCCACTTACTCGCTTGGGGAGGCGTCCACGTGCATCCAAATACCAAAACTTGACATGCCGAAGACCTGCAGTGACAAAGTAGGTGCCGTCTTGGGAGAATGACAATGCGTTGACTTTGCTCGTGACTTTATTGCCAGCTAATTTGATACCTTTTCGCCAATGCCATACGTAGAGATATCCATCATGCTATACAACCCAATAAAAAAATCATTAATTCATTCTACTCTGGGAGCCCAGTAAAAAACCGACGGTTTTACCTGAAACCCGATGGAGACCAGATATCGCATATTTGGTGCAAAAGCCAGCGATAGGATACCAAATTTATGAGCTCGACATTCGTGCATCAGCTGTTTTTCTTTGACATTCCAGATTAAAATACGAGGTTGGTGGCCCATCTACGACAAGAAAACAAAAAGGGCATTCAGATTTAACCGTTGTCACAGATGAGTAGGACCAAAACATTCATTCTTTCACAGTCATGGCAACAGAAGAAAAAAAGAGGTACCTCGCCTGCGGCCAGATAATTACCGTCTGGCGAAAATGCGAGGCAGCTAATGGGTTTTGCGCGAGCGCTTGCTGATGATGTTCTCTTGTCGTCTGCCTCTCGAGGGGAAGGGATGGTGGGTGTGATGAAATCATTGGTACCTGATCCCAAAGGCGAGACAAGCAACGGTTGTCCCACATGATTTCCATGGGAGGGGGCGTTGGTTGCATTATTGGCGACAGTGGCTGGAGATGAATTATGCGGTGGATAAAGAAATCCCACTTGCTTGTTGCGTTTGTGATTATATAGTACAATGACAGCTCCGGCCGCATAAGCGATCAGATCTTGCGATTCGGCTGTCGCCAATATATTAGACGAAGCTGTCGTCAGACCCAGCACACGCTCTAATTTTAACTAACATATTTTTTTCACATCAGCAAACCGATCTGCCGGAAAATGACAAATGTGGAAAATAATAAAAAAAACATCCACCCCTGGTTTTTCTTTTTCCTTTCTTTTCATCCCAATTTGAGCGTGCGTCTATTTCTCTTCGTGCACTGCTATCTTTGTCTTTTCTTATGAAGCGTTTCACGAGGATGAAGGAAGAAAAAAAAAGAAGAAAAAGGCGATGTTACGAGCATATATTTACGTTGGATAAAGGTCGAGACGGGTCCTTTGGTTTCCTGCGAAGGCCCGGTCCGGCGGGATGGTTTGACGTGGGGTTGGCATTGGCAAAGTTGAGTTGATGAGGCAATAATGCCGTGGATTGAGATGGCGGCGGAGCAACACTTCCGGAATTAACTGGAAAATGAGGCTCCATGAAAAAAAACAACAGTGAGCGAAAATGAGAGTGGATAAAAGAAGAAAAAAGAGACGGTGAGACGGGTGGTCAAAGTTGCATACAGGGAAGCTGTAAGAACAGTCACCTTTCCCTTTTGGTGCCCCTTCCATGTTTGTCTGGCTCTTTTCCCAACTGAGTGCAGAAATTTTTCCACCTTGTTCTCCGCGTCTTCTTTCTTCTATGCACCCATTGACCTTCATTTTTATACTTGCAAAGTAACGCACCCAAACACCGTTGATGCTTCTTGCAACCCTCCATTGACCTCCCATTAACCGTTGTTTTCTATAGCATATTTGTGAGCATCGCATATGCTGCAAAACTCCAAGGCGCTATTACGACCAATGGTATCCTTACAGGTATTTTGACCCGCCTTTCCTTTTTCCTCCTTATTGGCCCGTCCTTAAACATCCTATTGCAACAGATTTAGACAAATTAAACTCGGCTACTCGGGTCATCTTGAACGGAGGCCAGTATTCTGCATTTCTTCGACGGGACGGTCAATTTTCACTGTAAGCGTCTCAAGCAAACCTCATCACCAAACGAATCGATTAGACTCAGTCGTCATCATGTAGAGATCACGTCGCTCCCGGCTCTTATTTATTGGAAGTGCAAAATATCGACTATGTATTTCCTCGGGTAAAATTGCGTTCCCTATTGATTTTTAATTTGAATCATCTCCACTGACACGGTTTGTTAGTTACGCGTGGACGTGAGTGACGATAACTCTATCAAAGCCGCATTTACAGGCATCGGTGTGGGATGGGATAATACGGGCTATTCGGTGAATCATCCATTTGATTTAAAAGCAAAATCCAAGGCTGAGTATTTCATGGTAATTCAATATGGATTCAATGGGATGCGAAAAGGCGTAGCAAAAGTGCTGACGGATCTGTCTGTAGGAGCGACAAGCTTTCAACGTGTTGGGCATGTTCAAAAACCCCATGTTCTTGATGCTCGGTGTGAGTGGTGTCATCATGTTTGCTATGCCAAAGCTGATGGCCAATATGGGTGAGTGTGCTTCATCAAAAGCGTAATTGGGGTGAAACAGGACGAAATTTACACAACGCATGGCTTGTTAGATCCTGAAACCATGAAGGAAATGGCTCAATCGCAATCCGATGCGCAAAAGATGCTCTCCGATATGCCCAACCTTTCAAAGATGTTTGGTGCAAGTCCAAATCCGAGTCAAGATAAACCCTCCCGAACATAAACCGTGTTCAAAAATCCCATTAGCAGTCCTCATTCTCGTTCAACGAACAAGTCACCGTAAAAATACAGATACAGTTCATTTTGCTTTTTTTTTTTTTGTTTTCGTTCGCCTGCTGTCACTTATCAACATAAGTATTATGTATCAGCACCCACCAATGGAAGGCGTTGCGTTATACCACTGCATGGCTGTGTTGCCATATCTCTACATATTGTGATCCGGGCAATCGGAGTAAGGAGCTTGTTCATCGTCATATTCTCGAGCGCTTCATTGTTCTCGGGGAATTTGCAGTTGATAGTCCCAAAGTTTGATGCGAGTTGTTATGATATGATGTGATGTGATACGAAAACAAACAGAATTCGAAGCGTCAAGATATGTAAAACTATAGTATTTTGCTATTCAAAATGCGAGTATTTTTCCATTATCCTTATTTAAGAAGAATGAAGCATTTGAATATGATGGAACTCGACATGATGGTGCTCTGGTCATAAAGTTCATCTTCCTATTCGTCATCTTATCCTCCGTGTACCGCGCGCCATATATAAGTTTTTTGACGACAAAGAAAGATCCAATTCTGTATAATACAGAAAGACAAGGAACTAGTGTTTATATGGATTTGGTAGCCTTTTATGATTACATTCACACGGGTGTGTATATCCTGTTCCATTGCAATACTGATGGATGCTTGCAAGATGGTGTGCATTTCCCGACTGCCAATGGGATTTGAGAAAATGCTCTTCCGTTTCAATCCGCAATTCCCCGCATTCCTTATTCAGTTGGCTAAACTCCGTCCAAGTGACACGAGCATCCATCAGAAAACAAGATGCCGCTGAAGCGATCCAGCTGAAAGCGCTGTGTATCAGACTATATATTTGAGATAGTTTGTGACAATTGCTATAGCCTTAACATTATATAAAGGCAGAGTTGTCACTACGCGACATTACACCACAAGATAATGTCAACCCAGATGCAGTGGTGCCTCTCCAAAAAACATCATCAGTTTCGATAAAAGCAAACAGTGAATTCGTTTTTTGAACAAGGGATGAGAAGAACAATGTATTGTAAAACATGAGATATATATTTTTTATACAACGTATATAGAGTCGTAAGTGTATGAAGTTGTGCCCTTTTTTTTTCTTTCTTGTTATTTATTCCTTCTTCTTTTGCTTTTGTGCCAAAGTGGGAGACATGAAAGCTCCAGGAGGACCTCCAGCCGGCAAGATGTGTTGCGAAGGAGGCGGAGGGGGTGCCTGCATAGCTGGTATTGGGGACGTGTGAGGTTGGAAGTGGTGGGAAGGAGAAGCTTGGACGTCGGCAGCAAAGGTAGGTTGAGGGACGGCGGTTGCACGATAATTCACGCTGGCATCCAAAGCGCGTGGATCCGCGGGAGGGGTGGGTAAAGAAGGCGTGTGAAAGAATCCCTTGGATTGAGAATGGGGTTCATATAACCGGGTACCGGCGTTTTGAACCTGAACGCATACTTCCTTTAATCCATCGATGTGACTCATAAGCAATTCCGAAACTTTGCGTCGGATTTGTTGGGTATCGACGCCGTCCCTGACTTGAACATGCAACGATCCTACCATGGTTTCTGCTTCATTGGGCCAGAAACGAGGCATTTTGATATCGACAATACCGTCCATCGTTTTGAGTTCGTCCAAAGTGCCCTGCACCTGATTGACTACCGAGTCATCCAATTCAAGCATCAAAACAGCCGCCGATTGACGAATCAAAGGAATCACAGACAACACGATCAGAATGGCGATAAACAGCGATGCAATAGGGTCAAAACCAGTCCATCCGAACCATTGAATCAACAGTGTCGAGATAATCACACCCACGGATCCCAATGTATCGGCCATGATGTGCAGAAATACACCTAAAAGCGAAAAGCAACGTAAATCCTTGTTCCCCCTTTTTTTTTTCCAACCTCTCTTTTTTTATTACCTTGCATATTGGCGCTGTGTCCGTGGCCGTGGCCGTGTCCATGGTCGTGTCCATGGCTGTGACCATGACCGTGATCGTGTCCATGACTATGTCCGTGTGCGTGTCCATGGTTGAAAGCAAAGATACCGACCAAATTGACGATGAGACCGACAAAACTGACCAGCAGCAGACGTTGCGTATTCATCTCTGGAGGATGAAGCAATCGCTGAATGGCCTCCATAACAATGGACACGGAGATAAGTACCAAAAATACACCGTTAAAGTACGCTGCTACTGTCTCGATACGGTTATATCTATCCATCCAGGCAAATCGAGTTGATAAGAAAATGAGGAACACGGATTTTTTGCAAGTCGCGATACGTTACCCATAAGAATACTTTTGATTGGACGGCCACTTGCTCATGACGGAAGCAAACAGACCTACGCCGAGAGCCAAACAATCAAAGAACATATGGATGGCTGTTTTTCAAAGTTTGGTTTGGCAAGTTAAGAGATGGACCGACAAGACATGACAAGCATTGACTGTGCTCATAAATTTACCATCTGAAATGAGACCGAGAGAGTTTGTCCATACACCATAGACAAGTTGAACAAACATATACGATAGATTGAGTAACAAAAAGTAAAAGATTTGTTTCGAGTCGTTGTTATCGAGAATGATGCTCAGAGAATGCTTCAAGAATCCGAGAACACTCGTGGACGCTGTGTTAAAGGCGAGCGTTTTGCCATACCCCAACTCTGCCGACTCAACATGCGTCGGCAAGTCAAGCACCGACGAAGAAAACATGGGAAAAAGCAAAAACCAAAAGGCAAATAAAGAGGCTTAAAAAAGGTAAAAGAAGAGGTTACAAAAGGGGCAAAAGAAAAAAAAAAAAAAAGGTCTGTATCTGAAAGACCAACTTTAATGGATTTTCGCAAAGGTGGTGACAATTTGGAAGGCCGCACTTTCGGGTCCCAGAGGAGCATTGCCGGGACGATCTGAAATCACCACTTGATAGCCAGCTTCTTTGGCAGCTTGGATTTCTACATTTCCATGTTAATCATAAAAGCAAGGGTTAAACAAATTATCTGCAGAGGTTTAACTTGCCTTTGATGTTATCGGATACGAACAAGATGCGTTGAGGATCGGTTTCGCCAATTTCTTGGGCAATGGCTTTGTAGGATTGGACTTCGGTTTTTAATCCTACTGTGGTGTCAAAGTAACCGGAAAAGTACTACATGATTTTGAATCAGACCAACGGTATGTATATTTATCGCATCCGGATCGTGGTACTTACTTTTGACAAATCACCTTTGGTGGAATGGCCGACAAGCAACTTTTGCGCAGGCACGCTGCCTGAGGAGTAAATGTAGATCTTTTTCGAGGTCAACCATCGATCCAAGGCAGGAACAACATCGTCATAGATTCTAAACGCTGTATCAGCACCATGGACCCATTCCATCGGTTATCTTTTTGAAATACAATACATACTCTCCACGTAATTCCCCCGACTTGTATCCTTCTCTCCACATGAATCCTTGAAAAGCCTTCAGGGCTCCAATTTTTCGATCCATTGCCATTTGCCACTGAATGTTTTTCTTGACAGCATCTTTTACTTCAGCCGCCGAACTATTCAACACCTTGCATCAACATCACACAAGAATTACAGTGGATTGGCAGGTGAAATAAAATACCTTTTCTCCTCGGTTGGAATCTCAACAGCGGCTGGCGAAACCTTGTTCTGCACGTCCTGGTGAGCCTATAAAAAGTCGATCCGGTCAGAGCCTTGCGTGGACGTTTAGATGTTCCGCAAGAAAATCGTACCTGCTCGCGCAACAACTGAATATACTCTTTCAAATCGTCCGATCCCCAAGTACGATCGAGAAATGCATCTAATCCACGCGTGACATACGGAAACTGTGAAGGGATCGAGTGTTGAGTGTGGTGAGCACGGTGTAACCACAAATAGAAAAAACAAAACATACCAGAACTTCCTTCACAAAAGTAATGGGGGTAATGGTGCCTTCAATATCAAGGACAACACTATTGTATTCAGTCGACGCCATGGCGATGTTTCGTTCTTCAAGGCTTCCTATTTCCCTTTCCTGCTGTGATTGACGAAAATTTTCTGTCTCCCTGCGGATTTTCAATTTTTCTCTTTACCCAATGAAATCCTCACAGGCAAATCCAGTGGAAAATTGCCTGCTGTTGCAGTATGGAGGCCATCGATCGTCATCAAGCACATATTACAAGTGAACCTTCACAATATAATCCAGCCGGTCATGTTGTAATTTTTGATCTAGGATCTTGAAAAACAATCAATTCATTCCGTGTTTAACGGTAGACAGGCAACACTGACACTTGCTTTATTATATACAACTCTATGTTTTGCAACCGTTTGCGCTGTCAACAATCCACTCCGAGGGTTTCTTCATGTACCTTTCTTTTCCTTGGAAACCACGTGCCCAATCTGTACAGTGAGTCTTAATATTAGCTTTGAGTTGCGTCAAAGCAGGATGGATGGAATCGCCATCCTTCAGCTGTCTGTGCACATGCTCCTTCAATAGGTTCATCGCAAGACCGGCATAGTGAATTATTCAGTTGGTGATAGTGGCGCTTGCAATAAGGAGCATTGTCAAAAACGTAAAACGTGTTGCCCGGAAACGGTTGATGGCATGTCTAAAAATAACTCGAGTTAATTTTTTTTTATCCAAATGTATTCAATATCAGTGGTTAAATTTAGTTACATGACATCCAAAGCATTCGACGTGCCATTTTCCTTGCAAGCTGCCATCCACTGCCGAAATGACTTGGGAGTTCAGAGGTTGCTGACACGCCCGACATGGAGGAAGATAAAGTTTTCGATAATCATGGCGACAAAATACGTTACCCTGGTGTTCCTTGAAGCCACGATGACTGACAGGTTCCGAACAATGGTGGCACTTTAGATGACCAGGGTGATACAATTTTCCGAGCGCTTTGATGGGCGTGGTGCCTGCCGTAATAGGTCGGTCACTGGCAGCCAAAAGCTCTAATAAGTCTCACGTTGCTGTTGGTTTTTCCTATAATTCAAGGATTTATTATCCCTGGATTCACGTACCACGCAGCACATACGTCTCGCTTTTTTACGACTTGATAGTCTCGTTCGCAGTAAAGCTTGCCGTTATGGAAAAAACATGCTTGTTGGACGTCCAAAGCTGCTCGGCATAAATGGCAATTGAAGCATGCTGGGTGATAGTGCTTTAACATTGACCGATTATAAGCGGACACCAGAAACCGTTAGACTCCGACTCATCAAGAATGTCCAGACCAATCGAGAATTTTTACCTTGTCGTCTTTGGCAATCACTTCCTCTTTTGAATCCACCAACTCATTACAGACATTGCAGGTGGGCTCTTGGCCAAAAGTGGGGGTTAGATCTTCAGCTGACAAGCTTTTCATGATATCTGCCATGAGTGTATCTAATTCTTTGTCTTGATGCGGACTGGGCGAGGACGATATGTCGTGACTTGGTTCTACTGATTGCTGTGCAGGGTCTTGTCGCTGTATCGATCTATTACAGTTCCCATGAAGCTTTGGGCAAGCGTAGAAGCTGATGCATCGTATGACTTACGGCTGCTGTGGGAAATGCGATGCAGGTGGTGCTGGTGAAGTGCTGTTCTTTCGTAAAGAGTCGTAATACTGCGAGGAAGACATCTGTGAAATCGAATTGGTCATGATGGGGTCGAATTTATCTACAGGGATCGAGAAAGTGGATGAGATGAATGGCCAATTGATCAGTATATCAATAAAACGGAAAAGAAATCTAAACATTGCCGCCAGAGATGACAATACGCCAGTAGCGAGATCGGTCTCTCTTTTGGGTTACCTTTGGTGGATACATGCGGAAACAAGGGAAAGGATGGAAGTGGTGGAAGGTTGGAGCATATATGATCGGACAGTCTTCGAATATGAACATCCTCCCCGCAATCCGAGCATTTGACTGTAGGTAAAATCCGTGAAATACGTTCACTGGCAAGCATAGGTTATGGCTGATAATATTACAGTATAGAATGTGAAAAGAAGCAAAAATTGACACGCGAGGAAAAACAGCAAGACCAGTAAATAAAGCGCTTCATAAATGGACGTCAAGCATGTGTTGAAAAAGCAATTTCCTGTTTAGTTTAAAGCACAGACTTCCGATGTTCGAGACGAGCGGACAGAAAGCGATTGCGGGAAGAGGTTCATCTTTTTGATCTTAAAAAGGAAGATCCGAACGCTTGGAAACCTACATCTTCCGATACATTTAATTAAGGCTATTTAAACCATTGCCAATCTTGCCATTCCGGGTAAACAGCGTTAATGATGGACCTCTGGACCAAAGCGTCTATTCCCTGAGCGTCTGTAAACCCAACGCTACAGCCTTGTATAGACGATTCGGAGAGATCGGCTACCAGTGACAAAAAGAAAGTGCGAGATGGAAGGACCATACTGCAAGTAGCAAAGACAGGTATGTTGCCTACGTACTTTTGGACAGGTGCCATTGATCCTTCGCTTAAGCTATTTACTTTAGGATAAATCCATCAGTCGTTGCAAAAGAGTGATTTGATAAAGAATTCCAGCAAATAAGAAACCTTGTGGAAACCAGGGTGAAAAAATTGTATGGATATGAGATATTTTCTTTTTTGCTTTTTTTTTGAATCTATGAATTACTCGTTGCAAGCCTTTTTCTTAAGCGCGTATTTTTTGATGCGTATATTCCAGAAGAAATCGACAAAATCGAATGAAGAAAGAATGGTTAAAGAAATGAAAAGCGCTCTCGTGCTCGCTTGCTTGCTTAAATGCATAATCTGTAACTGACATAGCGACCGGCTGTTTCACTCTCTCTCAAGATTTTCACAACCTAAAAAAGCATGCAGTCGTCAGATTTTCCTTTCCCGCTTCTCATCAAAATGTCAGCTATTGTTTACCTGTCCTCGCTTTAATCCGTAGTATCTCGCAACAGGATCCGAATGTTGAATGCGTGGCAATTGTGTATCCTTCAAACGGCTAAAAGGACAACCATTAGCCATCCGTCATTCTGTTTCCCTTTCTTGTCCCTCACTGTATTTTCTTTTTTTTTTCCTACTTACTATCGTTGAAGCAAAGTAGCCTTTTCTTCGCTAGTTAACACTTCATGCTTAGGCACCAGCACATGGTGGGTAATATTGACCAACAGTTCGTTTTCTTGGAACGATTCCAAGGTATGTTTCGAGGGCAACGATTGAATGACCTATATACCATCCATGAGAACTCCACTCCCATCCCCATTGTCTCACTTTTTCCACGCACCTTGTTGGCAGAAGAAGTCATGCTCTTTTGGTAAATGCAAATGCCTTTGGGAATCTGCTGTTGTGCCATACGTTCAACAAACCTAAAGGACAAGCGTGAAAGGTGTGAGTATATCGAGCATCGATGAATCAGTGGCTGAAATGACATACACTCTCAATGGCTTCACACCGACTGAAGCATCCTTGGGAAAGAAGACGAGCAACTGATCAGTGGGGTCGTCCTTTTTCTGAACAACAAATGTCAAATGATCGCGACTGGACAGAGAGGGTTGATCGTGAGTCAGTTGAGATCGGTGAATAAGGTCTTTTTAATCATTTTCGAGGGAGCTTACTCAACGTCACCCGAGGGAGCAAAAGTGCGCTTGAAAGTTTCGAGTTCCATGTCAAGTTCGGATTGGGAGACAAGGTAACCCTACAATCGAGTTTCATCGATACCATGACGAAAACAAAACACATTAGTGTTATTAAATTCGCTGCTGTAATGGGGTCTTGTTTTTTTCCAGTTGATAATTACTCGATCGTGCACCATTTGATGGGCAGTTCGGAACACTCTCCATAATCTCGTTACTTCGCTTCGGCTGCTGGCGTCCATTATTATATTATGAGAAAAATAAAGGTTGTGCACCCTCTTGTCCGCTTTTTTCTGGAATGGACCTTTCAATTTTTTTTTTTCTTCAGTGAATAAATGTTGTGCGGTAGCCGAAAAGTTTTTAGCCAATCATTTCCTATCAATTCAGTCGGACGTCCAATAACTAGCGCGTCATTTTTGGAGCAGCGGCTCAGTGCAAGCTGTGTGCTGCCAAAATCTGCCACCTTGATATTGTTATTTTTCCATATCTGATCAAATGATGCATAATTACTTGAAATTTCTGTATAAACCATAAATCTGAATAAGACATCTGCTACCGTTGTTACAAGCAGGCGCCACCCATTGGAGGAGCCGGTCATGGCAATAGTTTTCACAACTGATAAAGGGCTATCGTTGTCTGGCGACATAATTGAAAGAAGCTTGAATCGCCAAATTTTCAAATTAAAGAGTAAGCCGTTAAATGTTCCATCATAATTTCCAGACGATACAAGTTATGTACTAGGGAAGAGCAATTTGTGCCAAAACTTCTACCTTATATTTTCAACTCAGTGGTAAAGAAGATGAATTCCACCAGATACGAAATTTGTAGCAAACGCTCGGTTACAGTAAGTGGATTCAAGTACTCTTTATAACACGAGGTCATCTTCATAGAAAAAACAGGGTAGTATATTATACTGCACCAAGCCATATGCCAAAGAGAACTGATCTGGTCTATACGAATAACGTTCAATATGACGAGACGAAATTTGTCGACCCAAACAACATCAATATGTAAAATATTCATAATTGCGTCAGAACGAAAGCGTCAGCTTGAATGTACCTAGTGTTCACGTTTTTCAAAAGGGGCCAATGATGCCTTCAAGCCAATTCTCTACAGCAGAAATGTCATAATTTATCCGTGCAATATCATAGGCCTATGCATCAGGTCAATTGGGTCTCCGACGAGAAAGCAATGACCCATTCACGCAGTGTCCAGGAACTGTTGTTCAATTGTGTTATATATTTTATGCGGCTTTCAACACTGGTGCGACCGACATTGGGCATCATTTTCGTTGTCTTGACATGCCTCGAAGCATTGGGACTTTATTGGTTCCTCAAAGGATTCCTCTTGACCCGTCAAACTCTGGATCTTCGAGGTCATCGTTACGATCCTTGGGAACGCCTTAATATCCGCTATAATGATACCGACACCGTCAGTGCAGATACGCTGAGAAGCGGCTCAGTGCCTGCAAAGCCTCCTTTTCAACGTACCGTCATCGTGCTCATTGACGCGCTGCGATTCGACTTTATTCTCAACATGACCGACATCACAGGTCCCCGCTACTATCTCAATCAGCTACCAGTGATTCAACAGACGCTACAGACGCATCCGACTTCATCGTTACTTTTTCAATTCCGAGCCGACCCGCCGACCACAACCATGCAACGTGTGAAAGGCCTGATGACGGGATCGCTTCCCACCTTTATCGACGCCGGAGCCAATTTTGCCACGTCATCTGTGGGCGAAGATCACTTGTTATACCACCTTCATCAACGCTACAAAGACATTTATTTCATGGGTGATGATACCTGGGTCAATTTGTTTCCAGAGGTGTTTGATCGCCCTGATCGTACCTTTGACAGCGACAGCTTCAAAATGTTTGACCTGCATACAGTGGACAATAACATTCTTTCCCATCTTTGGCCCTTGATGGAAGGCGACACATCGTGGGATTTGGCCATCGCCCATTTCTTGGGCGTCGATCACTGCGGTCATACCTATGGCCCGTCGCACCCTAATATGGCCAAGAAATTGACGCAAATGAATGGCGTCCTGGAACGACTCATGACGCATATCGACAATGAAACGCTCCTAGTGGTCATGGGCGATCACGGCATGTCGGTAGAAGGGGATCACGGCGGTGAAAGTGTGGAAGAATTGATGAGTGGATTATTTCTGTATTCGGGACGTGATTTGACCATGGCACGCGAAACAGGAGGCCAGCCTACTTATTACGCCATCCTTTCCCAACGTATTCATCAGCAACGGGCCGACATTCTGGGATTGGATTTTGATGCGATATCACAGCGATTACTGTACCCTGCGAATGCGTCGCAATACCCGGTGGTCTCTCAGATCCATCTGGTTCCGACCTTGTCTTATCTTCTTGGCGTGCCCATCTCCTTTGGTAACTTGGGAGCCATCATTCCCGAGCTGTTGTACCCATCCGACTCCACCGACCGTCTGCGGACTTTGTTGCATTTCGTGGAACAGTTTCGTATCAATGCATTGCAAGTATATGACTACTTGCATTATTATTACGATCATACGGCCCATCCTGGATTTGCCCCTTCAAAGTTACAAACGAGTTTGGAAAACATGTTCGCAGCGGACGACATAATGACCCAGCTCTCCAGCAACCCTGTGTTCAAAGCGGCCCTTGACGGTGAAGCGATAGACGAAGCGAGCCGAATGGATCTGACAAGGCAATTGGAACAGGCTATTCTGTCGTACAATGCATTTTTACTGCACATCATCAAATACTGCGGAATGATTTGGGCTCAGTTCGATGTAGGCTGCATGACGGTGGGAATCGTTGTCCTGATCCTCAGTACCTGCGCGGCGATCTGGTTACTGTATCGTCCTCAAGCGACACTTAGACAGGTCGCTGTGACAGGTTTCAGCAGTTTCTGCTTTGTGCTGACTCTGGTCGGTTTTCGGTACAGCTTTCTGTATACAACACTGCGCGACTATGGATGGTTTGAAAAAATGCAGTTATTCGACTGGCTGGGAGCGGCATTGGCGGTGACCGCCGCCACCGTAATGTTCACTTTACGTTATCGGCAATCGGTTCAGTTTGCCACAGATCTGTGGCATCGGTGGGATTGGCCCATCGTCTTGGTGACAGTGCTATGCAACGCATTGACCCTGGGATCCAACAGCTTTGTCATTTGGGAAGATCGTGGCATGCGGTTTGTCACCGTGACACTGTGCGTGTGGTGGGCAGTACGAAGCGTGTTCAACGATACCAAACTTCGATCCCTCATGCCGCCACTCTTGACCGCTCTATGGATACGCATAACAAGCATGACTGGACAATGTCGCGAAGAGCAATTCCCTTATTGCGATTACATTCACAACGGTTATCTTTCTCTGGGGCACTCCATGGATATTCGAGCACAACTGCCAACCCTCTCGTTCATTTTAGTCTGCGTGTTACAAGTGGTTTATGCACTACCTCGACTGTTCCAGCGACAGCTGAAAGGTCGTGTTTCCAGTCTGATCTTGATGATGTACCGATGTTCTCTTGTAATCGTCCTGCTTCATACGGTAGTTGACATTTACGACAGTTCTCAAGCCACGACCGAAGCCCCCGACTCTTCCTCGCTGTCCGCACTCTTCAACCAATGGGTCCAAGTATATCTGCCACGGGTGGTCTATGTCAACTCTATTGCGAGTATGGGCATTTGCTTGTACGAGTCAAGGTCGTCGCGATCAGGGGCAAAGCATCATTCAAATCGCGATGTCAGTTGGGTTCTTTTGTTCGCATGGAGTGTCACGTTGGCAATGCTGCAAAGGCCGCTGGGAGCCTGTATTGTTCTCGGCGTACCTTACATTGTGTCCCTGTTAACTCGTGGAACCCGGTCGACACTGCTCATTCGACTGCTGCTGCTCCATTACCTTGGACAGCACTTGTTTTTCGTTACATCGCATCAATCGACGTTGACTTCCTTGCCTTGGAAAGCAGCATTTGTTGGTTTTGACGATATGAATTACTACTGCGGTGCCACGCTGGTCATTTTATCGACATTGGCGGGTTTCTTGCTTTCATGGTTAGGCTGGGCGGTTCTTCTTGCAACAGAAACTACAACAACCACGCCCGACAGGAAATGCGATCAGCAAGACGTCCCTCGGTGTCTCTTTCTCCTAGTACTCGCGCAGTCCATCCCAACTTTCTTATCGTCCATTTTTGTCCTCATTTTGCGCCGCCACCTAATGACATGGAAAATCTTTGCACCCCGTTTCTTACTACAAGCCATGCTATCCATTGGATCCCATTTGGCGTCTGTATTTATAAAATCACTACTATAAACTTTTCAATTTCATAGAATTTTTTTGTACACATACTTTTCTTTATCATCTTGTACGCTTATGCCCCGGTTTCTCTATACAAAAAAATTAAATAATAGCGTTACGCAACAGACAATGGAAAATTATATAAAAAAGAAAAACGCAAATACATAGGGATGTTTCCGTTTTCATTCTTCTGACATCAATTCGTAGCGAGAACACTTGTAATTTGCAATATCTTAAGGGCGCTGCATGAAATACATTAAGTCAGTTGTTGAAGATGCAATTGTTACACAACACGATAGTTCCTCCCAAAAATTTTCGATAGAGTGAAATGGTCTCCTTGCCGATCCCTTGCCTAGGTCCCACTGTCAGTTTTGCGTCGAGGGCAAAGAAGGAAAAAAAATTAGTGGAGATTCTAGCTTTTTCATCGCTCTCCTGATCGTCTCCTTTTTTCCACTGATTTGCTTTGCCATGTCTTCGTAATCGTTTACTTGGTCATTTTTCGTCTCATTTTGTATCAAGCATACTTCATCACCGCTTCATCTCTTTTATTTATATACCTATAATGATTACTTGGATTCCTTTTCTTCGTCCGTCATCTCCTCTCACCACGCCATTCTGGGAACGCAACGAGTGGTTTCGACGTCACGGTTACCAACGTCCCTGGGATACCTACCTTGTACTGCAGTGGATCTGTTCGTTTGCGCTAGATCTTGTCTTTTTTAAATTCTTGGTTGTTTTTGTAACGGATGTCGATGCGAAAGAAACAAAGTATGTGCTGCATCACTGGGATGCGCAAGAAAGGCAAGACACCGATCAACCGTGGAATCTGCAGGGCCTGTGGAACGGTCACATCATGGTTTTTATCAGTGTAGCCATCAAAGCACTGAGTATTATTACATCTTTTGTATCCACAGAAGATCCAGTAGTAGCCAACCAACGACATCAAGTCCCACGATCAAAGACGTACGTACGACGATATGGTACTCCAGTCATTGACAGTTTTACCGGTGTATGCGGTATTTGTCGCATCAAAGTGTAAGCCCGAGCATCCGTAATCATGAAATAGATAGATCGTATCCTAATTGTCTCCTTATTTGTGTGTGTGTGTGTGTGTGTTTCTCCAAAACAGAGATCAAACAACCCGGCATTGCAAATTATGTAACAAATGCGTGGGTGGCATGGATCATCACTGCAAATGGCTCAACTGCTGTATCGGACAAACAAATTACAAGTAAGCTTAGCGTAAAGCTTCCCTCCCTTTCTTGGTTTTTCTACGGTGTAGGTTCACATCGCTAATTATCCCCGAGATAGACTTTTCATGGCATTGGTATCCATTGCATTTGTCGCTTTATTATGGTATACGACCCTGACGCTGTACGTCGTCTATCTTTCCTTTTATCATCGCGATGTCTTTATGAGTCACGGTAAGCCCAGTCAGTCATGGTTTGGGGGCTGCAGAATTATATTGCTTGAAACAATCTACTCATACGCGTTTGGAGATAGTCCTACAATTGCACGGTGAAAGTGTAAACAATGCAAGTGAAACAGTGGATTCCATGTCTCGATTATGTTATGTTTACATCGCCTTGGCGATCATCATTGCCATATTTGCAATCACCGCCTGGTTGGCCATGACACGGTTGCTCGCCTTTCATGTGCGCCTCAGTGAGTAGTCTTTTTATCTTTATAAATGGCATCCTGATCAGCTGATGGATCCGAGCGCTAACGGAAATACTTAGGTTTCCTCAATATGACCACTATTGAATATATCAATCATCCTAGTCGTCAAACATCGTTATTTGATGATTCGGATGACTCGGACGACGAAGACGAGGAAAGCGACTTTGACCGGTGGGGTAACGATACCCTGTATACCGATGACACCAATGCGTGGCATCGTCCATGGTCGCCGTCCCTGATGGAAGGGCCGCCATCCGCGGGTCAGCAGATGATGCTTTCCTTGTCAAACTATTTATGGCATCCTTGGCGGATGCTTTCGCGATACCTTATTCCTGGATACCGGTATCGCGTATTGAGTCGAAAACGAAAAAGGTCCAAATGGTGGCGGTGGTTATATTACGCTCAACGACCGAGATCACGGCATAACCGTCGACTCCGACCCGAAGGGATGGATCGGGTGGATATGCAAGAAATTTTGGCCACCAAGACCATTCGACCGACCGTTGTGTTGGATGAGGATGGGCCGAATTACGACGATGACATGGGCCTGGATATGTCGATTCTCGACGAAAAGTATGTTCCTAGGTCTGTGACACCACCGCTCAAACCGCGCAGCAAAGCGGCACGATTACTGGATATATCGGATGAAGAAGCGATACGTTACGGACAACAGCGCAACAGTCGAAGCCATGAATGCGAAACAAGTCAGACCGATCCACGTGGGGTCACGCTCGGCGATGAAAGACATTTGTGAACCCGTTCTTAAACCGGAAAAAAAGAACCCCCCAAATAAAAGGTTAGGGTGTGTATGTTTGTTGTGATGTGTGTAGTGTGTCTCCTCATCTGTTACAATAAAGCTGGATACCACATCATAATAATAAAAAGAAGAAATAGTTCGTCGTCTCACTTTTGTTTAAACCTAAAAAGACACGCTTCTCAGTAGGCTGGGTGAACTCCGTGTCATTCACTCGTTTACTGTAGGTTGACCTCAAGTCATGGCAAAATTCATGCAAAAAGGGGAAATTAGTATGAAACGCGGCGCAAAAAAGAAAAACAACAAGTCCCCGTCAGTGAAAGGGTATGATTCATGACATATCAATGGATGCGCATGTATATATACATTTATATCTATTTACCATGGTCTGTTTGGATGACAAGTATTTGTACTGTATATCAAGTGCTTGAATGTTTCCCTTTCGTTTTACAACATTTTTTTTTCTTTGTTCCTTTCCCTTGTATTACTTTTTTGTTTTTGTTTCTTCCTTTTTTTGTTCCATTTTTTTCCAGTTTCTACATTGTCTTGCATGGCTTCTCTCACAATTCATCTCGATAACCATCAGATTATATTAACGGAGCAATCGACATGCATGATATCAGGGTCGCTGCGGATCCACGCCGATCATCTTCACGGTCGTCCCTGCCATGCCAAACTTCAACTACTCGGTCAGGAACGTGTACGGAACGACATTCACAGTTTACTGGATACCACATACACAGTTGCCCGAAATAGCACGGATTTCATTCAAGAGCCAAACGGCGTTTTCATTCTTCCCTTCTCATTTCATATTGCATCGGATCTGCCGGTCTCGTTTCAGAGCACCATTTACGACACCCTCGCCTACATAGATTATACATTAACAGCCACCGTACGCTTGGCACGCCAAGAAACTTTAAGGGCCATTCAAAACTTGGAATTATACAACTCATTCTATCCCGCACCACCGTTTCGATTATATTGGGGCACGTCGAAACAGTGGCCAAAGTGGCGTTACGAAGTCGAAGTCCCTCACACCATTGCTTATCCGCAACGAGCTATGTTAAATGTTCGTGTGTTATCCCCCTCATCCATGAAACGATCCTCACCCTTTCGTAATAATCATCACCTCGAAACATGTCTTATTGGGTGTCAACTGTTTGAATCGATACGAATAGGGTGAGTAAGAACTAAGCTCTTGTTACCAAAACAATAATAATATAAAGGAAATGTAAGAAAGAACAAAGTGAAAAAAGGGAAACTAAAGAAAAAACAATTTTTTTACAACTTGATCTAGACAAGAAAAAGAGTATGAACAGCGGCCGCTCATGACGTTTACACACATGCTTACTTGGCCTTCCCATTCATGGTCATTTCCGTGTCAATTGCCGCTGGAATTCGAGGAACCACCCAAACCCAACTTGTCGACTCGTTTGATGGAGGTAGTACATCGTCTGCGTGTCACCATCATTTTCTCCAATCCTCTTGGTGTGACGGATCAAGTGCAGATGGAATTCCCCATCATTGTGCTTTCTGTTGCTTCAACTACTCGATCTCGATCCAATACAGCCAACAGCGATCACGATAGTGCCTTGAGTTTAACAAATTCATGCTATTCAGACTCCATCTCCGACAAAGAACCTTCTCATGCGACATAACCACTTCCCCTATGGTTTCATCCCTTGCTTTTTTTTGTACCTTATTTGCCATCTGTTGCTGTTTTTGATTGCTTCTCCGCCATTCTTTTTCTGTCAAAATTCGCTAATTCCTGCCTTTTTGCCCTCATTTTCTTTTTTTTCTTCCACTCTCTTTCCCTTCGCCATTATTGTTTTTGGACATGATGTGTGAGAAAAATAACAAAGACGTAACAAATAATACATACACACACACACACACACACACACACACAACGAAACAAACAAAAAGGAAACTGCGCGCCACTCTGTGTTCAAAATCATCTATTTGTTTGATTGCTCTGAAAGTAACTAACATATGGATACTGTACTTTTATCAAAAGACGATGGATAAAAATTACTCCTGGATGCTGATATCTACTGGATATACAGCTGCTACGTAAAATGCGGGAGATGCTGGGGTAGGCGGTGATTCTGTCAAAGTTGACCACAAAAAAAAAAAAAAAGAAGGGGGGGAGGAACACTGTAGACGAGTCAACCGATGTCTATCAGTGCAATCAGTGTTATCTATTCAGGTCTATAGACCGTGCTGAATTGCATGTGCATGAATTTTATGACTTTTCTTGGCCAGTTATCGCAGATAAACATCTTGGCCACCTGACGTAAAAATAAGCAACTAAAAATTCGAACGATGAGCTATGTATTAGAGTTCGATATGACAGAATACCCTGGCAAATTACAACATGGCGTACAACACTATAGCATCATGTATTCTAACGGGTAAGAAAAGAGTCGGTCCTACACATTCAGCCTTACCTTTGAATGAGGAATTAAAAAAAAACGATATCGTTGATCGGCTGGCAAGTGTGAGGAATCTTAAGAGATGCGAGAGATCCGAGGAGGGATCCGTTAAGGGATCTTTGAGGGGTACAAGAGCGTGAGAGATTCGCTGAGGGACAGCACTGATTGGCTGGCAAGTGAGAAGGATCGATTGTGCGATGCGGTTGGCATGGCTGCATAACAGGTCACTCGAACCTGTATGTTTGCCCTAGCAAATTTTTTTGTAATCCCCGATAAATTTGTTGACTTCCCTAATGTCTTTTTTCATCTTTCAGTTCATTTTTCTCGAGAAATGAGGAAATAATAATAAAATAAATTGCAAGGAAGCAACAATTATGACTTGATCCTTTATTGGTAGGAGTGAGGTGGATCTTCTCATATTACTTTGGCCTTGCAGAATGCCTGCGTAATCCTGGTGGGAAAATGCGCTGAAACTGACGACTTTGTTCATCAAAAAGAAGAGGCCATCTTCATGACGATGACTTCTATTTTCAATAAAGTGTATAATACGAGTTGAAATATAGTTTAACTAGCCATGCATTACGTCTGTACCAAAGTTATGTGCACCTGTGTATCCCATCAGCCAACACAAGGACACTTGAGAATAAAGATCTCTCTCTAACATTATCTGAGACCTACTTCATGCAGCTATTTCATGCGATGAGTCCACCCTCTTTTATCAATGGATAACTATGAAGTGAAGCGATGCGCGCGTCTTTTTCCTGCTTCATTATTAGACCATAAAGATTTTAGCTACAGCACGAGGGATCGCCTCTTTCTCCATGTCTATAAAAGACGACGCATCTTCCACCCATTTCTTTTTTCTTTTCCTCGCAAAATCATCCATCGCGCCATATACTTTTTTATTGCTTATTCTCATCAACATTGCTCAAATCAACTAACCTGTACGTATACTCATGATGACTACAACTGTGCTATCAAACGCTTGAACCTCCAGAAATAGCTTGCGCGCCGAAAACGGTTTTTTTTGACGGTAACAATGGAATTTTTTTGAAAGGTATATATTTGTGCTCAAGTGCCCTTTCTTATTTGAACTTTATGCCGAATCACTCACTTGTTGAGTGTGCTTCTATAGTTTAAATAACTGAATGAACAAAGCCCATGCCTTGGCGGTGTGCGGTGGCGGCTCCCGCAATGCGGTGACAACAGTTTTTTTGTAAGTGAAAACAAGGAAGAGTAAGTGTGGCTTGTCTAATGCATCCATCTTTTTTTTTGTATGTCTTTGTCTTTTGGTTTCTCTCTTATTGATTACTTAAAACAACATTACCTTGCCTCATTTACAAAAAAAAAAAAAAAATTGATTTGTGAAATTTTTACCCAGATTTTTTTCAATTAAACTGTATATGGAGATTGTAACTATCCTTGATGCACTGCACCTGTGCCTGCAAGAAAACAGAAGGACATATCCGTGTTTTAACCGCTGCAATTGTATCCGCAAGGCCTGTGCAGTACGACAGTTTCTGAATAGCTAAATCTACAAACAAGATCCGAATGGCAGGAACCGATTAGCTTTTCCGCTTGCTGTATGCAAGGAATAACAGTACAGCGTCCATTTACCGGTACATCACGTCCATGATGGTCCCCGACTGATGTTTTTACTTAAAGAATATCGTGGCCACCACATCGTAACAGTCGAAACGACGACATTCTGTCTCACCTTCTGTAGGACAAATGTCTACAAGAAAGGCACTTCTGCTCCGCCGAAAAGCCTCTGTGACAGGCCTACCGTCCCTCATGCATGCCGTATCTCAATAAGACCGTAGGAGCGCCATGTTCAAATAATGATAGCTGACTTGTTGGGTACTTTTCGGCACATCATGTGTGCGTCTCCTAGTTCCGCGGAGTATCCTCTGTATTTCCTTGGAGAAGATGAGTTCACAAGAAATAAAAGCCATTCATGTAACAAAATGATAGATGATATTTAATTAAAAAGCCGTTCAGCAATCTCAAAGAGCCCCCGTTGTCCATTATCTTTTTTATAAATTTGGACTTCACTGTTGTCATCAAACGCCACTCCCCCACATGTGCCACGAACAGTACCATCGGCTTTTGTTAATCCTACAACCGCAACAGATTCTGGACCATTTGCTCCTGAAGGGTCGCGATCATCAGAAGCCACTACCGCCACTCCAGCCATGGATGAGTATGTAGACAATAGTGCAATCACGAGGCAGATTCACCCTTTTTACGGCACACAATAGCCAAAGTGCAATAATTGCCAGAGAAAATCAAGTCCATAAATGAAAAGAAATCATGATGAAACAGAGCATTATAGGTAACTGTACCACATGCTCCAAGTTCCCTGTTTTTGATCACCTAAATATAAATGGTTCCTTCTTTATGGAAAAAATGGCCTTGGCATTGTTCATGATCGACCAAAGGATCAATGTATTGATCCCATGATATGTGTGATTCCCAAAATACAAGATTACATGATAATGTCCAATCCGTGTCATGATTATATGGATATATCAACACCATCCCAAGCATGTGTTTCAGCACAAAAAAGCAACGAATGTTGATTGTTTTCCCAAAAAAAAAAGAGAACAGCTTTATTCAACGGCAGCGACCGCTTCTAAGGTGGGTTCGGTGTGAATAAGTTGATCCGGGTTGTCAATGCTTTGAAGAACGTCGTGATGACTTGACGTTTTCTTGGCTTCGTGATATTGTCGTAGCAGGACATCGACGTTGTCCAAACTCAGAGGACGAATATCCGCCAATGCTTTGATCTTTTGTGTAATTCGCTTGGCATCTTCATCCGTCAGATCCAAATTCAACTGTTCGACACGATCCTTGACCGCATTCCATCCTGTCAAACGGTGACCAATTGATACATAGCGAGACATGCCGAAATCTTCAGGCTTCAAAATTTCGTACGTCGACGGGTTATTCAAGATGGCCTTGGCATGAATACCCGCCTTGTGAGTGAACGCACAGTAGCCTGTAATATAGTTGTTGAACGGAACAGAGCACTAGTTCGAAACTGATTAAAAAATGCTCTTCATTATGGAAGATTGGGTTCATGGTGAAAACTTACGTCTACCGCATCGGCCACAATGTTTTCCACATCTCGCAGTTTCTTGAGGTTGTACTTGTTGACGACGTAGTCTCTGTCGGCAGCATACATTCTGGCAAACAAGCCGCCCAGAGGTGTAATACCATTGCGTTCACCAATGCCCAGCACGGATGTGTCAATATGAGTCGCACCAGCTTCCAAAGCTAAATATGGCAGGTTTCAATCGTGAGTCACACCACTCTTATTTTTTGTGTAATTTCCTTTTTTGATTTAAAAATATTATTCACTTACCAGCATAAGCGTTGGCAATAGCGCAACCCGTATCGTTATGGAAGTGGCATTCGATATCACAACTCACAACACTGCGCAAGGTTCGTACCAATTCATACACTTGACGAGGATTCGCACAACCCACAGTATCGGCAATACCGACACGGTTGACACCAATTTTGTCCACAGCCTTGTAAATACTCAGCAGATCTACCAGATCCGAGCGGAAAGAATCCTCCGTGGAGAAACGAACTTCAAGACCTTTGGATTTGATATACGAAATAACCTCGATCGCCTTCTCCGTGATGTAATCCATATCCTTTCCGTGCGAGAATTCACGCAAATAACTTGACGTGCCAATCACGACATCCAATCCGTCCACGCCCGTGTCGATCGCCAGTTTAGCATCATCCATGTGGCAACGAACGTGGGTCAAGATCTTGGCCTTCAAACCCAAGCTGGCAATAGCCTTACAATCATTGCGCGATTGTTCGGATGCAGCCGGTGAAGTCAGCTCCAAATAATCCACACCAATTTCATCCAAAGCCTTGGCAATTTCAATCTTCTTTTCCGTATCGAAAAACGCATTTGCAAACTGTTCACCCTCTAATCAAGAATAACACAGGCTTAGTTCTGTTGTCTGATCCATGACCCTACATGATCTGACGACTCGTTGCTAATGCTTTTTACTGGATTTCCTTCCGTCAACCGTTGTATTTACCTCTCAAAGTAGATTCAATGATCTTAAAGTTGGAAATATTGGACATGGGATCAGGATATTTGGGCATGTACGGCGATACGATGGGTTCCTTGGGGCGCGTTGCCTCTTTGTGATTTCCGTTGGTCTGAGCCATGGTTCGTAAAAACAGAAACTTGAGCAGTGAAAGTAAGAGAAGAGAAATCAATGAAAAAGAAAGAGCAATGGAGACGATGGAAAATTTGACTAATGTATTGATGGGGATATCCCTTTTGAGATTATCTCGACGGCAGATCTATGTGACTGTCATCAATGCACGCACTATGTGGGGTTTTGGATTGATGGATCATTTTGCGGTATTTAAAAATATGGTCGATGCGATGGTCTATTTCACCGAAAAATCGGGTTTAATCATTGGTTCATTTGATGGCCTACCGCGCCCCCACACATCGCATTGCATCTAAGCTAGGGGGATACGGCGATTTAAGATAATCTCAACAAAAAAAAGTCTAAATGTGCGATATCGTCAAAACCAAGACATCTTCTAGTGAACTATTTCGTAATTCTACATCGCCTTGTCTGAATCACTTGGGACAGCCGGTGCGACATGGTCGATGACACATCCACTTATGGTTACACCAATGCAAAAAGTTTGAAAGATTTGCGATTATCTATCCCATAAGCAATACGTAATTTCTTCAGAAAGGACGCTGCATGACGAATATGATAGACCAACAACGTTCGGATGCAATATCATCCAGATTTCTCAAGGTAATCACTATAGGAATAAAAAGAAGGGTTTCACATTTTTTTTATATCATCGTGGAATGTGTGACACCCACATTCAATTTTTGACAGAAGCATGTCTGATAAGCTTCGATTTTTAAGATCCGCTCTTCCCCCAAGCTCTCCCAAATGGGAAGATCAATGTGGCATTGGGTCGATGGAAACTGTGTGCATTTAGCGACAATCATCCCTATGGTGGGCACATAGGCATCTAAACATTACATACGCACAAAGACAATACCGACATTTTACATCGTTTCAAAAGCATGTACAGCTTTTTTGACAGAGTATGGTTTACAACGGGCCTATGACTATATCGTAAAACACCAACTCTTAAATGCCGCGCAAGTTGCACCATATAAGATGTCAAGATGGAAAGCGATATCTGATTTGCCAGTTGTGGTGACATTTTTTTTCTAACTCCTTAGAATATCTCACTGATACATGTATCATGTGATTCTCACTCACTATTCAGAAAAGAAGACATCGTCTTTACGATTGCGCCAAAAGTACCATGTGAAGTAAAATAAGAAAGTCTCCTGATGCTGCCGAGGTGGACTGTTGTCGTCCGGCAATCGGCCTCAGGCCACATCATCGGACTATATTACTTTCTGCATTCAACCCTTGACAAAGTTTAGAAAGCACAAATACATACTACAGGTGCCGATCGATGTGAGAAAGAATAGTATATACTGTAGCAGCATCTTTGGTTCATGTATTTCCTTTAATAACACATTTATTCGTCTGATGAACATCAACCAAATGAAGAATTGTTCCATTTAACAATATATGCGCTCTTTGAGATGGTTACTAACCGATTGACGACTGTAGTCATACGCATGGATTCAGTGTTATTTTTAAAGTGGCAAACGGCGGATCATTTGGCTCATACATTAGCGCATCCCCGCTAATACATGGCAAAACATGAGAATACTAGGATCAACAAAAAAAATTCATGACGCGCATTAGAGTAGTTTCATCGGCTGAGGGTTAGGTCTCCAAAAAATGGGTTTTTCATACCGTCTTTTCCATCGAAATCGATTATATCGATTGGAATGTATTTGCTTTGTAATTACTTCAAAGGACATGGGTCAACGTCGGCAGAGCTTTTCCCAGTGAACTACTGTTCAGTCATCATTGGTCTAATTATGAATGCGTGAGAAAAGACATTCTCCTATCCTCTGCGCATTAGGCCTCGTCACAGATAAATGAGACAATTTACTGTTGTATTTTGGGGTAAACTTTTACACCAAAGTGATCAAGTCGACGGCAGGTACCGTAAATAAATCAAATAAACTTGATGTTACTAGAGGTAAATATTACAATATCGTCCATCCTTCTTTGGGAAGTTACAAGCCCGTCGTCCTCTTTCTTTTATTTTTCCTGCAATTAAGAATATTGCGAACAGGAACAAACGAATTTTTCCTTCACCCGCTCTGGAGGGTTGTCCCTGACAGCCCGTTATAAGAGAAATAAAAGGAACAAAATTTTACCTCCAATTGCAATCCCACCGCAAAGAGATAATGTCATGAGCTAGGAATCGGGTAAACCCTTTCTATGATTGGTCTTGCGACAAGGTGTTTTCAGTCACAAAAGGGTGGGAACCGACACCCTGATTCGTGTTTTGGCAGGATTTCTCATCGAAACACAGAATGAAAAAACAAAAAAGATGCAGATCCACATCCCACTTGATCATATTTTGATAAATAGATGACTGAATTATTACGTCTGCTTCCCACGCGAGGAAGAAAAAAAAAAGCTCAAGAAAGCAACTTCTCGAATGAAATTTCTACCTTGTATTAGCCTGTAATAGGTAGAAAAAGAGACAGGTCATGGCTGGAAAGAACAAACAGTGTAGAAGGGGGTAGAGTGAAGTAGACACATTTGCGTTTCTGTTAGTGGGAAGGAGCATGTTTTTTTTTCCAAGAAAACAAATCGTGATCATAACAGTGGAAATCGCATGTCATTGGACGAGGCACCAATCGTTTTCTCTCAAAAATGGGCCCATCCGCTGAAAAAGAATGAGTCTTCTTGTGTAGCCTACAGCCCAGTGTGTATCACTCACCGGTTTCTTTTTTCCTAGTTTGAGGTTTGCATAAAATAAAAACAAAAAAGGATGATTCCAGACCGTTCCAAGGATATAACAGGTAGGATTCTGATTAAATTTATCATAAACGGTTCTATTCTGGTGTAGTTTTAGTCCGTGACAAAACCAATTGGCATATGCGAAACAGTCATGTCCGTTCCATCGAGTGCTGAGGTAATGGATAGGTGCGGTAATGTTGTCTAGATATGTTTGTTTATGATCTTTATAAAGCGACAGAAGGCAAAAGAGAAAGAAAAAACTCCGGGATGACCGGGAATAACGGGTCCGTGCTTCGACGATGAAAAGTGACCAAGTTCCCACGTAAGTCCTATAAATACGGGTCGTTGTAAATCACTCTTCATTTATTTTTCTTATTCCTAATCCCGGTTTACTTTATCTTTTATTTTTTTTATCACGACCATGACTTTACTGCCTTTACAACGTACACAAAGCCTGTCGGCGGTGACGGTTTCCACCATTGAATGTACTCGATTCTACGGTGTACCGCGTTTGTCCTATCTTCATCGAGACATGCAGTTCTTAACCAACCATCGCGTGGAAAAATCGACGCCTACTCAGCCTTCCGATCATGCGGATTACCACCCACCCACCCAGCGAATGCCTATTCATCTTTTACAACGTCATGCTGACACATACACTTGTATGGATACAAATCTTGCAGAAAACGTGCGAATAAGTAATGTTCTCTTTGAGACAAGCCTTTTTAGTCTTCTCTCCTTAAGAGAATTGACAATGTGAAAAAAACAAAAGAGTAGGACTGCATAAACTGATGATGAAATTTTCTGCGAAATGTAGATCCGTGATTGGTTACCTAGTCGGCTTGCGGTATGCTCTCAATGGACTCTATTATTCAGTTTGGATCAACATGGGTCGAGTATAAACACACTGTATCGGCGCGTACAAGACAAGGGTCCATGTGTATTGGTCATCCAAACAGCTCAAGATGAAATCTTTGGTGCCTTTCTCTCGGAAGCGTTCAAAACCGAAAGTTTGTGTTACGGTTCAGGTGAATGGTAAACAATCGATGAACAAGCTCTCGTAAAAATATCCAGTTCTCTCATTGGCCGAAAAACAAAGCTTCTTGTATAGAAAAAATCAACAAGACGTTGATGTGTACAAATGGACTGTAGCCAATGACTACATGATCTATTCAAATCGTGAATGCATTGCCGTGGGTGGAGGGTAAGTCATTGGTTTTGCCAGATAATACCATTCGCTCATTTGTCATTATTTGTACAGCCAAGGCCGGTTTGGTTTGTGGATTCACAACAATCTCACCAAAGGCCATTCGGAACCATGCGCTACTTTTAACAATCCAAGCCTAAGTGGCCAGCCCGACTTTGAATGTGTAGCACTGGAAATATGGGGATTTCAATTTTGACATCACCGAGCCGAGCCACACAAACCACGATTCATAGAACAGTGCCAAAAAAAAAAGCCCAAAAACAAAGAGATTCATAGCAACCTTTTTTTTTTTTTAATAAAACCCATACAGCCCAGCATCATTTCATTGAAAATCATACACAAAAAGAAAAAGATTGATGGAAGATAGATGGCAGTTTTGTTATTGTTGCTGTTGAGGGTTTAAAATCTTTTATACAAATAGTGAATATGAAAACAAACAAACAAACACACTGTAAATAGTATAGTTTAAGGTTTACCAGGAGATGCGGGAGGTGAGGGAAAGCAAAAACAGTGAAGGGAAACACAACGAGATGGATCGATGGATTGGGAAATGAGGCGGAAACAGAAGGAATAAAATCCTAAATCATCAAAAATTCATCCACGATGCAGGCAAACATGGCATTGGCTTCTGTGACGGACATGCGGTGACGTACAGCACGGGTTAGGTCTTCCTCTTCAATTTCTTGGTCGAATTCTTGCTGTAGTCCTGCCAACACAGACACGTAACAAGGCGATCGGATTCGGATGGCGCTATCTAACGTCATCATTTTGTCAAAGGCGAAGGTGAGATCGCGTTCCACGCTGATGGCCGCCCGTTTCGGTGTGTGTAAACAAACACTGTCTTCTTCCATGTTGTTTGTTTCCGAATATCTTCGTCGCCGCCCGCGGCTTGTAGTCTTGTTGGCATACAGCGGAACCCGTTCCTGTGTGAAACAGGGTATCGACGTCGCATCAGGGAAATCTTCAGCCATGGCATCAAGGTCGAATTCGGCTGCAATGTCACTCCATACTTCCATAATAGGTTTTTGATGGCGAACGATGCAAATCCATGTATCGGATTCCAGCGATTTTGATGGTGAGGAAATACAAGATGTGTCGATGGGAAGAGCGGTGGCTGCAGGGGAAGGACATGAGGTCATGTAACGTGTGATGGTATTGGTTTGAGACGAGCTTTTTGACAGTGACTTTTTCTTGAGCGTATTCACAGGTCTTTTGGTGGTGGTGGTCATGGTAGGTTTATCGGATTCCGGTCTTGCCCATGGTAATATTCCTTTAGCGACATTGTTGAGAACGACCTGTTTCTTGATTTCAGATTTCGCGTCCCTGTTCGCTGGTCGCGGTTTTCGGATAGAGAAGCCAAACGCATTCAAGGTCGACATTGGCAAGTGAACGAGTTGCGTGTAAAAAGAAAGGAGAGGAAATATATAACAAAAAAAAAAAAGGGAGATCGATTTTTTCTCTCTCTCTCTCTCTTTCAAATCGACCAAAGAATGAACAACAATGAAAACACGACAAAAAAAAACCAGCCGACCATGTCAGCTGCAAAAATTCCATTCAAAATTTTATTTCTCCGCTTCAACGACCCAACAACAACGTCTTGTTATCCTTGTCGAAAGACATAGGAAAAAGTAGCTATCTTTTAAAAGCATTTATTATACGGAAGCCTGCCTAAACCCAAATCCCGTGCATTTGATATAAGCGAAGAACAGGGCCTTTTGGATTAGCTGCAGTTGGAAGACCAGTGGGGTTCGCTTCAACGACAGCCCGCGTCACGGCGCGTCGCGTCACAAAGAGTTCCTACAGCCACTGATAAATGCAAGGTCTCCGTTTCATTTCTTGTCGTTGTTTTACGGCAACGTTATTCTGGATAGTGAGACGTTTGTTAATCGAGAAAGCTAGATTAACAAAGAATAATACCAGGTACTACCGTAATACCAGGTTCTATCACTAGGATAGTGCTGAGTGCTTCGGGTTGACCCATAACTACAGTTTCTCAATACGAAGCGATCTTCATGATGTGCTTCATATTATCCGTGTCACCCAGGACGACGCAACTGCAAAGGCACGGAATTCGAATGAAGATGGCTTTTTCTTTTTTAATTCTTTTATGTTCTCATATGATACCCAGAGTTGCTTCCAAGAAGCAATATCACAACAAATACAATGATGTTGCTGAACAATCAAAATAATGTAATAGGTCAATTACAAAATTTTGCATGATCATTTTTGTTTTTGATTCAGATACCTGCATTGGTTCAAACGATCACCTTTGGATCGCTTAATATGACTGCGCAGTGAATCCGAAGGCACGCCAGTGATTTTTTGATGATCAAAGTTGCCCGGCATGACTTTGCAAGATAATACAGAGCGTCATCTTAATACTTTTCCTTGGGTGTGTTGATGCCAGATGGAGACATCAAAGTCAGAGAGATTCAGGCTGGGAGGCGTGTTGAATATGCATGAATAGGATCCAAACTGTTGCAAGAAGGACAATGGGTGTTGTTGTCCAGCCTTTTCACTGTAACAGTTTGCTTTTATCTACCAAAACATTTATTATTCTTATCCAACCTCGATTTTAACCTCTTTTCTCATTACCTACATTGATATCAGTGTAATGGAACTGGTACGAGTCGCCAAATTATCGTGATCTGTCGATTTGTAACTGTTTCGAGAGAGAGAGAAAGATATGCTTTCAACTCTTTGCAGTTTCCAAGTGAACTGCGAAATGAAAAGTTATCACTTGCATCGCCAAATGTCACGACAAATGTAAGAATGAAGTAAAGATTGCGGAGGAAAGAAAACCCCTTTGGAAATTTTGATACTCCGCTTAGCGTCCTACACAAACGTCTGTTGTGGAGAAGACGAGAGAAAATGTAGTAAAAGTAGTTTTCATTCGTAAGCTTGCCGGAGCCTCATACATGTGTGCATTGATATAAGCGAAGAGCATGGCCTTCTTTTATTTAAGTTAGCAAAATAGTTGGAAGACCAATGCGGTATTGCTTCAGCTAACAGCCGCGCTACGGCGCGTCGCGTCCCAAGAACAGTCAATGGTGCATGTAACCGCTCCTTTCATTTCGGTATTTGCCTTCAATATTATTCTGGATACTGAACGATCTCCATGACGTGTTTTATATTATTCGTGTTACACAGTACGAGGCAAAGTGCTAAACTCCGGAGTTTGAATGAAGATAGGTTTTCTTTTTTATTCATTTTATTTTTTCATATGACAACTATAGTAACTAAGATTAACATGACGTAGTGGGAAGTTATACATTTTATCCGTCCACATTTTGCTTGGGCCATTGGTAGTTTTCATGGGCGAGGTGTTCCACACCATATCGCTTGACAAAGTCATTCAGTGAGTTAGGACCACGGGTGCCATACTTGTATGGTTCCGGTTTAACGTGTTCCCTTTCAATACGGTGCAATACAGGTGTAAAGATACGCCAGGCAGCATCCAATTCATCGTCTCGCACAAAGTTGGAATGGTCACCACGCATCACATCCAAGATAAGTCCGTCGTATGCATCTGGAATGGTCATGTTTGTGTATCGCGACTTGTATGTCAAATCCAGCTCGGTGATCAATGTATCGTAAGACAAACCGGGCGTCTTGTTGTTGAATTTCATGTAGATGGCTTCGTTGGGCTGCACACGAATGACCAGTTCGTTTCGTGCCACGTCCTTGTAGAAACTGCCGGGGAGTTTGCGGAATTGCACACGAATATCCACCTTGGCATTATCCATGGCTTTGCCTGCCTTGACGATAAATGGCACCTTGTCCCAACGTTCGTTATCGATCCACAGTACCATGGCAGCAAAAGTCGGGCAAAGACTACCCTTGGGCACTGAATCATCATCCAAATAACCCGGCTTGTCTCCGTTGCTGACGTACTGTCCCAATAATGTGTCATCGAGTTCAATTGGCTTAATGCATTTTAGAACCTTGACCTTTTCGTCACGAATGGATTCGGCATCACGGCGGATAGGCCGTTCCATGGCCACCAAAGACAAAAGTTGGAGCAAATCTACAGGAGACGGGAAAAAAGAGATCATTTTTAGTAAGCGCGTTACGATGGGGGTCGGTAAGTCATATATTTACGGTTCTCCATCACGTCACGGATAATGCCATACTCGTCAAAGTAACCACCACGTCCTTCGGTGCCGAAGGGTTCTTTCAGTGTAATCTGAACGGAGTGAATGTATTGCTGGTTCCAAACTGGGCTGAAAAGCACATTGGCGAACCGTAAGGTCATGATATCCTTGGCCATTTCCTTGCCCAGGTAATGGTCAATGCGGAAAATCTAAAAAGACGCCAAATATTTTTTTTTTAGAATTGGGACCGTGAATACTCCGCCTATCCCGCTTTGCATTACCTCATCTTCCTTGAATAACTTGGCCATATCCTCCAACAACTTATCACAACTTTCAAGGTCCTTGCCAAAAGGTTTCTCAACCACGATACGACAATGACCTTCATCAGTCCACAAGAATTTGCGCAACCCGGTGGCTACCGGTAAAAAGACCGAAGGAGGCAAGGCCATATAGAAGATGCGATTCTTCTGACCCTTTTTGAGACTACGCTTGCTTTCAAGCTCGGCGACATAGTCTCCAAAAGATTTCCAAGCATCGTCTTTATCGTATGCACCGCTAAAGTAGGTTGTAATATCCATGAATTCCTTCTTCTTGTCGCCCTCTGTATCTTTGAGATGTTCCGATGCACGCTTGACAAACTCATCACGTTCCATCTTTGTACGCGCGTAACCGACAATTTGGCATTGTTTAGGCAGGAAACCTCGGCTGAAAAGATTGTACAAGGTAGGGAATGTCTTCTTTCTTGCCAAATCCCCGGAAGCGCCCAAGACTATGTCAATACCGCTGTCAGTCTCCATGGTTTTTTCATCCTGTCAACCATGAATTTAAATTCAATTACCGATGATGGTTGCAGCGCCCTGCATCTCGTTGTGGACGTCTTCTTGTAGTTTTGTCACAGCAGCACTTGGCATCTTCGTATATCAGTTTATCAAAGTGATAAGAAGAATAAAGAAAAGAAAGAAAAATTAATGCGTGAAAAGCGAAACGCGCGCTTGGAAAATATAACCCCAAAAATAAAAAAGAGCTGAGGCGGAGTGACAATTTGCCTTTGGGAAGGGTTTGTTTAGAGGTTTCATGCAAATGATGTAAGTCAAATCTCATTATTTTTTTTTTCTGCGAGTAAGCCAATCATACGAAAAATTGGTCTTTGTTGCTTTGAATGGAAAAAGGTTTGGTTGGTTTTAAATAAGGGCGTATAATGTTTTCTTGATTTTTATTTTTTTCAAAGTCTAAGCTTCCAAGAGGCTGGCCAAAGTAACCTGGGTCGATGCAATCTGTTAAAGCAAGGGAGCAAAAAAGAAAAAAAAATCCAATGTCAGTTCCAATCCCATTTTTAGTTGATGAGTGTATCCTTAGTAAGCCTTACTTCAAGTGCTTGTTTCACCTCCAGATGGCGTCTGGCGGCTTGTATCCAATCACGAGCTAATCGCTTAGGCCAGCCTTTCAATTGATTCAATTCACGCGTTGCGCTTTCTAAATCGTTGATCTTGAGATAATAACCCGTGCGTGCAAGGGTCGCTTCGGTATCGTCGCCTTGAACGAGTCCTTGCTTCTTAAATAAAAGTTTCGACATGATCATGCTAAGAATATGCGATCCAAAACCACCGTCTTCCGGCACCAAAGCCACGCGGCGTACTTGGGTGGCCACCGTTTCAAAGCGAGTAGCCAAACCCTTGATGGATTCCACACCTTGTTCTGCCACTTCGTGAGGAATAGTCTTCAAAACGGTACCCAATACCACATTATCATCCCCACTGCTGCTGTGTAATGCTCGAAGTTCATCAATAAAAGGTTGCTTGTGTTGTGCATCCACCGCTTCGTGCAAAGCGTTCAATGCAACGTGCATCAGATGAATTTTTCGTGACTGGTCCAACTGGACTGCGTTTTGAGTGGCATGCTGTTCCAATGCTTTGAATCGAGCGCTGATGTGTTCCAGCTTGCTCAAACGTCCGGCTCTTTCTTGTTCAACAAGGTATTTCACTTCACGAATAAAGCGACGTTGCAATTCCGCTGCTTGTTCAATGAGTGCTTCGGCGCGTTCGTGTTCCATACGTTCTTGCTGTGCGTTCAATTCGGCCGCCAACACTTGAGCAAAGCTCTTCTTCATCTCCAAACGATCCTGTTCGTGCTTCTTCTTCATCTCGGCTTCCTGAGCGGCAATACGGTTGGAAGAATCGATCAAACTCTGCTGAATGATGTCCTTGGCATGCTTGCGCATGGTATCGATGCCGTTGCTCAATTGATCGGTACGCTTATCCAACTGTTGAATCGACTTTTTGATGTTGCTGTGCTCGGCATCCATGGAGGAAAATGCCTTGTCCAATTTTTGCACTTGATCCTCGGCGTCTTTCAGCGTATCACGTCCTACACCGGCCAAACCTGCATCATTGAGAATGGAAGCTAATTCGACGACCACGCGGCTCAATTCATCCACGGCGGCATGATCGGAGGGGATGTACTTGACAACAATGGGTTCGGGCTTTTCAACGGCGACGGCCAACACGGTGGGTTCTTCCTTGTTGTCGCTCGTCAACGTCAGTTGAGCGGTATTGTTGACGACGGTGGCAGGTGATTTTTCAGCCGCGGCCACCACTTCCACGGGCGTTTTCTTGGTGGCCAATTTGGGAGGTTCCCGTTGACCGGTGAGCTTCAAATAAGTGTCATTGGCATACTCAAACACATCATTGGCGGTTTCCTTGGCCTTGTTGCCGTAATCTTTAGCTTTGTTGGTGTATTCCTCGGCTTGCGACTTTAATGAGTTGACTTGTTCGCGATAGTTCAAGAGATCCTCGTTCTTGTGCATATCCTCTAAGTAATTCAACACGGGTTCGCTGCCAGGCACGTACTTGACAAACATGTCGTGGAAATCATCGTCGTGCAAAGCATAATACACCGCACCACCGTAACCGGCGGCGGCAACCACTGTGACACCGAGCAATGTACCGAGAACAGAGCCGCCCTTCTTTTCATTGCTGGTGGTGTTGGTGGCTGTACTCTCACATCGCTGTTCAAAAAGGAAACACGAGAACAATAAATCCACTGGTATTATAATCCACCGTTCGCGCTGAAAATAGAACGTACCTTGATCATGGACAAACCCATGCGTCGGTTGTCCACGGTGAGAGCTGATCGAACGAGACGAGCATTACATAACCTTGAGGCTCTCAACATTTTTTCCCTAAAACAAAAAAGGTGGAATTAGCATTTGAACAGAAAAAGATGAATAAGCCAAGCATGCTGCAAGTACCAGACGTCTCAATCTCGAATGAATCAAACGGTAAAGAGGATCGTAACTGATGCGGGGTGATGTAATGAAAACGGCACTCGCAGTGTTATTATTTTTGATTTTTGGAGGGGCTCTCAAATCCAAACACCGCGGGTCTTATTCTGTACGCGCTGTGGCAACATAAATTAAAGTCAGTTTGACGTCATCATCTGGACCTCAGACAACTGATCGGCTCGCTTTGGCATTTCCCGGTTACTCTGTTGTTTGTTGATTGCTATGTATGACAAACTTTGTTTCCGATCTTTTCTTTTTCTTTTTTATTCCGTCCGTTAACGAGACTGGACGAAGAACGCAAAAGTGGAGGATTGCCACGGATGGTTGCAGCAGATTGAGCGGCCATTCTTTTCATTCCAAATCCCGCTGAAATCTGTTTTAATGGGTCCATTACATCGATTATTCAGAAATGTCGCGACATCTCAATGGACAAAAATTGTGTTATGAGTTGTGTTGAATGTTGCATACGAGGTCATGGAAAATAGGAGATACGTGACATCGGAAAAGCGGCCGCGATCCAAGATTGGATACGGTTCTTCATATGACCTGCGCTTTCCTGGGTCAGGCCAATTTGGTGTCATTGGTTGATCTTGATGATCCTTCACACGAAACGACAAGACACCATACAAGCATTTTTTTTTTTACCGAATCATCCTTCGATGTACTTGATATCGCAAACAGAAGAATAGGCTTTCAATTGGTTCACTGCGCTACCCATTCGTGAAGGACAGAGCACGACAAAAAAGGGTTACACAGACGATTCGGATCATAGGATCTTTCAGTGAGCAAGATTAGACGATTGTTTTTTGTTATTACTATTTTGGAGGCGATACGTAAAACGGTGGAATATGTACACAAAAGAAATCAATATTTACAAAGAAAGATGCAGAGATACAGAATGAGACCGGCTCCTAGGATGAGGTTGGAGGGGAAGAAAAAGGGAATATGGTAATGGATCAACGGAAATCAGGAAAATATGTATGTACAACCAAAAGATCAACTTTCTACAGCACGGTGGTGATGGTAGAGTAACTTCCCACCATGACGACCAGGATATGAATCAGAGCCCAAAGAAATGGAATCCACGTTGACATGACGAAAAAGCCGGCATTGTAGACGAGAGCCAGTGCCACACCTAAAACATATAACAACATCGCTAATTAAAAAACCGCTGTGCATAACCCCAAAAAAATCAACCATGCATTTACCCATAATACTGCCGATAACGAAAGACGCTAATGAACCAGCAAATACAAATATAAAAGGCACCAGCATTAGTATGTACCATTGCAGCGTACGAGATTTCGCCAGTGTTATAAAAGCCCAGATTCCTAGATGTAAAACTCCATGAGATCCCACTGATTCGGTCAGTCCATCCGATTTCGCTCTTTCAAAGTACCTGCTGGAAGATAGACGACGAGCGAAAAGATAACCGACCATATCATGGTAAACCGCCAAATGTCTAACGAGGAAATGAATGTGAGCCTCTGAAGTGATCAGAGTTATCAAGAGAACAAAATAGGTCCGTCACTGACCAGAAATGTAATATAAAGAATGAGGAATGTCGGCAATGAGGTTGAGTGGGTCAAAGTCGGGACCGAAAGGCCAGTAGAGCGCGGGCCAATGAGGCGCTCCTTTATAACCGTAAGGTAAGCGAAAGTGAGATGCCATCAAGGGGAGAGAGATACAAGATGGAGTGACATGTTGCCAGCTCCAAAAATTTCAAGCTTTAAGTTTTTATTGCCTATTCTTCATATTCCGACCCAAAAAGAAGTCGGAGGGGTTTAAAAAAAAAGTTCCAAAATGGGCAAGCCCATTGCTAAAAAACACAGACCTACCAAATATTCTCTTTTTCATCCACATTCGGCGGCGTTGACCATCCCGAGGACCATCCTGTTTCTGCAGCACGTGAAAATGGTCAATTACCCGCTCGACATATCGCTTGCCACAAACGGACGATCGTACTATAAGCAAGTTACGGATCAAATCGCAACAATTAGATCAAGCAAGACTGGATTCTTTATTAACGGATATCAGGCAGTTATTGATATGATCTTTTAATAATAGTCTCATCAAAAGATGCGTTTCTGATAAAAGATCACTTAAAATTCGGGAAGCAAAATCAGATCATTCATAATTGCTGTGGGACTGCTCGGTGAGTGAATTGGTTTAAAGTATGTACTGTGAAATATAATACGGCACTGTCAGCATCCATAACCCCTCTGTGATATGTAATGCTTATCAGATGCTTGCATTGGCCGTCTATGAATCTCAGACCGCTGTGGCACGAGACCATTTGTCACCTCTTGTATCTGTGTGAGCTTTGCTAGAGCGCATGATAAGGCGGACATGTCCGGCAGCTTCTGAACTAGTCAATCATTAAAACGATAAGCAGCCCAGGCGTTTATGCAACGTTTTTATTTACACGACGGCAGCCACCATTTCTTTTATTTCTGATCCTCCCGACGTTGACGCGATGGCATACAGCATAAAGGATCACTCGTGTAGGGGTCTTTTTTTTCCGCCTGTGACTGTACGATCCGCTTTGATGTCTCGTATACTGGCGCCTTTATGTTGAAGTTTTCAATTCTTTCGGGGAGAGGTTTCTTTTTTTATACGGCTATGATGGCGAAATAAGATCAATGTCTTATACTAGCAGTGATATTACTTCCTGCAACACCGCTGAGGGCCTGGATGTGGGTGGTTCATGCTGCGTTTGATATAGCAATACGCTGTGCGCAAACACGGCGCCGTCATTAATATGCTGACTGATGTGGTTGCCACGCGCAGTTTCTGTGAGACACGTCTTGCTAGGGACTATTTGAAGCCGTGTGTTTAGGCTGGCGCCATTACGAAAAAGCTTTTCATATTGTTTAATGAACTCTCAAGTTCAAATCGTGATATTCTTCAAAAAGACAAAGAGACAAAGTCATCGCTACTGTTTTACGTCGATAATACCAGGTGGGTCAAAGTCGTCACACACAAACAACAAGTATCAGATTCGTCCTACAGCAAAAAACTGCCTCCGAATCCGGTGTCTCCGCTCCTGCCGAGGGTCACATTGCGAGGTCATGCATATTTATCGAACTTTCTACCACTTGTTCGGTCTAGAAACTCACATGACCACGTTGCTATTTTATATCGTTATTCTTACAGTGACCATCTAAGAGTGGCCACGATCAATCATTGTGGTAATGAAGACAAGCCTCGTTAATGAATAGGCCAGCCTGGAAAAAGAGTTGGAGTGTCAAAATCTCTATACTATCTTTTTTGTTATGATCAAAGCGTTCCGAGCCACACGCTGTCTTGTCTTATTACACAAACGATCTGTCACGTAGACTGAGATTTTTGGCAAAACGAGATTCCCGGCTCGGGCAAACGCTTTGTTTTGCATTTTGAGACTCCCTTTCTGTTGTGCATCCGCGCCTCTTGTTTTTTTCCGCTCCTCCTTTTTCCTTTTTCTTTTTCTTCTTTGCTTCTACTTCTTTTTTTTTCAGCCACCCAGTATGGCAAATCTCGATATCAAAATAAAACTGGCAAATACCCTTGCCACACTCCTACTTGTTGGGATACAAGGTTTCGGTTATTCTCACTGGTAAGTCTTCGCACTGCATATACTCAAAAAAAGATAACCTGATCGCTCATCGGTCTGCAGGTTCCTTGGACACGATTACGGTTTCAAGCCACATGACTTTATCATTATTCTCGTTGGCATCTTGCAATTGCTGCTCATTGGCATGACCATCTATCAATGGCTTCCAAGTGCACCAAAAGGTAAGGCAACTGTTTCCTGCTTGGCGGAGTTGAGACCATCGATAAACCCAGTTGTGCATGGTCAGATTTTTTCCAGGCTGTCAGTTACTGGTACCTTTTGGTGGCCATTCTCAACAGCGGCGTCGTGCTTTTATGGGTAAGCGCATGTCCAAAAGAAAACAATCTTGCAGAAATTCCCAGTTGACCGTGGATTATTTTACAACAGCATTTCGGTTTGAATATTTTCGCTTTCGTGGGCTTGTTGTGGGAATTAGCCACGCTCGTTTTCATCTATCACCGTTTGCGCAACTTCCCTCCTCGCCACCATACGGATTTAGCTTTCCTCAATGCTCCTTTCTCCATCTATACCGCCTACATTTTCTTTGTGACGTTATTCCAAACCTTCCAGTTCAGTGAAGATACCAAATATCATCCTCTGGTAAAGAACCGCTTCTTTTCGCACTCATCATCGGAACTACTTGGCTCATCATTTTTATATTCATTGAATGGCGGAATCCTTTTAGGTGCTAAGCTTGATTATTATCGTGATCGGATTCGTGGCACTTCATCTTGTGGATTATTCGAGCCGCAAAGATTGGATTTATGCTTTGGCCACTGCATGGTAAAAAACAGTCATTTGAGCGATGTTCTGTTTCAAATATATCTCATGAGACTTTTTTTTTTCTTTTTTATCTTTAGGATTCTTTTGGGAGCCGCTGTTTTCCTGAATGAGTTGCCTCACACTGTGTCCCTGATTGTCGTAGGTATCCTTCTTAGTGCCGTGGCACGCACACTGATCCCAAACTGGCTTGAACGCATCAACCGTCGCTTTGGTCACTGGACCGATCGTATTGGCGAACGTACTCCCCTTCTTCCTGGCCGCAGTTAATGGCCCGATCCATCTGTATCCCTGCACGGATCGCTCAAGATACAGTTGCTTTTCGAAACAACATTAAAAAAATAAAATAAACAAAAGACGAAACGATCATCTGCAGTTGTGCGCATGATTTTTTTTTTACTTGCAGCGACGAATGACATGCACAGACTATCGAGATGCAAGGAGGGGGTTTATCGTAACAAGATTCACGTGAAGACTGCAGTTGAATGTTTTTTTTCTTCAGGATCGATCGCGTCTGTTTACAATTTTAAGAGCAAGTTGTTCGTTTTATTGCATGAGATGGATTGGTTTGAAATAGGTGAACAAAGGGATGACATGCTTCTATCCACTTGCACAGCTCTTTTTTTTTGTTTTCGTCTCTCTTTTTCGACTGACTCTACTTGGTAATATAGGGTTTGAGATTTCTCAATCGGTCGACGGCCTGATGAAGCACGTCGTCGGTCTTGCAGTACGCGAATCGAGCAAAATTCTCGGCGAGGGGCCAGTGATCTTTGGTATAGAATTCGGAGGGAGGAATAGCACACACGCCAATTTCCTTGGTGAGCCAGTAACACATTTTGAAATCATTACCACGGGTGTCAAGAAGGGCAGGGAAGGGGTAATCTTTTGGCAGTTGAATCTTGGCCGTGTTCACAAGGATATAATAGGCACCTTCGGGCATGGTGTAAGGAAGGTTCAGTTCGTCAAATACTTTGGAAAGGATGCTGCGCTTCGCGAGATATGCGGATGTCTGATCAGCGAAAATGGGCTTTGTCAACGACGCTTCCAAACCGGCCGCAATGGCTTCCTGACACGGTGAATTCACGCAAAATACAACACGGGTTTGGGCCGCAAACGAGTACTTGATAAGATGCTCCGGTCCAATCAACCAGCCCACACGCCAACCTGTCGCCGCGAAACTTTTACCACCCGAACCCACGGTAATGGTTCGCTCCCACAGATTACCGAGCGTAGCAATACGTGGAAACTTTTGGAGAGGCGGATAATACAAGCGATCGTACTAAAAAGAAACCGCCGAAAAAAAAGTAAATATTTGTCGATTGCGCGATCAAACGTGGTTGTGACGCAAAAACAATTAATAAATTTACCACTTCATCCGAGAGAATAATCAGGTTATGATCCTCAGCCACTTTACCGATTGCCAACAACTCTTCCTCGGAAAACACTTTGCCAACGGGATTGTGAGGTGTGTTGAGGACAATCATCTTGGTTTTATCCGTGATTTTCGATTTCAGCTCGTCAATATCGAGACGCCATTCTGCCGACGAAATATTACGTTCGGCCGCATGAGCCGGAGGTCGGAGAGGGACAAACACAGGCTTGCCACCGTTCATGGTGATATTAGCCTAAACCACCGCCATCATTAGGTTTTTCCCCATTAGTACACTCATCCCTCTTAATGTATTTCCGAAATGACCACTCACAATGTACTGATCAAAGAAAGGTTCCATGCAGATCACCTCGGATCCCTCATCCAAATAGGCAGCAAATGTCGCAAACATGGCTATTTTTTTCAACAAGGTCAGTTCTCTATTGACTCGCCATGGTCTCGGTTGAACTTGCGGTTTACCTTCGTTGGCACCCGCAGTGACGAGAATCTCGGTGTCGGGATTCAGGTCTCGGCCGAATTCAGAACTGTAAGAAGCGGCCAATGCATTTCTTAATCTCGGTCGACCTCGGGGATGACTATTGAATTGTGGTCAAGTGGTTAACGTGTCGTCCCGCGAGTCATGAAACTTGCCGATATACCTGTATTGATTTGCTTCAACTTTATCGAGCGCTTCTTTGGCGGCTTCCTGAACAACGGCAGGGGGACCAAAACTGGTGAACAAAACGATTGTATGATAAGATTACTATTGGTGGTCCAATTTGGGTAGTTTGTGAACCTACTTCATGAAACCTTGACCCAGATTGATGGCTTTTGTTTCTGCAGCCAAGGGAGTGAAGATAGACCAAACTATGCAAAAAATCATTGGTTTCGATTATCATCGATGGTCTTAGGACGGTTATGCAAGTGGTCTAACGCGATATATTACCATCTTGATCAAACTTGGCTACGCGAGCCGCGGGCGTGAAGCGAGGGTGTGACATAATATTTTTTTTAGAAGAAGTGGAAAGAAGAGCCCGCTGAAAAGGAAGACGCAGGAATGAAAACCGTCGAATAAACATGAAAGAAAACTGAGGGTTAATTAAAAAAAAAATGGACGAGCGAGGCGAGAGACCCTCCTTTTTTAGATTTCAGCACGAATGAAAATCCATAATCATGACGAGCAGTGTGACTGATGATGATAAAATATCAGATCCCGTCGAATTTCTCCATTTCAGCAACTTTATTTATCTCTGAGTACAAAATACAGCGGCAAGGAAACTTTAATTGAGTTGGAAAGAAGCTCAAAGGAAAAAAAAAATAAAAAAAATAAAATAACAACTACCATAGTAAAAGTTAGTAGACTCATTAGACAAACGACCCTGACTCTCCTTGGTTTTCATCCCACTGTGGAGGCCATTACCTCACACCAACAAATGACATGGGATTAGTGGTGATATAGTAAATAGGATACCTTGCGTCAATGGTACGGCATAAAGCAAAAAGACCAAGGCACTTGAGCACAGTACATTATCATCTGATAAGATTTTTATTATTGTCCACATAAAAGAAAAAGGTTTTCGGCACGCAAAGCTATATGTCGACATTTCGATCGTTGACAGCTTGTGTCACCCTCTAGTGCATGTACAAGGACTGTAACTTGAGCAAGAGTAGTTGAATAAGTGCGATGAAAAGAGTATTAACAAAATTGTACAATTGCTTTTTTTTTTTTAGTTTTATGGTTGCCTAATACGTGAGGGATTGTACAAGTAGTTTGGATGTTGGAAAAATACACACGGTCAAAAAGCACAGGAACAGTCTAAAACAGCCTTTTTTGTTTTTTACCGCCATTTCTGTTTATCGATAATGGAAGATGATCTTTGGTTGCTGTGTCCAAGAACTTGACAGGGCACATGGTCAAAACACGGCAGTTGGAGCGCTTCTTTGCTTGTGATGCGTAATTCCGCGCGTGGGTGGAGCATGGCATAGATCAAGTGATCCCATCCTGGAGATAAATTTCGAAACGATGGATACTGCCGTTTCGGGAAATGTCGCAGGTAACAACGGTAACCGGGATCGATCTTTTGGGCTGAACCGAAAGGCACACCATTAAAATGCATGCAAAAATAAACAATCCCGGCTGACCACACATCGGCCCTGGCGCCATGATATCCTTTTCCAAGAAAGATTTCCGGTGCAAAGTAGCAAGTGGACCCGCACAGACCATCCGATAATCGGTCCTCCTCTTGTCCGACTTGACGAAATACATCCGCCGTACCGAAATCCGAAATCTTTAAAAACCCATCCCTTAGCAAAAGATTCTCGGGTTTAATGTCACGATGGGCCACCCCAATACTGTGCAGATACGACAGACCCATCAATAACTGCTTGAAGTAACAATGAACATCATCCACGGAGAGCGTACCGCTACGGATAGCATAATACAAATCACCTCCTGAACACTATCCATCCAAAGAATGGAATGGGGAGAGAATCTTTCTCAATCAACAAATGATAACTCGGAAACTCCGAATTTTCGATCATTTCAGATATACTTACATAATCCATCACTATGTATAAGCGACCTTTCTTATCCATGACCAAATCAAACGTTTCGACAATGTTGGGATGTCTTAGAACGCCGGAAATGCAAAATTCGCTGGCCACTTTCTTCAGGTACCGCAATTCGCTCTCTTGCGAATGCCGCTTTCGAAATGATTTGACAGCATACACTCGGACGCTGCCTGTACTCGTTCTTAAATGGGACAAGCGAACCGTAGCTGATGATCCTTCTCCAATTTTATGTGGCTGAAGAGTGCCATACTGGCTTAGCATGGGTGTCCACGGCATAGGCCGTTTGGTGTGTGTAGACAGGACGCTGCCCGATTGTCCGTTGGAAGGGTTAAATAGGTGTCGGAAAAACGATCGTTTACCACGACGACAAATCGACGGTAAAAACGATTTTTCAGATAATGGGTCCTCGTCTTTGCTATGGCAAGTGATCGTGCTGACGCCTGTACTGTCGGATTCGTTTCTCGATGACATGGTTCGAAGAGAAGAAAACGAGCGTAACGTCTTGAATAGCATTACAGGCAAGCGAGAAATGCCACTGCAGTGTCTGTAGTTGAATAGTAATATGAAAAACGAAAAATATTCCCAGAAGCGAAAAATGAAAATTCACTTTATAAACTAGGAGAGCAATGACCCATGTTTATTTATATCCACAGCTATTGAAAAGCAGTTGAAATGGGCTATCAAGATGACGGGATGCCGCCCGCCACCCATGGTATGTTGGGCAATTTTCGTGTGGGTAAAGCTTTGAATTTTCATTGCGAATAAGCTGGTTCAGGCTTGAATTTTCTTAATACCATTGGATCGTTTTCAATTCTCCTTCTCTGCCCCTAATTGTTCATTCTTCTCCTGGGCCATCTCCCATAGCTCCGAGGTCAATCAACTCAAGAATGACTCGTTTATCTGATACACCGCCCATCGTCGGCCCAACGGACATGCACTTACATGCATAAAAACTTGCCGTGATTACGTGACACCATCTTGCCGTAGTGTTCCAGAATCATTCAGATCTATTTTATTTCTCAGAGGAAAACAAGCAGTGGACTCGCAAAAGAGTAAGGTCGCCACAAGCTGTATATTTTATGCGTATAATTCAACAAATCAAAATTAACTCAAATGGATTGACGCACAGAGTGGTTCATGGAGAAGTGAATATTCACAGCCAAACCAACAAGGGTGGAGGAAAAGGCTATTCGTTTCTTTTATATCGATAGCCGAGTCCAACCTTGTTTGTTTTTCCAGGGATTCCACGCTTGAATGACTAGGCCGTCATATCTAGATTGAAGGAATAGGAAATTCCACGGCCTAGACCATTTCCATAATTCCAATATCAGTCGTACATCTAGACCTCGATTAATCACCAGGCCAAGCTCCGAAAAATTTTATTCTTTCATTGTCATTATACTTCATCGAGGTTCATCTATCCTTTCCTCAACCGTCTCATATGCTTCTCATCAGTCACACTTATAAAGGGATGAACAACCATCTCTTGTCTGCTCTAGTATATTATTGATTACATTCAACCAGTACTAATAGCATTTCAAGCACTGAAAACGACATATGTTGAAGCGCCACAGGCTCATACATGAAAGGAAATCTAAGCTGCAGGATGGACGACAGTATATTTCCTGTTATGGAGACTGCAGATGCATCTTCATTTTTATGAGACAACATTCAGTGGCACCTTTGTTATGAACAATATTTTTATTATAGGTACTGTACTGCATTTTATTTGCGCAACTGGGTAAACCAGATCGTAGTCTGAATTGGAGAGAGACTGCTACATTCACCATTCATACGATTGTGCACAGCGAGACACCTTACATCTTCATATGATGAACTGTTGATCATCCGTCAAAATGTGATGACACGTACAAGCTATTTTAGCACGCCAAAATCATCACTTAAAATGCTATTCTCCAATTCACATCTGGAGTCAGTCGTTCCTGGCTTGCCGCATAGAATGAAATCTTGTACCGATGAGGCTCTTTTATTCTACATCGTTGCGTTGGCTTTCATTTTATCCTTTTCCGGCGTTCGGCCCTCTTGTTTATTTTTTTACGTAATCATTTGCCACTGTTGCCATGATTACTGTATACATGCATGAAATAAGTCAGTCGCCTTGCGCTAAGCAAGAGCCAGCGCCGTATCGCTTTCATAGTCTGACATTTACTGTATAAGTGGCAATCAACCATGTCATACATAGCGATTTGACCAGGTTGCCAGACACTTGATATCCGGAAGATTATAGGTAGAGAGTTCATGGCCAATGCTAGAAGTCTGTATATTTTCAATTCCGGAATGGCTGCAGCTTTTCCGTTTATCATGCTGAGTGAGTCGCCTCCAGTTGACATGACTAGTGCTGTGAATTCAGACTTGGAGAAATCAGGGGCGATTGGAACGTTGGGCAAAGTTTTTCACGTGGATTGACTCTAATGCTTTTATATCTTCTCCTGGCGAACATCCTCAAAATAAATATATTTATCCGTTTAAACTGAGAGCTCTCTTCAATTTCGCTCAACAATAAACCAACAAATAAAATAACCGATATCATCATATTATCCTATGAAATTACACTGCAAACAGCCTGATCAATTAGCGATTGAGCGAGTGCCGGATGCAAATAATGTGGTTCTACATTTTTTTTAATCTACAAAACATTCCACATGGAAAACCATGCATGAGCCCCATTATCACTTGAAGCGACAGAGCTCACGCGAGATCACTGTTTATCTTAACCCGTCCGCATCATTACTGCAAAAAGTAAAAAAAATAAAAATAAAAAAAAATTTTGACGTAAATTCCGAGGTTTCTATCGACGAGTCATATTTCCTCTATGATGACACTGCCACACGTAACTACATCTTTACTATGGTTAGTCGTATACTCTTAATTTCCAGTTAATTTAGGAGTGGAACAATGACCTCCAGCTGCTGCCCCCTCGATTTTATCGCTGACCTGTGGGTGACGCTAACCAGTTGGCACTTGATTATACGTGCCCAAATGCAACCACGGCTGGGGTACGGCCAAGCTGAATAGATTGATGGGCATACCTCATTGACACCCTCTTTTTGGCCGCTGATGTCGGTCGGCCTTTACGCTAACAAATCTTGATCTCAATGCGTCTACCCATCCTTACTTGTCTTTATTAACAGCCCTGGAAGGTTGAGAAAACTTTTTTTTTTTGAACACTACTGGCACATGTTTGATCAGTCAGTCACGACGCCTTTGCCGTTACTTTCACTGCGCCAAAGTTTTATAACTCTGCCCACTAAGGTTTAAGAGAAATATCTGTGACTCAACCTGGATAGATAAAAAATGAGGCCAAAGACTCGTTTTCTGTATGCATGACCCTTTTTTCCCCATTCTTGGTTTTTTAAAGTCTCGCCAAGGCCCAAATAAAAAAAAAAAAAAAACTCAAAAAGATGACTGGACAGCATATGATGACCGCAACGAGATTCGAATCCGCTTTCGCGGACATGGCACTCAAAAACGCTCACCACAATGCTATCCACCCACCTTTCTTTATTTTTGCGATATAGACTTATAAAGGGCTAGGATTTCCATATATGGTTAATCCCAGCTTTGCGCCTTACTATGTCATCTTTTTTTTTTCTCTATCTCTTTTTCTCTTTAACTTACTTTCTTTTCACACAATTGTAAATACTGGGTGCAACAAGCAGGTGGAGGTGACACAATTATTGAGACTGCATAATTTATTTACTTTTGGATTTTTCCACGTAATATGTCGAGATGTATGTTACTGGCTAAACTGAACAAGATACATCGATTCTCTATGATTAGGGAGCAAGGCGCTAAAACTATCAGCTCAAAGAATCAATATTACTTTACATGCAATTTGAACGAGCCGAAACTCGTGACAACGCATCGATTATTATATATGGGAACGAGGCGCCTCTCATGAGCTGTTCCTGCGTTTAGGCTGTCCATCAAACTTTAGATGAACTGTATAATTGAGGACGGTATCATAGCCAGAGATTCAGATCTGCAGTTTTTAATCAAGTATAAAAGAAACCAGGGCAAACAACGAATAAAGATCATTTGACAGCCTTGCAACAATTTTCCAACCTATTGTCTAATTTCGCTTAAACTTACTGTATCTCCATACATCACAAGTTTATAATCGCTGTCGAACTTTCATTTTGCTAGTTGAATTGTATTTCATGGCTTACGTTATCCTCTAAGGTTAGTCGCTATTTTGGTTAGGTTTTTGATGAAAGTATGTTCGCAGTACTTGGTTTCAGAGTCGGTCACGTTACCAGGGAGGCAGTAATACACTTTTACACAGACAATGAATAAGCGCACTTTTTGGTCATCCAAGGTCAAAGGAAATGGACCAATTTATTTTTTTTGGATGCTTCTATTTTTATTTTCTCATAACTTGACACCACTTCTATGGAGAATATGTTGCCTAGTATTACAATGCTGCAATTGGTGCTTGAAACAGGCACAAGTGGGATACGATTAATCAAAGTCTAACGGGTCCGGATACCGGGAATTGCTTGGGATACCTGGATAGGCAGCAAATTCTAGAGCCTGATACGCAAGAAATGGGAACAAAATCTCCACATTCGGCAGGGCATTTTATTTTCGCTTGTTCTTGGTTTGACGCTCTGCAAGCCAACTTTTCAAAGGGTCCACAGATATCCAGTCGACATTGAGGTCCGCCTGTTCCGATCCATCCAGAAGAGGCCACTTTTGAAATGACCAGCAGGCACAAGAAGAGAAGAAATAGTTGTTTTGTCATGATATAAGGTTTCGATGAGTATTGAAAGACGGGTACCATAGCTTTATTTTTGTCTGCTTTAAATATTTAAAAACCGGTGCCGTACGTGTAGGCGATTTTAGCAGTTGGCGCGAATAAAGAATTCCGTCTTTCATAAAACATCTGCATCGGTTTTTTGCTGTGACTTTTAAATGATGCATGCACCATTATTGCTAATGGATTCTGCAATGACAGCTTGTCTTTCACAATGAAAATGGGATCAGTGCTTGCTATTTTCGTAATTTACTTTTTTCAAGCAATCACAGCAATCACGACTTCTTCTCTTTGCACTGTAATGCATTGTAGATAAAAAGGATAGATTCTTTGTTTCAAAGCCATATTATTACCTCTAAGACAAAGAGGGCTTTCCGAGATAATTGAGGTAGTATAACCATCTGCATGGACTTTTTTCATTATTGGATCATTGCCTCCGTTTCTGACTGCTCTACGATATGAGGCAACGCTTGATCAACGTTGTAAGTCAAGGTAAACTCTCGCCTCGTGATTTCCTCTTTTCCGTGCCCCTCATTGTACGACATGACAATCCAGCTTTATGTAAACCATTGAGATTGGATTGATTTCCCACCTTCTCATGTGGAAATGAGGACCATTTTTTTCTGCGGCTTTGGGAATCCGTTTTTAACATCATCAAAAAAGTATGCATGAATATGCTGTGTAACAGACAAACACAGCGTACCGTTCCTGTTATGATCTCACAATCTTGTCTGTTCCGTTTCATTATCAATTTACTTGTCATGAATCCAGCAGCGATGTGAGCTGGAGCACCACACTTGCGAATAAAAAAAGAAGAGAGAAAAAAAAAGGATCCCAATACTTCGAACGCCAGTTACTGACCCGACACACGTTGTAGGCAGCACTTTTGGCGTTGTAAACGCTCGTTGGTCTTTTTTCACCTTTGTAAAATCGTCAGAACCCAACTCCTTGAGAATCTTTAAATGCCACGATATCCACCTCGTCTGGGTCATCAGCTTCATTCTGCAGTGTAGTCAAATGCTTTTTTTTTTTATAATTTGAAAGGATTATGCACTTTCTAGGGCAGCCATAGGCTCGTTTGTTTGGAAGGAGGGACCTTGTCTCACATATTGCACAAACATCGAATAATGTTCTCCAAAGGTTGTTGCACTATCGGGCGCTTCTGCCAATGTCTTGACGATACCATATTTCCAGGTCTACATCAGTTAAAGACAGAGTTCCAGTTAAATGATGATTATTTTTTTACATGATGAAACAGTAGGCTTTCGTTTTACCTGTCCCTGACGGCTGTGCTCTGTGGCACGATCCAAAATATATCCTAAAAATTCGCGAGATTGGGCCATTTCCTATTACAAATTATCCTTTCATCAGCAAGCAGAACTTTCGGATCAAAACCGGTTGCGAATTCAACCTGTCGACCCCATGTGTGTGAAGCAACACTTTGCAACACTGCAAAAGCGGCGATTTTCGTTTCTTCTACCGGTTGTTTGGCGGTGGAAATCAAGAGAGATAGAGACGGTGTGTTGCTGCCTGTGGGAGCCACATGAGATTCAGTCCAAGAACTTGATGAAAAGCTGACGCGAAGACTCACCACTCATTCGTTTAAACATATCAAGTGTCATTTGCGCTACCGAAGGGCTGTTGTTACTGCTGTCATCGCTACGAGGTTGTTTAAATCCAATATTAGATCTCACGCGTCCAGTTTTTCCTTTTGCAAACGCTCTTACGTGACGGCGAGCATCTTTGATAGTGTTTGCAAGTAGACCGTTTTTACATCCCCAGTAGAAGAGTGACATCCTTCCAAGACGGTGTTCATCAGCGGGTTCGTATAAATTAACCGTAATCCATTGACGTGAGAACCAATTAGCCCAATGGATGCAATAGCTGCAATCTGCAAAGTGGAAGCGTCATCATTTGAGTATGCTATCCCAGGTACCTATTGTTTTCAAGGCATACTCACAGCCACTTCTTTATGTTGGCTATCCAAGCAGCGCTGTAGGCGGTTGAGCAGATGATATTGGCTGGCAATGGGCTCAAATGAGACGTCCTATTCCCAATCTCAATAAGTAGAGCCATTTCATTACATCGTATCTCCGGTCCTTTGTCATCACTCACGGGTTGTTCGCCCAGTTTTCCAAAGAATTTCAGCACGGCACATTTGGTGAGGACGACGGCCACATCGGTCTCATTTTCTTCGTCAAGGACCAGCGCCAGATCATTGAGTAGATCAGCTTTTTGTAAAAATGTCAGCCCTGACCGAGTTGCGGCAATCTATCCACAATTGTTCAATAAATCACCCCATCAATCAAACAATAATTTCTGCCTTACTTCGCTGAGCATATCCACGGCGTTCATTTTCAGCAGCAAGTCTTCGGATTTCACTTCTGATACGACATGGCTTAACAGACCTGACAGTTCGCATTCTTGGAATGCGATATCCGACGAAGCGGCCACCCGGACAATGAGTTCATAAACTCGAAAACTAACGACTCCGCTCCTGCACAGAAACCCGGAGGTGAGTATGTCACGATCTCATCACATCATTTTTCAGCAAACTGCAGAGCCTTACACATGCAGAAACCGTCGCAGCATAGCGACAGTTTGAACGCTAAAGAAGGCTACGCGACCTGGTTCAGTGAGAGCAACCTTGATGCAGGTAGCATGACTATAGTGAGCAACCTGATCTACATGAACCATCAATTTCTTTTTTCCATACCCGAGCAATGATATCTACGGCCTTGGTGGCCGTGCGTGTATCTTGGAAGGCCAATGTCGTTAATACCAGCGGAAAGATGTCTGAATGGATCTAATCAACGCGTCGAGTCATTAATATCATTTGTCCCATACAAATGCGTTAGCCTTTATACTCTACCATAGATGAAACGGAATTGTCGGATGCAAGAGATTTTTCGACTTGTTGCAAACACAGATATCGGATCGAAGGAGAAAAATGGGCCAAGCCTTGAATCAAAAAGGTCTGCATAAATCCAAAAGCAGTCGTATTTTATTCTCTCTTTTTTTTTTGAATGCCTGCCCAGTCATGATAGTGGTTAACTTACTTTGTTGTCTTGGCCAATAATTGCTTCATACGGGAAGGGTTGCAGTACTTTATTAATAACATCACACACGGCTTTTGTCAGTTCATCGTCGTCAATGTCCAAGTTGGCGTAAAGTCCGGGCAGTGACACTACAGATAGAACTTGGTTGGCCTGATCTTGCGACACATGATCTTCAAAATCAATCTAGGGTGAGTTCAAAGTGAATGCAGTGCGGGGGGTGACCCTCTTCGCGCCATTCCGACGACGACGCACCTCCAAGATATACAGACAATGCTCGCATGGCCTCAACTTTATCTTGTAAAGATGCATGGGCCGTAGGTTGAATGACGTTGGCCACTTTCTCGACAGGCGAAATGGGAGCAGGCGACATTGTGGAAAAAAAAAAAAACGAGGTGAAGACAAAAGGTTGGATCTTCGAGACGCGCACAAAAAAAAGGCTGCAATTTTTCACCCTCTGAAACTTTGGTTCTCCAATCAGATTTTCGCAGCCGCTTCAATCAGCCTGTTCCGACAAATCTTTTTTATGCAAAGAAAATCGGAAAGAGCTGACTAAAGGACAATTCGCAGCACAAGATAACCAACATACAGGTGCTGCACATCAGAGCTATGAACTCTTTTTATTTGGTGATTGGAAATGACCTTCCTTCATAGTGGAAAAGTTTTTTGGAGTTGTAGAATTTGCATACAATATTGGAACTGCTTACTGGTCATTATCGGTAAAACCGCCATGGGAAACACCCAGTAATAATCATTTTCTTAAACAACCTTTGTTTATTCCATTGCGGTTTGGTCTCTGCTTTACAATTTTAACGTGCATTTGCCTTTTCCGGAATTCTTTTTTTTTTTTTGACTCAGCTCGGGGCTACGGGTTGCGCATGAAAGGTGACCCGCGCTTTGACCGAATTTTCCCTCCAAAGCAACGTATTTTATTTACTACTTCTCTAATGAGGCCTGTGACATTTGTGAAGCGGTTTGATTTCCCAGTATACGGTGTCGACTTTTCCGTCGACGACCAGGTCATTGCTGCAGGAGGAGGTGGCGCTAATCGTTCAGGCGTCAAGAACAAGCTGGTATGTCCCACTCAATTGCATTTGGGTTTGTACCCGAGATTTTCCTCATTAAGCTTTTTGCATAATCACAGATGTCATTTGCCGTTGACGAGAAAAACAAGTCATTCAAGGATCTTGCTCAATTGGCTCTTTCCGATGAGGAAGACTGCCCAATGTCCATTGCTTGTCATCCCGAGGTACGTTGGAAAATGGACCAAACAATCCCATGGTCTGAGCTTTTAGCTTACCCTTTTTTTCTTATGTGGTACAGCTCCCTCTATTTGCTGCAGGGATTAATGGAACCGCTCAGGATATTCAACAAGGCAAAAACCCTAATTGTCGACTGTTTAGCTTGGAACATGGGTCAGTATACAAGGGCAATCGAACCGAGTAAACGTGGTAATACTCAAATGGCTCTTTTAGTATTGAACCGGTCCGTGAGATTTCGACCAGTACTCAAAAAAATGCGGATGAATATCAAAAGGTCACCCGATTTAGTCGGTCGTATCTGGTGACTGGATTCAGTGATGGCAAAGTGACCGTGTTAAAGATGCCGGATCTGAAACTCGCCTTTCCTCCTCTGCGGTTCAATAATATCCAAGACATCGACATTGATCGAGACGAAAACTACATGGCCATTGCCACCGCAAAAGCATTGATTATCGCTTCGCTCGAGGACGGCAGCATCGTTCAGGTAATTGATAGTCCAAAATTAAATCGAAATACGACCTGCGAATTCCGTGCTTGTCGATACGCTTCACAAGACCGAGCCAACGAAAAGCTGTACGCTATTGTCAATCCAACGTCACGAGGGCGCGGATTTGTCTGTGCGTGGCGTGTGTATCCTCACCAAGCGAGATATCTACGAAGGGCGAAAACAGCGAGTGTGAGTCGGAAAGGTATCACCAGCTTTGCCGTAAGGTGTGTGAACTTGTCCTCGTAAATGAATTCGTTCTATGACTGACAATGAATATTTGTTTCTCGTTAGCCCGTCAGGCCACGTATTGGCTTATGCATCCACTGACTTGACCATAGGCCTCATTGATGCGCAGACATTACGTGTAAGTAAAAAGTTGATAAAGGGAACGAGAGGTGTGAAGGATCAGTTTTTGTCTTTTTTCCAAGCCATCTGAAACTTGCAATAGCCCTTGCTGCGTGTACCTGATGCTCACGGCTTTGCCATTACGAGCTTGAATTTCAGCCGATCGGGCGAATTTCTGGTAAGCGCAGGAGCCGACAATTGCTGCCGCATGATGGTTGTACCCAAAAATTTGGACCTGGGTAAGTGGCTCCCTTCTGGATAACGATGATCCTTTTACTGCTCACTTGAACTCACATCTGCTTAGGTTACGATTACGCTACCCCCATTTACGCATTCCTTTGTATGTTAATGACAGCATTATTGGCCCATATCATTGTAGAAATGGCCAAATAAAACAAGTAAAGAAGAAAAAACCGTAAACACTGTAATAAAAGTTATGTAGACACTTGAACCATCTTTAGAAATTTCACTGTAAACGACGCCCTAGTCTACTCGTCCTCTGTTTTGGCGTGGCTGTCGTCATGTGACGATCTTTTACCTGAGTTGATTGTACACGCTGGATAGTCGAGAAGGTGCACGCGGATAAGTGGGCGTGCTTACCGATGAGCTGCTTTGTCTGGATGGTGACCGCTCCGTTGTGAAATATTGCTGTAAATGAGAAGAGGAAGAACGGGAATGACCCATTCGAGATGAGGACCGCAGGGAAGAGGTGCTTTTGCTAGAGGAGGGTGGTGATGGATGTGGAAGTTTCAGTCGGATAGAAGGAATGTGGCTTGCGCGTTGAGAAGTACGATAGCCACCTAATCGGCTCTCTGAACGGCTGGGATGGGGGGCGGTCGTACTAGCTGCAGCCGAACTTGTACGCTGGGGTGTGACAAGGTTTGTCGATCTTGTGCTTGCTGGCATTGGTATGTGAGACGCTCGTTTGGCTAATTTAGAGGTACTGGAATTTAACCAATTTTCATATCTGGTACTTGGTCGTGAAGCAGACATGGATGTGCTAGGACGTAGCGTCTGTGATATACTGCCAAGAGATCGGTGCGAAGATATGGAGGATACACGATGAGAAGTCTCGCTTAAAGATGCATATTGCGCCAGACGACTAAATGATCGAGTAGACGAAGACGTGGATGGGGTCGGCGATATGTGGCGGGAATGGTAACTCGTTACTGTTGAATGTGACGCCAAACTGTGTTCACTGCTTATACTGCTGCATCGCGATCGGTTGCGGCGCAAATGAACAGGATGCGTATCGGTCGGTGGCATGGGAAAGGATAATATATCGGCTGTACAAATACACGAAAATGACAAAAAAATTAATACCTGGTTCATCTAATGCACCCCCCCCCCAAGTACCGTACCTGTATCGCCTTTTGGTAAAAAATCCCAATTGTCCAGATTGATCTTTTTCATGTATCAAACGTTAATCATCGTATGTATCGCACGAGAATCGATTATTACAAGTACCTGCTGAGCTGTATTCAGAAAATCTTCAAACTCTTTCAGATCATCCATTGCATCGTTGTATGAATCACCCTTTTCGATGGGGTCGAGGCCATACCGTATGGGTCTTTGATTTGGAGAAAGCCGCGGCGAACCACCGTCGACTTCTTTTGATGGCGCGGTAGAATCAGACGTTGGCGGTGTCTAAAAGAAAAATAGTCGGTCATTGTCCACACGCATACAAAGACGAACAACTTTTTTGTACTACTTTACGTTTTCCAGCGTGTTGAGAGACTCATTGAGATCGATATTGGCAAGCGTGGACAGATCCGTTTCCTGTTCCAGGTCCGAGGTATAGTTGGCTTCAATGAGATCGTCCAAATTCACGCTTTGCTCGGAGTTTATAGACAGGATCGAATCAGGACGCGCTTTTTTGTTGGAGGCACTGCCAGTAACAAGAACAAATGATCAGTGACCCTCCCCATCCCTTTATTTCATAAAATTCTCCGGGAAGACCAGTAGCTATCACGAAATTCGTTATAGGCGACATCTTACCTGGGTCGTAATGAAGGTTCTAATGCAGCCGTAGCGGCATCTTTGCAAGGCGAATGTCCCCGATATTGCTTCGCTTCTAGGAACCAGGTGTCGAAATTCGAAGCAAGGGGAGAAACGTCTTTCGGTGTTACCGGTTCAGTAAAGGCATTGGGGAGTTCCTGTATGGGTGATTTAGGGTCCTGGTGGAATCGGGTCATGAGCCAGATGGTGAACCGAAGAAAACGGGAATAATAAGAAGGGATACAGAAAAATCCCAATTGTCGGGCTTTTGTCCTTTTGAACCGTCGCATAGCATTGATTGGCTCGGTATTAGCCAATCAGGGTCTACTTCTGGTAATTCATGACTCTGAGATCATTGAAGAGAACAAGGAGGGATAACCGAAAGATGAAGAGAGCAAAGAATGATACCATTAGCTATCTATTTAGAAAAACACACCAGTATGCACATCTACTCAAGCATCAAGATAGAGTTATCAATACGTTCTGAAGTTAATCCATCATTTCACGTGGCTTTTTCCTTAATTTCTGTGCTTCCAAAATGAAAAAAGAGAAATTTGTATGCGAAATTGCCGCTTTTCCTTTTTGAGACAAATTGTGCTCGTTTGTTCTTTCCACCCACTATTTTCGTCAATAGGTCCATGCACTATGCCACGAACCACGCTATTTCGATCAGAGCAAATGTCGTTTGTTCAATTGTATTTACCCGGCGAAGTAGCCCAGATATGTATATCCAGCTTGGGCGAGCTGGGCAAGTTGCAATTCATAGACGTAAGGACAAACTCAACAGTTAGCATGACCTTGCCTCGATCTGCTCACGGAAGTTGCTGTTAGCTTAATCCCGATGTCAATGCATTCCAGCGCTCATTTGTGTCTGAAATCAGACGCTTTGACGAAATGGAGCGGCAATGCCGTAAGTGGAGATTGTAGCCCCCAGCAGCAGCAGCAGCACAAGTAGTTGCAGCGACGTAACATATTGAATACAGGCTTTTTTCAAACACAAATCGCCAAGGCCGACATTGTCACAGCACCATTAGCAACCACCACGTATCTTTCTCGCGCCCCTTCCGCTCAAGAAGTTGACGAATTGGAAGAAAAGCTGAAAGAACACGAAACACGCATTTGTGAAATGAACGATTCATACGAGAGTCTTCAACGACGATACCTGCAATTAACTGAACTCCGCCATGTGTTACGCGAAACGGATGCATTTTTTGAACAAGTAAGTTGGGAAGCATCGGTTACACCCGCCCACCCGATATTGATACGCTGAACCGACTTTTTGTTATCACCATCAAGGCAGGATCAAGGCACGATATCGTTCGTACTTCACTAGACGAAATAGACGCCGCTGCTCCCTTATTAGACAATGACGTGGAGCAGGTACAGTACGAACTAAGTCATCTTGATTTGGGTCACGTCACTGGCGTGATTGCTCGATCGCGATTACAAACTTTTGAACGCATCCTGTGGCGATCATTGCGTGGCAATCTGTATATGAAATCCGTCGATATTGACGAGTCCATCATTGATCCTGTCACGGACGAAGCGGTAGAAAAAGATGTTTTCGCCATTTTCGCGCACGGACGCGAAGTCGTTGCCAAGATCAAGAAAATATGCGAAAGCATGGGCGCAACGTTATACACCGTGGATGATTCTTCCGATAAACGACGAGATACCTTGTTAGAAATCACTTCCCGCATCGAAGATCTAGGCAATGTATGGGCTTAAAATTTTCTGGAACATGGCCGACGTGATGGAGCCGATCTCGTAACGTATTACCCTTGTAGATTTTATCCAATACAAGTCAAATGAGGCGGATGGAGCTGTTAAAAGTAGCGGAAAATCTCACCGCTTGGTTCACACTTGTACGAAAAGAAAAAGCCATCTATCATACCTTGAACTTGTTCAATTATGATGCCAATCGTAAATGCCTTATCGGTGAAGGATGGTGCGCCAAAAACGACATTCTTGTTATTCAACGCGCTTTGAAGGATGCCACGGTAAGACGACATAATGTCAAATGATAGGCGTCAACATGTGTGTGTCTCATGCGCTTTTGATTTAGGATGCATCAGGGACGAACCTGTCCTCCGTATTGACGGAAATCCATACAAATAAAACACGACCTACGTGCCATCGAACGAATAAATTCACAGAAGGCTTTCAAAACATCATTGATGCGTATGGCATTGCTCGCTACCAAGAAGTCAACCCTGGTCTTTTTACGGTGATTTCTTTCCCGTTTCTATTCGCCGTCATGTTTGGTGATATTGGTCACGGGTTACTCATGCTGTGCTTTGCCTCGTACCTTGTTCTCAATGAGAAGCAGCTGGCGAGTAACAATGGGGAGGCAAGTTTTTTTTTTTTTTTTTTTTTTTTTTTTTGGTACCCCGGTTTGTATGACAAACATCGATAATGACTTACAACTCTAGATTTTCAAAATGTTTTTCGCTGGTCGATACATGATGCTAATGATGGCTATTTTTTCCATTTTTACCGGGGCCATCTATAATGACATCTTCTCCTTGTCGTTGAATCTATTCAAATCCGGATTCGACTGGCCGCGGGAATACAACGGCATTGATGCAGTGGAAGGTATACCCAATGGTCACGTCTACAAATTCGGGTTTGATCCTGTAAGCAGCTCTTTTTTTTTCTTTATCCCAAAAGATTAGAGGACTGACCGTCTTCCTAGGCCTGGCATGGAGCAGAAAACTTTTTATTATTTTCCAATTCATACAAGATGAAACAGGCCATCATCCTTGGTGTGATTCACGTAAGGCACTCATTGCTTGGTAGATTTTTAATTGTCAGTCATTAATGGGTATACTGATCCATTGGGTAGATGTCATTTGCTATTTGTTTGAACGTCTATAATCATGTGCACTATGGCAACCAAATATTTATCTGGCTTGAATTTCTACCACAAATCTTGTTCATGGAGTGCATCTTTGGTTATCTAGTGTTCTGCATTCTGTACAAGTGGAGTGTGGACTGGTGGGCAGTAGATGATCAAGGTCACACACTTCATAACTCGCCGCCCAATCTATTGAACATGCTCATTTACATGTTTCTATCTCCGGGCAAGGTCGATCCTCAAGATCAACTCTATCCTGGACAGGTAAATGCAAAAAAGGAAATCGTTTTCCTATAGATGTTTATTCTGATCATGGCACGGTACAGGGTCCTGTTCAAGCGATTCTTTTATTCATTGCTTTTATCTGCGTCCCATGGATGTGGTTTGCCAAACCGTATTACCTCAAGAAACTTCATAGCCAACATCGCTATCAAACAGTGGCAGCCGAGGACGAGCATGAATTGCATTCAGGAGACGGTCATCACGAAGGCATGGAATTGTTTATAGAAGAACCGCAGCAAGAAGAGGAAGAAGAAGTAAGAAGCAATGGAAAAGAAATCCTTGGTAAAGCAAGATGTGTTTTGATTAACAGCGGTGTGTCAGTTTGATTTTAGTGAAGAAATGATTCATCAGACGATCCATACCATTGAATTTTGCCTCAACTGCATCTCCAATACTGCCTCGTATCTTCGTTTATGGGCGCTTTCACTGGCTCACGCACGTAAGTTTTCTGATTGCCTGAATTGTCACAACTAAATACATGATTCATGGTTTCTCTTTTTTATATATTTAAATATTTGCAGAATTGTCCAGCGTCTTGTGGGATATGACCCTAAAGATATGGTTCAAAATGTCAGGGCTGGCCGCCGCCCTGGGTTTAGTGGTTGGATTTGCCATGTGGTTCGTATTAACGATCGGCGTATTGCTTTGCATGGAAGGATTATCAGCTTTCCTTCACGCACTTCGTTTGCATTGGTAAGCCCAAAAGTGAAGCTTGTTTTTATGTGCCGTGTACGAGAGTGTTGACCATGATTGATTTTTATCTAGGGTGGAATTTGATGGCAAGTTTTATCATGGCGATGGTGTGCTTTTCGAACCGTTTTCGTTTGCTACTATATTGGAACAGTTCTCCGAATAATAGATCTTGGAAAAAAGCTAGTTCCCATAAAATGGGTCACCTGAATTTAATACTGACTCTATGCAACCGTTTCATTACCCGACCATTCACAAGAAAAAATGCCTGTCAATGGGGGGGCCTATTCCACCATATTCATTGAATGACTGTGTAGTAAAAAGAAGATTCGGTGTAAAAGACAAAAAAAAATGATAATCGGAGTGTTTCTCACGGATCGCTGGTGGCAAACCTTGTGTGTAGGCCCCTTTAGGTGATTTCGCCTTAATAGCCCCTTGAGGGTTGGGCGTGACTTTCTGGGTGAAAGCGACGAGTGACTGGCGGGCTTTTTGTAGCTTTCCTTGCTTTTTGTTCCCTTGTTCACACCTGTGTGGGAAGCATGACCGACGCCAGAGCACCGCTTTTGGCGCGCGATCGTATTGAAGATGCCGATCGTCGTTCAGAACGTAGTGAAGATGCGGTGTCTACCACGGATTATGGCAGCGGAGTGTATCGATATCCAGTGTACCTTCAACCGGGTCAATTCACATCGCTGGAAAAGCTCATGTTCTTTGTGAGCTCCATTCTGTTTATTCTCTTGTGCGTTTTTGTGGGCCTTTACGCTCGAAGTAGCTTTGATAACCGGCCGAAGTATCCTGCTCCACCTGTTCACTCTCCCTTGCCAACCCCTTTGCCACCATCCGACAATCAAACAGCGGTAATAAAAATCGACAAAAAATCAATGCAGTAACGGAATACCGCATTTTTTTCCCCTTTTTTCAATGAGAGCGGTTTCAGAGACTTATCAATCTTATTTTTTTATTTTTTTTATCAACAGACCTTTTGCTTGGAACCCCACTGTATTTTGGCTGCCGCCCATATCCTTCAAGTGAGTCTAACTGGTTCCGCTCCTATAATAAATGGTGAACTAAATGCCTTTCTTTTTATGTTCGTACAGGATGTCAATCGAGAATTAGATCCATGCACCGACTTTTACGCCTATACATGTATATCGTGTCACTGAGTACTTTTTACGTTACACGTGTTTTGACTGACCCATGAATTTCATAGGCGATGGATGGATGGAAAATCATTTACTGCCAGATACCATGTCGAAGCTCGACACGCAATGCGCCATCATCGAAAGCAACAAGAAGCGAGCCCATCAAATTCTGGGGTACGATTTCAATACTTTTGAGAAAATGATCATGAAAGAGACCAGCGAGTCCGATTCAGTCGTACAATACCTTCCTCGTCTTGATCGAATCCTGGATGAACAATTATTTACAAAGTTGACCGCATTTTATGGTTCATGCATGAACGAAGACGTGATTGAACGACGCGGTATCCAACCTCTTTACGATCTATTTCACCAAGTGCGTCGTTTCCTTCCGCTCAGTTACTACGCTTCCAATGAACCTTTATTCACGACGTCCGATTCCTCCATGGTGCAAGGCTTGAGTCAAGCCGTCAGTTACCTGGGGCAGCATCACATTTGGGCCCTCTTTGAGATGCAAATCGGTCCGGACCCTGAAATTCCTAGCGTGCCAAGCATTACATTGTGGCAAGGCGAAGTAGGCTTACCTTCGCGTGAATATTATGACGACACCGATGTGTTTTCAACCTATATGCAAGTGGTCACGGAAATTCTGGAAATCGTTTTTAGCAAAGACAACGGTCAATTTGGATGGAAATCGTCCAGTCCCGTGGCCACTGCCCGACGCATTTTGGAATTCGAGAAAAAACTGGCCCAAGTCACCTATCGCTCAGACACGGACAAGATCCAACGATGGACGCTGCAAGAGTTGCATCAAGCCGCGCCCAATCTCAACTGGACATTGTACGTGGAATCCATGTTACCCCATGGCAGTCCGCTGCCCGATCATATCCTTGTACCGGTGCCCCAGTTTGTCAGAGATCTGTCAGATGAAGTTTTACGTGGCACGAATGTCCGAACGCTTCAAATGTACTTGATATGGCGCACCATATGGAAGTACCTCGATACCTTGGGTGAAGAGTTTGTCGCCCCTAAACGCAAATTGGAAGCCAAACTCGGCGGCATCGAATCGCGCGCGAAACCTCCTCGTTGGGAAACTTGTCTGAATCACGTGGATCGGTCATTGGGATTTTTGCTTGGGCGTTATTTCGTGATTGATCAATTGGATCCCGATTCCAAAGAAAGAGCAGACGATGTCATGGTGCGTATCATGAACACCTTTGTTGATCGCTTGGACGACTTGGATTGGTTACAGGATGATGCAACCAAAGCACAGATGGTGAAAAAGGTAAAAAAATTGACTTTTTCAGTTTAAATGCCATAGAAGATGGGAATGAGGGAATTTTTTGATTGACTGAGGTTGCAGTTGCGAGACATGGATCGACAAGTAGGATATCCAATTTCACAACCGGATCTGCGGTCCACCATTTCCGTGGCGGAGTATTATTCGGAAGTGATTATTGATGAAACGGATTTTATGGCCAATGTCATGAGTGCCAATCAATGGAAAGTCAAACGAATGTGGAACCAGTTACGGCATCCTGTGGATCGTGATCTGTGGAAAATGAACCCTCAAAATGTCTATGCAACCTATGACTCCATGCTTAACAAGGTCAGTCGCATAAGCACGAAAATAGATGAGAAAAAAGGTCGTTACATGTGCAAAGAAAAGAGCTAACCATTAGACATAAATGGCATAGGTGGTGTTGCCAGCTGGAGCACTTCAACAGCCATTATTTGATGCGCGAGGTCCTGGCTACTTGAATTACGGAGCTTTGGGTAGCATGATTGGTCATGAATTACTTGTAAGTTATGACCAGTTCATTGGAATTTCATCAGCAGATGGGAGATCTCATTGCATTTCACATGGGGGGGTTGTGTGGTTTGGGGATTTTTTTAGCATGGATTTGATCAAGAAGGACGCCGTTTTGATAGCCGCGGGATTGCTGGACACTGGTGGTCCAATGAGACGATGGCGCGCTTTGACTCACGTGCGACGTGCTTTGTACAACAGTACTCCAAATTTGAAATTCAAGGACCGCATGGCGAGACCTATCAGGTGGACGGAAAGCGCACACTCGCCAATAACTTGGCAGACAATGGTGGAATTCAGTTGGCCTACTCCGCTTGGGAGAAACAAATGAATGAAAGCGATGGAAAGCATGGTGAAAAGGTTTTACTTCCTGGTCTGGGACATTGGACACCAGAGCAGCTATTCTACATTAATTTTGGACGCACACGGTGTCGAAAGAGTACACCAGAGCATGATGTTCGTGAGGTAACAAGAAAATATGGCACATGATCTTTGATGCAAGGTCAAAAACTGACATGAATGACATGATCCTTTTACTGTTTAATTTGTAGTTGCGCACCAAAACCACTTCACCCAATCGGTTCCGGGTCAACGGCCCCTTGATGAATTCACCTCATTTTGCGAAAACGTTTAAATGTGCAGCTGGCACGCCCATGAACCCTCATCATAAATGCATCCTGTGGGCATAATGAAATCAGTTTATTAACTTGCTAATATATACCTTTACATTTCGAATTACTCAAAAGAAGAAAGAACCAGTGATTTTTTAAAAGACGGATGATCGTCGTTTTTTACAGAGCATTTTTTTTTTTCGGGATGTGAGTGTGATTGAAACGCCGCAGAAACGGTTGCCTTTTTTATGAACCATTGTTTCTCATATTTATTTTTACTGCTATTTTTTTTTTTCTCTATTACCCTTTCTTCTTTTTCCTTTTGTATTTATTGTACCTATTTGTTTGCGACCAGGCAATGGTGATTGTGGAGCTGTTATGAAGTTTGGCAAACAACTTGAAACCGAAGCCGAGGATATTCCGACAGAGTGGCGTCCTTACTTGATTCAATACAAGGCATTGAAGAAAACAATTGCCAAGGTAGCAGAAGAGATTGAAAAGCGAGGGCTGTCTGCTTCTGTATTGCATGCAAGCCTTGGAGCCGAGAAAAATGGAAAGGATAACAGTATACCCCGTGTCAAGTACTATTTCACTGGTACGTGTATGTTCATTCTCGAGATTCCCAAGATTTTGGGCAAAGTAAATGACATGATGCATCATTTAGGTGAACCTCCCAATGTGCGTCCTTGCATTCAGTTCAACTATGACTATTCGCAACCGCAAGTCCAACAGTTGTTTGAGCGCCTGATTCATGGGAACAGTTCAACCCGTGGCGGTGACGGTCTGGATGGGACGCTCGAATACCGGCGGAGCTACGACAACAGCGATTTTTTCACGTTACACAGTGGCACGCAAAAGCATGATAATGCCCACACGATGAATGCTTCGCTCCAAATTTCACAGCTACCAATGGTCGACAAAGACGATAGCAAAGATAAGGACGATGGCAAAATGTCACCTGTGAATGAGGAATCAGAGGACAGTAGCAAGACATTCCTCTCAGCAACCACCATGCGAAAAAGACGAAACACCGCGGCTGCGCTCCTTCGCGAACTAATGGATACGAGTTTGGCCGAGAAGCGTGCAGTGGAAGCTTCAGTGGATATTCCATCCGATTTGATGGAGAGTACATCAGCGGGACCTTCATTGGTAATTGATGCTTCCTCAGACAGCGATACGATCGCATCAACCGATGAAACTGTGTCCGTTGCTCCGGAGATCCGAAGTCTGGTGATTGAACTCGAACACGATGATGAATTTTTCCACATGTTGATGACCGAGTTGCAAGAAGCTGCCAAATTACAAAGCGCAACGTCCCAGCAGTTTGAACGCGACGTGATCGATTTTGAAACACGCATGGTCACCCTGGTAAGTCCTCGCACCGAGTAATCGAAAAAGAACAAGGGCTGATCATGGATTCTAATATGCTAGGCCAAACCAGACCAGCGAGACGACATGTATACTTGGCGAGAAATTTTTTGCATCTACATTGATGCGCAAATCTTTCAAGGCCAAGTGGAAGCCGATCGTACCATGCGATCGGTGGAGAAGTCGAAAGCGCAATTGCAATGGTTCATGAATCAAATGCAGGGAAAGAACTTGGTAAAGTATTTTTACATGCTGGTGGACATCTTTTAGGATTGTATGCTTACGTGTTTGCAATGGTAGACTTCCAAACTGAAAAGCAAGCCTTCCCAATCCGCTTTCCAACAGTTCCTTGCACTGAATACCGAATTGATCACCATGAAACATTATCAAATACTCAATCGCACCGCCATGACCAAGATCCTCAAAAAGCACGATAAACGAAGTGGCTTAACGTAAGTTAATATCGATATATGTGTTCATGGATGATCAAAACAATAGAGCTAACAAGGAATGATTTTTCTGATAGTGCCAGCACCACTTTTCCCAGTTTTGTTCGCGCTGACAAGTTCTTTAGTCCTGCAATGGCAAGGATGCTATGTGCCACTATCATTGAAAAAGTAACAGCCATTATACCGCAACCCGACGACTATTGTAAGTGACACCATCGTATCTCACTTGAAGACGCGCGAGAAAAAGAAAGGTCTAATGGTAACTTCATCTGTAGCATGTCCCATCTGCATGGCTGTCGCCTGGCGACCTATTCGATTGGCTTGCAACCACGTGTTTTGCGTGCGATGCCTCATCAAGGCGCAAAGGAAGCATATGGACAGTTGTCCTTTATGCCGATATCCCAATGCGGTCCGTTCGGCGAGCGCCATGAATCTTGACGAGTCGATGCAAAACTTCTTGAAAACGTACTTTCCGAGAGAAATCAAGCAAAAGAAAAAGGATAATGAACGTGAGCAAGCCATTGAAGATATCCAAACCTTCACTGGTCGCGCTTACACGGAGGAACAACTCATGCGCATGAACCGACAACATGAACAAAACAAGTGCCTGATCATGTAAATACATATATACAAACCCATTCATCTTTATTTAATACCTTCAGCGAATTAGATGCATCCTGTAATAAACATAAAAAGTTTTGGATAATTACATCGTCATAAACAATCCTCAGTCATAGTTGACTACTGTATCTATCAGTCATGCCGTGCTGTGACTTGTGTCATTACTACCTTGTGGTTTCTTTTTCTAATTGAGAAAATATTGTACTTTCTGCCAACATTGCTTCTGTTCGGAAGATTTTTCTCGAACATCGCCAGTTGCAACTTGAATTTTCCAAAGATGATTTTAAAATAAATGCTGGATTGTTTGCAAGGATGGTTGCGAGGATGGTCGTAATGCTTGTAGTGATGGTTGTGGATATGGATATGGATATGGATATGAATATGAATATGCATGTGATTTCAGTTGGGGGTGTAAATGGGGATGTGAATGCTGTTGACGGTGATTCAACGGTTGGGGTTGACGCAATGGTTGAGGTTGACGCAAAGGTTGAGGTTGACGCAAAGGTGGAGGTTGACGCAAAGGTGGAGGTTGACGCAAAGGTTGAGGTTGACGCAAAGGCTGACGTTGACGAGGAGGTTGACGAGGAGGTTGACGCCAAGGTTGAGGTTGAGGGATCCCTATTCTAGGATGCGATTCACTTGGTGGACCGGTGTGAGTGACTTTCCGATGGTGCTCCAAGCTAGCTCCAACATAGGCCAAATGCGCAGTTGAAGTGTAGTCTAGGATGGTGCAATCGGTCACTTTGGGCGAGACTGATTCGGGAAGATGAAGCCACAGATAATCGACATAAGTCACGACAAAGAAATCAAGCTGACACCCTGTTTTGATCCATCGTGTATTTAATATGCGCGGGAGCTTCGGCAAAAAGAAGAGCATCGCCTAGCGCACTTACCGCCAAAAGACCAACCGCCATCATCAACACGTACGCAACCATTGTGTCGATGCGATTCACCTCCGGCAATGCCCAAAGGCATACCATCCAATTCCGGGATATAAAGCGTGAGCCCGTTGGGTAAATCATTGGCAGCCACACTCACAAAAGGTACCAAGTTCTGATCTTCTGAACCATGACCAAAGTAAGCGTCCGTTCGGTTCGCTGGACCAATGACATCAAAGGTGCCAGTCTCATCGGACAATCCGAGCAAGTAACCGTTCTTTAATAAGCACTGTAAGGAGAACCGTCCGGTAAAGTATCGTGGTAAAATGGTTAGTATGATTTGCAGAGTATGCCCTGTGAAGTGTTGCAGCTACGTACTGTGCCTTCCATATTACATTTGGATCGCAAATTACGGGGTACCATGGCTAGGGTTTCACCATGCTTGCTTTTAATGGGGACTTTGGTATCTTCGCCTCCCAAAAAGAGGCGTTGCCCATCTTCATCTTCATCCCATTCGTTTTCTTTAGGAATCCAGTATTGCGAAAACTTGGCACTCGGCCCTTTTCCTTGATAACACTCTGGGACTTTGAAGTACTGCTTCAACGTATTTTCCAGATTACTTGTGGGTGTCGCGGTGGGGGTGAATATGGTCCGTGTTGCCGTGACGCCACGCAGCCGATCAAGGATTGACGACCACACTTTCGCAGAAACGGAAGGTTTATGAACCCATCCATACCCAGTGACACGATGCGCGTGTGATACCGAAGGACGCACCGTCGTGTAAGCATCAATTCTAGGCAAGCACAGGAACACAATAATGGCAGTCTGTAAAAACGGAGCGCGCAAGAAATAGAACATGGGGAATGACAAAGGTATATTTCTTTTTTTCTCTTGAGATAAAATGATAATAGATATGTATATATAAAAAAAAGAGGCTGATTTGGACCCACCCAAAGCAAAAAGAGAGAACGATAAAAAGAGAAAAAAAGGGTTGAATGTCCAACAACACAGCAAGTGACGGAAAGGAATGAGCGCTATTTTCATGATCGGTGATGCATTCCTTGAAGGTTACATCTTAAATGTAATGATATTGATCTTGCGGTTGCTGAGAAACCCAAAGCAAAGCCGTACTACACGATCCTCCAACCCCGTCAGTATGGGTTTATCCCTTACTTTTCCATATGTATCTGAAATATACCGACCTCATCATGATGAGAGTGCATTGGATGACCTCCATAATCCCCAAATAATAATCCAAAGGCGTCAGATCATGAATAGTATACTTGACTATTAAAACGGTCTAATGCAACAGTCAGACATTCAACCAAGGCTTAATAACCAACCCAAGATGCTACTCACCACTGAACCTGCCACACCACCACCAAGCATAGCAAATCCCTAAAAATGACGTTATAGGTGAGTTTCTTCATCAAGACCGCCCCAGGATGCGTGAACGAAGTGAAGCCTATTCATACCAGGAATAAAATCAAGCGAGCTCGCCAAGGAATACGACCATCAAATTCGTCGCCGTTGAGAGCTTCTTTATCAATGAGATTGATACTGATGAAACAAATAAGGTTAGAGCTTTGAATTTTCCTGTTAACAGTACGAGCCGTTGTCATTGTTAACTTGCGTGATCATGCCAAGTATGGCGACTATGCCAGGCGCCCAATCTTCAAAGCCCGGTGGGATAACACGGTTGGGTAAAGTGGATGAGAATAATAGTCCGTCTACAAACATCCAGCAAGACAGTGCAAACTATGATTGGAATGCAGAGAGTTCGCCAGTCTATTTCCAATGGATCGGCTCTATTGCCAAGGACACTTACAAGCATGCCAGCCGTGTAAACGCCGATTTCTCTTCCTTTGCCTCCCAAAGTGAAGCATTGTCTTCCGGTGCAAATGAAAATACGTTGTGAGTCGTCCATTTCCGATCCCATGACCCTTGCTGTGGTCAACAGTCAGCAAGAAAGAGGAAAGAGTGGAAATTTTTACTTCTGCTTTGCGCGCGGGCAGGAGATGGCCATTTACAGTAAAGAATTCGTGGGACAAAAAAGGTTGCTGTCAACAATAAACCAGACAACGAACTTTGTCGTCATGAATTGCTTGTTGGAAAAAAGGATAATATACTCTCAGAATCTTCGGTATCATACCATGCATCATCTCAAGCTATTACTTTCAATAAATCCATGCTTTGATGAAAGTGAACTCATCTTTGTTTCTTTCTCTTTTTTTTTCTTGTTTTCCGAGAGTAGCGAAATTACTTTTTTTTTTTTATCTAATGGGAAGAGGGGATCTAGATCTGTGCAAAGCCGAAGCGAGAATGTTTGCGCATGGGTGAGTCAAAGAGATTACCCGTCGAGCGAAGAATTTGATGCGCAAATGGGTTGAAAGTACCGGTGTATGTAGGTGTTGGGGTTGCATTCGTGAGGAACTCCAACGGCGACATGGACAGAGGTTCAATCGTATCAGGTGTGACCGGCGTATCTTCATCCGATGATCCCGTTGTATCATGCAGTGCAGAAACGCCCACTGGCGCTTCCTCGGGTTCTTCCAACGACGGTAGACACAATAACTCATCAAATGCATCACCCAGTACAAAGTTCACCAAAGCGTCATGATAACGTGGACGTCTCATTGCCGAAACAGAACCTGATTCCTCTTCACCAGCTGTTTCCTCCTCAGCCTCACTGACGGATGGTGATCGTCTGGATTTAACGTCGGCATCGCTCTTCTCTGTTGATGTAATGGAATCCAGATCAGAAAGACCCAGTTTACGTTGCTCCTTTCGCTTCTTCTTTTCCGATTTTCGTTTTGTCACAGAGACCTGCTGCTGTGGCTTTTGAGACGCTGCCACCGCCACCGACAAGGGTGGACCGAAATTATCAGGCGTCAGTGCTCTCTCCGGTAGGACTCCCGATTTTAGTACAGGTGTCGATGGGGTGCTTCCCAGTTTCGCCCATGACGCGGTCGCCGGTAAAGCCGATCGATCCTCTTCGGTACTGGTACTCTCGGAGTGAACAGCAGGAGAAGAGGGTTTTGATCCCGAATCCTGTCGTATGGGAGTCTTGTAGGAAATCGTCGCTACCGATTCGAGGGTGGCCGGTTTACGATGAGAAGCGGATACAGGCGGGAAATCGGAACTGGACATGGAGGAAGGAGGAGGAGGTGGAGGAGGATGGGAATGTTGCGACTGTCGACTCTCGGCATCAGTCGACATTTGATCTCGCATACGGTGTTTGCTATTATTTTGAAATTATCAAATATGAGAATCCCGTCCACGCTGTAAGGGGAGATGAAGCTTTTCTAATCAATGGCCTACCCTGTAGCGAGTTCTTCTTTCGAAATCGTGTCTGCCTCTTCCCCTGGTTCATGCAGATACAAGCACGATGGATTTGGACATGTCATGTTACGTAAATAATACGTACAGTATTTGGTAGTACCGTAAGAAGCTCTGATCCAACACAAAAAGGAATTACAGTGAGCGATTCTAGGTCTTGATTTGGACTTTGAACTCCCAACTTACCTGAGAATTCGCCCCGCCATGATACTCCCATCTACTGCATGAATGGTTTTCGCTGCATCTTCCTTCCTTACATAAGTGACATAGACAGCCGCACTCGGTTGCATAGAAGTTGAACCGCTGGCATGCGATGTCGGTGCTACGGGCCGTTTGTTGATGACCACTTTGGCAATCTTGCCAAATTGACCAAAGAAATCTTGCGATCGAATGGTCTAACAAATGAATGTAATAACAATGAATAAACTTGTTTCCCCCCATTTTCACGGTTTAATCAGCAAGTGGTTTACCTCTTCTGTCGCCAATTTCGGATGCAGGCCAATCACATACACGAGATTCTTTTGAACCACCCGCATATTGGCTAAATGGCGACGATTGACGGCTTCCATGTCTTTTTGCTGTCGCTCCTTTTCCTTTTTCTCTCGTTTAATGCGTGAAATTCTATTTGCATTAAGGTTAGACAAAAACACTCATCGACTTGGCACTCTTGAATGGCAACGCGACTTACTCTTCAGCACCAATAGGCTCAAATTCAACCATGTCGTCAGAGTATTCACGTCGACTAGAGGCATTGATGATATTAGTATACAGATCAAACTTCAGTAAGCGCTCTTCATTGTATTATTATAATCGTACCAGGCAGGACATCGTCCGTTGAGATTCTCTCTGATATGATGCCAACAGAAGCGACAGATCTACAAGAAAATAGCATATGAGAATCGATATTATTTCAAGGCGAACCAAGGCGTTACTGCATTTGTCCATGATGCTGCGACCGCATAATGGCGGTTGGGGTCTCTTGGGTTATTGAGCTTACCTGATAGCCACAAGTGCATGGCCGGAAATTCCTGTCAGCAATGTCGAGTTCTTCCATGCACAATGGACAGTCGTAATCTTCTTCGTCAGAATCGAACATGATGGTAGTAATAATACGGTAAATGTATAATACAGATAAACAACAACAAAGTTGCCAATGAAGATGGCTTTAGCTTTTTGTGGAAGCGGGATGAAGGTCAAAGAAACCAGAACAATGTGTTGTGAACCCAAAAAAAACATCAACGAGGCCGTCCTTTTCAATCTCCGCCTTCATTTCATTCATAACTGCCAGGCTTTTGATCCTTTATCGTTATGTCTGTGATTCCCTCCAAGCCAATGAATCTCCACATTCTATCGCAAAACCCACCTTTGGCTCCTAAATCTCTGAAGCTGTTTTATATATATAAATATTTTACAGAAATGTAGCCATATGGCCGACACAAAAAATTTCAAATCTGTCATAAATATTCGAAGCACAAAGAATGGGCCACTCAGGCTCCTTCATAAGTGCAGATCTAGCAAGCCAACGTATGGATACGAACAAGCGCATTATAACATTCCCAAATATGGTATACAAAGAATCTGACAGTATGTATTATATAATGATGTAGCATACCCTGCTGTTCAGTTATTGACACTGATCAACGCGATAGAAGATGACCAAAAGTGGTCCCTTCCTCTATGTATCTATACATATATTAAGTGTCCGGCATACAAGAGATGGGTGGTTTGACTTGGCTAATAACCCAGTTGAGGTTGATGACATTGTTTTACGGGTAATGAGACATCCCTGAAGTTGGGCTGCATATGGCTTTAATAAACCACACCATCGTTATTCTATTTCAAATCGTCATTTACAATGGAAATTCAGTACTCCGTTTTGTCAATACACATCCAATTCTATCTTGGTTCTGCCGAAGAGATCTCATCAAATAGTGAGAACGATCATTCTTTGCCACCAAATGATCCAATAAATATCATTGATTTCAATCCACTTTGCCGAATCCTTTGCACAGTCGATTAATTGTTCATGCAAGAGGCGACTGACAAAAATGGTTCGAGAACAGTGGAATATGGTTCTCCAAGAGATAAAATCAGCCGTTCTCTGTATGATACCTTGATCTCAGTCATTATCAGCGCTTGTGGGCCTTGTGTGATTACGATAGTCTACTACTGTTTATTGAAAACGGGCGTGTTAATTTTTACCGGGACATGTCATAAAATACGCAACTTGCCCACTATTGCCAGAACAGCAATAAATTTTTTATTTTACAAACGGTTACCTCTTGCTGCATCATTTTTCGTCAAGCTGACGATTTTTGATTGATCATGCGGTGGGCTGTCTTTCAATATTTTTGCTCCTATTCTCTCGTCAACGGAGCTGTCTCGCTACTCCATGTCCCCTATCGGTGTTGGCAGCCAAAAAACACTTTTACTTCTTTGCGCTAGACATCTTCAAAAATGGTTCTCTGATCTTGGTATATTGGCCTACGTTTCATTCTTCCTGGTCCTTATTGCTGTTGACCAGAGATTCTCTCCAAGCTCAAGCGGTATCGACTGCACAAGTTATCCCTACGTCGGCGGCAACTGAACGCCAAGGTTCCATCCATTTCTAGTAAATCAACTGCTCTTTGCCTTACTGTCGGTCGATTTCCTACTGGGTCTCTTTCTACCTCTTATGACTGCGCAGCTACTATTTGGCGAGGTCATAATGAATCGTGTCATGATTATGATGTCATCTTATTGTATATCTGTGGTATGTCGTGGCTTTCTTGGCAGCGCAACTCTGGCTTTGTTTTTGATTATACTAACTTATACTCAATTCTTATCGCACCATACACATGGCTTGAAATTTTGAAGCAACCAGTGAAAAATCAGATTGACAAAAAGATTGGGAAAAACCGCAAGTCAAATTTGTGGTCAGACGGACGAAAATGAAAAACCAGCGAGTCAGTATGGCAGTAAAAGCAAAATGTGAAAGCAGTCGGCTTATCTGTAAACCTCAACAGGTCTTTTTCTCTACTTTGACTAGCGCTGAATAGTCGCGCGTAATCCGTCCTGGCTCACTTGGTTGGTTATTCCGGGCGCGTCGGAACCGTGGATGGTTGGCGTTGAAACTACCAACCTTGGGTTTTCAATGCCCAATTTGCGATGCCAAACCTCTGCGATCCTCTCGAACGTTCCAGTCCCATGTAAAAACAGATGGATAGCAATGGCGTACAGCAGGAAGTGAGAACAAGTTAAGGATGGCTCCCTAAGCCCGGATGATAACGAGTTACAGTCAGTTGACGAAGCTCATGTTCGGACGAACCGCGCGCCATCTGATATTGAGGCGAGGCACATACCACCGCAACGCCTATCAATCAAAGATAATCTGCTGACGGCCATCGAAAAATGCCCGCTTATACGGAAGCAGTCCTAGCAGCAAGTGATTGCATGGTTGCTGATACCAAGACTCAGCAGGACAAGGTGATGCTTGCTCAGGTCGGCGGATGGACACAGATTTTCCTGCAAGCTCGTCAACTGCCTCGGTGATGACCCAAGAACTCGCTCCTCCGGGAAAATGGCAGCACCCCATTCCTGATCCTTTTTTTACCGTCTGTTTCCAATATTGAGACAGATGGTGATTCTCTGATTGAGCACATCAAGACCTCGAGGTACCGAATTTATCAATTAAGAAATGACATATCGCGTTTATTCACTTTACTAACTTTATCTATTTAGCCATGCTTCAGATGCGCTGTCAAAAACTCGTCACATTGAGTTAAATGATTACCACAGCAAGATACTGAACCGAGATTGGATTCAGTATCCGCAGCTGAGATATTGTTGTTCTCAGCTCTTAGCTGGCGTCATCCTCGTACAAGGCCAAACATCCATATTAATAAATACTGTCGAACCGTGCGCCCGCGATTCGCTAATAGATGCTCACTATGAACGAAGAGCATCTGGGTTATCAAGCTCGTAACCAACTACAGCGGGACAATACGGATATATATCAGTCTGCCTGCTGCCGAGTAACGATGGCCAAAAACTAATTATTGGCAGTAGAACTTGCAATGTTCTGGTAACAGCAAGCATCCGTCTGGATACCAGATCAGTCAATCTCGGGCCTGCAACGAACATTTTATTCTAACATCTGCCACTCGCATTTTCCTGGATTGTGAAGCTATTGACCGGGTCAAGGCCATGCTCGCCGATCCCAATACAAATCAAGCTCAAGAAATGTTGGCACTTTATCAATTGAAACAGGTGCGTAGCAAATTCGACCATTTATCCACGTACACCATGTGCAGTGCATCGTCAAACCTCGCATCGCGTCTGGAGATGCAACCAACCACAATCTGGACGCTTTCAGACCAATCCAATGGTCCAGCAACAATGTCACAAGTAAAAGTAGCATCTCTGTTATTCCGTGCCATTGCCATTCAAGTGATTCATTATGGGCGCGACGCACATCTCACACGTAGCGAATTCAAGGAAATCGCATCTTTTGCGGAGAAGTCAGCTGTATCGGTAATCATCAACAATATTGAAAGCTTGTTTTCAAATGATCCTCTCAACAGAATCATTGGTAATACGTTATTAAATAGTCAATTGGTAGATCTGGCGGCTATCGTTGCTAAGAATAAGAATGATTATGATGGCAAGGAATATCAGATATTGTTAGTATTATTTACAATAAATAAATTTATTTGATGGAGCATTTAGTACAGTTAACAAGCCGTACATCCGCTGTGCAATGGATGCCATCTGCCACCGGAGGCCGCCCCCTTACATTGAGCGACTTTCGTCAGACAAAAAGCCTAACGCATACACGGCATAACCTGGGCGAGAACTCTTGACGGAACTTCGGTATATTAATGACAACCTTATGGCATACGTTGCAACGTGATTTGTTTCTGAACACGCGCAGGGCAGCACTGGTTCCCCCCCTCAGTTCCATCCCGCCCAGGCTATGATAGATCTAGAAAGATGTGTGGGTGCATGTGTTGATGATACCCGAACCTCTTCTGTAACCCGCTCGGATAAAATGGACCCTTTCTGGTCGAGCATGAGTAACAGGGAAGAACGCCAGAAGATTCGAGAATTTTGGTTACAGCTCGGCGAGGATGAACGACGATCCCTTGTCAAAGTGGAAAAAGAAGCCGTACTACGGAAAATGAAAGAACAACAAAAGCACAGTAGCAACTGTTCTGTTTGCGGCAAGAAAAGGTACCATAAAACAAATATATAATATATAAGCACTATGGAATCATTGGTAATTGTTTTCTCTCGTAAATTGAATGATATGGATTAATCATGGATGACTAAGTGATATGATGGAGTGGTATCATACGGATGAGAGGTAGGGATGGTATAATGATATGTACAAATACGACAACCTCTTGTATTAGTGGCGAGGTCCAACTCTTCATCGTCAGAGATCGTCAACCACGTCGTCGTGAAAATCTCACGGAAATCTCGCCCTTCTTCATTGTCGCTACGAAGGAGACGGGCGATGGTTGGAGGTGTAGGCTCCAAAGGCGGAAGCATAATGGAACCTTGAGCACAGCAGACCTGGAACTGTGGATTAGCGATGGATCCAGACATACGTTCTTTGAGCCACATGTGTGCCTGGCAGAAATTGCACTCGCCATCCATGCGTCCCAAGGTATGTCTCTCTGGAAGTTCCCACTCGTTATTTCGGCCACTGTTGAGCGTTCCTGATTGTTCACTTGACAGCGTCCAAACCCCTGTTGATCGGCCCGATCTTTGTGCGCGAGTCTTCAATATGAAGCGTAAAGCTCTGATGGCCAATCTTGCTGGATTCAACGGGCAAGCGAAATGGTTGGAACGCTGGTGACCCAGTTGTTGGCAAGCTCTGCAACGGACTTCGCTTGGTCCTCGGATTGTAGTAATTCTACTTTGTTAGGCACGTCGGGGGTTGTTGGGGCAGTTGCGGTTGGTGGAGCGAGCATGTCCTGGCAAACTGCAAGAAGCACAGTAAACGTTTGAAGATGACATTGAATTAGTTTTACAGAGGAAGAATAAGAAAGAAGAAAGGAACAGGCCTGGATAATGCAAAGCAACACGATCTCTTGCATCCGTGTATGTATCACGGTCTATCTATTCACAAAAAGACGCGCGCATCGCTTCACTTCATAGTTATCCATTGATAAAAGAGGGTGGACTCATCGCATGAAATAGCTGCATGAAGTAGGTCTCAGATAATGTTAGAGAGAGATCTTTATTCTCAAGTGTTCATATATCGGCTGATGGAATACACAGGTGCACATAACTTTGGTACAGACGTAATGCATGGCTAGTTAAACTATATTTCAACTCTATTATACACTTTATTGAAAATAGAAGTCATCGTCATGAAGATGGCCTCTTCTTTTTGATGAACAAAGTCGTCAGTTTCAGCGCATTTTCCCTCCAGGATTACGCAGGCATTGTATAAGGCCAAAGTAATATGAGAAGTTCCACCCACTCCTACCAATAAAGGACCAAGTCATGATTTTTGCTTCCTTGCAACTTATTTCATTATTATTTCTTCAGTTCCCGAGAAAAATGAACTGAAAGATGAAAAAGACTTTAGGGAAGTCAACAAATTTATCGGGATTACAAAAGAAATTTTGCCAGCGTTTAGTACAGGGTGGGAAAAAGGGTGGTATTTGTGGACTGCCTTTTGTACCGAGCGCTGAGGTTTTTTTTTCATGGTGATATGTTTGAGCGGTGAGGTTTTTGGTGGTAGTATATTTGAGGATTTCCTGTGTCATGTTGAGGGGCGAGCTTGTGGGTCCTATCACAGTAGCGGAGTTCACTGGGGTCACATTGACGGGCGAGCTTTTGGGCGAAGCGAAACGTAATTTGTTGCTGATAATTATGCGTTCAAAGGCTGATAGTTTATTCAACCGCAAACCATTAGCAATCCGGCGCGTGCTCTACACGTTCGACAACCGCTGGATGGACCGCGTGGTCCGTCCTGGCCTACTTGATTATTGGTTATTCCGGGCAACGAAGGCATGTACAATGTGATGTTTACAGGTGTGGTGTTTGTGATAAAAATCAATGTAAAATGGAGAAAACCTGGAATCTATTGCGACTCTGATTTATTGAGAAAACGAGAGAAGGGAAAAAAGGCCCCAACCAATTCTTCATTCTATGTCTGCTTATTTAGTTTATCATGAATCGTTACTTGAATTGATGGTATCATTTATCCTGAATATATTGCCATTGACTGTGCTGTGGACGAATAGCAAGAGAACACAGTTGTTGTCCTTGTGACTTTTGGTTGACAACGAGACGGTGAATTTGTGAATGTGGATAGCATAATTACTTTACGGCACGAATTGGTATATATATGTCAAAGGTCGGTTCCTGAATAAAGATGGTGATGAAGGTTGATCTTCACTGATTAGGATTGAGTGTGGTACAACTCGGTATATTTGAACTGTGACCGTTGCGAGGATATTGATCTAGTATGAGATTTGTCCGTGGATATATATCTAATGCGATGAAAGAGGAATGGATGTACGTGGAATACAGTATTTATTATACCGAACACGACAGCAGGTATGCCAACTGCATCCAACGTTTGCTATACTGTCATACTGACTTGCTCTTTTTCCATTTTTTGCCGGTCTGACCACTTACTTGACTTTGATTGTCATTGACCTTTTTTATGACTTCAAGTTGAACACCCTAAACTGTAGCACCACAAATGACAAAGAAACCAATTAGCGCCATTACGAATATTTTTAATCTGGCTGTGGGCGTAGCTTACAAACGAGACAATGATTGTTTAGTCTCCCGTCATAATTACTGTATAGGATCACAAAATACGCCTCCTATTACTTAAGTTGGACAGTTCACATTTAGGAATACGTTGAGATGCTTCAAAAACCAGAAAATTTTTTACAATTGTCGAGAGTACTATACATAAACAAGCTGCATTGTTTCCTTTTTTTTTCATCACGCGTCTATTTCTATGGAAGAGTTGGACGTTTTCTTCTTTTTTTTCTTCTTCTTTTTGATTTTCGGTGGATCGGCTGTCAGACTTTCTCCCCACATAAGATCGGCGGGGAACTCATTGGAAGAAACAGAACTGGGAGACGAAGGCCGGGACGATTCATATCCATTCGTTAATGAATTCCTTCGCGATTGATACACGGGTGTTTCGGTTCCTGTGCCTTTAGACGTTTCGTCAAATCCAAGGCAGTATGCATCTGTTGCAAAACATAAAATATAAACATCAATGATCCATTCATCTTTCGTGGCAATAAGAAAGACTTGAAGGCTTACAATCACTTCCGAGGTCAATGCCATTTGTGCTCGTATTGTCATTGGCTCCTTGATTTTCTGTACTTTCACCCATCAATGGTAAAGTGGCAGAATACGGGGAGAAAACGGCAGATCGAATTGGGGGACTGGGTCCTACATAGGGTGGTGGACGAGGACAAGATGCAATGTTCCATTTATATATATCACAGGTCTGAGCAAGGGTATCCATCCTGCCACATTCATCAAAATATATCTGTCAGCGAACCTAACGAAGATTACATGCCACTGCATAATAATAACCTACCTCAGCGTACTCGTGAATGTAATGAATCGCCGGTGGGATGCAACAAATCGATGAATTGTCGATTGACGGTCTGCATCGATCTTCAACCTCAGATGGTTTAACATCAGGAGAATAAATCCACGTGCGTCTAATACCACCTCGTATAAGTAAAAAAAAAAAGGGAGAATCATCATCATGCAGATCAAAACGCCTCATTTACCTGTGACGGTAGATTTGTCTTCGTATGTGTCAATCATGCGTTTGATCAGTTTTTGCTTTTGTATCAGTAGCTGCAACGTCGGCGCGTGGTCAATGGTGATTAGAAGGTAAAAGAAGCGGTAAAATAACGTGTGATAAATATTGCTGGTACTACGAGAACGAGGTGTGAATACTGTGTTTGCGAAATCACATGTAGGATGAAAATACGTACGATTTTTCGAAGAATGAATTGACCAATATTTTCCAGAAACCAGTTGGGATATCATTCAACACCGCAACCTGATCTGGAGCATTGGACAAGGTTTGATAAACAATTTCCAGCAGCTCCATATCAGCCAAAGTAAGCGGACATCTAGAGGGTCAGCATGAGTGTCCCTTTCCTTCTTTATCCTCCAATGGTAAACACCCCCCCGGCACATACCCTTTGGTTGAAACAGATTGTCGATCATTGATCAACAAGCTACAAAAGTCGGGAATATTTGGAGATAACAGCTCTTGGAATACCAAAGCAATCTCATACAACGGTCCTTGCACTGACTGACCCATCGTTGACGATCGTGTGGTCAACGTGCCGCTAATAGAACGGTCCCATTTAGAAAAAACGGTGCGTTCTGATGCCTTTTGACTAATCCCACGTGTTTTACCTTTTCACAAAAGCCTTGATCACGGAAACTGTGAGTTCTCGTTCCTTGGTGGGCTTTTGTTTTACCACCAGCTGCACACAAATGACCGAGTTGTCAGCAAAACCCCGAGTTCTAAACACTATGACCACCTTAATATCCTTACATCGACCATGCACTTTACGAGATCGGGGCCACGATGGGTGTCGAAACAAGCAAATAATACATCGCCATTATCCATCAAAGAACACTCTTCTATGCATCTTAAAAGGAATTCCTGCAGAGATTCCGTAAAAAGAGGATCATCTACGATCACAGCGATGCTCATTAGAAGGATATCTCATCATGAAAAGACACACGCGAGCCCTGAGGTTTTTTACCTGATAATTTCAGTGCGTCGAGTAATCGGCCCATGAAACCGATCTGCTGCAATCGTTGATGGCTCGCTTCACGTTTCTTGCGCGTCTCTGAATTATTGCTTCGTATAAACAGCAAACTTAACATGGCATCGACAATCGTGGTTTGCGTAACGTAGGGCAACATATAATCAAAAAATCGAATGGCGTCGTTTTTAAAGATGACAAACTCGAGCATGTCGCATGGATGGCGATGCAGCAAATGCTGGAAAATTTTGCTGAAATGATTCAAGTTGGCATTGGAGGAAGGTAGAAAGGCGTCGAATAGGTGATTGGCTAATCCATTAGCAAAAAATGATAAATGATAAGCAGGTCATACTAGATTGGGTTGGGGGATGAATGAGAGTAGAGTAGAGTAGCATACCGATCACGTCAAATCGAGATTCTTGGATCCAATGGTGGTTCGACGACGAACCACACAGCAACTCCATACCATGATAGGAGCGTTTCATTGCTTTCAAATCCTTTGTCTCTCGTTCATGTCTGGCATAACGCAATTTGTCTTGGAATGAACTTGATTGAAATTGTTCACGAGTCATTGTATTTTCCTCGTCCAACCGAGTGATATGTGACATGAAAATATCCATCATTCCTACACCACATGACAATCCATCCGGGAAAAAAATAAGCAAGATAGCAACAGCCAGTCCCCATATCGAACCGTTTACCTTCGAGTAGCAGAACGCCTACAATTTTGATATCCAATCGAGGAGACGAAAATTGCAGTAATTTCCTTATGAGTGTTTCTGAGGTGGACTTGAGTTCGGCATCCGTCGAAGTCGATGCAGGTGTGGAGCTTGTTTCGGGGGACACTGGTTTGGGACTGGAGAGAGTATTGACATCAATACGTTCTGCCATTTGCGCACTGTCGACCAGTTGAACAGTCTCTCTTGGTATTGGTGCAGCCGTGGAAGGACCAGCGGTCGCCGACTCCCCAGCTGCGACACCGTCAGTGAGTTCCTCACTGTCCTTTAGCGTTATTGCTGTTATAACTTTAGTCTCTTGGTCTGTCTCGAACTGTTCGGTTTTCTCGGTGTTCTCGGTCGGTTGGGTGTGTAGTTCTTGCTGAGCGGTTTGTCGATCGTTTGGGGTCGCTTGGACAGGGTGTGCAGCGGACGGGTGATACTCTGAATTCTGTGGATCGAATGAAGACTCTACTGCTTCACAGGGTTCAGAGTGATCCGGTTCGTCGGTCTCTTCATTGCTCAACCACTTCATTAAAGAAGGACGTTGTTTATTGAAGAAAGAGCATGGAAAGCTGGATGGGTCACACCATCTTTTTTGTCTCCAAAAAGCAGTCGCCTCATGGATTTTCTTGCAAAAAAGAAAAATCTGACTTTTAATTTGGCAACTCTCTTATGGCGGTTTTTTTTTTGGAGAAAAACATCTCATACGTTGAAGCCGTCCGTCAGAAAGCAATAGCTTGGGTTGACGTGGCGTATAGCAAAAAGCTATTCCGTATCAGCATTCATAAAAATCAGCCAATTTTTCTCTTACCAGCAAGGCCAAAATCTACAAAGTCTCAACAAGCAACACACAAAGATATGCAACATCTGCATAAAAATACGGCACTCAAAACAATAGCAGCAGCAGCAGTTAAGATTTAAGATTGTAAAACGTGCGAATGATATTAGGAGAAAAGCAAATAAAGCTAAAAAGTAGAAAACAAATGAAGGAAAACTATGCAAGCATCGAGAAAGGGGGAGGGGGGCGGGAAAGGAAGAATGGTAACTGGACTAGACTACACAGATTCTGCTTGTTGCAGAACAGTCTGCTGACCATCCCAATCGAATAAATCATCCAGCGAGAAATCGTTGGTCGGAAACATATAGGAGGCGACAGATTCAGGGGTCAAAGTACCGTCGTCCGAGTCCGAGAATGAACAAGAGAGCATTGGAGATGGGAGTCCTCCGTTTTGAGCCATATTACTTTCGTCAAGCTTCACAACCTCCGCTGCAGGGAGTAAAAGAATCGTACCATCAGAGCACCAGCGGTTCATACCATGCTGCAAAACCATAAAAAAAAGAGCAAGCGAGCTATTCCATTGGGTGGTGGATTTTTTGAGCGGTTGGTTTTTCATTGGCACAGACGACGGCAGGTTTGCACTGGATTCTTCCCGAAGCGAGTAATGAGATTCTTTCTTGCGATCCGTGCTGAATCGCAAAAGCTGTGAAACAAGGCGGAAGCATTATCACCAAATTGGATTTGTCCTTCTAGTCCAGTGAGTTGACGTCGTAATTCTTCCATTTCGGCTTTCAAGAGTGCGTTTTCAGATTCCAACACTTTGGCACGTTTGGTCACTTGCTCGTTTTCTTCTTTTAGTTGCTTATTGCTGGACTCCAAATCAGCCACATAGCGTCGTTTTTTGTCACGAGAAGCTTGAGCGGCCGCACGATTACGTAAAATCCGATCCTTGGTCTTTTGAGTCTTGTCATCCAACGATAACCTGGCTTTCTTTGACGGCGTTCCAGCGTTTTCGTTTGAAGCAACCGTAGCGCTGTCGGATTGACGAGACGATAAGCTACTTGTGTCATCACCAGAATCATCACTTGTCGTCGTTGTAAGAGAAAGAGGATTCACGGTAAAGTCCACCGGAAGTGTGAGCAGGCCGCACAAAGGGTCGGTAGCAGGCAATGCAGAAGACAGGTCGTTTGAGAGAGACATGATACGTTATCAGTCGGGAACGTGAAAGATTCAGTAAAAAGTTTAATTCAAAAGTATTTTCAAAGGAAAAGATCTACCACCACCCAATGGAATAGATCAAATCGTGTCGTAAAGTACAAAGAAAACAACAAAAAAAGCAGAAATTGTCCGCAGCCAAAGCATCTTTATACAACAGGCTTCATTGTCCACCAATCAAAATGGACCACTTGTTCGTTGTTTCGGAGTTGGTATTTTTGGAAACTTCTACAACGCTGAGCTCTTTTAAAATATGATTGGACAGTCTAAGCCAATTTGACTCATTTGCAAAGTTTGCAGCGGCTGCCAAATAGTATGGCCGTATTTGTTTTTGCAAGAGGCCGCAAAGTGCTCAATGCCATCAACCTAAATTTTGAATGGCGCTGAAAAACTATACAATTCATGATTCAATAAGGTAGACCCGGCCAACTTTGGCTGAGAACGTTCTTTTCTAGTACTGTACATGCAGAGCGGCTGGATATGAATAAAATAAAAACTTTCACTGCGCTTGATAAAAGGCGCAGCAGAAATGGGCTTGGTCACTGAAGTGTATCCTTTCTTTATTTTTCAGGGTGCCCGCTGCTTTCTCAAGTTGCCGTCGATAAGCGTGATGGCCCCTCATTTCTTTTTTCTCGTGACGATGATTTGATGTATAAGACTTGGCAGTGGACTTGATTTCACGCTGAATTCCCTTATTTTTTCTGCGGCTATTTTGCCTTTTGACTTTTAATCCCTCATCCATGTTCATTGGAATCGTTTTATTTTTAAGTGTATCGGGAGTACATGTGACCAATAACCCGAATAATGATACCTGCATCAAAAATAAAAATAAAAAATCAAGGCCACGAGTCGGATCTTGATGATGATATTAAAGGCTACAGTTATTGCGTCAGTGTCTGAATGGTACAGCCTTGCACGATCCCAAATGAAAAGAAAGTTCATTCAAGTCTTCCTCTATTTGGAAACCGACTGAATGGCCGAAAATGCGAGGCATGCTCTGGCCCCCATAATTTTTTATTCAAAAAAATATTCCTAGTGGCACTGGGTTGATTTTGATGCGTCATAGGCATCAAGTCCGCCATACAGAAAAGATTGGGTCCCAGGCACTGGCGGCGGAGGAGCCATATTGCGGGGTTTTTGCCAAACTGTATTCTCCAATTGAAACTTTCACGGAGAAGTGACGGGCCAAGCTTGATATTTTAGAATGCAGAAGAGTTCAAAAAAAAAAAAAAAAACTAAGCTAGAGGGCAACATGGAACGTCGATCATGGTTGATTGTAATAAAATTTGATGTTGTTGTTATGGCATTGCAAGGAGTTCAAATTGTACATTATTTTTCCTTGTTTGTTCTTTTTATTATCCTTGATGCAGGAGAATAAGCAGAACGGAGTAAGCGAACAGAGGAGAATGTTTGGTCTTGGTTATTTTTTTTTATACAGTAAGCTGTATTTGGTAAGTTTGGGTGTCGTTATGAACACATTGAAAAACGACATTTGGCATGATGGAGCAAATGGTTCCCCGCATCTTTTTCATATGTCACTTCCGATTCTGGCCGTAAAAAAAAAATAGCTGGATGTGTAACACTAGTTTTGCTTCACTTTCTTTTTTTTTGACTATAAAATAACCTCCTCTTTGGATCACAGCTATCTTTTCTTTTCCATACTGATCACTTTATTGGGAAGTAGTGCTTCCAATTTTTTTCTCACCATACAAGGGCCCCCCATTCAATGATCAAAGCCGATACACAAATTATTTCAATTCTTTTTGCTGTTATTTCTTCATTGTTTCATCCACCAATCATTCTTGCCAATAATAATAATAACAACGCTTAAACCTCTTTACCACCATGCCATCGCCAATGTGGACCAAAAAATCCAATAATCGCTCCGCCATCATGTCGCCACGCCAGATTGCCAACAAGGCACATACTTTGGCGTATAAGAAACTGGATCGTGACGAAAAAAGGAGTCATCCCCGTTATACGATCCGCGAGCGACTGTTACTGTGGAATACCATTTCCGAAGCCGAAGCCCTTCTCAATAAGCGTACTTACCGAGCCAATCGTCGTGTGCTGGCCGCCGAAGATGATGAGCCGGGCGCTGTTCCTGAACCTCAATCCATTCATCCCTACCATCACTACGAACCCGAACATCACTCGCCCCTGAGATCCAGTGAAACCACCGACATGGAAACCGACGAGATCATCGAACCAGAAAAGGAGCCTTCAACGATCGTCTCCACCACTCCATCGACTCCAGAAGAACCCACCCTTCCCAAACCGATCCAGCCCCTTTTGTCTACACCATCCGTATTCGTCGCCGCCAAGCCTTCGTCGGATGTCAACCTACCTTTCTTCCTATTGGACTCTGCCTCGTCGATTCTACCTCGCGATTGCAGACTCATCATGACCCATACCATTGCCGCACCTCACATCGCGGCCATCATCTAACCATATTCCATAACTATTTATTTTTTTTCCTTGTCGCATTTTGCATCCAATCCACTGCATCAATAAACTTTTCTTCACTGGATGAACTTGAATGTATTGCCTTTTTCGAGTGTTCTAGGTTCACCTGTCGTACAATAACATTGTTCTGCGTAGCATTTCAGGATATCAAAACAACAAATCTAATTTTGGATCTGTTTTTTTCTCAGCGGAAATATTTGGCTGTGAAAGCCATCGATTCGGATAAAGAGGCTTCTAGATCTCATCTACTCACAATGAACCAACGAATCTTACTCGAAAGTACGGTCGGAAACCATGGCACCAATTGTGCTATAAAAACTACTCCATTTGTATTCAGGTGGTCAGCAGACCAATTTATTCCCTAGGAAAATAAAAAAATTTCGCAACCGTGAGTTCAGGAGAAGAGCAGAAAATAGAAGACCAAAATATACCTTCTTGCCACGTCCCCTCCATTTCCTTTTGACACTAACCGCCCGATTTTTCTTTTTCTCATTGGTAAACGATTTCTTCAGTTTCGAAAACACCAGAGGTACGCCACTTCGCAATCAACAAGGTTTGCTGCCGAGTTATTGGCTGTGGTGACTAGAAAACAAGTGCTGGAGATGAGATGACGCATAGGGCCAACCGCCCTAGTCCACGGTCCATTCTTCGGCTACAATATCGGTTGAATACCGGCCAGTGGAAACAACGTATTATATAATTTCTGGTCTTTGGATTGCATAATCCTTGTAAGTGCTTGATTCTCGATATCCGTGTCTATCATATGAGCATAACCGAACTATTCCATCTATTGCTGGGTCACTCATTTGCGTCAAGGACTTGATGCTTTTTCTTTTCTGCAGACTGTTTTTTATCTTGTCTACTTATTTTATGTATTATTGGGGGTTTTGTTTTTACCTTTTGTCTGATATGAATACATGCTCTCCTTCTGAAAATGTATTGCGGTACCTCGACTCTGTTTCATCATCGTCCTCAAAGGCAACCATAGCCGATGAGGATGGTGCAACCAGGCCTCTGTCAGTTCGAGCAGCACCCGATCGAGATCGATACCGCAAACGTTTTCGCAGTAATGACGCTGATCCCAACACTACAGAGAGATACCCTGCACCCTCGGTTGCATCCGACGAAGACGACATTGAAATGTCTAATATCATCCCCTCCATCATGAATATTAGCAAAGAGGAAGTGACCTCCACAGCCTATATGCGCAAAGAAAATTCCGTCATTGACGACCCTCTGGATCGTCGGTCCATGGACTTTAATAACAGCCGAGACGCCTTGGTCACCATCAATGAACCCAACATCAACTTGATGACCCCTTCCACCAATCTCATCTTTGACAAAAAGAAGAAGCTTATCCTATTGCTAGCAAGAGCATTGTTAAAATACGGATGTCCTTGTCATCGCATGGTTCGTGTGGGAACCGATATTTATTTCCAAAAATCACACATACTGATTTTTTGACTGGTTGATGACAGGATGATTCTTTGCAACTAAGCGCCAAAATGTTGTCGTTGAACGCTACATTTACGTTTTTATCCGACAGCATCTTAATTTCAATCTCATCAAAAGATACGGACGAACCTTATACGATGATGGTCAAGGCAGCAAATGGTTTTGACAACGGCAAAATTGTTCGGGTGAATCGGATCATGAATCAGTTTCACAAAGATAAATGCACGCTTGATACATGCTTGGAAACACTGCAGGAAATTACACGCGATCCTCCCACCGTATCTGCATGGCAAATGATCGTGGCTTTTGGCGCCCTGGGGTTCTCGGCATCGATTATCATGTTTCAAGGATCATGGATCGATGGAGCCCTGAGTGCAGTCCTAGGCAGCATTGTCGGTGCGTTGGCCGTATTGGCTGGTAACATTACAATCTATGGCCGCGTCTTTGAAGTTTCCGCCTGTATCATTGTGGGTTTTACAGCACGAGCGATGAATGATTATGCCTGCTTTACCAGTGTGGCCATCCCTTCCATCCTTGTTCTCTTGCCTGGATATGGCATGACTATGGCCATGGTAAGCGACATCCATCGCAAATGGTACAAAGACAGCATGCTCACTTTTTGCAACCTCTGAATTTTGTGGTACAGATGGAACTTTCTTCGCATCACATACCGACGGGTACCATACGATTGGTGTATGCGATTATTTACACATTGATGCTTGGTTACGGTTTACAAATGGGCAGCAGTCTGTATGGGTCCATTAACAGCTCAGGAGCTGACGATGGTCTGTGCAATCGATCGGTCAATCCATGGTTCTATATTCCACTGTTTCCGATGATGAGCATATCTATCGGCGTATCCTTTGGTTCCTCTCCCAAAGAATGGCCCTCTCAGATATTCTGCGCTGCGTCAGGATTCTGTGTCACTTACTTTCTGGGTAAAGTGGTGCCTGATTCTCAGATCGTGGGCAGTATTGCCGCTTTTGCTACGGCACTTTATGCCAACCTTGCTTTGAAAGTCACCGGCGAACCGCCATTATCTCCACTTTGTGTCGGTGTCACTTTTCTTGTGCCTGGAAGCATAGGTACAGTACATAAGAATTATTTTTGTCTGCCCATTTTAAAAAAAAATTGAAAGCTGACCTGCTGATTGTTCATAGGTGTTCGAGGCGTTTATGCGTTGTTGCATCAGGAAGATTTAGCTCAGGCAATTTTTGCTTTACGGATGATAATGATTGCCATGGGATTATCTGTTGGTATTTTTGCTGCTAGCATGATTATATACCCGTCCGGGAAGACCAAGTCTCTATACATTTCATTTTAGATCCATTCTCCTTTTTCCCAGGACATTTTCATGTCATACTGTATAACACCACCTACTGCAAGTCCGAATTGATATAGAAGATGCTGTTATCAATTTGTCAGAGCCATCATATCATCTTTGTCAAGTGATATTTATTACTCGTACAAAAGAATCCTATGGCCCACTCATGTTTCCACTGAAAAATGTAATGCTTTACTAAAGACGATCCGGACTACACATATGACAATATTGAAGCTTTCGAAATCAGCAAAATGCTTCCTCTTTTGGTTTAGAAATTATTTTTAAACATGAGCGACATCATTAACATCTTCAGCCATTGACGAATACTGCGCACATGTTTTGTTATGCTGGCTGATAAAATAATGATTTGGTTGAAAAACCTGAAATGATTTTGAACAGAATACTTTATCATTAAAAAACAAGTTGGGACTTGGCTGCGTTGCTCAATTTATAACACACGGCAGTATCATTATATAGTACTGTTGCCCATGCGAGGATTGTGTGACACAGTTGGATCGTTAGGGTATCATGTTCTCTGAATATGAAAATTGCGAACCAACACCGCGATGGACTCCTTTATCTTTACTCAGGACACCTTGCTGGATAAATGATGAATTCCACGTAAAACAACCTTTTTTGCTGTAAAAGCGGGCGCGGTGAATGTAAACGCAGGATGGGAAGGCTCAGTGCGAGCATGCGAAATGCAAATGCAACAACAATCTTTAGTGTAGAATGTGAGCGCGATGAGGGGTTTTTCTTTTATTGGGATACAGTGCCACATCAATGTCCACCTGACATGGCTTTTTTTTAACTTTTGGGGAGGATGTCAGTGTATAGAGTTCACGGAAACAAGCCGTGAAGAAAAAAAAAACAAGATCAATTACCATATCCCTATAGAATGAAGCATGACCAGTATGAAAAAAAAAGGAAAGCAAAAGGGTGAAAAACAAGGGCATAAGATATGTACAAATAGGGACGATGAAAGTGGTATATGTTCGGCATGCTTATTTCTTCCTGCCAAGATAAAAATAAGTATGTTCTTGTGATGCAATGATCGCATGCATTATGCAAAATATAGATGAGATGACCGATGAAATTTCATTTATCGCATAGCAGCAACTGTGGTATGGGCGGTTGACGTTGCAATACTTGACAACCGATTATGGTTGGTATTAAGGATCAGTTGTTCGTCGTAGAAAGAATCGTGATCGTCTTCATCGTCCTCTTCTTCCTCCTCATCTTCATCCTCGTCCAAGTCGTCGGCATAAAGAATAAGATGCTCGGACATGAAAGCTAGACGATCATCGGTTTCACACAAAGGTGTACGATCGTATTCCGCTGAGCTGTGGGTATAATAGATAGCGTCAATGGCATAAAATCGGACGGATTTGTTGGAAGTGGAGGAGCAAGTGGAATCAATCGACTGGCGTCTTCGATGCAGGAACTGATGCGACAGACGACGCCATGTACGACTGAAGGAAATCATGACGAACAAGAGTAATCAGCAAGTGAATACGAAGAGGGTATAACAATTATGGGGGATTTTTTTTTTTTTTGTAGAAGATAAAAGAAGAGAAGGGGAACGTAATGTGTAAGGCTTCATTCTTTTATAAAAGGAGAAAAAAAAATAAAAAAGAGTAAATTTGCTAAATTTGGAGAATTTAGTTCTTTCTCTTTTCAATAAGGGAGGTTTTTCTTTTGTTCAAGCGCCCAAAGATAGGAAAAAGGAAAAAGAGTAAAAGGGATGAGCGAAGCATCCTGACCATTGTCTCCTACTATTTTTTTTTCTCTTTTTTTTTGTTTTTGTCTTTTTGCAGTTATTTTTATCCTTCTTTTATTCCATTTACTTAAGCTCCTTGGATGGTTCATGGTGGTTAAAAACAAACAATGAACGCTTTTGGCGGACCAGTCGTTGCCAACCCCTTCGGAAAGGCTCCATGAAAGAGTGCAATGGTTTTTCTCCAGGAAGAACGTAGACGAACCGGCGTCGATGCCGATGATCTGATCCCATTACTGCATTGGGAGAAATAGGTAGCGTCGATACGGTATGGACAATATCCAATGCACCACAAACACTACACACGTAATGATTGACGGGAACGTACTGGGTAAAGAAGTAGCCTCCTCCGATATAGAATGTAACGGGTGGATTAATAGTACATTGATCTCTGGTGACGATATCTGTCATGGCGAGGAAAATAAAAAAAAATGTGGGATTCGTGTAAACCGAATCGGGATATTACCCTCCAAACTCATCTCCCTTGGGGACACAGGAGTTCAAATGTTATCCGATGGGATGCCATGGAAGTGCAGTCACCCTGAACTTGCCATTATCGGAAAGTCGGAGGTTTTTGCAACGTTACACACTCATCACCATGTACACCTATTTTTTTTTTTTTTCATTGTCGTTCCTCGAGGAATCGTTGAAATGATTGCTTTTTTATTTTATGAATCCCCAGCCCTCCTGCATACTTGAAAAAAAAACGGTTTGCAAGAATAGGGCATTAAGACATTCATAAATTTTTCTGAACTTGGTTTGACACTCATAACAAATCCACTGAAACGATTCGCGAGTAACACTCAAGTTGTTGAACAAATTCCGCACGTAATTTGCTCAGATCCAAAGATTTTTCGTATTCCGTCCTTTGGGGGTTTTAGTCAATCATAAAAACAATCAGCGTGAGTTGTGGGTCCATTTGAGTGATGTTTCCATTTTATCAATATATTTTTTTTGCATTTTCATCACTTCCTTTTTTTCCCCTCAAAATGATATAAGAAATAGGTAGGATGACTTGTTTCACTTGATCTTCTGTTACCATGGTTACATGTGGACCCTTATTTCCTCCTTGGTGCAGCTGACAGCAGAACCCATGACGATAATACGATGTCATTGGATGCCAGCAAAAGTATATGTCGTGGATTTGAGAGATATTTTTATACAAAATGGGTTGGGGGGGGGTAAAATAAAAAACAGTGTAAAAGTGAAAATGAGGAAAGAAACAATAATGAAAGATAATATGCACAAAGAAATAATGAAATGAAGAAATTCCAAACTATGCCGGGAATACGTCGAACATGATGCAAGTGCAGCAAGTTTTAATTCAACTTTTTTTTTTCGCTCCGTCTTTTTTTTCTTACTTGCATTTTCCCACTATGCATGGCTTCAAAGATGCTGACTGACTTTGATGATATAAGTGATGATAAAAGAGTAGGTCGTCGTCCGGTTATTAAGAAAGTGTTTCTTCTTGAGTTTTCGTCTTCTTAACAAGTTTGACAGGGTGTACTACAACGACAATTCGAAGCATCACCGTTTGCCCAACATGAGCAGGATCGCCGTCCGATCACACTGGAAATCTTTGACTTTGATTCCACTCTTTTCCTCTCCCCACTACTAAGTCCTCAAATGTGGCATAGTTCGCTTATCAAGTTGATTACCACGGAGAATCTCTTGGGACCGGGCTGGTGGCGAGATACTCGTAGTCTGGAACTTGGCCCCCTTGATGAGTTGAAGAAATCAGCATGGGCCAACTTTTGGAATGAAAGCGTGGTAGAAAGTGCTCGTAAAGCGATACAAGATCCAAACAAGCTTGTGGTGGTATTGACAGGACGACGGTACCATCCGTTTCACCACCTTATCGATGCCATGCTGAAAGCCAAAGGGCTGCAATTTGACATTATTGGACTACGACCGGACCCTGAATCCGATGATGCTGATGAACTCGGATTCAATACCCAGCCCAACGTATTCGATACCACGATGGAATTCAAGTCACTTTTCCTGATCAACATGCTGGCCAATGTACCATCACTCGAAAATGTCATTATGTGGGATGACAGAGTGTCCCATGTGCGCTGGTTCAGAAACTACATGAAAACGATGGTGGCAGAAGGGCTTATCAAACATGGACAAATGATTGATGTACACGCGGTGCGACCGAGATACAATCCGAAATGGGAATATGCGGTTGTGAACAACATTCTGGAAACGCATAACAAAGCGATTCAATCACTGAAACACGATGACGAGAGACGACGTGCTTTGGCAAGCACCGCCGTGGTCGCTGATTGTAATGGGACCACGGTGTCTGCGCTGCACCAATTTCGACTGACGCGTATCCCATCTGCCACAATTATCAAGTTGTCGCCCGAACATGTCCAACTGGTCAAATCGGCATTTCAAAGACAATACACATACGAAATCAGCAAACGAGAACGACAACTGAAACCATGGGAGCGACATGGAGCGGAAGCCTTGGAATTTTTTGGCAACGAAGTGATTGTCAGTCCTTCCACGCTGCCAGCCGACAAGATACCTTACGGCGGCTTGGGAGCGCCTGTCAAAATTCATGTGATAGCTACCACGCGAGCATCGTATAAACAGGGGATGGTTCTACTCGTCTCTGTGGAAAGCGCGCATGACCAAGGAGACTGCGGAAAACATATTCTTCCACTGTGGTATAAACCGTCGTTCTACACACAGTTATACCGTCAATCTTATGTATGGCATAAAATCAGTCGAAATCAACAAAAAACACTTGACGGCACTGTCGATTACGCTCGCCCCTGGGGCGTCCAAGTAGCCGACGACGATAATAATTCATAGATCATGCATGCTCTCCAAAAATTATTCCGCACAACTTTTGTACCATCAAAAACCATTTACAAGTATCGTTTGCTTTCAAATAAAAATTTTATATCTCGCCTTGTGTATATGAATCAATCAATGTATTAAAACTTGAAGACTTGTTAGTGATTAAGGTTTGGGATACGTAGGCCGTACATTCATCGGTCGGAACAGGGCAGTGTGAAGTAAGCTGGTACACAAGCCACACCGCATAGAATGGTTTTTTTTTTTTTTTTTTTTTTTTTTTTTTTTTTTTTTTTTTGGGGAAATTGAGCAAATGCCAAAAAAAAAGTCCGTCTCCAAGGAAACACCCGTTTTCGACATGTCAGATCATTCATCGGATAGCGAAGAAGAATTGGTTGGCGATCTCTTTGGGGTGAGTATCCCTGTATTAACTTTGTATGAACATCTCAGACTGATGAGGACAATGTATTTTTTTCAAGACCGAAGAAGAAACCGCACCTGAACCGGAACCTACTTTTGAAGTTTATGCACGCAACCCTCTTTACATAAAAGACGGTAAGCATACAGCAAAACAAGTATACAAGGATTGAATGCTTAAAGATATGCTTAGATGACACACCGAAAGAGTTAAAGATTCGTTTGGTGGGTTCGCATCCTCTGTGGGCGCATCATTTGTGGAATGCTTCCAAAGTGTTTGCTTCCATGTTCGATGAGCATCCGTCGCTGTGTCGAGATAAAACAGTTCTGGAACTGGGGGCTGGCGGTGCACTGCCTAGTCTTGTTGCTTCACTTTACGCTACCAAGGTGGTGGTCACGGATTATCCGGATGACGAACTCATTGATAATATTCGCTACAATATCTCCAGCAATCTCGGCGATCGATCCAATATCGTAGCGGATGGTTACGTCTGGGGAACCGCCACCGACAAGCTGCGCGAGCATTTGCCTCCGAATCATACCACGTACGACGTTATTATTCTGAGCGATTTGGTTTTCAACCATTCCCAGCATCATGCGTTACTGCGAACCTGCCGCGAACTGTTGACTCCCAAGACCGGACGGGTGTACGTTTTCTATACACATCATCGACCTCATCTTGCTCACAAGGATTTGGAGTTCTTTGAGATTGCGCAACGTCCAGTCCTAGAGAATGTGGATCCTGACGATCGTGAATTACTGGGCTATGGTTTAAAAGCAGACCATTTTGTAAAGAAAAAGATGCATGTCATGTTCGAAGAGGATCCAGGCGATGAAGAAGTTCGTGCTACGGTGCATGGATGGCAATTGTGGTTACCGTGAAAACGTTGATCTTTGGTATTCCTGCCAGTTATCATTATGATTATTCATCATTCTTTTAAAAAAAGTAAAAGCATTCTCCTATTCATATAGACAATAAACCTATCTAATTCATACGAGCCGATGTTCAAGTTAAAACAGTAACAGTATTTCATTGATTTTGTCAAAAATTTTCGGCATAAAAAATTTCTGATGCGCCAATTTTCCTCTTTTTTCTCTCCTGCCGTTTTCCCCTTTTTGTCACATTATTCCATCATGAAAACCGTGGGTCTGGTCTTTACAAAGAAGAAAATGGAACGTTCCGGGTTTCTTGGACTATCAGACTACGCACTGTAAATATTATGGACTGGTGGCCAGGAATGCACAACAATCATTAACCCAGGCCATAATTGCTTTTACAGCCAGCACGGTCTGCACATTGTCCACATTGACCTGGACTCTCCTATAGAAAAAGTCGCTCCATCGCTTGATATCATTGTGCACAAAATGACCGATACCGTGGCCAAAATGGAACGGGGTGTTCCAGGCGCTCAGGAACAGTATGACCGATTTCAGGTAAACGCACCGGGAATTGGGTAGGATAGTAACAGAAAAAGAAAATAGTCCTAATCAAAAGTATGATAGAGTTACTGTCAGTCACATCCCGACGTGGTTATTCTCGATGACTGGAACAGTATTCATCGGTTGCTGGACAGAAAACGGTTGTATGATCGGTTAAAGACCTGTTCCAGACCTGATTTGTTTCTCTTCCCTACAACCATTGCTCTGGAGTCCGTCAAATCCCCTGTATCTTCGGTGGACCAGCTCCAGTTTCCCGTCATCTGCAAACGACGGTCCGCCTGTTCCTCGACGGAAGCCCATCAGATGACTGTCATTCCTACACTAGCTGATTTGCATCATATTCAGGGTTACGGCGATACGGAACCGGTCATTTTGCAAGATTTTATCCCACATGATGGGGTTATTGTTAAGGTGTACGTTATTGACGGAAAAATGCACATTTCCACTCGTCCATCCTTTAAGAATACCTGCACAGATTCGGGCAAGTCATCTAAAAAAAGAAAAACCGGAAAATTTCATTCCCGTGCATCAGCTAAGGCATGATTACTGTCATTGATTTAGGTGTTTTGATCCATTTCGACAGTCAACAGCTGCCCAAAACATTCGCTGATGAACCACCCAACGATATATCCAAAGACCTCCAACAATGTCTCCTCACTCAGGATAAAAATCATATGCATGAAATCAAAGAGCAGGCTCTTGATTACGAACGATTACAGAAAATCACAGATTGTCTTTGGGAAAATTTGGTGGGTAGTTTTTGTGCTTCCTTTTTCGTCTACACTTTGGCTAATCGATACGGAATTTATAGGGATTGACCTTTTTTGGTTATGACATTCTTTTGAAATCCGAAAGCAACGAATATTACATCTGTGATGTCAATTACTTTCCAAGTAGGTGGACCAGGAACACGCAGGATTGCATGAAGCCAATGTTTTTTATTGATCGCTTGTCAATTTTCTTAGGTTTCAAGAATGTGCCCAATTTCCATTGCTTATTTATACAGGTTTTGAAAAATCGACTAGGCATGTAAAGTAGATGTGACCATATTTATTAACAAGGGTGGGAGGGATTGATTCCTTCTCGGCATTTTTTCCGTTTGCATGTTCGGTTACTGTTGTGGTTTTGTATCGGTCGATTCGTGAGTTGCGTCCAGCGCCACCTCATGAACCGGTAATGAAGCTGATGAAACGGTGTCCTGGGTCTGCGTTCCTTCCGTCATCCGTTCCTTATTGGAGTGAAGACCCTGTTTCTGTCTAAGGACTTCCACTTCGCGTTTCAGCGTTTCGTTTTCTCGAACCAGTCGATCTTTTTCTTGCTCTGAGAGCGAAAGTAAATGCTGTAACCGGATCACGGTAGCTGAAATCTCGGAAGGCAGCGATCGCGACCTTGATCTAGACACACCAACGAATAAATGAGTCCACACACACTAGGCTAGCGAACCCTTTCAAAGAGACTTACCGTTGTTGTTGCAAATCATCGAGTCCCCACATATCAGGCGAGCCGCGAGTCTCGTTGGAAGCACAGCGTCCACGATGGAGAGCCGTCGCTGGCGGTGGATGACCGCACGTGGTGGCCATATTGGTGAGCACTTCGGTCAGCAATGCTTTGTGGAGTTCGGTCTGTCGTAAAAGAGTTTCCATGTGTGAAACAACAAGCGAGGGCACCATATGATCTTGAAGTCGATAGCCTGATCCACGCTCGATGGAAGAGGTAGGTGACGTATTGGTGGTGGATGACTGCGGTGAATCATGATGATAGCCTAAACACCCCAACAATGAGCATTGTTTGCTCTTCCCCTCCATTACAAAAAAAAAAACAAAAAAAAAAAAACATGTTGCACCTTTACCTTCTTTGAAATCATGCTTCACATCCGTAAGAACGGTGGACCCTCCTGTGAGTTCGAATCTTCCCTTTTTCCAACACTCCGGCAAAACGACAGGAGTTTCCAAAGGAGCAGGAGCCGGTTCTTTATTCCCTTCGTCTTTCTCAACCGAGAAACGACTCACTTTGCAAGGCGCGGTTTCCGACTTGACCGTATGCTCCGCCGACGACGGTGGACTGACTAGGCGTTGAATGGCAAACCTGGAACGACGATCACACGACGATTCGTTGCTGTTCACTCGAGAAAGAGAAATACTACGGTGTTCAAGCGTCGCCGCGTGGCCTTCATCGGCACAGCGTGTCACCGGGTGATTGACACTGAATCGACCTTTCTTGACTTCTGTTTCTTGGGAAGCTTCCGTGACCGGATCCGTGGTATGAGTTGCATTGGACGATGGAAAGTAGGACGACATGTTGGAATCGATGGATTGCACCGTCCCGTGGTGATCCGGTGCGACGTTTTCTTCAATAACAAATCGGGATCTTCTCATGATGGAAGGGGTGGGCATGACCGGATGGAGGGGAGGCGAACGGGCCAAACCAGATTCGTTGTCCAGTGCGCGTTCTGGTAATTCTCGGGTAGGCGATGAGGAAGGTGAAGAAGATCCAAGGGAAGGAGGGCCTTCGTTGGTAGGAGAAGGAGCAGGCGAAGCCCGTGGTGATACTTGGGGTGAAGGACGAGGTGAAGGACGAGGTGTGTCTTTGGGCGAAGGGCGAACAGGGTTCTTTATGACGATATCGCCAAAAGAGATATGCCTCTTGATTGGCGGCGGAGAAGCTAAGCGAACACAGGTAGATGAAGTGGGTTTACTGGCGTCCGGCTCTTGATCAGAGTGATCCGATCCGATATCAAAGTCCCAATTCTCATTGCTCTCAAACGAAATATGACGTTGCGGCACCTTTTTTCTTGGTCGTTGATCGAGGGGAGGCACTTGACTAAGAACAGACTTGACGAGACAGTCTTTTTTCTTGGCTTGTTTAAAGAAGGGATGTTGCACCAGCTTTTCGGCGGTCGGTCTAACAAAAAGAGGAGTAAGCACATCCAATGAGAACAGCGCAACTTTGAATGGAAATTTGAAGCTAACTGCTTCTAGAAGGTAGAGAAAAAAATGCTACTTGCCTGTTCTTGGGATCTTTCTGCAGACATGAATCGATCATATCTTTGAATGTTTTGGAGTAGCGATGTTTGGTGTGTTCTCGATCGAGGGTAGGCGGATCTTTGGATAGCGTCATCATCAACACCTAATTTGAATATTGTATGAATAGGGATGAATATAGAATGGGGGAATATAGTAACTTTTTTGTGTGTTACGCAGTATACACTCGTACCTTCATGGGTGGATATTTCGCAAAAGGAGCATGGCCTGTCGCTAATTCCAAAGCCGTGATACCAAAACTCCAAATGTCGGCTTTGTAATCATAACCCGCTTGTTCCATGACTTCAGGAGCCATCCAGCAAGGCTACAAGTGACAATGAAAAAAATAGAATAAAATAAAAAAGAGTCAGTATCTTGTTATACTTTTTTTTTCTTTGTGTCCAATCCCTTTTTGATCGGAAAGCCTATTTACCGTTCCCACAAAAGTTTTACGCAATTCGTTGTTTTCGGTCAATGAACTGGAGACACCAAAGTCAGCGAGTAATACGGTGCCTTGATCATCCATGAGCAAGTTGCCAGCCTTGATGTCTCGATGAATGTGACCATTCTTATGCAAGTATATTAATCCTTCCAGTGCTTGTTTTAAAATAGTAGCAATGCTGATTTCGTCAAACCCGTCTGGAAACCCGGTTTTCATGATATCCAGGCATGAACCTTGTGACAAATCCAATGTCAGTAAACCTGTTGCCACTAGCTGACCAAAACAGAAAAAAAAATATAGTAGATATTTACCTCCAGAAAGGTACGGTGTGACAATATGCAATTTGGAACCGTGAAGAAATGAACCGTAAACACGCAACACGTTGGGATGCCTCGACAGTGCCATCAAAGCCGTTTCACGCTACACAAGAAATAAAAAAAATTAACTTTCATCAGTATCCAAGATACTTCTTGCATGGGAACATGGGAGAAACCTACTCGAAGTTCATCGATTTGATTTCGCTCAAACATATCAAGATCAATGAGCTTGACCGCCACCTGTGCATTGGAGGGTTTATATATGGCGGCATACACAACAGCCGAAGATCCGTAGCCTAACCAGGTTATTGCAGTTTAGCAAGACAATACGTTCTTAGGATAAGAGCAGCCCAGTAACGTACCAATGGGTTTTTGTAATTCGACATCGTCAGTGGAATTGATCCAGGGAGTTTCGACAGTAGAACTTGAAGAAGAGGTATTGTCAAAAGCATGAACGAAGGAAGGAATGCGGGAAAGAAAGTTTTCAGAGGAATAAGTGGCAGCTCGCCTCGGACCAGCCGTCGGCGAGTTGGGTGTACTAAGAGAAGCGGGTGAAGGTAACGCTGTAGCGTGGGACATGGCACGTAAGATACTGTTGGATCGAGATCGTGGTCGAGGGGTCATGGGGGATCGATCTACGGGCGTCTGACAGCCATTCACCGAAGAAAACGAGGTGTTGTGATGGGTAGTAATTGAGGGCATATGCGAAAGACTATTTAGAGTCATAACACTGCAACGTAGGATCGATACGGTTTCCAAGGATACTGTAAATTCAAAATGTTCATTCGACAATTCCGTCAAAGAGAAGGAAAACGAAAAAAAAAATTTGGATCGACAAAACTGATTCGCAGCAAATCGAAATTTTCTTTTCTTTTCTTTCTTTTTTTTTTTTTTCAGAGGCGACAAACAGGTGATTTCCATGAGAGAAATGAGCAGTTTTTTTTTTCCCTTGCCCCCTCCCCCCAGCCTCATTCCAAGACATAATCATAGGAAATATACATAAAATGTTACATTACAATGTTTACACAAACGTGCGTTTATTTTCATTACGCTTAAATAAATCATCCATTCCTTCTCCTTCTGCTGTGTCTTGCTCGTCCCATCCTTCTTCAAGACCGACTTCCAGCAAGAGACAGGCAATCATAAAGTCCTTGACTCGAATTTTATAGCGTTCGTCCCGTATTGGATAAGCTACTCTGTGTATGTCGGCTGAGAACAAACTGTTCATTCTTATACTGGTGGTTCCGAGGACCGTTCTTTCTTCGCTTATGTCCGTCCATGGAGATGTTGAGTGCCCTTTTAGTTGGAGGAATAAAGTAATAACAATTTGCTGATCCTCATCAATGACCGTCTCGAGTTCTTCCTTCTTGCCACGCAAGGCTATCTTGCAAAATGCGTGGGGGCCTTCCCAGTCCCCTGTTTCAGTCAGTCGTGCAGCATAGTTGATCGAACGACCGAAACCTTGGCAGCGAAAATAAGCCTTTTCGATGGTTTGACAGGGGCGTTCAAAAGCGTCCAGTGCCCGGGTTCCCAAGATGCGAAGGACAAATGTGTACTGGTCGGTGCCCGTCCCCACTTGTATAAAATCAGATACCGTGCCAGCCGTCCTTTGATCTTTTGCTTTGGTCCGGCAGTAAATGGATCGAAGGGAAGGCGACGTGCCGGTCGATTTGGTCAGGTACGGACTGGTGCTGACGGAACAAAGTTCAAGTCCCAACTGGGACGCCGTGATGCCATCGAGTGGCGTCCGTTGAAGTTTTGCCATACTTTTCGATTGTACGATATCCACAGTGGGCATCGTCGCAAAGAATAGACCGGCTTTGATCTCTGCGTTGCCTTTACTCAATCGATGCCACCTGCCTTTGTTGACCACATAGTCCTTGATCATCGTCAGTTCTTCCCTTTCAAGGCTATTCATGCGAACCATTTTGGCCAAATTAATAGGTAGTGATACTCGGCCCAACTCTTCCTTGTCGCCATTCATCGATAACGTGAAAATTTCCAACGTCACTTGCGTCTTTCGCCGCCTCAGTCCTTTAAGGATTTTCGTTGACAGAAAGTAGGCCAACGTCGTCCGCCACACTGGCGTCGTACTACATGGTATAGGTTGAGTGGAAATGAGGGTCGTCGGAGGTATGAGATCATCCACCGGTTCCGGCAACGGTAGATGAAGACGACAGTGAATAAATAGATCGCGGTCCGGATACGGTATAAAGTCATGTCCTATTTCAGTTCCACGGGTCAATCGTATTGATCGATCGATCGATCGATCGATCGACATTCTTAATCTTAATACAATACAGAACAAACCTTCTTCAATGGCGACAAGCACCGCTACTTGGCATGTGTTGGTTAAAAGAAGGGTCATTTAAAAGCCCAAGTGAAGAAAAGGCAAAGCAAACCCTAAACGGGTCAAATGAATGGAAAATAATAATACGAAATATAACCACTTATTTATAAAAAGGAAAGGATCTAATTTCATTATAATGATTTTAGCAGATGCTTTGTTTATGCCTGCAGTAACTAGAAAGAATGAATGAAAAAAAAAAAAAAAAAGATGTGGGAAATCTAAAAAGAACCATAATCATACACGGTGTCTTTGGGCCTCTGCTTTTATTTCATTGGCCCTTTTACCAAAATGCAACCAGGAGATGGAAGTTCTGTTCGCCATCCTTCTTTTTTCAGAAACTTTAGAGCACTTGGAAACAAACGGGACCGATGTTGACTTGAATGATTTCCGACGCCCGTAATAATCCTCAGAGGCTGTATCGCTCTGCGAGCTACAAAACAACCAGTTTTTTAGTAAAAGCTATGCGCCAACAATCTCGCACTTTACGTACCTGCTTGCATTTGACTTCGCGACCACCATTGGGATACTCCTTCTTTAATAAGCACTTGCGCTTCAGCCACCGTTAAACCGTGAAGATCCAGTAAATGATCATCATTTTTCCGTAGTCTGTTCAAAAAATAAAAATAAATATGTAGAAAAATTGGCTGAAAACATGAATCAACAGAAGAGCTGATCGGACGGATTCGGGAGTTGTGATGGGGAAAACAAAGAAATAGGCTTCAACGAGACGCGCCAAGCTATTAAAATTACCTTTCTTGCCGTACAAAAGATCTTGCAGCTCGCATGTTCCAGTGTTTGGCTTTTTCATCGCATTCTCTTGCCTTTTACAGACATTTGCTCAACCTTTCTCATTATATCCAAATGTCACGTAAAATTCCAAGCTTACCTCTTGCGAATAGAAAAAGGCCACACCACTTTCACCGGATCTTTTATTTTTCGCCCGTTGATAGGACGCCGCCGCCTTGCGGTACAGTTCATTCCGTTGCATAATCAGTTCCCAAGCAATATCGCGGCACAATTCAGGATCATCTTCTGCAAAAAGGCCGCGGTTGTCCAGCAACAAATATTCGGGTATAACAGGCATATCATTTGCCTGAGGTATCGTCCGTGGTAGCGAAGTTTGAGTCATCATCATCTGTTCTCGGCGTTTCATCAGCGCCTTTTGTCGTTGATCATACGTCAAAATAAAATCAATGCCTTCCTGCACCAATGTATCCACGGCAATCTCACTATTTCCGGTATCCACCATCACGCCCACCGCTACCCGTCGAATCAGATCGGCCGGTCGATCGACGAGAATCGTCTGTATGCCTTGCTGCACTTTCTCCAAGGTCCGAATATCTCGCCACGCTTCAAACGCCAACACAGGATTCATCCCCGGTTCCTTCTCCATCAGCATAACAATGGCGGCTACCACATCACCACGACAACGTTGAACACATCGCAACACGGTGGTGTGAGCCATCTTTGGGAATACTTTTTGAATCTTGTCGATCTGTTTGTCATACTGATGCCAGTAATTGAATGGCAACGTTGCCATGTGATACCCGTTCTCCGCATCGGTTGGCACCTGACTGCTGGATGAGGGCAACGCTCCCGATGACCATACCACTTTTTTAGGTTTTCGAGCTTTGACTTTTTTGATCGGCGTCTTGTCTTTTGTATCAGGCATCGAGATCTCTTTATCCGAGGCGGAATTTTCCTCATTTTCATTGTCCAGAAACACGCGGTTTAATAATAAATCGGTAGCTTTTTCAACGTCACCATCTTGTAGCTCCAGAGCTTCGACCAAATCGACTCGATCATGATCAGGAAAACATCGCATCAAAAATTCCACACCATCTCCTATTTCCTGTTTATCAGTGCTTGACGGTGTCGTGTAGCCGTTTTCGTCGTCGTCCTCATCATCGTCGTGGTCGTCATGGCAGTTGGGGTCGCCCGTCGGTGTTTCGTCTAGCTGCAACTGTTCCAAGGCTTTCTGTTCGGGATCCACCGAATCTTCGGTTTGTTTCGCCAATTCACTCAATATGTGGAAGGATTGCTCGTAGTTGTGGGTATCACTCCAAATGGCCGCAATAAGAGACGGATCGAGTGGCGGACAAAAAATAGCCTTTTCATGAACAACCCCCCCACACCACCATTTTCATCAATACTCAATAGCTGACACAAAGCCGATATACCTACCTGAAGTTTACTACGTCCTTGTTGGTTCTTTTGTTCATCTCTCTCATTCGTTTTGGAATGCCGCGATTTGCTATACTGCTTATCTTGAAGTCGCCCCATGGTTACTCAAAAATATGGGAGTTTCGAGACGCTTTTTTTTTTTTGGCGGGTTGTCAAGGGAAACCTGCAACATTAAATTGATCACGTGGTTTTTTCTTTCTTTCTCCAGTAATTGTTCCACCTTTGGAAACATTGTCTTGCAAGCGAACATGTCGACCGAACGGGCGTTGGTGAACCAGTTGCAAAACTTGGAATCAGCGTTCTTTGAACGTCCAAATATCCAGCAGTACCTTGATTATCAGCATGAGGACATGTACCATTATGGCGAAATGGCGTTCATGATCCTGGGACTGAAGCCTTGCGTTCTGATCCAATTTCCGCATCCTGCCATGGCTGACTTATACCACCGTGTCGTATTGAAGCCAGTGTTTGAGCCGCATGACCAGGAATATAGTACCCTTTATATTGCCCATGATCTTGCCAGCGATGAAATGTCATTAAAGGACTCGTTTATCGTTTATCGGCGAGAGTATCAATCAAAAATGGATCGTTTGTTTCGCCCACCCACGACACGGATCAGTGAAGCGAGTCTGGGTGAAATCCTTGACTATCCAGGCCGGTTACCGAGCAACGATTCTGAAATAGCAACGATGCGCGAAGTAGCGTATCTGGAAGGAACCCGTCTGCTCACGACTTTTGCTGCACAAGCGAACCAAAAGGCCCAAGTTGCTGCGCATTTCGAACGATACCGCGACGTGTGTGACGCCAAAATAGGCATGAAGCTCACATGGCTATTTCGAGATCCGGTGCCGATGGACAGTCCTCAACCACATTGACGGATCCTCGCCTCATTTCTCTCCCACTTAAAAAACATTTGTCACACTACCATCCCCATTTCACCCATACGGCAAGCTTTTTAGCTCTCCATCAATTCAGCAGCAATTGTACATCATTAAAAATTATCAAGCATAGTTATACCTTGGTTTCATATAAAGCATAAATTGAATCTTACAATCTTACCTATCCATATAAATTTGTTGTTAGGTACTAGTGTATCAAGTTCATTGCAATACTGGCGGTGCAGTTGTCCGTATTAATATTGTGGAAAGTAAAGGGAGGAAAAAAGTGAACAAAGTAACGGATCAAAACCATCTCACTGACATTGCATTGGCCCGGACAAGATAATTTTGCTGGTATTTCAAACAATGTTATGAAGTCATCTCTACAGTATTGCAAATGGTGTTTCGAGAATTGATAAATGTTAACTGAGATACCGGAACACGCGTACCCGTATGAACCATTCATAACCGAGCAACCTTGGAATTCTAATCTATCAAAAACAGACAAGGTGTGAAAGTTTATCGATAAGGGGAGCAACCGTTTTTTGGCATTGTATTCCCCAGACACGCCGCGATGGCTTGCAGTCGCACTTGATAAAATTTTCCCAACGAAATTTGAAGGCACGGTAACTATTATATTTGCACTTTATGTCTATGAGCCTTTGGTCCTTTCTTTTATTTATTTTTAGCCAACTTGATAGATATATGCCGTATATCATTCAATTGAAGATACCAACCTAAATCCATTACCTTTGAGCAAGTTAGGCTTTGCGCTTCCAGCCAAAGATTATTTTTGAACTTGATCGGGCACAAAAAAAATTTGATTCGTTAGCTTCCTATTCACACTCCGGCTTCCATTTGAGCCCACAACTGTTTGGTTTGACAGCTCCCCGTATCGGACAGCGGTGAATGAAATTGCGAAAAAGGCGTCACAGCCGAACTCGCCAGATGTGCTTTAACTTGGAAAGCTTCTCAGGCTCCAGTGGAATCCTTCCTTTTAATCTCCTGTGATATCGCAAGATGGTACGTGGCAAATCCATCCTCTACCGATGGATGTTGCATCCACACATACAGATGCATCATCTATTCACATGGATGCAGTTGACTCATCTTCTTTTCATGGTTTTTAGGCTCGCGGTCCCAAGAAACATATGAAGCGTTTGAATGCTCCCAAGCACTGGATGCTTGACAAGCTTTTGGGTACGTTTTTTTGCTTCTATCCTTACCTCACGTCGGCGAATACCTGGAATGCGAATCGTCAAGGATGAAATAAAAAAAAGCAAATAGTCAAGCTCAACAATCCGATGTATCCTGACGAGTTCTTTCTTTTCTGATAAAACGAATCGCATTCCCAGGGATTCGTGACAAATCTGGTTGAAATCAAAAGTTTCACAGTAACTAACTGTTTTCTTTTCGATCAACAGGTTCTTATGCCCCTAAGCCCAGCTCCGGTCCCCACAAGACCCGTGAGTGCTTGCCCTTGATCATCTTCCTTCGCAACCGTTTGAAGTATGCTCTCAACGGCCGTGAAACCCAGGCCATTTTGATGCAGCGTTTGGTCAAGGTTGACGGTAAGGTCCGTACCGACTCTACTTTCCCCGCTGGTTATATGGGTAAGTTTTTTTTTCTGGAATGAAGTTTAGATCGTAAGATTTGATGGATCTAACGATTACGTGGTAACACACAGATGTCATCTCCATTGAAAAGACTGGTGAAAACTTCCGTCTTGTCTACGATGTCAAGGGTCGCTTCGCCATTCACCGCATCACCGATGAAGAGGCCAAGTACAAGCTCTGCAAGGTCAAGAAGGTTATGGTTGGTGCCAAGGGTATTCCCTACATTGTCACCCACGATGGCCGCACCATCCGTTATCCCGATCCTTTGATCAAGGCCAACGACACCATCAAGTTCGATATTGAACAGAACAAGATCACCGATTTCGTCAAGTTCGATATTGGCAACGTTGTTATGGTCACTGGCGGTCGTAACATTGGTCGTGTTGGTATGCTCGTTCACCGTGAACGCCACACTGGTGGTTTCGAAATCGTCCACGTCAAGGATGCTCTTGACCGCGTCTTCGCTACCCGTATCTCCAACGTCTTCACCATCGGTCAAGGCAACAAGCCCTGGATCTCTCTCCCCAAGGGTAAGGGTGTCAAGTTGACCATTGCCGAAGAACGTGACCGCAGAAGAGCCGCCGCTGCCGCTGCTCACTAAAGTGGTTAGAAAATAATAAAGACAAATCCATCTGTAATAAAATGGGTACTTGCATTTACATCTTTTTTTCTTTTGTTCATACTGTTTTTTTTATGGCCTGGTAATCATTCAAAATCATTGGCAGCGTTGAGAACTCGGATCATGGTCCGATTTTTTTTCAGCATGAAGGTTCTGTTCACCAAGTTTAGAAAATTTTTCTGTATTTTTTTTTTTTTTTTTTTTTCGTTTTGGTGCGCTAGTCGGTATTGCGCTCCGTCCGGTCTTTGGTTTTCTGCAAAACACCGTTCACTTTTTGATCATAAATCATGAATTCGGTATCATACTTGCGGGAACAGGGAACATGGAACCATCATGTTGGCTCACAATGTCTATAATGACATGGAATTAAGTGGGCAGAAGCGTTGTCATTGTGATCCTGTTCCATGTTTAAAAATTTCGTGACTATAGAAAGAAAAGCATGACAACAACTTGCCATGCATTTTTTCTCCCATGCAAGGGATAGGATCGGCAAATTCCAACAAAAAAAGCATACAATATGGCGATCTGTGTTACGTTATCCGTAATATGATGAAGTCTTCTATTTACATTCTTTTAGAAAAGGAATGAAAAGGGAATATTCTGCATGTGGTCATACTGTAGTGGAACGGAATTTCCGATGTCGCTTGTGTCCCGGGTAATGGATGCTCAGACAAAAATCCCGGTAATAGATCGTTTTGACGATCCTTGTTGCAGTTTCTATTTAACTGGGTGATACAAAAAAGTATCGTATTGAGCGGAATATGTGTGCACCTTGATGAGTGAGTCATTCAGATAGATATGTAGGTTCATTGGAATACATTTAAAATTCACCTTTATTGTTATTGTTTTGGTTGTGGAACACACGCCAAAATCTCGAGATGTAAGGAGATGGGAGAAAAAGAAGGAGAGTGGAGCAGCAAGTCAGACCCACGGAACGCTTAAAAAAAAGTGTCCAGGACCATGGTATGCACGGATGGCTCGTTTTGTTGAATTGTTTGCAGTGCTGCTAATTTTTTTTGTTACAGTGGAGGTTGATATACAAATGTGGTAATCGTGCGATATTGGAGTGTGTCAACATCAGACCAGGGTCCGACAAACATCATTTTACGTTATATTAAAGAGAGATGCCCGCGGTGGACGTCTCAATGTTCAGAACTTTACCTTGTTTTCCCACTAGAGTTTGCACACCCCATCAATGTTTTCGAGCCCGCGGTGGCGCAGGATGTTTACAATTTTTCAATCCAAGGAAGTTTCCCCATAAAATTTGAAACGGCATAATATTTTGACGTCTCCCGGCAGTTCTTATTGCCACAACAACCGATGATTTTTTTTAGTCAATACATAAAAGAGCCTCTATCAGTGTGCACAGGTCCATAGAACGATTCCACGCGTTTATTCTATTCAAACGGTGACAGTCGTTCGTTATAATCATTACAGAATATAGTTGCTCCTTTTATAAAAAAAAAAAAAAAACAGTTTACATATTTTGGATGAATTATATAATTTTTTCCAACTCCTTTTGGACTGCACAAACGTTACTTTTTTATATCATTTCACATTTTTTTTTTTTAGAGAGAGCAATCCCTATTATCCTCTTTTTTCTTTCTTCTTTTATCACCATCCCCTATTCCCTTTCATTTTATTTTGTGGGCATAGCGTCTGTACTATTCTGCCCTTCCACATTGGTCGCTTTGAAAGACGATTGAGCTCCATGCGCTCTCGAGATTTACGCATCACGTCGTTCATTGCCGTATTTCTAGTCGCGTTGATCCTTGTTTCCTTGGTAGTCATTCTTTGTCTTGCTGTGTCTTCTCATCTTACGATCCTTTTCCGTTCCTTCCTACAATCATATACTATCTCTACGCCCTTACGTCCCGCCGTCACTACGGCTACCGCGGCGCCCAGTGTTCGGCTGCCGTCCGTTCGTCCTGAATCGACAGTGACAGCTTCGTTTATCACCCTTTTCTTTCGTTACATTCATCGACACATCCCTATCCATTCCTTCACATCATTTACAGCCTTCTTCATCGTTGTACTTTGCTTGACTATCCTGCTCTGCCGCACTTTCCACAGGGTAATTGCTTTTTTTTTTTTTTTTAATTTCGTTTAATTTTTGTAGGTCGGTGGCTAATTTTTTTTCTCAATTTTTTTTTTTCCTTCGTCCGTTCATTTTGACAGCTTCGAAGCCGTCATGCATTGGACAGTTGTTTGGAAGGATTGGGTGAATATCGCATTCCTGGCACAACCATTTCTATTGATGCGAGAAAGATCTCGCACTTGTCTCGCTGGTTTAGACCAAGTGTCGGTTTTCAATCGCTTTCCATCAAACCACCAAGTGACACTTCGACTGGGTTCAACAAGAATATCGTGACCGTGACGAGTTATACACACGCTCCTGACAAAAATACTTCATCTGCATCGTTTTCTTCATCTTCTCTGGCATCTCGACCGTGTGTTCGATCTGACCCTTCCATTGATCCTTCGCATTTGTATATATCTTCAAGACCCGATACTGAAAATCCGGAAGAACAAGTGTCATCGTGTACTCCTTCTTTCTCATCGTCCAATTTACAGCTGACACCTTCAACCAGTACATCCTCGCTCGGATCCACCACCTCAGATCAAAAATCACAGCCACATGATCCTTCCCCTGTCACCGTCACTGTGACAGCGAAAGCAGCCCCTACAGGCCAACCGCCACTCATGCCTCTGGAGAAAAAACCTACAGCTACCGAAAAGCGGAAACGTAAGAAACAAGCTAAAGCAAAGCAACAACAACAACAGCAACAGCAACAGCAGCAGCAGCAGCAACAATCAAGAAAATCGACTTTTTCTGCGCCGACGGCGTCTTCTTCTTCCTGTGTTCCATCACCAGCATCGGCAAACGATAAATTGGAAGGCACGAGTACACCCAAGGTGGAAACTACAGAGGTTTGGATAGATTCAGTACGGAAACGATCCAATCGCGACACACAGAAACCGTCTCGTAAATCCAAGCAACCCGACTGTGTCACATCGTCTATATCGTTATCCCCTTCGTCTTCAACTTCGGTGTCGCAGCCGTCGTCACCACCGTCCCAGTCAAAGACGTCATCCCCCAAACAGACAGCCTCTACTGTTGAAGTGACCAAGTCGCCGTGTACAGAACCATCGACGCCAGTGAATAAGCAGTCAAGAATGATGTCGATGCCAGCGTCAGACATCAAAAACAATTCGTCTGTATTGGCCACCCCAACGACAGAATCGGTGGAAACACCGTTAAAAACGCCTTGGAACAAGCAGTCCTATGCTTCTGCCAAACCATCCGAATCGATCAACTGGTATTCCCCATTTTCAACTGGATTAGAAATCGACTTGGTGCCACGATCGCCTCCGTCCCCGGGGATGTCTGTAAGCAACCGAAGTTCGTCTTCCGAATCCAACTACAGCGGTTACCAGTTATTCTCCAATCCCGGGTCGATTCCTCCGACGTCTCGGATGGCCCCATCGGTTGCAGGCAACGCTGTTGATTATAACCCTCTGTTACTGAATTATTTGATATCCAATTCCCGGGATGACTACACCGGTTATCCAGCTTCGCCACTGAAACCGGCCTCGTTGTCTTTGTCCAATCCATCGGAACCGCATTCCTTTTCTCCGTTGATCGCTCCCAAACCGCAGCCGCAGGCACCGGTCGGAACAGGAACATTGCAATCATCTTCGACCTATTTATTTGGGAAACCTGTTGCTCCCTTGTTCGATCACAAGAAATACAATGATCCCAATACCAGCTATCGAACCGTCGGCTCGTTGGATGCTCCACCGGGAAAATCACTCAGACATTACGCGTCGCCGTCATCCTCATCCTCATCATCGTCATCGATGGCTCGACCACCGACACCTCACTCTCGTTTTTTAAATACTGCTCCCCAACCGCATTTTTCATTGTTTGATAGGAAATTATCATTTCAAACACATCAATGAGACGTAACTTTTTTTCAAGAAAAAAAGTGCAACAAAAAATTTTAAATAAATCTGAATTACTATGGAAGTTGTCACCATTATCATCTGACGTTCCTTTTATATTTTATTGGGAAGGTATGATCAACGTCCAGTACGTGGTGCTTGTACGTATGGTACAGTATGTACGGTGTATACTATAGGATTGTATGGGTTTGCTATAGGGAGAATAGAGATGTTCACTTTGCCGCAGACATGTGTCATTCTTAAAGCCATTTCTAAGATGCTGGGCAAAATAGAAAAACGATGGACGTGGTTCATGAGGGTTATGCAAAGAAAGAATGATTAGTTTATTTCCCTTTTTTTCCATTTTTTTTTTCTCTCGTTATTCTTTTTCTTTAAAAATGGCTCTATGCAGTTTTTCTAATGTCGGCGACACGAATGGCCACGGCGTTTCGGTGAGCTTCTAATCCTTCAACTTCGGCCAGCCGCATCACGGTATCACCAAGACGGTTCAAACCGTCGGCGGTCAATTGCTGAGAAGTGATGTGCTTGACAAAAGTCAAGGTGTTCACACCAGAGTACATGCGTGAATAACCATACGTTGGCAAAGTGTGATTGGTACCTGAAGCATAGTCACCCATACTACACGAATGAATTGTGTTGATGAAAATATCAGTATCCACGCATCAGTTGCAACACACATTCTTTTTAATGCTTTACCTTTCAGGGGAATAGTGACCGACAAAGATACTGCCAGCGTTGTTGATGTGGGGAACGAGATCGGGGGCATCATCAAGATGCAAGATAAGATGCTCAGGGGCGTAATCGTTGGAGAATTTCACCGCTTCCTCCATTGTCTTGACCTTCAAAGTGTACGACTTGGGAATACTCTGACGAACGATATCCACACGAGGAAGAGCCATGGCTTGCGTGTGAATTTGGTCTTCAATCTTGGCTAATAATTCGTCGGAAAGATCCACCGCCAAAAGCACCACCTGGGAATCCACACCGTGCTCGGCTTGAGACAACAAATCTGAAGCAACATACGCAGGGTTGCAGGTCTTATCCGCAATGACCAACACTTCGGAAGGACCGGCCGGCATATCAATGGACACAAGGCATGAAGTATCATTCTGAGCCACCATCTTGGCTGCCGTCACATACTGGTTACCGGGACCGCAGATCTTGTCAACCTTGGGGACCGTCTGGGTACCGTAAGCCATGGCCGCCACCGCTTGCGCACCACCGGCCAGCACAATGTGAGTAGCACCGACCTTGTGGGCTACATACACGACTTCAGGAACAGCGGTACCATCCGATCGAGGAGGCGAAGCAATCACAATCTCAGAACAACCCGCCACCTTGGCAGGGATACCCAACATGAGGGTGGTAGAAGGCAACACGGCGGTTCCACCAGGGACGTACAGACCCACTTTTTCAATGGGACGGGCAAATCGGGAACACACCACACCGGGCATGGTCTCCACCACCAACGTTTCGCGATCCATTTGAGCGTCGTGGAACTTGTAGATATTTTCGTAAGCCTGATCGATGGCCGCTTTCGTAGCAGGATCCAACTGCATCATGGACTCGGGGAAAGGTGCCTTGATAGTGGGCGTCGACAGCTGAACGCGATCGAATTTCGCAGTGAAATCGAGAACGGCCGCATCTCCACGTTCACGTACATCCTTCATGATCGGTGTCACCCGTCCAATGATTTCCTGAGAATCAATGATGGGTCTTAACAAAAGATCGGCGCGTTTTTGCTCAGAGATCTCATTCAAGGAGTACTTCATCATTTCAATCTTGCCATTGCTGCTTGCTGCGGGTGCAGGAGCCGCGGCCGGGGCCGGGGCGGGAGCCGGTTGGCTGGCTTCCTTCTTGGGTTCGGACCACTTGGGTTTGGCATTACCAGGACGACGAGTGACCTTGCGCGCCTTCTTGTCCAAATTGGCCTCAATATCCTCCAAGGTCACACCGTGACTCACACATTTGGTCAAAGCGAAATAGATCAGATCGGCCGCTTCCCAAGCGACTTCTTCCTTGTCCTTGGCATCACACAATTCCTCGGCTTCTTCCATGATCTTGGCACGCAGTAAATCGGCATCGTTGAATAAGCGAGCCGTGTAAGAACCTTCAGGAGCACTCTCCTTGCGGCTCTGCAAAGTTCTTTGCAATGCGCCCAATCCAGTGTCGGCACCAAAACAGGTACGAGTATTGAAGTGACAGAATCCTAAAAGCAGGAATAGGAAACATTATTAAACATTTTTCAACAAAAAACCCATGTTTTTCAAAAAAAAGATTCCCATAAAAGGAAAAAATAAAATAAAAATGATCTTTACCTGCACCGTGTTGTTCGACGACGAAAAGCAAAGCATCACCGTCACAGTCAAAGGCGATATGCTTCAATGACTGAGTAGCTCCGGATGTGGCTCCTTTATACCACAAACCGTGCTTGCGGCTTTGATACACGCCTTGCCCGAGGCGGATGGATTCGGAAACGCTCTGTTTGCTGGAATAAACAAGACCCAATGCGGTTTTACGTTCATCCACCACCATGGTGGTGAAAAGACCATCCGATCGATCGGTGGTGGCTGTAGCAAGAAAAGCTTCGCCAATGTTGATCTTGTCCTTTTCAGTTTCCCAAGCGGTGGTGAGACGGGAAGCAGGAATGATAACATCGAGAGAGCGTGACTGCAACTTGGCAATGGTGTCCAAAGTGATGTCCGAAGCATTGTCCACCTGAACAATCGTTTGTCGTACACCGCCCGTCTTGAGCAAATTCTTGGCAAACTGTTGAGCAAAGTCGTGCAAGATGTCGTTGCTGAGGGCCTCGTTGATGGATGTATTGATAATGACAGCGGACACGGCGTCGCCTACTGCTGGCAAGTTTGACAGTTGAGCCACGGAGGCTTCCACGACGATACGTTCAGCGGCCACACCGGAGCATTCTTGTTGCAAGTCTTGGAGATTGGCAAGGGGCAAGACAATCTTGTAGACGCCAGCATCCCACAAGCTGACAGCTTCTTCCACGGTGTTGGCTCGGGCCCAGTACAATGTGGAGCCGGTTTCACGGATCAGTTGAGTCATGGTTTCGACATTGGCGTTTTCAATAAGGGCGGATCCCAAGTAGCCAATAGGCTTCTTCAAGGAGGAAAGTGTAGCGTCTGCTACGTCCAGTGAAGCTATGAACATGGTATGAAAAAAGGTGTTTGAAAACCACGGACATTGACAAATCGATGAGATTTTTAGGCACTAAAACCCGAAAGTGACTGCTTTGAGGAAGGAGTCATAGTTTGCAACCCTCTTTTTCAGTTGCCGACCCGAGACGAAGCGGTGTGGTCCCTTCACCAAAGTTTTCCTTTTTGGGGCCATCTGTGATACTTCAAAAAAAGGAACACTCATCTGATAAAACAAGGGAAAAGTAATGTACTTGAACGTTCATCCTTAATTTTTTTTCTTTTTGAAAGAATTGATAATAATAAAGAAATTAGTGGACTAATGAATGCCTCGTGAACTGAGGAGTGTGAAGGCGAATTATGACAGTGCGTGTCTTGTTTATTAATTTCTTCAGTGTTTGTACAATCCGTCGGCTTTTGGTTGGCGTCATTGACTTTTCTTCCGGATTTGGCACCTGTGTGATTGCAGCCTTTAGATTATTGGAGTTGATTTAACAAAAGGTATAAGAATTAGGGTTTCGGTTTGTTGTGTAAGGGGCCATGGTTGGTTTGGTGAAAAAATACATCCCATTCAGTTTCAGGTTATGAGATCAATGGTTCGTGGGGTAATCTAGCGTCGTATTTGAAAGTACAATGAGCGTTTTAAAATGGATACGATCTAGTATGGTATGTTCAGCTTACTAAACGTCGAGATTTGGTGATAAGGCATTCATTGTGGGTAAAGAATAACCGTAGATCGACTGATGGGTCCCATTCTCTGATATACCGTTCTTCAGATGAATAACCGAAACAGATACGATTATCTTTCATGGTCGCTGAATGGGAAACCTAAATTGCCTCATCTATCGTTATCAAATGCTTCGGGCATATATTTGTTAGCATACACATACCAGAATAGCTACTCGCAGCTTTCGCAAATCCTGCAATACCTGGACCATGTTTTCAACTACGTTGTACGCAGTAACATCAATATTACATGACAGCAGAAACACTCTGGAGATATACAAACATTCATGAAAACCTGCTTGCCAATTGGAATCTAGCACACTGGCCATATTGTCAAGAACAATCATTGTAGGAAGACCATCGACCGCTTGGAATGCACCAACGGATTCCAGGACAGTAATAACAGCCGGTATGGAAAATGCCTTGTTGCAGTGAATTCGCGGCAAGAGTTGCTGGGATACACAGGTGTTAATACAATCTGTTCTGAATGGAAAAAGAGCAAAGTGGGCCGTACCGTTTGTATGGATTTCGCGTCAAACAACCCAGTGGTGTCGATGTGGTGCATACTGCTTTGTTCGAATGCGAGAAGAAAGTTCTCCATTATTTGTTGTACATACTACAGGTTTTGTTTGGTAAAAAGGTAAGGATAGTCAACGCGTGTGGTTTGGTTTTTTACCTTGGCTCTTCCGCTTTGAGCCGTGCCACATATTTCGGTCACTTCCCCCAATCGAATACCACCTCCCAGTGATCGATCAAGCCTACACAGTTAGGTAAATAATCAAAAGGACCTATTTGAACACAAGCCCCAATAAAAGCCCTTACGTGGCGAACCCTGTGGAAAAGGTCACGACATCTTTGGGTTGAAAAGACGCTTCTTTAGCCATACTATCCAGGATAACTTGTTCTCGGAAAGCGCGAATTATCTGTTTCAACATGGTACGATTAACATCAATCAAGATCCGCAATGTATCATTTCCTTGATGTATTTACTTGTCGGCGAGAGTTGGTCAGTGAAACGAGCGAATCGAGATTGGCCTGGAACAGATCATGAACTGAAGCTTGGGTTAATGGCAAACTTTAGTGGCGCACGAAGTTAACTGGAAAGAGTCTCGTTACCGGTATGGATGCTACATTGCTGCAGTTTATCAACGAGCGGCTGGTAGTAATGTTGCTGTGCAATGGACCATTGACGTACAAGTGCCTTGAGTTTCCGCATATCATGCGAAAAAAGAAGCAAAGTGTCAAAAAAAAAGTAGGTGCGAGATACCAAATTAGGCAACCATTAGATAGAGAAATGGTCGTTTCCCAAAAAAATTATTTGCCCTTTGTCAGGGAAATCCCAAAAAAGTCATGTCTTTTGATATTGAGTGGTCGAAATTGGACAAGGAACTTGCAGGGCATGTGCAGCAATTTCTGAATGACCACTTTCAAAAGATTACTAAACCTTCGTTTATCGGAGACATTGAAGTCACCAGCTTTGAATGGGGCCACGAAACGCCAACCATCGAGATTACCAACATCACCGATCCGTTTCCCGAATTCTATGAAGAAGAAGACGACGACGACGTTCAAGAACAAAGCATCAAGCCACCCCACGATGATACCCATTCTGTCCCCATGTCTATGCCTTCCAGTCACCCGGCCTCCACCGCGAGTGAAGTGGATCCAGACTCGGCATCGGTGTCTTCACGTCCTCCTCCCCTCGTATTGCCTCTCTCGCAGCAACAGCGATTTAATCTCATGCATTCTTTTCATCGGTCTCCCCTTGTCGCTCCTCAACATCCATTCAGCAGTACACCCAACTACTACTTTTCTCCCACGTCCACATCGCCGACATCGGGAGCGGCCGTTTCTCCACGCTGGATGTCCCGTCGTCCGTCTACCACCTACGAAGAAGATATGATTGATGACGACGAACGACTGCTCATGCAAGCCAACCCAGCAGCCCCATCGGTTCAATCGATGCAGTCGCAAAAGGAAACGCAGATGGATTTCCAAGCTCACCTGCTGATTTCGTATACGGGCGATATGAGTATGACGTTACTGACCGAATTGCGCATGAATTATCCTTCCATGATGTTCATGAGTTTACCTATCCAATTGTGTGTTCGGCGCATCGAATTTGAAGCCACAGCGGTGGTGGCGTATATTCAAAGCATGAATCGCGTCTGTGTATCCATGCTGGAACCTGTTAATGATGGATCTGGTTTTCGAAAAGATGTGGGATTGGAAAGGTAGAAAGTACAAGGTGTTTTTGCCTCATAATGGGATACTCACTGATGCCTGATAGTTTATTAAAAGATGTACATATTGAATCCATTGTCGGCGACAAACAAAAGCAAGGTAAAGTCGGATGGATCATGACAAGGATTTTACCACACGAACCATCTTCTCATTCAAATCAGTGTTGAAGAATGTAGGAAAAATCGAGAAATTCATTGTGGATCAACTGCGCAAAATGTTGGACGATGAGCTGGTCTTCCCTTCATATCAGTGCATTCTCATGGATCATTAATCAATCACCATAGACCGCATTTTCTTTTCATCCATTGATAGCATATACCAAAAAAAAAAAAGAGTACATTGAGAAATCGACTTTTTTTTCCCTTTTTTGTCTAATTGATGTATAAAATACAATAGTCTACTTTTTTTACTGCTTCAGGCCGCAGTGACGCAAGAGAGCTTCTATATCTACTTCATTTCTACCGCGGAAATCTCTCCATACTTCGTGAGGGGCGGTACCACCTCCCAGAGCTAAAACGGTATCACGGTACCGTTGACCAATCTGTTTCACGGCTTCGGGGCCCTCCTTGGCAGCTTCCTCAAATGCTGCATATGCATCCGCTGAGTAGGTCTCTGACCATTTGTAACTATTATTGTTTATACCATCCTAAGTGAGTACAAAAAAGAGCGAATAGGACCGTCAGTGGGGTCACTTACCTGTAATAGCCTGCACTGTAAGCACCGGCAAAGATGTGACTGAAACTGCACAGGAATCGATCTTCTGGAATACGAGGGATCAACACGGTATCCTTGGCGATTTTGGCGTCAACGTCAAAAATGCTGGGATCGGATTCCGAAGCAGGGGCCTGGAAACGTGAATGAAGTGCTAGATCGACTTTGGCAAAGTGAAGCTGTCAAATATAATGGAAAATATTGAGTGCCCTGACCAATCGCCCGAAACCATTCACTGCATCAGTTTTTACCTGTCGCAAAGTAGCAAGACCGCTCAGGAACTGACGGTTTTTCACTAGGGCATTCACCATATCTGAAGGCATCTCTTTTCCTGTCTTGTAGTGACCAGACAAACGCTTCAACCAATGTGGCTCACTGCAAAAGTTTTCCATAAACTGAGAAGCAACCTACAAAATCACCGCCAAATCATTAAAACAACCCTACTTCCTTGTTGATGTCTCCCATAAAAATACCTCGACGAAATCCCATTCAATGCCATTGACACCGGAAGCGGGCGAATAATCCACACGGGTCATCATCTAGCGCGCGAAAATAATACAAAAGCTCAGCAAAACATTCTCTTGTCGTTTTGCATCGATACTTACGTGCTGCAAACAGTGTCCAAATTCATGGAACAGGGTCTCTACATCTCTAAACTTCATCAACGAAGGTGTGTCGGCGGAACGAGGTGCAGGTTGATTGCAAATAAGATAGGCTTCACATAGAGAAACAAGTAGAGTAAGTTTTAGTGATACGGTCCATTAGATTTGACTTTGTTCCATCTTTTGCTTACCAACAGGTAAAGTCAAGTCGCCATTGGCGTGTTTGGTTCGACTGCTGACAATATCCATCCAGGCTCCACTGCGTTTCTCGGCCGGGCGCGAGTAAAAGTCGCCATAAAAGTAGGCCTTCACTTGGCCTTTCTCAGACACTTCAAATACTTTGACGTCGTCGTGCCAGGTCGTGATCTTGTTTTCCACCAATTCCTTGCCAGACATTTCTCGTACTTGGATACCCAACACCTCATTCGCCACGTCAAAGAGACCTTGCAGCACTTTGGGGAAAGCGAAATACTCGGAAATGGTTTCCTCGTCGTATTTGAAAAGTTCCTTGCGATACTGTTCAGACACAAAGCCAGTATCCCACGGGGCCAAGGGCGTAGGATGGTTCAACTTGGTCTTTGCAAATTCAGTCAGCGTCGCCACTTCCTGCTGGGCATGATCGCGGGAAGCCTTAAATAAACTGTCAAGCAGAGATTCAGCCGCAGGCACGGTCTGAGCCATTTTAACTGCCAAAGACAAGTCGGCATGGGTCTCGTAACCAAGGAGCTTGGCTTTCTCCTGTCGAAGACGGAGGATCTCATTGATGATGGGTTCGTTGTTCACATTGCTTTCCGAAGCCTTGGTGATATTCGCTCTGTAAATCTGTAGGATAAGAGATAAAGTCATGGGTGTTAGAACACGACCCTATTTTTTAGCTGTTTGCATTGTTCCATTTTACCTTTTCACGAAGCGCTCTGTTCTTGCAATTCATCATCAAGGGACCGTAGATTGGGAAATCCAAGGTGATGCAGTAACCGGACTCCAACCCTTGCTGTTGCGCATTCTTTTGGAGTAATTCGAGAAAAGCATCCGAGCAGCCTTCCAATTCCGATTTGTCAGTAACGACGTATTTGAAAGCCTTCGTAGCATCCAACACGTTGTTTCCAAAAGTTAACGAAAGTTGCGACAAACGTTCGGAGAGCTCGTTGAATCGTTGTTTTTCGGCACTGCCTTCGGCCAGTCCAATACCGGCATGCTTCATTTCCCTCAAAGCTTGATCGACAATTCGCTGTTGCACCTTGTCCAATCGTTGCCACTCATCCGAATTCTTGAGTTGTTCAAGCACCTTGTACTTTGGAGCCGACTGATTCATGAGCAATCCCAATTTGATAAACTCGGGCTGGATTTGTTCCAAGGTAGACCGGATTTCGGGGCTGTTGCGAACGCCATTCAAATGCGACAAGATGCCAAAAGCGCGCGAGATCTCGTCTTCCAGCTGGGACACTATAATAACTTTATGAGCCTTTCAACGTACACGTATAAACCATGTTGCCCTCCAATGTTAATCTCGATTACGTGCATTGGCCAATCGATCCGTCCCAAGTAGGCTCCAGCTTTTTTTCCATTTCCAGAAACTGTTCGCGAGCGGAAGTGATGAGCTTTTGGAACATGGGCACGGCTACTTTGGGTTCTGTCAAGGTCAACAAGTGCTGAAAATCAGGAAAATGCTTCCATTGGAGAAAAGGCATCTTGTTGTGGTTGTTGTGCTCGGTGACGGTGGCCATGGTGCGCAGTGCCATGGGAGACCATGATCGTGAGGTCGCATAGGTTGCAGGAAGGCGACCCAAAGCTCGGCTTGTTACTGTTCTTGCCAAAGTCGGCATGAGAGGTCGCAAGCTACGTGTAGTTGTGCCTTTCGCAGCCGCATTCACACTTTGACGGATCGTTGTTCGAGTCGCTAATCGATGCATTTTCTGTCAGCAAAGTAATCTGTGAGTGAAAAGGCGGCCAAGGTGGACTTAGCTTCTTTTTTTTTTCGGGCCTTCCGTGCCCGCTATTTTCAATTTCCGCCAAGCAAAAATTGGGGGCCTGTTCTCGCGGACAAGCGGACCACCATGGAACGTTTGTATCTCAAAATGGATCTTTGAACCATTTGTCGTCTTACAAAGCAAAATCAATGGATAAACAAAATGTTGATACGATGTATCGATGAGCGATCTGCATGAATCAGCGTGTTGTCATGACTCGTAGCGTAGTCTAATGCACGCAACAGGGTGTTGTCGTGTTACAAAAACATATGAATCCATTCGCATGAAAAATGCATGTTCTAATTGCATGCAAAATGCATCATAAACAAACGGGAAATAATCACAACGGCCCTTTGTGGCTTTTCTTTGTGTTTTTTTCTTCCTTTTTTGTACTGAAATATCAAAGGGCTGAATCGAGCGATTTAGCATGCAAAAGGATTCATGGTGTACCATTACAGAAGCTAGCAACAACGAATAATGCAAGCTTCTTACTGCCAAGGACAAGGCAACCGTGTCTAATGGCTAAACGTGCCTGAATTGCTTCAATCTAAATTAGATCGCCGCAATACCTATACGCTGTCTATGTTTAACCAATGAGTATATAAACCCCTTTTATATTGTATCAAGTGCTTGGAGAGGAACACAGTGATCGCAACCTGGATAAAATGCTCTTTGTTCAAATTGACGTATAAATTTCACAAGAAAAGCAACAGATTGATTGGTGATGAGTGTTGATGACTGTCGATGACTGCTGTAAAACGGCAGGCATTGCTGCGGTTGAGATGATCGCGCGAAAAAATTGGTTTCAGTTTCACCAATCAATGCACATGGCGCGCATATCGTCTCACACAAAATCAAGAGAGATTAAAAAGAAAAAGTGCGTTGATAAGTTTTCATACTTGTAGTGGAGATGGGTGGCAGCTTGGCTCCGCTTGCTCGGTCGACGATGGACATCACTTTGGGTTATTGCACGTGACTGAAGGAAGCTCCGGTGGTTGAAATCAACCGAGTTGTTGAGTTTTGACCGTCGAAAAGGCGAAAACTGATTTTGTGTTTATCTTTGCATTTTTACTTTTGCTTTTTTTATTTCTTGCTCGCGGCTTGCTATTTTCCCTTTTTTCCTCTCCCCTATTTGTCATTTTCTTGTATAACCGTTGGCCATGTCCAGTCATGGTGATGAAGGGGCTAGTAAACGCCAGCGAGTGAGTCGAGCATGGTAAGCATGGCCATTGCCCCCCCCTTCCGCCCCTCAGTTTTGTACGATCTTGCCACTGACTTGAAATTTCAACGAAACGATGCATCACCATAGCGATCTGTGTCGACGCAAGAAAATTAAATGCGACGGCTTAACACCGGTTTGCAGCAACTGTCAAGCGTTCACTTTGGAATGCACGTATAAAGATACGACGAAAAAGGTACCATAGTCCATTTCCCCCGCGCCAAAAAGAAGAACCCCAATTCCAATCAACAAAATCCCAGGGTCGATAGTAGAATTTAATTGATTGACGATTGAATGCTAGAGAGGCCCGCCCAAAGGTTACATTGAAGCCATTGAGAATCGACTCCATAAACTCGAGCGGTTCTTGCTAGAGGTGGTGCAGGAGGATGATCCAAAGTCGCAGGCATTGCTGGCTGAACTCCAATCGCCGCTTGAAACGGCGAGTGGAGAACAAATTAAATCTCGACCGATGCGTCGTCACCATCAACATCCAGGAGATCCCAAGAAACCCAGCAGTTCCCAGTCGAAAACAAGCATGCAAGAAGCCGGATCCAGTGCCTCACCTGTGACTCCTTCTCAAACATGCTTGTTGAACAGTCCTTCCTTGAGTCATCCCGGTTTCCCAGAATCCCCCAGTAGTCCTGATTCGGTGAATGATAATACAGCCCAGGGCCAACTCTCCATGGACGAAAGTGGCCATGTGCGTTATTTAGGCAAATCATCAGGATACTATTTGCTCCAAAATAGTCGCACGTATCAAAATGGCGCCTTTCATTTTTCCGGTTATGGACATAAATATTCCACTCATCACAAACTCTCGGCCCCTAATCCCTTGGAATTACCACCACCCGATCTGTCGGACCATCTCATTGCAGTTTATTTTAAATACTTTTACCCGTTTTTACCATTATTTTACAAGAAGAAGCTGGCTTCATGCATGAAACCATCCGGCGATCCTGTTTCGCCTTTATTACTCAACGCTATCTATGCTGTGGCCTCCCGTATTTCTCCCGACGAACGTGTAAGGTCCGATCCTGCCTCAGCCGATACCGCGGGCGATATCTTTTTTGAACGAGCCAAACGACTTTTGGACGATTACTACGACACGCCTGACATTTCCACCGTGCAAGCCCTACTCTTACTCGCCAGTCATCAACAAGGTGCCATGAAATCAGCCCGAGCTTGGATCTACAGTGGCATGGTAAACGATCAATCTCATCAAAAAAATCAAAATATGGATTTTTCTTATCATTTAATTTTTCTTTCGTTGACCCATTTTTGACAGGCTTTTCGTATGGCTCAAGATCTTGGTCTTCATCGAAATTGTGAACATTGGAATATTCCACCCGAGGAACGAGAACGGAGAAAACGAGTGTTTTGGTGTTGCTTCATTGTTGATCGATTAACCAGTGCTATTTACGGACGATCGTCCACCTTCGAAGAACGAGATTGTGATGTGCCGTTTCCGTCGGTCGATGATGATGAGCCTATTGCGATAGATCAGGATACCAGTGCTTCGTCTCGACCTCCTGTCAGTACGATAGAGACACTCATCCATCTGGTAAAGATATGCGACATTCTCGGCCATGTTTTGAAAAATATTTATTACGCAAAGGCACGCCATCACGGACCTCCTCAACACATTGACCAGGTGCTCACCACCCTGAATCGCCAATTATCCACATGGTACCAGAGTCTTCCCATTTCACTGCAATACAAACCACCGAATACACAAAACGGCGAAACAGGTCGTGATCCGCCTTTGCCCATTTGTCAAATGCATATGATTTACTATACCACCATCATTTTATTGCACCGTCCTTTTATTCCGGGACCCGCTCATACCACGGTATCGCCCATCTCATTGCCATCGTACCAGCTGTGTTTGTCGGCAGCTGAATCGATTCTTGACATTGTCAACATCATGCTAGGAGAGAATCATTTGAAATACGTGCTGAATTACGCGGTTTACTACGTCTTCACGGCCGGTATCATTTTTATTAAAACGGCGGCGTCATCGGATGCCGAAAAAGCATTTGATGCCAAAGTCAATATCAACAAAATCATGCATGCTTTGGACGAAATCGAGGTAACATGGACCACCGCAGCAAGAAGTTGTAACATTTTGGGAGAATTGGCCGGGTTACGTGATATCAATCTCGAATGCGGCAATCATGCGACCCGAGCCAACAATAAGGCCGCCCAACCACCGCCGCCTTCCATTGCTGTACCCAATTCGCCCGAGATGTCGCAGCAAGCGAGGAAATTGACCGCTCCTTTAGATGTCAAGCTTGGCTCGGAAGCGTATGCCGGTTCTCCGTCATGGCATGCCGCTCCCATGTCACCGACATCGCCCCGACCCATGCATGATAATCAAATGTACCCTTCATCGCAACTTTTAAGTGAAAGTTATCGACTGTCCCCCTTTTTATCAAGAAGTAGCAATGCACGATCGACGGTGATCCCGGGGCTGGAACGTGTGTATCACCGGCATCCTAATTTGGCCGCCGGTGTCGATAGTAAATTGACGGTTGATCCTTTTGCCGCTCCAGGTACGATCGTTGCCCACGGACAACACCGGCAATTTGATCCTTTAGGAACCGCGTTCTGGGGTGTACCATCCTCACTAGACGCCGATGAATGGAGCCAATATTTTGGGGCACAAGGCGCCTTTGCTCAGCAACAACAACAACACCAGCAACCAACGCCTCAGTTACCGCCAAACACTGTATCCCAGCCAGCGTTGATTCCTTCCAATGAATTCATTGCTCCCATGGAACCTTTGCGAGCACCGTACATCCAAACCAGCTCCCTGCCCTTGTCTTCCCAGCCGCAATCCGCTCCGGCCACACAGACCTACTTTTCTCGATCCGAGTATACAAAAGAACTGATTCACACCGACGACAGCGTAGACGTACTGTCGGGGGTTTCCATGCCCATTAATCTCCCGGAATCACCTTCACGCAGCGTGCTTTTAGGTTTTCTAGGGAACCAACAGACCGGTTTTGAAAAGGATGCTGCCACCAATCGAAAAGGAGCTCCCGAATCATCCGAATTGATGTATTGGTAAAATTCCTCGCATCACATCAACTTAATCAATCGTTTTCATCAAACTTGCTCTCCCTATGCTATCTTTTTTTTATTTGATCTTCATACTCTCATCAATTCTTTGTACATGTTTTTTCTTTCTTTTTCTTTAATACAAACTAGACAGTCAAGACATTTTTACTTTTCATTTTATAGTAATACATGGTCCCAATTCCGATCCCGCATTGTCTTTCTAATTAGGTACAAAATGTCGCCTACTGTATATAAATACAAAGTTTCTATTAATCTAAAATGAGAACAGCGAGACCATCCACCACGCACACACCGCCGGACACTGTAATTAAGCATTGATATACCCACTCCACAGCACGAAAGGCGTGCCATTCCACAAATTAAATCAACCCTTGCTGGCAGCCTCGGTAAAAGAAAGAGCTTTTTTTTTTTTGGTAATTCGATACTTTTTTTTTTCAACATTGCTTAAAAGTCAAAGAATACAGCATCTATTTCAAAATAATGTATCATAACAAAAGAAACAAAACAAAAATAAAGCCAAAACTGGCCGTCAACGAACATATATACGCATGTTGATGCACCCATATGTTACACTCTTCCTCCCCAGATAATTAAATTTTATGCGCAAATAAAAAAAAAAAAGAAGGAGCTAATTTACTTGCGGTTGGAAGCTCTCTTCTTCAAACGAGGTGACTGGCGAGGGCTCTGGTTCTTCAAGTGATGATCAGGGATCCAGGATTCATCCAAAACAAGGTTGCCCTTTTCATCACGATGCGTAGGACGAGCAGCAGGTTCAGTTGATTTCTTCACCTACACAAAATACGTCAGTCAAATCGTCCCCATCATAATACTATCACTTCAGGATGGTTTACCTTGACCTTCTTGGCACCGCCAAAGAACGCTTCACGAATAATGTAAGCCACACCCAAGGTACAAGCACCGAGCACAGCGTACAAGAAAAGACTAAAAAGATCGTGTAAGCATAATTTTTACCATAATTGTTTCCTCTCAACCAATATTATCATCACGTAACAAAAATTGTCTACTTACAGCTGAGGATCAAGGAAAGAGGTCTCGGGATCGCTGACGGTAATGGTGCCACTGTAGCCAACCACACGGACCAATTTTTCCTGTAATTAAGCAGTTAGAGAAAACTGACCAGACTTGCCGAGTCCACCGATCGCTACTTGGGTTCACTTACACCAATCATCATATCGATAAACACGCTCAAACCGTACTCCTTGGGAGCGAATTCGGGATAAAAGTGATAGGGAACGTTCTCGGTACCGGCAGCAGGAATGGTCACGTCATAACGACGAGCAGTTAACTACCGTTGTTTATAGCCACTCACCATTAATTGTTTGATCCTTATCATCTCGTTGGTTATCCCAAACTTACGTTGCGAACAATCTTGTCATTATCATCAGCCAAAGTAACTCGTCCAGAAATAGCCAATACGGTAGCGGGAGCGGCTTCCTTGTTGGTCAATGAAAGCACCACTTTGTTCTTTTGTCCATTCACAATAACTAGGGTAATCAAGCGTCAACAAAAAAAAACGTACTCAAGCATCAGTCTGCCTTGTCTTGAGGAATTTTTCACTTACGACCGAATGGGTTATCAGGGAACTCGGCTGTGATTTCGAGATTGGCAGACGCGCTGAATGCATCATCTTGCGCTGAAACTAGAGATACCATGGCATATCAGCTTCAAATGAAACCATAATAAAATAGACATCCTTTTTATGCCAGATTTTTTTTTTTTTTGTACAAATGGGCTTCATCGTTGGTATGAACAGGATGGTGTCTACCCATGGCGTGCCGTTCACCCAAAGAAAAAGTGCAAAAAGGAGATATTATCAAGTATACATACCAAAGACCGCTGCAAAAAGTACTAATAAAAACGTCCAGAGAGAACTGTTCTTCATGGTGGGGGATTAATAAAGCAGAGATGAGACAGACAACCTGGCGTGACACGGAAAAAAAAAAAAAGGTTTAACAGCTTTTTGCTTTTCTTGCCCATGCGTTTTCGGACTGCGATTGGCCAGTTTTTCATGGCCTTCTTTTTCTATTTTTTTACAGTCAGCGCACCCAAAAAAATGAAAAAAAAAAATTGCCTCGCTTCGCCAGATGCGCACAAAAGGGTCTGTGCCTCCCGAGTCAGTACCAAGGAAAAACCTTCCCCACTTTTTCCCTTATTTTCTCCCCCTTACTTTTCGCCCAACCACCACTGCTCACGGTCATTGAATCCATCTACTTTACTCCTAGAACTGTATGCAACCCATCCTCTTTCCTTTCTACCGTTCCGTTGTATCGAATGATCCTACATGCGGCAGGCTACACTTTTTTTTTTCATCCATCATAACAAAAACGGAAACTCACATTTAAGCCTATGGTAACTAATTGCATAACTATGATACGCTGCATTAATTCAGCTCTTTTGAATGTTTCGTATCGTGTGGGTTAAATTGGAGATAGACAATCGATGAACGTGCATTCATATTCTCTCAATCAATGATCGGGTTTTCATCCCTTGAAAAGAGAATATATAGGATGACTGGTGGAGATTGGTTCCACCACGCGCCAGTCCACAAAGTAATAATAAGCCAGTGGTTGAGATGGATAAACCTGTTTGAGTGGCTTACACGCGGAATAAATGAAAGCAAGTAATGCCACCTATTGCCACGAAAGGATGGCCTATGATACTTGTAACTGGAAAGAAAAAAAAAGGGTCAGGTAGAATTGAAATGGAACATGAAATGAATCCAAATGCGTTCTTTTCGAATCGATAGAACAAAACCATTGCTTGTGGACGCCATTTTTCGCGTCAAAATAGCAATTGCGTTTTTGGTTGAAATGATGAAGCATACACGTGGCGAGAAATCAATAGTTGATTATCTCTTTTTTTTTTATTCACCAGCAAAAAAGAATCGTCACCCCAAGGAGTTAGAGGGGAAAATCAGAAAGTTCCAACAAGGGGAGTTGATTAGAAGATCCACGTGGCGTCTTTAAGCACAAATCGACAATTCTGCTTTCGTTTGAAGAGACTGAATTGATGCTAAAAAGTCATCACATAGAATTCATACCGATTAATCCGCAAATTACTAAACTCGGCGAGCCCCACTGAACTTTCAAGCCCACGGGTCCTCAAAGGAGCTACACCAATACCGATTCCATTACCTCATTTCTTACGGTTTCCACGGATCCCGGAGCTCCTGCTCTGGGGAAATTGTGGGGTCATAATAAACGTGCTCAACATTATTTCTCTTTTTTTTTTTGCCATTCATTTTTGGCACGCTTGGGTTTTCCGCGGACAAGGGGAGGAGGACAAAAAAAAATGACAGTTTTAGAGCTAGATGATAGGTCTCACGTCAACAAGCATAACAAGGTGTGCAATGTATGGGAAACCTGAACAACAATAAAGATTCATGAAATGATGATATTGTCATGACACATCATTGCCATAGAATTGAATAGTTATGGAAAACAAAAATTTTAGTCCCGGGAAAAATGGGTCTCTGACAGAAAGAACAAAGGGTCGGCCTAGGAGATGAAATGGTGAAAATAAAAAGGGTTTTGAAGCTTCTTTTTTTTATACAGACACAATGAATGAATGCATTTTAAAGGGAGCAAGGCAATTGTCGGACTCCACAGAACCGCCATTCTTTTCAGAAATCTCTCTTTTATAGTTTGCATCACGTCGACATCGATCAGGACAAGATACCAGCAAGATTTGAGTTTTAGTAGCACATCGTTGGTTCGTTGGTTTAGGGGTTGGACTCTAAAAAAAGGTGGAGAACCCACTCGGCGCGCAATAAAAAAAATGGTGAGGAGAAAGACGTGAGAATTCCAAACTGTGACCAGTAGCCTCGACTTTGCTTCTCGCTCGTGTACCGTGTCATGCCAAGGTGGTTTTTATGCGAGTCTTTGCTTTTACTTGTTCCTTTTCTTAGTTTTTGTTCGTTGCCCAAGAATTGTTTCTATTGTTACCGTTTAGGCAACGGTTCAGACGGGGATCGTAATCCGTTTTATGTGGCTGGATGATTTATCGCAAAGTAACAATAAAAGACACGCTAAAGGCGTGTCGGGGGACCATAAATCAGGGGGGATTGACTATTTTAGGTAGGCCCGATTTGGGCACGAAAATAAGGGGCTATCAAAGCCATTTTGATTGCCTCGAAATTCTTTTTTTTTATGGAAGCTAGTTTGCCTCGCACCAAGCAAAAAAGAAAGTAAAGGGAGGTGGGAGGATGAGGAGAACCCCAGTTGCCCAATGTGAATATTTTGTGAAATGATGCTGTTCAATCAAGTGATACCCGACACAGACAATGCTCCTATTCACTGGCTAAAATGATGTAAAGAACATGAGAGCGCTCGTAAGGTTACCCATCCCATGAGGTGGGTTGGCAATTCAAGCTTTATTTTTACTTTTTATTTTTTTTTCCCGTTCTTACTGAACTTCACTATATATAAAACCCCATCACTCGTTTTCCTTCATCATCGTTATCTTTTTGTTCAAGACCGTTTCCTTCTACTTTTTTCTCTTTCCCATTATAATTATTTTCCATTCCTTTAGACTTTTTAATATACATAATGCTGGCCCAACATGCTCGTCACCCCATTGCGCGTCACCCCCACGTGTTGATTAATACATTCATTGATCGTGGTTCCATTGAGTTGGTGTCCCTCTTAGGGGTCGGTGCTTATGGCGTTGTGTATCTGGGATATCACAGTCGCTCCAAGCAATACTACGCTGTCAAATTGATCATTAACGCCAAAGCCATTGACAACGAAATCCGCATGCATTCTCGTGTCACCGGTCATCGGAATATCTTGACCTTGGAAAAAGTCGTGGTAGAAGGTGGCAATACGTACATGATCCTCGAGTACGCGACCGGTGGCGATCTGTTTTCCGCGATTACTCGTAAATCCAGCAACATTATCGGCAACACGGAAGCCATTCGCCACATTTTTCTGCAAATTTTGGACGCCGTTCAACACTGCCATCAGCGAGGTGTTGCGCATCGCGATTTGAAGCCAGAAAATATCCTGTTGTTTCCTGATCTCCACGTTAAACTGGCCGATTTTGGTCTGGCCACCAGCCAACCGGTATCGGCGGAATTTGGCTGCGGGTCCACTTTTTATTTCTCACCAGGTACGCCCTCTTTTTTCTTTTCTGTGCTACAGCCACAACGCATTCAGTGACCTAACCTATCGTTGTTGCATTAGAATGTCAAGGTGGATTGATTCGAGATCATCAGCGTATCAAGGGCTACGGTACTCAACAGAACGATATCTGGAGTCTCGGTATTATTTTGATCAATCTGACGGCGGGCAGAAACCCATGGAAACAAGCAACGATGCAAGATCCTACGTTTGCTGAATATGCTCGTCAGCCTCGTCGATTTTTCCGTACCATCCTGCCTCACTTGTCCAAAGATCTGGATTACATTTTGTCTCGCGTTTTTTGTCTTGATCCTGCGCGACGTATCTCGCTTCCTGAACTTCGTCTTCGTATTCTCGAATGCTCTTCATTCTTGCGTCACGAGCAACGAACATTGACCGTAACGAATTCTTTGATCACCAAAGCGACTTTACCGTCCATGATCACCACCACTCGTATGCAATACAATGAGTCATTGGCTCAGACCATGGCCGCCTACGTTGGTGGCTTTATCGATGACAACGATTCTTTCATGCACTGTTCGCCCATGCCCAAGAAGCACGTTGCGTGTCTTGCTCCTATGCCAATGGCACCATCCTCGCCTCCTTCATGTTCCGAGACCTCATACTCTTCCACCTCGTCTATTGCTTCTATGGAATGTCCTCCCACACCGCCCATGGCATCCTCTTCCCCCTTTGACTCCAAGAAAATTCGCCAACTTACCGGCGTGGATGCACCGCCACATCCTTCATTGACCGATATGATTTACTGAACCTCTCAATTATTGCCATAATCTCACCTTCTAATCATGTTTTTTTCTCAGTATCCTTCTTTTTTCTTTAACTTTTTACATATCATGCAGGTACTGGGCATGCGAGATTTTCTGTCAGGAACGCTCCCTTACCTCTCTCTCTCCCCACGTTTCTCAACCTCCCTTTTTACTGATTTAAGAATTCTTATTTCTTTTTTCTTTCTTTGTTTTCTTATTGCTTTTTATATTTATACCTAGACTTCTTTTTATATTACATTTTTAAACAGTTTATTTCTTTGACTGCATGTGTCTCTTAGGTTCAACCTATTTTACATTTATTTATATTTTTCATGGTCCCCTCTCTCCCCATTCAAATTATATACATCCATACAGATCCTCACAGAATAAAATGAATACACGTGGCTTGATGCATTTCAAAAGAAAATTGAAAGCTACTTTTCGTCAATACAGCGATTCCTTGAAAGAACAACCGGGGGGGGGGAAAGAAAAGTAAAACATCAAAATGTGCGATTCCTAGGCCGCAAACGTGGTCTTTTCAATGCAGTAGTAATTGACTGATCGACCGATTCTTTGGAAGCCATTGCAACCCCTTTAACCATTGAATACCCACCCAGTCAATCACAACGTAAATGGTAGCGAAGGATGAGAATAGCTTTCTTGGAATTTTGAATATGAATAGCATGCCCGCGCTGCTCAATTCTGATAATAACCCCATACAATTATACCCGACGATGCCGATTCTTACAAGTCCTTGCCAGTTTCCGCTCGTAGATTGACTAACCACATGGCAAAAGAGATAGATTCCCCTCGACATAATTGTGGTTGCAACCCACATGAGTTTTATCATTATGCTCGTTGGCATATCTACGATTTTTTTCTGTATGCATGTAAAGGGAGAAAAGGACCGAACCTTCAATGAATATATCTTTCCTTTTTTCATCAGTCTTGTTGATCAACCTAGCCCATCCACGCTTGGACCTCAAAGAACAACGAACAAAGAAAAACGAAATAAAAAGCACAGATAAGAAACAAAATCCTATTCCCGGAGAGCCCTATTGAGGAGAGTCTGGATCGGTTCACGTTTGCCGGTTTAGGTCTGCATCTTTCGCTTATCTCTGAGGATTCTTTAATTTTTATTTAAGCCCAAGTCAATATTCCCGCGGTTCAATTGTTCTCGCACTTTTCTCAAAGTGGTCACCAACCCTACTCTATCACCTCAAGGAGATGCAAGCTTTCAATGATACTCTGTTTGCAGTTTTCGTAATAGTCAAACCATCGTTATTTATTGCACAAGGTATGCTTCAACGTGGCTCGTAGAGGCACAAACTTATGCGTACAAGAAAGACGGATGCAGAGCCTTGGTTAAATGAAAATAGTTCGAATGAATACATTCAAACCATTCGGCAAAAAGTACGTGCTAGATACTCCGTTGCTTGATACTTCCGACAATGTTCCATTTGGCGATCTTCACGGTTCATATGTTTATCAGCTCTCCTTTACCCTTTAGATCCAATATCAGGCTGTGAAATTTGACGATCAACGATACGCACTTCTTTCGCTACCAAACAACGGTAACTCAATAGGTTGATTGTGTTACGGTGATAAGTAGTCCCTGACGTTGGCGGTAAACACAAAAGAAATATAAAAACGCCAAAAGTGGAGACGATATTGTTTTGAATGAATAAATCGCAGAAAAAAATAAGATGAGATGAAAAAGAAAGATGTAAGCATATGATGCGGATCGCAGAAAGAGAAATACTTCATCGGCCAAAAGAAAAAGGTCGACAAGGGTGTTATCGATGGTATTAGCGAAATATGGGTGGACGATTCATTTTGTTACGTTGCAGTCGTAATATAAGCCAGTCGATGGCGTCCTTCACACCATGTCTACATAAAGGAAGTAAGATGAACTGTCTATTTTATCCATAAAACAATGGTTCGAAGGATTGCCACTTACCCTTCCAGTGCACTGACAGGCAGCACCCTTGAATCGCGAGCGCCTAGTTTAACGGCAATCTTGTTAAAGACTTCCTTGATCTCTTCCACGCGTAAAGCATCCGGTAAATCTTGTTTGTTGGCCAACATGAGCAAAGGCACACCTTCTACTGCGTCATTGGTAATCATCTTTTCTAAACGTGGCTTCATCGTTAAAACGCTGCTTTGTTCACACAGGAACTTTTTTTTTCTAAAATGGCCACATGCATACCAAAGGTATCTTTGCACTCTTCCAATCGTTTACTATCAGTTGAATCGACAACGAATACAATAGCATGGCATTCGCTGTAGTAACGTTCCCATAACGATTGAAGATCGCGTTGCCCGCCTAAATCCCAAAAGTTGATTCTCGACGATTTGATGTCGACCCGGCCAACTGCAATGGCAACATGAAAAGGAATTCAGTAATAGGAAACAAAATGATAACATATTAAACGCACTGTTTAGACCGACGGTGGGCGCTATTTTATCAGGTGGCAGGCTTGATACGCCCATAAATACGGATTTTATGCGTTCCAACAACGTCTAACAGAGGATGGGCGAAGCTTCGTTTTAAGTGGATTCGTATTTTGGCAGATAGTTACACGGTTGAGATAGTTACGGTTTTTCCTGCATTATCCAGCCCAATAATCAGGACATAGTATTCTTCTTTTCGAGTGAGATGATTGTATAAGCCGCTTAATAATGTATACATGCGTTATAAGGTTTTGCGGGATGCCGCCTCGTTTTGCTGCAAAAGCAAGTGGGAAATTTGTGACTCTTGAGCAAATCGCATCGCCACCATTGTAACTCCGCCATGAGCCTCAGCTGACCTGAGGGATGTGCCCGAAGGGAAAGACGCCAGATCGTCCTTGTCCCACTTGGGACGGAATACACCTGCACAATGCAATTCAATAGAGGCATCCACCTTTTTTTTTCAAAAGCTTGTAGTAGTACTTTTAAAAATTAAAAAAAGGCAGCAAACTCGTTGGTTTGGTCATTGGGTGAATTGCAACATTATGTCCCTGGTAGTTGCAGCTTTGCTTACATTTTTCTTTACAAACTTCTGTCCGTCAGTGGGTTTCATGATGCATTTACAAAATTGATTCATTCTTTATCAATGGTCAATGATAAGGCCATCGTATTGATGATAGGGATGCTGGCGGGACCAGGAACGATGACAACTCTCACTATGGAAAGCGTTCTTGCGGATCCAAAAGAAGGTTCGTTGCAAACGCACCTGCAACATTGCATGATATTCCTTTCGGCAATTGATTTTGCATAGGCAACACATATTATGCATCCCTTGGCCGACAAGGGTGCTGTGTTGCCGTTCACGGCACCGACCCATGTCCGCAATGGTTCCGTAGACAATCACGCAGAATTTTTTTTAACTTATTTAAACCCGACGAAAAAATTCAGGGCACGTTCAAAATCATGGTGAAGTATCCATTCCTTTTTGCTTGACCTTGTATCTCCACCGTATCCGGGGTTCGGTGGACAGGCGATTCTCCACCTTATTGTACCTTTGAAGAATGTAGGGACGACGATGAACAACAACTTTGCGAAGCGAGCACGCTACAGGAGCTTATTATGGACTGCAAAACCCCCGAGTGTGTTACCACTGACTTCGGCCACGTTTCCTGCATGGTCGGAAAGAGATATTGTTGCGGACCTCTTCCCTAATTGCTACTCGAATTTATCTTTGACATAAAGCAAGCTTTTGTTGTAGCGAATAAATGTGCAATGCGCAATCCACAGCGCAGTTTCTAAATTGGAGCAATGTTGCGGTCCCCCAAGCCTCAAATCAAGTTTGTTGTGGCAGTCGTCCCAACACATTTGGAAGCTTCAAAACATGGTCAAAGCTGATGTCGAATTAGAAAAATATGAAACATTAAATGGTAATAACGGTAGTCCATAATTAGTGATCGATATACGCCAAGTAGGAACGACTGACCAATCCATTTCGTAACATGATCGTAGTCCTCTAAGTTTTTGCAGCTTGAGATCCTCTGTCGCAATGCTTATGGTAAAAATCAATATTCACGTAAGAAGGTCTTGCTTCAGTTTTCTCAATCCAAAAGTACATTTATTGATATAAAATGTAAAACTGAAAGCAGTCTAACGCCTGATGCGTTATCTTACGGCTTTATTAGTAGCATCAGTGTCTCACTCTACGTAGAGCATTTTGATCAATTCATTAATCATCGATTGCGCGACAGGTTCTCCATTCGCCCACGCCAAAATTAGCACATGAGGATTCCGTGGGCGGCATACTTCATGTTCGGTAAGCTGACAATATTGGGTTGTACGAATGGATTGACAGAACTTGCACTCTTCTTTTTAATTGGTCTAGAAATCTTACCTTTTTCTACTTTTTTTCTTTTTTTTTTTGGTTTTTACAGTGGGAAACAGCCTGGTCTGCTCTCTCTTCGGCGCGGCTAAATAACGAGCAGTTTCATGGTGAGTGGCCTTCTTCCCTTTTCCCTCTAATTTTTTTAATTAAGTCGTACTAAAAGCAGCATTTTTTTTTTTGGCAGAGCTACGGCGAGCTCTAGTTGGTCTGGTCCAGGTCCTTTCCTCGGTTGTCCTGGTGTCCGTCAGGAACCATCCCTACCGGTTTGGGCGTTTGGGTTTTCCTTCACCCTGTCAAGCAACGGTTTCTTTATGAGACATCACCCCGTGGCTGCTACTGCCGTCGTTGCTGCACCCCGGCTTTATACAGGCGCAACTCTGTATAAAACGTCCGCAGGAGAGCCGGTGCTTCCTCAACGGAGTCAGTCATCGGCTACGCTTCCTCTTGTGGCGGTCCCCCATTGCAGATGGGCCCAGTAGTGATGTGGGTTGCCCGTGACCTAGAAGCCTGAATGGTGTTTCCAGAAATTGATCCCACATCCGTTATTCCTGAATAAGCTCAGTCTAATGGTGGGATGGGTCGTTGTAACGACTTCCAGTATTTACGCGCCCTATGAAGGAAGGTAACCGCGTCTGGCTTTTCTGGCCCTGTTTCTATCTTTCCCCTTGACGCAGAGACCAGGTGCATTACAGGTCCGGAAATGGACAACCGTACGCTGTCTTTGAAGCGTAAGCTATTCTGCTGAGCCTGTGGGATGGCGAAGGCATCCCTCCATAGTTGTTGAAATCTTATGCGGTCCAATATACCGACTCCGTCGAGAGGACAAGCAGTCCCAAAATCAAAAAATAGAAGTCAACAGATGTGCTCCTTAAAGAAGAGTGCCTTTATTGAGTAACCAAACTATAACAATCTTGTATCATGACTTTTTGAGAAATGGATCGAAGGAGACAAAGTCCAACAAATTACCATTGGGGCTATTGTATCTAAGAATATGGAGTACTACATCGACATTGGCCACCAGTTGCTGCAAAAGAACTATATCCGTATCCAGGGTGGTATCAGCGTTACCAAGGGGTGTCTCGGTGCTGTGAACTATGGAAAAGTGTGGCAAAGTTGTCCGACCGGCCTCATCGATGGCGCGCATTGAGAAGCAGTTGTCGCAAAAGTGCGTCTTCCTATCAAATGGAGTTGATTCACATTCCGTGCGATGTGAAAGTGAATTTCAAGTTCACTGGTTATGGCCTTATCGCTCCAGCGCAGCTGCCAGTGGACCTTTGGACAATTTTGTTGCTCAAAGTAAGTTTCTCTCGGGTGTTTTTTTCATTTGACAATTTAGTATGCTTACCTGAAAACACTCCTGTTGTATCTTTAGGCCAATCTGCGACTGAAATAACGAGAGATACTTGGCGCAGTCTTGTTTCGCGCTTTTTGGTGAAGAGTCAGTCTCCGTTTACGCTTGTCCAATTGCCCGAGTCCGTCAACTGGTTGCCACTGCTTCTTCGGTGCGCAACGGTATGATTACTGAGCCAGTCAGCGCCGACACCGCCAAGAGAGACATTGCGGCGCTTTACGAAGAGAAGAAGATCGAGGTAATGGAGCTCTTGCAGCAGAAGTAAGTCTCTCATTTACCCTCGATCTTTGGACATCAGAATGGGGGCAAGATTTCTTTGCAATCACGGCCCATTTTATTGACGACAACTGGCAGCAACGGGAGCTTCTGATTGGGTTTGAACACCCCGAAGATCGTCATACTGGTGAAGATCTGGCTGATATCTTCTTGCGCGTTCTCGAAGATTTTGGGGTGGTGCATCTCTTGTTCACCATAACCAGCGACAATGGCTCGAACATTGCCAAGATGGCAAAGGTGCTGGAGGAACGATCGATGCAGGATGGCAGATTTTTTTTTAACAAGGATCACCATCACTTACCTTGCTTGGGCCATATTTTGAATCTTGCCGTCCAAAGTGCCTTGAAAGATGGGTTGCATGCAGAACCGTTGGCTGACAATGAGGAAGAGCATGGCCAATCCAGCAATGTGGTGTCAAAATTGCGAACCGGGATCAAGATGATTAGGTATGTGGAGTAATACAAAAAATGAAAATGGGCTTTTATCAGAGAACTAATTTTACTTGTAGACGATCGACCTCGAAGTACCGAAAGTACTATATTGATTCATGCAAGAGTTTGTACCATGAGGTCAAGCAATTGAACCTTGATGTGAAGACTCGGTGGAATTCCACCATGGTGATGGTGGAGCGAGCGCTGGAAGTACGAGAGGCATACAATGAGACGTGCCGTTATTTTTCTGAACTTTCCGAATTTGCGCTCTCAGATGAGGATGTGACCTATTTGCAACGAGTTGTTGTCCTTTTTTCGATGTTTTCGGGGATGACAAAAGGCGGTTTCTTCGTCAAGGTATGAAATATAGCTTGAATTTTGAATTTACACGACTTTCTGATGGTTTTGAAAATGGGTATCCTCCGCTCAACATCGTAGTCTTTGCATACAATGTATTGCTCGATCAGATGGAGGATTTCCGTGATGAAAGAAATCCGCCTGAGCTCTTCGAAGCAGCAAGAAGAGTACAGGAAAAGCTGCAGCAATTTTATGCCAAAACAGACCAAAGCCCTGTGTATGCGACGGCAACAGCATTGGATCCGCGATTAAAGTACGCGTACTGGACGGAACAGAACTGGGAGCCAAAGTTCATTGCCGATGCGAAGTGCAAAGTTCAGTCAGCTTGGGCGGAATGGAAGGCCCCGATCATGTTGAGGAAGACAGAAGTGACGACGTGCGCGATGTGTACCGACCGAAAGACGCCGGGTGCTTGACCCGTTGCAAGCATATGTGGAGGCACCTTTGCTGATTGAGGCCGGACCCAGCAATGACGATGAAGACAGCTGTGAGCTTTTGTTTTGGAGAAGATGGCACGCAAATATTTTGCCATTCCAGCAACATCGACACCATGCGAGCGGTTTTTTTCTCGTGCCAAGCATTTCATTCCTGCTGTGCGCAATCGGTTGAGCCGTTGAAGCAGAGTATCCTTTTGAACTCGTGGCTTTACATTGGCCCCAACATCAGAGTCGTGCCGAGTGCCATCAATCCAAGGGCAGCAAAGGTGTTCTACCGCCAAGCAGCATTGAAGCAGTTCAAAGAAGCAAGTACTATCGAGAGATAGTAGGCCACCAATCAGTGTTGTATGGACATTTCTAGCCAACGGCAACTTATCTCAGGCTTCCACCACTCCTCGACCTACAATTTCTGGCGTGCAACTTCCCCAGGATTTAAACACCCACTACATATGCCTGTCACGGTTTTTACATTGTGCGATGTCCCTCACTTTGATGGTTACGGCGTGGGTGAACGAGCCAGTGCGGTGATTGCCTCCAAATTCTTTCAAATCTGGCTATTGCTCAACATGCTACAATGGGTCTGATCGATCTCAACGACTTCCAAGATCTAATTCGCACGTATCATACCACTTCAGAAGCAAAGAAAGATGTCAAGTGTTGGGCCGCTATTCAGGAAGCGATGGAAATCGTGCAAATGAAGACGGAAAACGGCAGCTCTTTGGTTCATTTGGGTGGATTATGTCGGGACAACAAGATCAATCTTCTGGCTCAAGAGGCCGCAAACAAGTTATCGGTTGCCAACAAAAAAAAATGCAACAAATGTGCTTGATAAGCTCAAGAAAATGTGCCTATAGGCAGTGTGTTTTATTAATTTATACCTAAATTTACGCTCTTGATAAGCTCGAGATGGTTAGTAGTTTTTTACATACATACATTTGTATTCTTTATAAGCTCAAGAAATGTGCCCCTAAGCAATATGTTTATATAGTTTTTACGTAAATTTGTTCATTTGTCTCTCGCCTGAAATTTGAAGTCAATGCCAAAAAAAAACGGCGTAGATTTGTTTCAGTAAAAAGGATGCCTCTTTATTTTGAGAAAGTGTGTATGTGCGTGTCAGGATGTATTTGGTCAAGTGTTTTCCATTTTGTTGTGACAATCATATTTGTTGGGGGGAGGCGAAGGGAGTATATTCCCAAAAATTGGTGCAAGACGTGTATCAGCGCGATTGCATGCAACAATAACATGGATTTTTTTGGAACACCCGGTAGGTTGTGCAACGTTTCAAGAGAAATCATGCGGCTTCAGAGTTGGTTGTCCGACCATGATCATTCACTGCAACCATGAACAATTCCGCAAAAGGGGGTTGGGTTGGATTCGGGTTTGGGTTGGGGAACAGAGGGAGCCAAAAAAAATCCATGGATGGGGGCCCTTTCTTTTTTTTCTTTCTCAACTGTTGTGTACTTCTGCAATGTGGTGGCGCCACCTCTGATTGAAATGAACGCCAAGACGGAAGGAAAAAGAAGAACCAAAAAGACAAGGTTTTTTAGCCACTGAGTACGCCTTTATTGTCCGCTCAAACTTAAAAGTCGATTGCCCAAAGACAAAAACAATAACATCGGAAACATCAAAGAGTAAAAAAAAAATGTATGAGGATTTTGCCATTCATCCAATTAACGTAATTGTTGTTTTCTTGTACGTACTACAAGTTATTGTGTTTACCTTTTTGTACGACAACATATTCAGCCAAAAGTTATATAAGCGTCTCTTCTTTGCTGCCCTTGAGTCGAATCTTCATACCCACTCTTCTCTTACTGGTTCTTGATTGCCTTTAATCAAGAACTTATTTTACAAGCCAAGTTTCTATAAGCAACGTCTTTTAAAGAGTACCTTTATTACTCTTCTTTTTATATTATTTTTTATTTGTGACCATCTTTCTTTTTTCTCTCTACGCCTTATTGATTCTCTTTTGTATCTCTTTCTTTCTCTTTTTATACACCTACGAAAAAAAAAACCACCTACATACCATCTTTTCTTATACAAATCTTCTTTCTTTATAACCATCAAAACACTCCAAAAACAACTTTCATTTCAATCCTAAATTCAAAAAACAAATTCAATCATGTCTATCAACACTGGTATCAATGGGTAGGTCTGAAGGAAGATAGAAAAGACGGCAAGCTTCTCTAAACATGCTTCTTTTTTTTTGTTTTAGTTTCGGTCGCATTGGCCGTATCGTCTTGCGTGCATCTCTCTTGAACGCAAAAGTAAATGTGGTGGCTATCAACGATCCTTTCATCGACTTGGATTACATGGTAAGTGAGCATGCGTGGAAATGAAATGAACCGTATCAACTTACCACAAAAAAAAGGTATATATGTTTAAATACGATTCTACCCATGGTCGATTCAAGGGAACAGTGGAAAAGAGAGACGGAAAACTGGTGGTCAACGGTCAAGAAATTGCCGTTTACGCTGAACGCGATCCTGCTGCCATCCCTTGGGGTGAAAACAAGGTCGATTATGTGATTGAATCCACCGGTGTGTTCACGACCATCGACAAGGCCGGCGCTCATTTGAAAGGCGGTGCCAAGAAAGTCATTATTTCCGCTCCTTCCGCCGATGCGCCTATGTTTGTGTGCGGCGTGAATCACGAAACATATAAACCTGATATGACAGTGATTTCAAACGCGTCTTGTACCACCAACTGTTTGGCCCCGCTCGCCAAGGTCATCCATGACGAATTTGGTATCGTTGAAGGTCTTATGACAACCGTCCACGCAACCACCGCCACCCAGAAAACCGTCGATGGACCCTCGGGTAAAGACTGGCGTGCCGGTCGTGGCGCAGGCGCCAATATCATTCCTGCCTCGACAGGTGCTGCCAAAGGTAATATCAATTCAACTTTTTATTTTTTTAACGAAACATTCCATCTCATCAGTATCCATTTTTCCTTTCGCATTCGCACTACAGCGGTCGGAAAAGTCATTCCAGAACTCAATGGTAAATTGACCGGTATGTCGTTCCGTGTTCCTAATCCGGACGTTTCAGTGGTCGATCTTACGGTTCGATTGGAAAAGGTAAATACGTTTCAACCTTCTTCTTACGTCAAAAGATCATCAAGTTGACTCATGCTTGCTTTTTCGTGTGTGCGTGTGTGTGTGTGACAGAGCGCATCCTATGACGAAATCAAGGCAGCTATCAAGAAAGCGTCCCAAGGAAAGCTTGCGGGCATTCTAGGCTATACGGAAGATGAAGTCGTGTCCACCGATTTCCTCGGTGATTCGCACTCCAGTATCTTTGATGCCCAAGCTGGTATTTCCTTGAATCCCAACTTTGTAAAGGTAAACTTTTATCATGGACATACTTTGGTTTCAAGGAACGGGTATTGACAATCAACTTTTTTCCTTCTTGACGTCCACAGTTGATCTCATGGTATGACAACGAGTATGGTTATTCCACACGAGTGGTGGATTTGCTGGAGTATATTGCAGGCGTTGATCGTGCCAGCCAATAGGCTGTCATGCATCTACACAAGTAATCTCAATCCACCTTTCTCTGGTCTCGGCCATTGTCTTTCCTTTGTCTCATCATTCCCTCTTGTGAAAAAAAAAAGTACTTTTTTTTCGACCCTTTCGTTCTCTTTCATATCGCTTATGAAACTATTATTTCCTTTTTTTCTTGTTTCTATTGCATGCTACTTTCAGTTATCCCCCTCTCGTCCATATTCTTTTTTCTTTTTTCTTCCCCCGCATCCTTCAACTACTACTGATTCCTCCTTCTGTATGTCATACCTTTCCATGTTTCAAGTTCTCTTTCTTCGTATTCTTTTTTTTTCATTATTGTTCTTTCACACTTCATCCATTTGAAGATCTTTGTATATGCCACTGAAAAAAATATAGAATTACGTGTACACTTATGTAATTACACATGCTATCCATTTCGGTTTGATCGTTTCCATGTTTTATTTTTTATTTATGATACAGAGGAAACAATAGCTTTAAAAGTCTAGATCGACCCGTGTTTCGAATTCAATGTCCACCTGCTGATCCAGACCCAAATAACCATCGCTGATGAGATAAAGCGTGTAGTTGTGTTTACCTAGGTGAGCTGGTGTTTCAAAGGTAATGTGTGTAGTGGCCTTGTTGGATAACGTTTCGTTGGGACCGTTGCGCATGCTCACGCGTTTCAGTGCCAGTAATTCATCTGTCGCAGGATCGCCGAGAATGAGCCACCACGATTCGTATTGCGGTTTCGGGAAAAACGGTGCGTAAATACGGCCATCATGCGGTCGTTTCGGATCGCCGCGTACTTGTCGCTTCAGCTGCACTTGCAACTTGTAGTCCGTTTCAGGTATCAAGTATGTCTTTTTGGAATCCACTTGCGCAATAATATCAATCACAGGTAATCGGGTCATGACGCGTCGGATCTAACCAGCTTTGAGTCAGCTCAACCGTTTCCAAAAAATCTTGCGTTCAGTCCTCAATACATACCTCATTGACATCGTCCGCACTTAGACCGCGTACTTTTTCAAAGATACTCTTGATTTGATTGTCTGAAAAGGCGGTCAATTCTGCCAAACACGAGATCGGTTTACCCTGCAATGGAGACCAATGATTCTCGGTCAATAATGGGTACAACAAATGTGTTTTTTACCACAATCCTTACCTTGTGTCGAATGTGATCAATCATTTTTGGTTGAATTTTGGGTAGTGTCAAGAGAGTGGACTCATCCAACCAGCGGGCTTGCTTGATACATTGCAGTGTGTTCATGATCGTCAGACAGGTCGATAGGTAGCCAGCGTCGGCGCCTACATCAATCATGGCCTGGCAAAAACGGATAGCCGAATCCAGTACGGTGATCTGATCGGTAATGTAATCGGTGATCGGGAGTTCCAATCGACCAATATGCGCTTGCACCAGCACATACGCTTTGACGTGAGGAGAAATAAAGTTACGTCCTCCTTCCACCTTGAAGGGGATATGCTTTTCGATTTCCTGATTGAGCAAGTCTTCGTTGCATCGTGCCGGTAACTCGTCATATTCAGGAACATCACCCAAAATGGCCAGGATATCATCCATGCCTGAATCTTTTTGAATACTCTGTCGCATGTGACGCACCGTCTGATGTCGCAAGTAATAGTACGAAGCAATGCGACCGGAAATCGTGGGCTCCAAGGCAAAATCATCCACCAGTTCGACACATCCTGATTCCTCCAACCGCTTGGCCACGTCACTAATCATCGTCGATAAGAAAGTATCCACACCTCTCTGTGTGAGATCGTCCAAGCCATAATAAGTTGGATTCTGCTGAAGACGGCGATAGAAATATGTCCACGTCAAGTAATCCAACGCATCTTGTTTGCTCGTAATCGTGCCACCCACGATTTCTGCATTGATATGGTCATCCATATATTTATGCAAGCTGGATTCCACCGGGAACGGTTCGTGCAAGAACTTTTTGAAAAAGTTCTTTTTACTGTCTTGCACAAACACGCGCGCAATACCGGTATTGTCGAACTGGGGACGACCGGCACGACCCATCATCTGCAACACATCGGTAATCGGATAATCCACATACCGACCGACTTTGTAGTTGTAAAACTCGGTTCCCTTGACCACCACAAGATGCGCCGGTAAATTGACGCCCCAAGCAAGTGTACTGGTAGCAATGAGAATTTGGATCTTGAGATTCAGGTACAGTTCTTCCACAATCTTTCGGTCGTCTTCCGTCAAACCAGCATGATGCAATCCGATACCAAACGCAAGCGACATTTTGAGAGATTCGTCGTGAACACGGTCCAACAGCATTTCCAGTTCCATGTCGTTCATATTGAGCCATTGACGAGGGTTGTCTTCCATACCGCAGTAAGCGATTAGATCTTGAGCGGTGAGACGCGTTTGACGACGTGATGAAACAAACACGATTACGGGTTGGGTAGGAGAATGAGTCTTGATCGCGGCGTACGTCGGTTTATTCATCGTAGCCATGCGAGGACAGTAGTGTTTTCCAGGAAACCCGTCAATATAAATCTCCAACGGAACCGGACGTACTGAATGTCTAAAGTTGAAGAGCCCAATCTTTTCAATGCCCAGCCAGTGGGCTAAATCGACAGCATTCGCCAACGCCGTCGATAAGCCGACAATGCGTACTTTGCGTTCAAGTTGCGATCCAATGTAATTCATACGCGATACAATGACTTCCAAGATGGGACCACGATCGCCGCCGAGCAAATGGATTTCATCAATAATCACACACGACACTTTTTGCACATAGTTACGACTCTTCCAGCTACGACTAATACCGTCCCATTTTTCAGGCGTCGTAATAATGATGTCGGCCGCTTCAATCGTTTTCAAGTCGGGAGTCACATCACCCGTCAATTCTACCAGTTTCTTCTTCATCGGACCCGTCAATCGCTTGTTCCAATCACCCACACGCTCCTTGACCAGCGCCTTCATCGGAGCAATGTAAACTACCTTGGATCCCGGATGATCGCGAAACGCGGCCCTGACAAAAAAAAATGTGATTAAGCGTTTCAACGCCTTCAGTGCTTTTGTTGCGTATTGCATGTATAACTTACCACATGACCAATTCAGCGGCAATGGTTTTGCCTGAACCTGTGGGCGCACCGACGAGGGAATTATGAGACGTGTTATACAAGGTATGGAAGATTTGGGTTTGGACCGGGTTAAAGTGACTAAATCGCTGGGCACAGATGGTTTCCAAGGTTTCGTTATGCAAAGCAGTGACAGGCAACGGTTGCAAATCCAATAGATCGGTATGAGGCGGATACAGTTGAGGAAGGATGAGATGCTGGAAGGATACCGGTAGCACTGTTTCAGCGCCCAACCAACGGTCGGACACGGCGCGGATGTATATCTGGGCAGGTAAAGGTTCCACCAGCGGTACCGTGAATCCAATGGTAATTGTTTCGCCAAACTGCTTCTTTTGCAGTAAGAAATATTCTGAATAATAAATTTCAACGTTATCCGAATCCTCGGCCCAGATCCACCAAGGTTCCACAGATCCGTGAATGCGTTCGTTCCAAACAAAGTCCGGTGTAATACTCAATTCCACATTGAGCACATTGCGTGTGATAGGAGCGATACGAGCATCCAACAACAACATCGGGAACTGGTCCACACACTTGGCAATGGTCAACCCCATACGCTGATGATGCACGAGTTCACCAAGTTCAGCGGGATCCATGTCGCGCATCTCTTCGATGGAAACGTCGTGCGTTCGGCTTTCGAGCTTGTGCATGATATCTTTGGGTAAGCCCATTTGCTGCAAAGGATGCTGGAAAGTCCAAATCCGCTTTTCCACCGCCTTGTTAATCGACAGCAGGACTGCCGCTGTGGGACCCCAATTCCGGTTGAGAGCAATCTCAAACAACGATCGAGCAATACGACCTGCATTTTGAGCCACATACGCACAATCAGACACCAAGGCAAAATCATCGATATAAGCATTGGAAATATACGCTTGCAACAGAATATTAACTTTGCCATGGGTACTGTCAGGTCCACCCTATAAGCAACAAAACAGAGGTGTTCAGCATCATTGCAAACCCAGATAGGAAAGAAACTTACACGAATATCGCAGGCACAAGAGTTGTCGAACAATCCTTTGAGTTCTTTATGTTCGGTATCACGCGATTTGATATTGTCGAATTCGGAACTCAAACTGAGCATGGACAGGACATCGGCTTCGGTCATGCGAGGTTTCATCATTTGGTTGAACAGTTCGATACTTGTATGCTTGATGTAAAAGTTGGAAGCAATGCGTCCCAAGTCTTTGGCGGTCAAATAGCCCGTCTTTTCATCAAAGATAATCATTTGGCATTGGGCCAAGCGACGCGCCGCCGTGACCACGATATCGTGTCGCTTACGACCCAGTAATGGATCTTCTACAGGCTCACTGTGATCCATACCATACACCATTGGATTCTTCTTCATGCGGACATATAGGTAGGTATAACTGAGCCAGGTTACTGCTTCATCCACATTGGTAACGGTGCCCAAGGCGATTTCAGCATTCAGATTATCCACAATGTTTTCGATAAATCTGCCATTGATATTCCGTTAATATGTCAGTTTCTTTGCGCGCTCCTCTTAAAGTTTATATATACTTGGATTCAATGGGATGTTGTTGCGTGATGGCAGAAACATAGTGGGATAACCGATCTTGTGTTGTCAAAATATAGCCCACACCTTGGCTTTCATACTAGAGAACCCACCCATCGAGTCAATCAGATGCTGGGAAAAAAGAAAATGGAACATGAGGGCAAGCCTTTGTGTACGAACCTGAGGACGACCGGCACGACCGAAAATCTGCAGGACATCAAGGATGGAAAGGTCAACAAAGCTACCTTTTTGTGCATCATAGACTTGAGTTCCTTTAATGACTACGGCATAAGCTGGCAAATTGACACCCCAAGCTAGTGTCGCCGTACAGCACAGCACCTAAGACAGACAAATCGATCGTCAGTGGTTGACGAGAAGAAGAAAAAAAATATCATGGTGGTATGAACGCTAACCTTGAGAGCCCCATCGGCAAACATTCTTTCGGTCAATGTTCTATCTGATCGAAGCATACCGGCATGATGGATACCAAAACCATATTGAAACAATTCTTTCATTTCCTTGTTTCTTGATTTGGTGATATCCTTCTTATGTTGGCTATACTTGGTAGCGTCGGAGCAGTCGAAAAAGTCTAAAAACAACGAGTAATAAATACCCAACACAATCCCCTAAGTTTGTCTCCGCGATACTTACCACCCATGCCTTCATTGAGCATTTCTTCTTTCAGGTGTTGAGCTGTTTTCACGGTTTCTTTACGTGCGTGAACAAATACCATGACCTGATGGCCTTCTCGCACCAGCTCGGAGACCTTGTCGAAACAAGCCCGATTCATGCGTTCTTTGGAGACCACTGAATTGGGCTTGCCCTTGATGCCCAAGAAATGCTGTTCCAATGGCACAGGTCGAAATCCGCTGTCAAAGAAAAACAGACCCTGATACGGATTCACTCTATTCAACGTATGGGATGTTAGTGCCATATTAAGAATGGTAAGCTTTACAAAGAAAAAAGGACAGCGTTGATTACCTCAAAAAGGCGGCCACATCCAAGTAATTAGGAAGTGTAGCAGAAAGACCGACAATACGGATGAGCGATTGGCTTGATTCGACCTTGGGTAAAGAGCACAAGTTCAGCGTCTGTGATAACTGCCATTGTATTTCAATAGTAAAAGTACGTACCTGTCTTAGGGTTCTAGCAATGATACTCTCAATGACAGCACCACGATCTTCGTGCAAAAGATGGACTTCATCAATGATGAGAAGTTTTACTTTCTATTAAAAAGCAAGTTGGAATACATGAATATTTTGCTTGATTATCGAGTTGTTTGCAAGAACGAGAGATTTACCTGAGTTAATTCGACATCGCCAGTGCCTTTTCGAGTGATAACATCCCATTTCTCGGGAGTGGTCACAATGAATTGGGTTGCCATGATTTCACTCTTTGTTAATTGCATATCACCTAATTTCCCAGAAGTTAGAATGCATGAATTTCGATTTAATTTGGTTAATCGACTTGCCCGTGAGTTCTTTCACACTGATACCGAGGAATTTCAATCGCTTGCCCATTTTTTCCACCACTTCCGCTGCCAGTGCTTTCATTGGCGCCACATAGACAATCTTGAAATCGTTCTTGGCAATCGTAAAGTTGATATCGGTCATTCCTTTGGCTGGTGGTGGATGGCAGAACTGAGACAAGCATCGCAAGACCGTCAACATGGCCACATCCGTTTTACCCTGTCAGACCATGTTAATAACGATCCATCTTTTTTTTAATCTCTTTTAATATTTTACTTACAGCACCGGTGGGAGCGCATACAAGCATATTTTCATTGGTCTCGTAAGCCACAGGGTAAACAATGGACTGGATTCGATTCAAACTCTCGTATGCCTGAATAAGAAGAAAAAAAGTTGGAAATATTCATGGTTTAGTATCATAAAACGTCAGTACACAAAGCGCATGACTTACACAAAAGGCACCTCGGGCAAGATTATCCAGTTCTTCAATCTTGATGCGACGTTCGCCCGCACGGATAGGAGCTTGTTGCGGTACAGGAATGATGGTTTCGTCATAATCATTGTACTCTTCCCGTCGTGTTCCCGCCGGTAATGCATATCGTGTGCCAAACAATGATAACACACCACCTGGTTTCCCAGATTGATATACGTGAGGATATGTTTCTTGTTGCATGGTCTAGTAATAAAAAATAAGTGACATGACAAAAAAATGACTATAAGAGAGGTCACAGCGCTTACCTTGACATTAGAACTAAATAACGGTGCTTGACTCGCAGCTATTAAAGCATCTTCTCGTGCTTTTCGTAGATCGTTAGAATCCAAGCCAAGAAGGCTCATGGAATAAGCATTTTCGTCTTCTTCTGCAAAAAAAAAAAAAAGACATCGAGTCAACAGGCTGTGACAATGCCGATGACGTGCTGGCAAAGCTTACCGGCATTTTTGGCTTGTGCTTTCATGGCCTTTTTCTGTTCTTTTCTCATTTGCTTCAATTCGCGTCTCTCTGCTTCCGACTGCACTATGAACTGTGTGCCGTAAATAGGTTGTTTTGGTTCATGCGGTACGGTCTTGGTCGCCTTTTCCTGAGGTTTCGCTTCCGACTAGAACCGTCATGCTTCGGTTAACGGATTCTATCATATATAATAAACAACCCCTTCGCTTACCATTTTCATGACATTCTGGACAATGGCTGATCGATGAATAATGAGTTCTGTAATGAGTTCCAGCGCTTCAAATCCAAGTAAATCAACCAGCGTTGCCTGGATCGTATCATCTAATCCTCGGATGAATAACGTGCGGGACAAGCATATAAGAAAAAACAGTCAATTGATTACCGTTATCATTCGATCTAAGAATGGTAAATAAATCCACACACAATTGCTGCGCATTCAGTCCCTCTGTATGGCCATTGGCTATATGTTGATGGCATTTCCTACACTACAAGTGAGCTTTTCTTTGTCCTTCAACGAAGCCGGGATGAACACTCGGTGTAAACGTACTGAAGAAGCCAATCGCGATCGTAGACGGCCACTGGAACGTTGACTTTGGGTTCTTGGTGCGTTGTGGTTACTGACACCTCGGTGGTGTCTTTTAACAGTAATGGGAGAATGTTGGGCGGTGGCGGGTAGAACTCGACATCCTGGCCAAATTTTGTTGTGGATAAATCTACTGAAGAGAGTAAACAACCCTGATCGTCGAGTACTATGTAAACTGCAAGCTAATTTACCTGTGCTTGGGTTATAGTTTTCTATGGCCTTTAGAAATGCTTCAACGGAATGTTGCTTGGTACTAGTCGAACTGGAAGGAGTAGTGGACGCAAGCTGATCTGCCAAACCAACGGTTCTGGCTTTTCCTTTGCCTTTTCCTGATATTTGCTTCTGAGGTATCGCAAGTATCTGTTGAAGTAATTGACTGAACTGTATCGTCTGCGCAACCATGATGGACAAGAGTCGTGCCGCTTGAGTCAACCTCTTGAATGACGAACGCGAATCGGCCGCTTAATATAATTCAAAAACGAAGCCGCAGCAAAAAAGAACAGTGGGCGGAGAATGAATATCAGTCATGGAGCCTGTGTTTGCCCGAGTGCATGCTGCGCGGTTTCTTAACTCGACAAAGCAAGACCATAAACTGCATATATTATGCTACGTGCATTTTCTAACTGGAGATAATACATTTGCTGACGCAATAATTAGGATCCTTTAAGATTTGGGAGAAGACACGGCCATCGCTTAGTAACAATCCGAATTTTTCGCTGGAAACCCAGCCAGCACACAATTCAAAAGAATTGCCTAGTAGTGTGTCACTACACAATTTTTTCCTTCCTTTTTCTTTCTACTACAATTCATGAATGCTTTTCTGTGGCTTCTCATATTGAGTGCTGGCATGGTCTTTGGATCCGTGTTGGCAGGCCTTTTGCCACTGACCACCAAGTTGTCCGAGAACCAGCTGCGTTACTTGAATATCTTTGGCGCAGGTATGCTTCTTGGCACTGCTTTGGTTGTCATCATTCCCGAAGGCGTGGAAACCTATTACGATGCTTTGCAAATATCCGCCACCGACAATGAAGAAGAAGCTAAAGATCATCACCATGTCGGTATTGGTTTGGCACTGTTATTGGGATTCGCTCTCATGTCTGTCATTGATAACATGTTTTCGTTGCATGGCCATGCTCGACCGTCATCGTCGTCTACCTTGGAGTATAACGAGTTATCCACAGTCCCAGACCAAGACGATACACCTGATAACCAGTCTCACCCATTTGGCCAAGTTCACAATGGTATCAAACCGAGAACGACTTCGTCGGCGGCCACGGTCGCCCCGGTTATAGGGCTCATGGTCCACGCCATGGCCGACGGTATTGCGCTGGGTGCTTCTGCGTCGCAGCCGCAACTGTCCGTATTGATCTTTTTGGCCATCATGATGCATAAAGCGCCGGCCGCTTTTTCGCTGGTGATGATGTTGCTTTACGAAGGTGTCGCACGTACCCAAGTCAAGCTACAGTTGTTTCTGTTTGCCATTCAAGCACCTGTGGGGGCGATCCTGACGTTCCTCGTGCTTCATTTGATCCCTTCCGTCCAACTGGATCGCATCGGTTTTTGGACGGGCTTGTTACTTATTTTCTCGGGCGGCACCTTTTTATTTGTGGCAATGCATGCACTTCAGCAAGCCAACTATGATCATCAGCGTGGATCGGCTCAAAAACTTACCACCGTACAGTTGCTGACCTTGCTCACCGGCATGGTTGTTCCCTTTATTCTCAGCCTCACCCATTCTCACTGATCATTTCACTTGTATATCCATTTGTCCCTATTCACACACCCTTTACTTCTACGCAGGCTTCATTTCATCATGTAAATATGACTTTTTTTTTTCCTTTTTACCATCATGCCACAATGTTGAAATAAACTCAAAATTCATGAACAATAGCCACATGATATCATACCATTAATAATAGTGTGTGTTTCCATGCCGCCATTGTGAAAATATATTAATGAAGGAGGTAATTGTATAGATTGTCTATCGAAGCATTAAGAAAGATCAGTACAACTTTTTCGCTCGTTCATAAACCATTTTTTGAATGGCTTCTACTTGATCTGCGATGCTGCAGTGGCTGGTATCGAGTTCGACGGCATCGTCGGCTTTTTTGAGAGGCGAAATGGTTCGTGTACGATCGGCTTCATCACGCGCTTTCAAATCACGGACAATATCTTCCAAGGAATCCGAGGTCTGGCCTTTGGCGACCATTTCATCAAATCGTCGTTTTGCTCGAATATAAGGATCAGCAATCAAAAACACCTTTAGCTCAGCGTCGGGTAAAATCACAGTGCCAATATCACGACCATCCATCACCACGCCTTGAATATGAGTGCTCGTGCCGGGAATCGTCGACCCTTGGCCCATTTCCCCAAGATCGCCTCGTGCTAATGCTCGCTGTTGTTCCGCCAACGTTTCTCGTACCCGCGGATTTGCAGCAATCGGGCTAATATGACGCACAATATCGGAACGACGAATCAACTCACTCACATCGCGTCCATCCATTTCAGTGACACCAAATGACGGAAATCGGATTTTCATATTGGCAGTCAATTCACCGATTTCATCATTATGTTTGGCTTCGTTCGGATTAATACCTTGCTCCAGGCATTTTAACGTCACCTACATTGGAGATTCGTCATTCAAAATATAAATATATGGGATGGTATTAAGCTTACGGCACGATACATGGCACCGGAGTCAATGTAGCAGAAGCCAAGCCTTTTCGCGAGCAGTTTGGCGGTAGTACCTAAGTTATGGGTTAAAGAATGGCCCTTCCCCAAGCGCCCTTCATCGTCCCAAAAAGGACCAATACACCCACTTACTTTTTCCAGACGCTCCAGGCCCGTCAATAGCCACACGAAACATGCGAGACATGATATATAATTCGCACAAAGTGGTAAGAAATTTGTAAAAAGGCAAGGGAATGAACAATTTATTCAAGCGTGACAACCCCACGCGGACTAACGTAAGGCCGAATGGCGGGATTGAAAATATTCTACAGTGATCGTTCTCGTTTTCGTTCTTCACGTTCACGTTGCTTTTCCTAAACAAAATCGCATGAGCCATTAGTATCATCAAGCAATTAAAAATCTCTAAAGCTTACACTGAAGAATCTTTTGATGTCTTCTTCTTGGACCACTTTGCCCGATTCTTGGAAGCCTTTGAGGAACTCTTTAAACCCTTGCGCAAACATTTGGTAAGCCATCACACTTTCCAACGCTTTGACACGATCCATTCGCTGCAACTGTTCCATGCCCACTTCAAGCAGGGATTTTCCTGCATCCTCGTCATCCTCTGGCTCATATGTTTCCTCTTCTTCCAAGAGGAACTCCAGATGATTATCTTTCCACGCCTTTTCACACTGAGTTGAACAGACAAAGTTTAAGTGGGAAACGAATGAAACAAGAAATAAACCAGCTTTGCATACCTCTGTACAATGGCACAATCCTTTTCGCCATCCGTCTTTTAATAATAACTCTACGTGTTGCGCGGTTTCAGCCGGTGTAGTATTGTCCGTTTCCGTCTTTGATCGTTTGCTGTCAAGTTCTGGCTCCGTATCTTGTTCGTTTTTCCGTTTCATACCAAGTGTTTGCTTATCCTCCTGCAGCTCGGTAGCCCATCGATGAATTAGGTTGTCTCCTTTTGCTAGGCCAAAAGTAACCGATGTGTGATGGCCATTGATAAGAACAGGATAAGCGTTGGTGCATTGTCGACAAATGTAACTTTCAAAGTCCGCCAAACTCTCTGGAATCTGTCAAAGACACAGGACGCGTCAAAATATTCTGCCCAAGTGACCCACACGTTTTTGCTTTTCGCTTTTCAACTTGTACCTACATCTCCTATACACCGATCGTGGAACCAATCCTCGCAGACAGAACACTAAAGCCACCCGTGAGACGGTTGAAAGCAACGGTTACGTATGGTCTTGCTTTTTACCTGATACATGGTGCCTTGTTCTTGATCAGGATTGTAAACTTGGTCACATCTGAAATTGCCTTGCCATTATTAACAGTATGAAAAGGAACGCGTATAGAAAAAAGTGTACCTGCAATAACGACCCGCGAAATTGTGATTATACTTGTTTTCCGTATTGGAAGCGTTGAGTTTGACATCAGAGGCCAGAGTGCAACCATGACCTCCAAATTTGCCTGCTACACCGCAATCACAGCGAAAGTGACGTTTTGGGAATAACTCGATCAAGTCATGATCGGCATGGCACATCATGGAGCAGCTGTAACACATGCCAGCGTGTTCACTGTCGCCACTGCATGTCTTGCAAGCATACAACGGCTGTCGTAGATAACCCTGAGAAAAAGTACACTGCTCAAATTTACCGGGAAGCGCTTCTTGAGCTTCTCGTTCCAGCTGGTCTTGCTGATTGACAATATCAATGGCTGTAACAACTTGGGTCGGTGAGTCTGACATAATCTGGAAAAAATCAAGGAAAAAGCCAAAAAAAAAAAGGAACGCAAATCACAAAAATTGCCTTTTCTTTTTTCTACAAATTTTATGACGGTAGTCAGTTGAAGCCCATATAAAATAAAAAGCTTTGATCAACAGTGTGTTGCCCATGTTGCTTCTTGGTTATTACATTCTGTCAGTACATTCAATACTCCACCTGCGTATATAAAAAATGAGCTGGTTTTTTGGGTTCAGTTAAAGCTCACAATGACACAAAGAATATAAGGTTTCATGTTACTTTTGCGCATGTAAATCGTCGGTAGCAGATATAGAAGTTGTTTTCTACGAGAATAGCCAGCATATCCATGCACAGCGTTTTTGCCAGTGGAGTGTGGTCGCCGTTTTCCTGCAAAACTGCCGCCACCGAAAAGGAAGCAGCCTTTCCCGCATTTTTGAACTCCGCCCAAGAAAAGAGTAACGTCACAGATAAGCCACACCCGCTTCGGCAGCAGAAAAAAAAACACTCACAAAAATCTTGTTCTTTCTTTTTCTTCCCCTGTTCAAAAAATGTCGACATTTGAAAAGGTATTCATCGCCTCTCGATGTGCCGCCAAAACCACGCTGACCTTGCCATTAGGTTGTTGTCATTGACGGAAAGGGTCATCTTCTCGGACGTCTCGCCTCCATCATCTCCAAGCAGGCTCTCAATGGCCAGAAGGTCGTCGTTGTCCGCTGTGAAGCTCTCAACGTATCTGGCGAGTTCTTCCGCAACAAGTGTAAGTATTAACTTTCAAGGTGGAATCATATATGCGTCAGAAGATAAAATATAGAGGAGTAAAAAGTGCGGAAAACTATACAATGTGAATGGCTGGGACCCAAGAGTGGCGACGATGGGATCTGTCTCGCAAATGACAATGACCATTTTCTACAACGGACGCAGTGCATAATATCATGGAGAGAAAAAGACCGTGGAACTGGATATTAATTGTTTTTCCTTCTATTTTTTGAACCATCACAGTGAAGTACCACGCCTACCTTCACAAGCGTTGTCTTGTTAACCCCAACAAGGGTCCTTACCATTTCCGTGCTCCTTCCCGCATCTTGTACAAGGCTATCCGTGGTATGATCCCCCACAAGACCGCTCGTGGTGCCGCTGCTTTGGACCGCATCAAGTTGTTCGAAGGTTGCCCCCCTCCCTATGACCGTGTCAAGCGCATGGTTGTTCCTGATGCTCTCCGCGTCTTGAGACTCAAGCCTGGTCGCAAGTACACCACCCTTGGCCGTATCTCCCACGAAGTCGGCTGGAAGTACCAGGACGTCGTTGCCAAGCTTGAAGAGAAGCGTTTGGCCAAGTCTGCTGCTTACTACAAGCGCAAGGCTGCCCTTGTTGCTATCCAGAAGAAGGCCGTCGAATCCAAGGCTGATGCCATCAAGGATGTCAACGCCTCCATTGCTGCTCTCGGTCACTAAATGTCTTGTTTTTCTTTTTCCAAGAATAAAAGGATAGAGGGAAATTTAATTTTGATCTGATTTATTGGTCGCACACACGAAACATCATCATTGAGAGCGGTTAAAATGGGATTTGGAGTTGGCGTGTGTACTATTATACCACAGGGTAGCGTGAATTACCTGATAGATGAAAATCTCGAATCTAACTGTGATCCAGAAACTGTGATCTGTCTCTGTTAATTCGGATTCATCGCGATCCGCTTTATTTGTCACATGGGATCGTCCTAATCAGAGACACGTATCTCTCGAACAAATCTATTCTACTGACTTCATATCATCTAATACATAAAGTATTAACCAACTTCATCTATACTGTAGATAGGATCAAAGCAAATGATATGCAGAATGTCTTGATCAGCCTGGGAATGGATGGCTTTTTCTTTAAAAAGAAAATCGATTTGTTGGTGATAAATAGTCGTAAAACTTTGCTGTATAATGATATGGATCGTGCGGGAAAAATTTGGGATACAGGGGAATTTTGGTGAAAGAAGAGCCTAGAGAAGTCTACGTAAGATGGAGATACAGTAATGGACCATGGAACGTATCCAATGCCATATTGAATGAGAGTTGGATTGAGAGATAAAGGCATCATCACGGTGGAACTCGGATAAGTTATAAGCATCAGGAGATTGTGTCTGGCGAGGAAAGCGGCGAAGAATTTGAGACAACTGGTCATCGGATAACCAGGAATTCATACGCCAAACAATGTACTGCTCTCCTGCATCGCCGTTATTATCGACGTCCATTGTGATGGCAACGTTGTCGTCGTCGCGATAAATAACTTCCAACCCGAGCACTCCGCGTAGTAGGTTGACATAGTCTTTCAAATTATTCTCGCCATTTTGGGTCAGCACGTATTCACTAACCCGCCATTCCGCCAGTTGACCTTTGAACAGCTGATATTGTAGGAAGCCCACCAATCCGCGGACAAAAGGTACAGAACCGACATTGATCTCATGTCGCTGCGCAAATTCTTTCACAAGCTGCAAGCGCTGATGTTCGCTCAGGTTAGGGATCGGCTGCGTTTCTGTTAGTACAACGTTTAATTGTTGTCGTGATCGCATTTGTTGTTGTGCATGCCATTCTCTGCGAGCGGTGTTTTTGACATTGATGTATTCTTGCCACTGGGTCAAGTTTAGTACGAAAGTATGGTCTGCTACGCGTGAGAAGTTCAAATCGTACAGTAAAGGCTCGTAGGCATTGTTGGTACAGGTCACGGAGTATCCTTCGGGGGTGATGCGGCCGCAACCTTCAAGAAACAGAATAAAGTCGGATGCAAAGGTATCGTTATCAAAACCCTTGTCAACAAGCGAACGCCATTGATCCATCGGATGATAAATACCGTCAATTCAAAAGAAAGAAAGAGATTTGAAGTTGCACTTTTTTTTTTGTTTAACCTGCATTGGTCATCTTGCCTAGGCGGCCTTTCAAAACACAGCCCTCGAAATCAAAAAAGTTACCCATTTTGCATGTACAAAACCGAAAAATCGTAGGCTGTCACTTGTTCTGGTGAACGAGTTGATAGATATACTCTGTAATATATGTATTTTTTGCATTTTTAAACATTTTTCAGAATCTTTTTTTTACATTCTTTTAATCTTTTGCTTGACTTTGCTGAGTTGGCTATCTACTTCATCAAGCATATTCTCCAATTCCTCTTTACGTCGACGGGTTTGAGGACCGCCTCCTGACAGCGGGATCTTTGAATAAGAAGATTGTAACTACAAAGGACAGTGAGATTAATCGACTTGCAGCCTTTTTTTTTATAATGACAACGGTATCATGACAACGGTATCACATAATTCCAAAGCGTATGTACCTTTTCTTTTTTCTTTGTCAGATGGACGAGCTGTATATCCAGATTATCTCCTTGAAGAGAAGTAGGTGAGGATACTTCATCGCTGGAAGAAGAGGAGTCGTCAGGGCCGAGAGAATCCCGTTTATCTCGACGACCATAGGTGGGCAGTAATGAGGTGGAGGCAGAAACCGTCATTAAGTTGGATCCTGATTTGGGTAGCTTGCTACTGCGAGGCAGGGGCTTTTCATCCCTCGTTAGGACCGGTGTGTGTGCAGGCTGGATACGAGGAGATGCACTTGGCGTGTGAAGGAGAGAATCTGTCAGTGGAGAGGAGGCGCTGATGACAGGGCGAGCAATATTCATGCTTTGTTGCATTTTCACCAATTGCTCGATCGTCGATTTCAGGATCTGGAGTTGTTCGTGCGCTTGCTGTAGCTGACTCTAATGTATGACTCTGTGAGAAATACCTTCATTTATCAATTGATATCAATCTCACCTTTAACGAATCGGTCTCTTCGCTTTTCGCATACAATTGAGACTATTGTCACAGTCAGAACCAATCTTTTTGTTTCCCTTGCACAAGTTACGAAGTATACCTTTAGTGAAATGACTTGTTCGTCTTTCTCTTGTAATCGAGTCTACTCACCAACTATGTTCAGAATGACGCCTTAATATAACCCTGCTTGCAAGTGCCAGCTTACCTTTAATGTTTCACTCTCCTCATTTTTGTCTCGCAAGTCCATTTGACACCTTTGGAGCTTTTCTCGCTCCTCTTGTATCTCTGTATGGGCTGACTCGAGCTCTCCTTGAATTTGGTCGACCATGGAAGATTGCTCTCTGCCAAAGATATGTCGATGAAAATGGTGTTAGAAAGAGTAAATGTATTAATACCAGTAATGAATAAGCTGTGAGCTTATCTTGACAGATAATTACCTTGCGGAAGCATTGGCCGCTTTCAACTTTTCCAACAACACATTGAGATCTTCTTCCTTTTGCTTGTTATTGATCTAGATTTGAGAATGAGCCAGTGGAATGTATGCGTCGTTTGCGGATAGAATGGATGGTTTACCTTTTCTTGTTCGAGTTGTTGCTTTAACGTCCCATTGACTGTAGTAAGCTCATCCACGGTTTGGCTGAAATAATCCAGATCCTTGGCAATGGCTGCGGAGAACCCAAGTTATCAGTTACTAAATAAGGCAAATAACAACCAGCTTCCAAGGCTTTTTTACCTTGCTTCTGTCTTTGTAACACCATGACAATGGACCGTTCCTGTTCCAGTTCTTTCTGGAGTGATTGAATCACGCTTGCGTCAATGGCTTGCGCCGCCTCGTGCTGCAATCTTGTTATGCTTATCTCTGACTCTGAGTCTGTGTTGATCGTATTGGTCGCTGACAGTTGATCGTGGCATGGAGAATCGGAATCCTGGGACGAATGGCAACATGTTGTGGGATGGGAAAAGCTGTCGTTTGTTGCCCTTGCAGAAACGTCTCGTCTAGAGTTGGGTTTGATTTGACGTTGGTTTAGCTGATCCAGCAGCGCACTTTTTTCGTCATGGTTGTTGGTTCTGGCACTGGCCCTACTTTCCGGCTGCCGTTTCTCCTTTGGATCATCAATATCTGATCTACCTGTATTTGGTGCAACAATTCCTTGAGTGATCTGGGTACACACGGAATCTTTTTTCCTGAGCGGACGGTCTACCTCCCTTTCTTCGCGCTCTACCCCTTCACTTTCTCTGTCTCTTTACTTTTGAAATTGTTGCTTGACTCACCTTGTAATGGCATTGCATAATATGGATTATTCTCGTTTTCTCGTGCTACAGACGTAGACCCATTCCTTTTTGCTGATCCTGCCAACGGTTTATCTGGTGAGCAACACAGTACGAGTCCGTGAGTGCCGCAAAAAAAAAAAAAAAAAAAAAAAAAAAAAAAAGTACTCACGTCTCTCCATATCTACTTGCTGCGGAAGGGGGTTCACGTGGTTTGCCAGCGGGTTTGGATCTGCGTTGTATTTTGGTAATTCTGCATGTGGCATTTTGTCCCGCTCTGCGTTCTCGTGGAGACGCTTTTCGGACATGGTATCCAAGGATCTTTGCATGGAAGCAGAATGGGGGATATTTGGTTGGATCTGTGGGATCTCCTGTCCGTAATATGTCATGCGTTTTTTGCAAGTATGTTTGCTACTCCACAATCCGCTATGTAAACGCCATTCTGTGAATCCTGTCTTGGGGCTGTACTTGTCAAAAATATGCGTACCTAAACCGTCGACTCTTTTTGTCATCCTCGTTGTGGATAGTGGTTGATGAATTATGCGCTTTTTAACGATAGAAGAGTGTCAGTATGGCAGGTTGATGGGGCTGCCACGGAATAGTACCAGATTTAAGCTTACCACCAGACATGGTGTTAGAGTAGGCGATGGATGAACGTTTATGTTTTCCCATACCAAGTTTAAACCAAAACTTGGAAGCGGATTTCTCCTTGGCTGCTGACATTATTCACTATGAATAAAATTGAAGAAAATGAAAGAAGAAAAAATAAGGACAATATGTAGATAGCGAAGTGACAAACAGAAAAATTACAATAAAAGAAAAGGAACCTGGAGAAAAAAACAAGAAACAAGGGAATCAACGGAAATAAGATCATAAAATATATCACTGCTCTCTCAAGTTCAAGCGCGTCCTTGCCCTTTCCCTCCCCCCAAGGGGTTTAGTTTGCGGGATGGAACCTGTCATCCCATTGGCCTACATGCGTCATGAAAGAGTTTTCGATGTTGTCTTTCTTTATAAAGCAGTAGAAAACCCCGCCGAACCATCACCACGCCTATTCTTGGTTTTTTCTCATTTCAGTCAAACAAGATACCGGTACTGCATATAAAAAAAGAAGGTGTATTGTTGGTGTATTTATATTTCACACCCATGTGCCATTGTAGGCTGTTCAAAGAAAAGAGAACAGATGGAACTTTTTCACTTGTGCGGCACTTGTCATCTTCAATCACCGTTGCGATGATAAAGTGCGCTTCATTATTTCTACAATATAATTTTTGCCAAGCAAGATCAGTAGCAACAACTAAACGGTCATGGTTGAAGAATATACATCGAAACGATTTTTAGTTCATTTCATGGTGACATGCAAGGAACATTGCATGCCAGCTCAAAAATACATAAAAAGTCAATCGCGTAGAAGAATTCTCAGTTGGACGAAGCAGTAACTTGATTTCAAGTGTGTTCTCTTTCGATATCTGCTGCCGGGAGTACGCGCCGAATGGCTGCTTTGTATCTATGGATAGAGCAGTAGGTGAACTGCGAAAAGTGTTGATAATAATCACTGGAACCAAGAATAACAATTCATTATTCGTTTTAAAAAGTCGTTTACGGAATACGTGTGTAGAATATAAACATGTCGCTTCATTTATAAACTTTTACACTGCAGCCACGGATGTTCTTTTTTTGGAGCCATACCAAGGTTAAACTCAAATTTAGTCCATTTGTTTGGCTCGGGTCGCACCAGCGGATTCCCGGGAAACACCCAGTCTCTTGGCAATTTTGGTTTTTGCATGAAACCACCGTGGCCAAGTTGACAGTCCGCCAAGACTCTGGGGTTTGATAGTTGTTCACAGACGCTGCTTTTACTGCTTACTTTTTATTACAATCATGTCCCGACGCACACCCAAAGATCTTATATGTAATATCCAACGCCGCACCAATCATTTCATTACTGCTGGACTCATCTCATTCTTATAGCCGACACGAATCGTGCTGTGAAGATTCTCGAAGCTTTCACAGGTACTATTATTATGTTCCAGAGCAAGCTTTCACCTTGTGTAGCTAATCGTTTTTTCCAGATCCGAACAAGGCACAAGATGTACGCATGCTGATTCCTGCCAATGTTCTTGCCAACGCACATGGCATCGTTTTCATAAGGCTGGTTCGCATCGGTCTGCTCGTCTCGGCCAAAAGCGGCACTGGTATTATCATTGCAAGGTTAGACAAATACTGGATAGCAGAAAACGAGGGGCAGAGGATCATTTAGATTAACCAAGTACGAGTTTAGGTTACCTGACGGATGTAAGCTACCATAACAGAAGGGTTACCTACTAGTTTGCTTGTTCTTGGGACTGACAACATATTTTAGCTTGGTCAGCCCCTTCCGGGGTTTCTATGACTTCATTAGTAAGTGACACCTCAAGACGTCATTGCTCCATCGGAGCCAATGGAGTGGTTTAGATAGTAACCACCTTGGTAGGGCTTTGGTCATTTAGCGGGAGGCGAAGTGATTGATTCCATCATTGTCATGAATTACAGAGCGGCTGTCAAAGCATTCTTTGATGGAGGTGGACAGCTGCAACTCGGGGCCGGCGTTTCATTAGCCGCAGGACCTCTCGGTCGGTCCATGGATGTCGCCGCAGCGGCCTCCAATGCGAACCATATTGCCGCTACGTATGCGTACAGGTAACTTTTTATTCGCCATTCATTCAAATAAGAAGGGTTTATTAATGGATTATTGTTTAGCATGTCGAAAGGCTTATATTTTGGTAATTACGGTGATGATTGGGATGACAATAAGATGATGACTAAATAATTGGAATCACAGGTTACTCATTTGAAGGATCCAAGATATCTGAAAGGGTAAATACCAACGCAGCTTACTATGGCCGACCCATCTCAGCACGTGAAATCTTAAATGGCGGTGTACCCCCATCGCCACACGCTCAAAGATTATATCAAATACTGGCATCACTCGGCGCAGGTCCAAGACCAGGACAGATGTTTCGAGCCGCCACGGTTGGATCTTCCATGCAAAAACCGTCATCGCAGTTACAATCTCGCCCATCACTTATGTCTGGTCATTCGGAGCCCGCGATGGGATATGCTGGGTCACCCTCTTTTCAACAACCTTCTCCGTCAATGCCCGCCAAACCTCAGTATCCTCCGCGACCACAGCGACCGGCAGGGTCTACTGAACCTGTCTACAGCGATCCTCCTCCTTCCTATGAAGCAACCATGTCTTCAAATGGCCTAAAGAACGGTGGTGCTTCTTCCCCATCCGTCACATCTGGCAAAGCACCTCCCAATGCAGTCCAGTCACAGCCGCCTTTGGATGGTCCATCCTCTTCGTCCAATGGTGCAGGCCCAATGCAAGACCCAGCGATGGCGTCGCTCGTAGTGGCTAAATTCAATTACAACAGTCAAGACCCAAGGGATTTAACTTTCCAGGCTGGCGATCATATTATCGTTTTACGAAGAAACGAGAACCGGGAAAGCTGGTGGGAAGGTGAAATTGGAACAAAGAAAGGACTGTTTCCTGCCAATTATACGGAAGACGTTAGGGATGATTGATCACAATTCCCATAGACGACGAGTAATTGTTGTTTTTGGCACGAATTTTTTACCATCTAGGAGCTTTTGTGTTGAAAACATTGTAATCAAAAAGAAAAAAAATACACTGTAAATTAGACCGAGAGTAAATTACGGTTTTCATTACACGGAAGAAAAGGAGTTAAAGGAGCGATTTGACCGATTAAAAAGGAGATGAGCTGACAAAGTGACGATAATAACAAAAGAGAAGACAAAAATTCTTATACATGAGACGACTTCTAAAAAAAAGGTTGAATAAAGAGAAAAAAAACACAAACTAAAGGGGAAAAACGAAACTATGAATATCAAAAAAAAGAATAAAATGATCAAGCGTAGAAAATTGATTGGGGTTGAATAGAGAGAGTGAGAGATATAAAAAGTGACAGGTAAGAACGGAGAACAGAAGGATAAGAGAGAGAGATAGAGAGAGCGAGGTGGGCGGGTGTGTGTGAGGACGTATGAGATGTTGTTCAAAGACGATGGGTTTTTACATGACGGAGACACCGAAAGATGCGCCATTACCACTGGCGGCTTTCCGTCGTGTAAGATCATGTTCAGAGTTGTTGCGACGATGATGAAAATGTCGATCGCCAATGGTTCCAACCGCTGCAACATGGTGATTTAAATCGCGACGAGGAGAAGGAAGTGATTGCAGCATGGGATCACGACGTAATGGATCGTCTCGATAAAAATCGTGGAATGAATCAGTAGGGTTCAGTGATAACGGCCTACGCGAGGATTGATTCATTTGCAAGTCATCCAACGGCGATTGCCAATATGTGTCGCTAGATTCGGTCATGGGAGTGCAAGGTTCGGATCGGGTCATATCGAACATGGATCGTTTAGGCATGGTAATCACCAGGGGATTTTCACGCTTACGTAGGGATTCTTGGAGTGAATGTCGTTGAGGATCGGAGGCAGAACTCCACGGTGTTTGCTCGGCCCACAAGGATCCTCCTTTTCGCACACTATCGAAACTGCGCAAATTGCTATCCCATCCGTTCCAACCACCCGTCCAATTTCGTACAAATTCAAGGAATCGTAGCTTTTCCTCCTCTGTAATGACGGGCTCAGTAGTACCGTTGTTGGGTGCACTGTTTTCGTCAGGTGTTGAGTGGCCAGAGGACGTGGTAGGCGACATGGATCGAGAAGAGGTGCGAGGGCTCGTGACGCCAGAGGTGGATGGCCGTTGATGAGGTGTAGTAAAAGTTGTTGAGGATGGTGGAGCGGTAGTGGATTGAGAGGTAGGCAAGCCTGTCGAAGAAGAGGACGAAGTGGGAGGAGGAGGAGGCGTTGTCACGGCGGGAACGGTAGAGACCGGTTTGACGTTGGTTCCGCTAGGCGTGGCACTACGTGGCAGTTTCACAGAATTTGACGGAGGTTGATCGGAGCCCGTAGGCCTATTCCGAGTGCCAGACCGTTTTTTACCTTCAACTTTGGGCACCAATGCTTTCAAGCGTTCGATTTCTTGTTGGTAATTCACGCATGAATTCATACCGGCAAAAGGATCCGTACTGCCGTCGGGCGAAAGCAATGGTGAAAAAAGCTTCTTTTTCATCGTACTGGCATCGTTCCACACCGACCGTTTCTTCTTATCATCCGGCGAAGACGTCAGACTGGGAAAGCTTTCTTCGCTGAAAGCCACGTCCGAGTCGTCTGGTGGCGTTCGCAGGTCGGTTTTGGGACCCCAACGTGGGGCAGTAGGTGAAGCAGGTGCTTTTTTATTGGAGAGACGCAGTCGTCTGTCAAAGTTGAGACTGTCCATGGGAGTTGAAAAATTCAAAAGAACTGAGAGATTGAAATTGGTTTGATGGCGATGGAGAGAAACAAAAAGGGAAAAAAAAGTCAGTGCGTAAAAAAGTATAGAAATGACAATGGTCTAAAGAGGAGAGCAGCAAATGGAAAAGCAAAGGCGGTGAATGTAAATGACAAGAAAAACGGAAAATCGCTCAATCTATACGAATGGGCTGGCAATGGGAGGATAAAGAAAAGAAGACTCAAAAGAAAAAAGAAGAGGTAGGCGGAGAAGAGGTGAGAATGAGGTTTTTCAAAGAAAAATGATATATACAGCAGCAAAATGACAACAACAGAAGAAAGCAAGATAAGGTAATGGTAATATGTTTTGTTCAGTGTTTAAAGAGAGGGAGGAACTATGTGAACATGATATGACAAAGAAGCTGCAAAAAGAGGAAAAAAAGAAGCTGGCAGAAAAACGAAGAAAAGGGAAAAAAAAAACGGCCTGTAGAAATTCATCGCAAAGCCACACGTATCTCACCCGCCGTATTTCGCATTTCATACTCCGGTTATGGCCGACACGTGTGCTTCAGATCAATAACTTATTCGAACGATCCTCCTTATGATATAGTCCTTCATCACATCTTGAACAGAAATAAAAATAAGACTAGGATACCTTGATCATTATTCAAGCTCCTCCAATTGGTATTATATTATTGTGTTCAATCCTTGTCAAACACTATTATAAATGAACTCTGTTAGTTCTTGAACGCTGTCAGAAATCGTCAGTCGCTCGGTACTTTTTATCGAATAAACAACTCTTTGCTGAATGCAGGATAGTAATGATGCAACGCTGTAATATATATAACATCGTTTGGCATGTGTGAAGTAGCCACCGTTTCGATCCGTTGTTATCCAGCCTGGTCCGCCCAGTGTTTTTCGTTCAAAAACGGGGGAAAGTGTTTCACATTATCCAAAAATCCGAGGTACAGTCAACGGCTGTAATTCAATGCACCGTGAGTCCAGTCGTTAAGGCATTGATTTGAGGTACGATAATTCAATGAATAAATAAACAATGGGGCTGGCAAGTTTTTAAATTCGACGTCGCTTTTTCGGCGCTGGGATTGATTCGACCATGGTTGGATGACCTCTCACAGGCTGGGCGGCCGCTCTTGTTGGTTTGAAAGGACCGTATAAAGGTGGCTCATCCGACACTGTCGCTCGCTTTTTTCCTCTTGCGAATTTCTTTTTGGATGGTACCAACTTGTTGCTTACCACAATTTGTCGATCTTGGATTTTAGCACGGATATCTTCCGGTGTTTCGTGCTCAAAGTCATAGCTGATACGCAACAAGTTTGCGTAGAATGGCTTGTCATCCAGCATGCGCTTGGCTAATCGGGACGCAGCAATTGTGTCGAATTGCGCCCAATAAACATCGCTAAACTGCTCACCGCCATCACTGCCTTCTACTTTACGAAAGATTTCCACCGATCCAAACTTGGATAATGTTCTCAGCAATTCGTCCGACAAATTGAGAGCAGGGACGTTCTCAATGAGCAAGTACCGCGATTCTTGTGCAATGGTATAGACCTTGACAGCACGTGGTGTTCTTGAATCGCGATATTCTGGTCTGTTCGTGGCCATGACCGGTCCAGATGTCAAGCGAGTTCTAGAGAGGGAAAAAAAGCAGTTGAGGCTGAAGAGGAAAATTTTTAACCCATCGTCATGGAACCAAGAAAATTCATGCTTTCAACTTGCAGGCATCCACTCAAATGATTTTCGTTCTCCCGAAACGGAAAGAAACACTCACTTCATACTTTTATGGCGCATGGACCGACGGCTGGCTTGCCTTGTGCAATCAGAGCACCTGTTGGTGATCTTGGTTTGCAATTACACTTTGAGCCAATAGGCGCAGACAGATAGGAACTGTGTGATTAGTGACCTTTCTCATATTTGATGGATTAAAGGATGTCTCAAGTAACATACAGCGGCGGCACCTTGCTTGTAAGGAGTCTGGACGCCTATGCCAGATCATCCAAATTGTTTGCCATTTCATTTGAAGGCTTTACACCTCAGGCATCCGTACAATATCCGTCTCTCAAATTGCAGTCTTTTGCAAATTGTATATCGTTTATGATAACTCGGGAGCATTATACTCACGAGAGGTGGCGGCTCCAGTCATATCTGGTCATCGCAAGCAGTAATAATCGTAATATGCAGATTAACTAGTCCACATTTCACATCACCATGGCAAAGAAGGCGCATGGTAATAGCTGTGGACGATTCTATCAACGGCTCTCTTTTCCAACAAGTTTGCCGACAGTTTCTCAAAATGGGTTTGAACAATGGCGGTTACAGGTGCAAGATCCAACCTTTCTGGTTACTAGAGCGTATATCCACCTAGAGGTATGCGCGTAAATAATAAAAAACGAGGAAAGGGTAGGTGACATTCACTCAGCGGAGCAGAGACACCACATGCTTGAAGGGCGGTAACATTAGAGAGGTCTCTGTCCGGTGAGGTCTCGGAGTTTGAAGTGGATCCTCAGTTTGTGACTGATTGTCCGGCGGCTGGAGGGAGAGCCTTCCTTCTGCGCAAACCTTCCAAAGGGAAATCCTCCTCTCTTTTGCTGTGCGTATTTCACGGAAGGTAAGGCATCATCACCTTGAAAAATCCGAGGGGGGAATGGGCTGAGGCGATAAGGATGAAATGGATGGATACGGTTACGGATTACAGCTCGATTGGACAACGGATGAACGAACTCCTCAATCTCGATACAAAAAAAAAAACAACGTGACCCTATTCGAGACAAAGAGGAATCGAGGAATTTGGTTACCGAAAATGAATGGTCATCACTCATTGAACTTTTCCATTGACGTTTTTTGTAGACTATAAATTAACATGGTCCGATACGCTGCTACCGCTGCCAATCCCTCCAAGGGTAAGACGCAAATTATTGTCTTTTTTGTAGTGAGGAAAACCATGGAGTATTCAATGTTGGTTCGATTCGCTTTTTCTAGCTTCCAAGTCCCGTGGCTCTTACCTCCGTGTTCACGTACGTAATGAACAGAATTCTAGCTTGCCGATCAGAATATTAGATATTGAGAGACAAAAGTACTCACTAGTGCTTTTATAGTTCAAGAACACTCACGAAGTCGCTGCTGCCATCAAGGGCTTGAAGTTGAGCAAGGCTTACAGCTACTTGAACAATGTTAAGGAGCACAAGCAGTGCATTCCTTTCCGTCGCTTCAACGGTGGTGTTGGTCGCACCGCTCAGGCCAAGGAATTCGGTACCACCCAAGGTCGCTGGCCCGTCAAGTCCGTCAAGTTCGTCCTTGACTTGTTGAAGAACGCTGAATCCAACGCCGAGGTAAGATTATTGGTGATGAAAAGGGAGAGCGGAAACGGGATAAGGTTTTCTCCATGGAGTGTGTGTATTTATCGAATTTTTGTATCAAAAAAAAAGGCCAAGGGTTTGAACGTCGAAGAGCTCTACATCTCCAGCATTGTTGTGAACCAAGCTCCCAAGCACCGTCGCAGAACCTACCGCGCTCACGGTAGAATCAACCCCTTCATGACCTCTCCTTGCCACATCGAAGTCATCCTCAACGAGAAGGACGAAGTCGTTCCCCGTGCTACCGACAAGGGTGTTGTGCGTTTGAATGCTCGCCAGTTGGCTCGCAAGAACCGTCTTGCTGCTCGCGCTTAAATTTGTTTTTTATATATACTAAACAGAATTTTTTCCGATTTATCTTTATGACTGGCATCGCAGGATGAGAAGCACTCACTAATAAAAAACAAAAAAGAAAGACATATTCGACATGAATGAGACAAGGCCTGAGACGGATAGGGTTTGTCAAATGATGAATCAATAATCATTTTGGATCATATTTCCAAATTATCCGCTGTGTGGGGGGAGGGGTAGCATCTTGTCCTTCTTTTTATAACATGATTCCAGCAGGTGTGATCTGCTGCTGAGTGAGATGTAACCTAAAAAAAAAAAAAGATGGGCCGTGCAATATTGTTCCTAGGAACCATTTTTGGCTCTGCCATCACTCGTTGAGACATTGCTTTTAGACAAAAATCTCAGCTGTCATTGACGCTGTGGAACCAGGTGATCGATCAACATTGAAGATGTATCCAGAATCAAAAGTCCATATTGCAGATCAGATACTGTGCCGACTTGTTTTGTATTCATTGATAAAATACTTGCATTTGATTCAATGTGCAATAAAGAATCATGCATACATCATGACGTGTGCATGCGAACATTCTGTGCAGCTTTAGAAAGGCGCCATTCCTTCTTTTTCTGCTTTTCATGCTTCTTGATCAGTCTTGGTGGGTGGTGGATGAATGTTTCGTGCAATTTTATACCTGTTTTTCACATCCAGTGAGAATGTGAGTCATTCACCTCCAATTCTCAGCTGACTCAATATGAGTAAATCTTTTCTCTAGAGAAAAAGTAAACCTAAACAGCACGACGTGATAAAATGACATGCAAGGCGTAATCTTGTAATCTAAAAGATTGGCCAGATCAATCCAGATTCAATTACAGATTAAAGAATCATCAGCTGCATCGTTATGCACCAGTGCTCATCTCGCTAAAATTGGCTAGAATAGAACAAATTAAATCAACCAACCAAAAGTGTAGCCAAGGTTAAGAAGCATTTCCCACATGACTATCCGTCACGTTAAAAAGAAAATTGATAATCGTTGCCTGGACAAGAGTTGCCATGCCTTTTGTTTGTTATACCGTCATTAAATATTTTTTCAAACTCGCTGGTTTTGACAAGAAAATATTTATCGACCTTGTAGGACGGTATAAGAATGCATTTGCTTGGGGACAGAGAGTTGATCAACCACAACATTACAGCGTGATCTTGTCATGCTCCATTTTTTTTAGTGCAAGCGGCCAGTGATGTATATTGCAATAAATCAACGGAATATTATGGTTAACGTATACGTGGTATTGGTGTTCTTACATACAAAATGTGATTTTTGCTGGTAGCGAAGCGGACAGTTTCTTTCTATTTTTTCATTTTTAAACTTCATAAACACGGGCAAAGTAGCTGAACAATCCATTTTCCCCAAATTCCCATCTTTTATGAAGAAAAATTTTAAAATTGGCAATCCAGTTTAAAGTAGGACGAGCGCGACGTTTCAGGTGCCTGATTCAAAGCCTAAAATGGGTCAGTTTTCTGTGCTGTGTTTTCACTAACCCAAAAACGCCTCTATTATTTTTTCAGTTTCCGACTTTTTTCACTTTCTTTGATCTATAAATTCCTTGACAACGCTCTTCCATTTCTGATTTTCTTCTTCTTCTTCTTTTTTTACTTTACTTACTTTTTTGCACGAAAAATATGTCTGCTACTCAAGAAACTACTGCCACTGAGCCTACTGTCACTTCTCCTACTCCCGCTCCTGCCGCTGCTGAGCCCGAAGCTGTGGCTCCTGCTACCACTGCTCCTGTTGTAGTTGAGGAACAGAAACCTTCTGAGAACGTCCAGACCACCGCCGAACCATCCAAGGAGCCAGAGCAACCCAACTCTGAAGAATCCAAGGATGCCACTGCCCCTGCTGCTGTTCCCGAACGCTCATCATCACCTGCCAGATCAGGTACGAAGCGTCTTTCCATGTTCCTCAACAAGGCCAAGAAATCCTTTTCTGGTGACAAGGCCGTTCCCGCGGAAGAAGTCAAGCCGTCTTCTGAAACACCTGCTCCTGTGGTTGAAGAGAACAACGAATCTACTACTCCTGAACCCGCTACCACAGCCGATTCGACCGAAGCCGCGCCTACTTCTGCTGCTGCCTCACCTGAACCTGCCAAGTCAGAACCGTCTCACGAAGAAAAGAGAAAATCTCGATTCCTCAACGGCATTTTTAGCCGTAGCAAGGTATGATGTGGTTTTTTTTTACCTTTTTCTTTTTGGCTTCGTGGATCCCAGTGTCGGAGTTTAGTTTTTCCATGTCATCTGTTCCCCAAAGGGGTCATTGTTCGGCATGGTTCTGTATTACCTAGTATACGACTCCGCTGAAAACTTTGTTGACGATCTTTTTTGGTTCTTACTGGATGGCATGATGCTGAAAATGACATTTAACCTTTTATTTTCTAACATTATAGAGCCCTTCCAAGGAAGACACCAAGCACAAACACGAAGAAAAGAAGGAACAGGAAGCCTCCGCTCCAGGTAAAGCTTCACGTTGTTCATTTTTTAATGTTTCAATTTTTTTTTTGTGTGTCTTGCTGAACCTTAAATATTATTAGTCACCGGCGAAGCGGCTGCATCTGTCGTTGACAATGAGCCTGCTACCACTGCTACTACCGCGGAAACGGCCGAAGAAACCAACAATAACGAAGCTTCTGCTACTGCCGAACCTGCGACTGCTGAAGCTACCGAATCTCAGTCTGCTACTGCCGCTCCAGCTTCACCCAAGCCCAGCAAGGAAACCAACGTGATCGATCAGATCAAACGTCACTCATTTGTGAATAAGTTCTTTGGTCACAAACACAAAAAGGATCATGACGCACCCAAGTCGACCACTACTCCTGAATCAAATGAAGCTGCCAATGAGCCGGAAACGGAAGTTGCTGCTGGTGTACCTGAAGTTCCTATTGAACCTGCCGCTGCTGAACCTGCCGCTGCTGCTGCTGAACCTGTTGAACCCGCCTCTGGTAAGTTTATCATTCACAAGTCCAACCTTGATTTGGGAAGATCCATAATCGCTCTTGTTGCAACATGGTGTACCATGTGTAACCATTTCTAAATGGAATTTTATGACCTCATGCTACAGATGTTAATTTTTTTTTCTTTCGGCATTTCTAGAACAAAAGGCTACGACCACCAAGGAAGAAAAGCCGAGCTCTCGACCCAGCTCTCCTTTGGGTCGTCGTTTGACACAGATGCTTCGTGGTTTCCCCAAAAAGGATAAGAAGGAAAAGGAAAAAGCCGATAAGCCTGCTTCTCGTGAAGAACCGGTGGCCGAAGAAACTTCGGCTCCAGTAGATGCTGCAACCAAAGACTTGCCTCCCAATCCCGAAGGTGCCGAGCCCAGTGCCAAGACCACCGAAGAATCGGCCACGAAGCCTGTTGAACAAGAAAACAAGGAAGTCAAGAACACCGTGGAAGCCGCTGCCACCTCGGCACCTGCTGTTGAAGCTTCAGCATAAATGACAGGTATTGGATGGCACTCTCTCTTGTCTTCCTTATCGATCAGTGATCCGTCAACCTTTCAAATGATTATTATTATACTATTTTCGCTCTTTTCTTTTCATCTTCCTTCTTTGCTTATTTTACTTTGCGCTTATTTTTAAATTTCAGTAATTCATTCAATCTATACTTTTTATTATTATTGTTATTTTCTTCTTTCCTTTCCTTTCTTTTACAGCTTTTACTTTATTTTCACCCATTAATGCCTTTTGGCTCAATAAAGTTACACTAATGATCAAAAAAATTTTCTCTCCCAAAAATAAAAACGTTGCCCTATTGCACCGGTTTTAGCAATGTACCACAGACCTCGTTTGTTTTTTTTTATCGCGCCACAAAAAAAAAAAAAAAAAAAAAAAAAACCGTGATCGTGATCCGCTCCTCTGAACGGGAATCAAACTTGGATTTTTTCTATTTTTACTTGTCATGAAAGCGAAAAATATATTGAGAAGTAAAATAAAAAAAAAGAAAAAGGTAGAAGCATCATTATTGGATGATAAAAAAAAAAGTGAGAAGAATGATATATACATAGGAGAAAGAAAGAAGAAGAAAAAAAAAGGAGTTCATGCTTGATTATACTGCTTGTCTAAAAACAACCTTGCCTTGGCTTCGGAATTGAAGAACTTCCCTGCGACCCAAAATTGTAAGAGCCCGCAGAATAGCAGCATCTGTATAACCTTGCTGAATGAAATCATTCTTGATCTTCACCACCGCCACCTGAGAACCGATGGGCAATCGGCGTTGGATTTCAAGCTCAATAGCTTGAACTTCAGCCATGATCTCGCTACGAGTCATACCGTCGGCTAAACAAAACATTACCAGGATCAGCTTATGTTTTTGTTTCTACAGAATATCAAAACTGCTCATCTGCAACTTACCTCCCCCGCCACTTTGAACTGCATCCATGGTGGAGTACTTGAATAACCGAATCGCTTCCTCCACATGCTTTTCTGTGGCCACAGGAGAAAGGGTCATTTTAGCAAGAGATTCGGAAATACGGATAATAGCCTCCAGTTGTCTGTAACATTCCAAAAGAAACGTAGTGTGAGTCAATCACTGCCAACGCATTTTTTTTCTCAAACTAATTTTTTTTAGTGCCATCCTATTTCTCTCTGACCTGATGGTGATCGGAATAGAAGATCGGACTTGAGTGTCTCGTTCGGCTTCCTTGACCTCCTTTCGGATGGAAACAAAATGGCTACTCAATTTTTCGGCCGCATCCGCTGTAAGACGAGGAGCGCATTTCCTATTTAGATCAACCGGGTCAGTCATTTGTCGACATTTTGTGATACTTTGGTAAGTAACACTCACGCTTTGCAGTAATTAATATAAGCCTTCATTTTTTCCAAATCAATTTCACCAATAGCGTCATGCACCTGGCGGTTCATGTGCACATTGAGAACATGGCGGGCAATCGACTGCATAAAATGATCACACCACGTGAGTTATCAAATTCAGGATTCGTGCAACTACACAAATATTCGTACCACATCGCGTGCTTCATTATGTTCATCCTTGACGATAAAGATCATATCGAAACGGGACAAGATGGTGGTTTGGAAATCGATGTTCTATAAAAGAGTGAATGAGTATTTACAAGAAGATCGGGTATGGACATCGGGTAGAGAAAAACATTGACAACGTACCTCACCGGGACTCTTCATATCGTCGTATCGACCAAATACCGGATTGGCAGCGGCCAAGACCGAGGTTCTCGAGTTAAGGATGGTGGTAATACCAGCCTTGGCAATCGAAATGGTCTGTTGTTCCATGGCTTCGTGAATAGCCACACGATCTTCATCGCGCATCTTGTCAAACTCATCAATACACACGACACCGCCATCCGCCAGAACCATGGCACCGCCTTCTAAATAGAAATCACGCTAAACGGATAATCAGACGAGGAGTCAGTACCTAATGATGAAACCGGGTTCTGAAATTTTTTCAACGTACAGTGCTGGGATCACGGATCACGGATGCAGTTAAACCTGCAGCACTACTTCCTTTACCCGAAGTATACACTGCGATAGGTGCGACTTTTTCGACAAACTTGAGCAGCTGGGATTTGGCCGTACCGGGATCACCCAACAAAAGCACACTGATGTCACCTCTCAATCGAATACCGTCAGGAAGCACCTTCTTCGATCCACCAAACAACAAACATGCGATGGCTTTCTTGATATCTGCGATTCGATATACATGTATAAGCTCATCACATCCATGTTCTGTCGCGTTCATTCCTCTTACCCTTGTTGCCAAAAATAGACGGAGCAATACTGCCAGCAAATGATTCGTAAAGATCCGGTTGTCGGGACATGCGAATAAATTCTTCCTCTTCAGCGTCCGTAAACACGGGACGTCCGCGACCGCCATTGTGCTGATCCACATGCAAACCAACCACGCGGATGTAAGGCGTTCGAACGGCAGCAGCACCGGTAGATTTCTATACAGACAGAATCCCAACTCCATGAATAAAACAATGACTGCAATATGTGGACTACTTTCTCCTACTTACAGCCGCTTTGTTCTGGAAAATCGAATAGATACCCATGACCACGGCTCGCATACCGGGTACTACACGATTCGTCAACCATCTACAAAGGATGATAAAAAAAAGTCAGCCAGCCAAATCCTTCATAACCGTTGTCAATCCTGTGCTACTTGCCTGTCAGCATTTAAGATCGTGTGGCGAGGCAAGTCACCCACAGGCACCATATCGGGGGCCTCTTGCAGCTTCAGGACCTGAGAGTCAACAAACTCGCACTTATCGTGGACAATTACATAAGGATCGATAGGACAAGGATTCTTCATTTGACCGTCCAAGGGTTGACTACAGGTTGAAATAAAATAAAAGAAACGCAAGAGTTTTGTTAGCAAGCAAAATCAAGACAAACACTGCTTTTCATCCTTCTATTTACCTATCACAGGTTCTGGGCAAGGTAATAGCGGAAAAGCCTCCATTGACAGGAATCACTTTGGTGTGACGGCAAGACCGACACATAATGTTGACATAGGTTGCGCGGGAACTGAGAGTGGATGCACCAATCACGATACCAGGAATACGGACCAATTTACCAATGTACATTGACTGCCAGCAGAACGATGGGTGAGTATGCGTTTTGTTAAACCATGTTATGGATAAAAGGGAACTTACGTTGAGGTCTCTGATCTGGATAACGTTGGCGTCGGATTTCAACATGACCTGACAGTCAGGGACTTCGCTAATGTCCACTGTGCCTGGACTGGAGAACAGAATACGCTTGGCACTCTCTTTGACTGCTCGCTCAAACTGACGGAGAAAGTATTGCATCAACATTACTGCGCCTGCGCATGCTTTTCATTTCAACTCAGAATTCTTACCAAAGGCAAAAGATCGGCAGGTGCATTCGTCAACTTGTCGGCAAGATCGGCATTGAAGCTAATAAGGTGGCTCATGTCGACTTCGATATAGTACTGTTTAGCCAGCAAGTGTTCTGACAGTTGATCTCTATTTGTAAGAAAAAGCACGTCAATCGCCGTTTTGTCACCGTCATGGGTCATGCTTGGGAATCCACACTGTACCTGTAAACATAATTATCTCCCAAGTGGAATTTCTGAATGAATTCCAAGAACATTTGGGTCAACTCAGCGTGCGAGTTGACCTGACCTTCAGGTTGCAAGACGCTTGTAGAGTAGATTTGACCACGATCCCAACCGAAGCTTGCCATATTGATAGAGTGACGATGATGCCTGAAAGTGGACTGTATAAAACAAAGCAAAACTGTGAAAAGGCCTCAGACGCGACTCAAAAAAACCGACCATGACGCGAAAAAACTTTCCCCAATTCGCGTGTTGGATGTCCGCCCCAAATCTCAAAGTCACAGCCTGACATTTCCACCAGGAATTTCACCCATCCCCCTGTTAATTTGCTATCAACTCTTGTCATCTTACGCATAGATCTCGTTTTGTTCATCTAGAGTAGGCTGAGTGAAAATTAAGATAATGACTTAATTCGTATTACAAAACGGAATACTCACCAAGAGAACGCTGTTTATAACTGCTCGAGGTTATCCTTTTGCTCTTTTGGTTTTCATTGTTTTAAGGTAAGGTTTATTTAAGAGTTGGTTTAATTGGTCCTTACTCAAATATATATCGTAGCCACTGACGCAAAAGGATAATCGAAAGCAGCGTAAACAAAATTCTTTCAATCTAGTGACAACAAAAAGAGTGCCCTTATTAATAAAATAAGCAAGTCACATTGCCTTTTCTAGGTTATAACTCTTTACATAGAAACGGTTCTCATGCCATATTGCCTTTTTAGCGCCATTGCTACGCACTGTTTGTACGAAAAAGTCCACCCAAAAAGGCATGTTACCCACACACTGTGTTAAAATAATCTCTGTGACATTGCCTTTTCCGGGCCATTGCCACATCCTGTTCGTACAAAAGCAACCTACCCAAAAAGGGACGTTGCCCACACACTGCCCGACAATATATAAAAGAGAAAAGATTGCTTTTGACCTTTAATTTAGTTATATCCTGTCACAAATAAAAAAAAATAATCTACAATATGCCTTGCCGTTGTGGAAGTACGGATCGAAGAATTACCAGCGCTTGGTGTCCGTTGAACCAGGAATACAACTACTGGGCAGATTATTCAAGAGTAGCCGTCATTCCAAGAAGCACAAGTGCAGCAGTTTTTTCATGTCTCTCCACAATGTATATACACTTTTTTTGATGATTTTTCAAAATGCATTTTTTTAAAGAAATTCTGGAACTTCGGATAGACCTTACCAGACGCTGCCAATGTGGACGTACGGATCATCAAAGAATGACAAGTTCAAGGTGTCCGTTGAATCGCATGAATACAACTGCCGAGTTTATTCAAGTCACCCAACAAGGTATTTTGCATATCCTCTTGGCAGTAGTTTATTCAAAATTATGCCAGCATTGTATACATTTGTCCTGGATATTTTCCAATTTCTGAGATCCCGATAGATCTACTTTGCCAATGTGGCGGTACAGACCATCAAAACGTGTCAAGCTCGCTCTGTCCCTTAAATCCTAGAAACATGACAGCCGACGTTGAGGATGTCGCTCCACCTGCACCAGTACCTTCAACTATGGAAGGTATTATTTTCTTTAAAGCTCCTCTGACATTGCACGAATTAAGTTTATATTTTCCCATTATGTGGCTATCAGTTGAGCCAGCCGACCTTGAGGATACCGTCCCACTTGATCCCATGTCTTCAACTACGGAAGGTATGTATTCTCTTCAAAGCTCCTCTAAGATTGCATGCATAAAGAGCTTATATTTTCCATTTACGTTATTTTGTCAGTAGGACCATCCCACAATACTGCCCGAATCTCCTTTGAAGAATTTCAAGGAGGCGCCTCGATTCGTGCTCGAAACGTCAACGTCGATGGAGTAATGGACAATGGCAGCATGACCTTGGTCTGTGTTTCCTGTGGAGCCAAAGGCTGGGAATCCGAAAAGTAGCTGGAACTCGTCAAGAACCTCGGTTTGTCATTTGCTGCAACCATGGAAAGCTCCAGTTGCCCGTCCTTCAGCCACCTCCTGAAGAGCTGCGACAATTGCTCACTGGCCAAGACGCAATCTCCAAGGAGTTCATCCATTATATTCGAAAGTAGAATGCCCTTTTTGCATTTACTTCGATTGGTGTCGAGGTATGTACATCATGACAGTTGTCGTGTTGAGCCAACGCCCAAACAAAACCAGAAAAATGTTGCTTACTAAATTGGATTTGATATACTGTAGATTGATGAGGAATTGACCAATGCAAGATCTGGCACTTATACATTTCGTATGCATGGCACTATCCATCACAGGATTACCCAATATGCATCCTCACCAAGCTTTCAGCCTTCATTCTCGGAATTATACATTTATGGTCCTGATATTCAGCAGCAACATCGGTCATCTATGTTTGAAGATCTTCATCGCCAAATACTACAAACTTTGCAGACGATGATGGCTCGGGTGAATCCATATACCCGCATATACCAATCAATGAAAATTATAAGTTCTTAATGCATACCATATTTAGAGGAGCGCTGAAGAAAATACATACCTTCCGTAGTTGAAGACACAGGAGCAAGTGGGATGGTATCCTCAACGTCGGCTGGCTCAACTGGTAGCCACATAATGGGAAAATGTAAACTTAATGCATGCAATGTCAGAGGAGTTTTGAAGAAACATCCATACCTTCCATAATTGAAGGCACTGGCGCAAGTGGAACGGTATCCTCAACGTCATCTATCATATTTCCAAGGTTTAAAGGACAGAGCGAGCTTGACACGTTTTGGTGGTCTGTACCGCCACATTGACAAAGTAGAACTATCGGGATCTGAGAAATTGAAAATATCCAAGCCGAATGTATATAATATGGCATAATTTTGAATAAACTGCTGCCAAGAGAATATGTAAAATACCTTGTTGGGTGACTTGAATAAACTCAGCAGTTGTATTCATGCGATTCAACGGACACCGTAAACTCGTTCATTCTTTGATGACCCGTACGTCCACATTGGCAGCGTCTGGTAAGGTCTATTTAGATTTCGGGAAATTTTTTAAAAAAAAATGCATTCTGAAAAATTATCAAGAAAAAGTGTATATACATTGTGGAGAGACATGAAAAAACTGCTGCACTTGTGCTTCTCGAATGACGGCTGCTCTTGAATAATCTGCCCAGTAGTTGTATTCCTGGTTCAACGGACACCAAGCGCTGGTAATTCTTCGATCCGTACTTCCACAACGGCAAGGCATATTGTAGATTATTTTTTTTATTTGTGACAGGATATAACTAAATTAAAGATCAAAAGCAATCTTTTCTCTTTTATATATTGTCGGGCAACGTCCCTTTTTGGGTAGGTTGCTTTTGTACGAACACGATGTGGCAATGGCCCGGAAAAGGCAATGTCACAGAGACTATTTTAACCGTGTGTGGGTCACATGCCTTTTTGGGTGGAGTTTTTCGTACAAACAGCGCGTGGGCATGGCCCTAAAAAGGTAACAGGGCATGAGAACCATTTCTATGTATAGAGTTATAACCTAAAAAAGGCAATGTGACTTTGCTTATTTTATTAATTAAGGGCGCTCTTTTTGTTGTAGATATTTTACCTTTCAATGTCACTTCACATTGCTGGCCGCGCCTGGGTGGATAAATGAATATTCTAAAATCACTTTGTCCTTGGATCAAGAGGACAAAGCGGAGAATTCCGTTTTACAAAGAGTGCTCAACTTAGTCACCCAGTATCAAGTGCTGCATCATTCTTGCTGCCAATTCATTGCGGTGCTCGATAACATGTGGTCGTTTCAGGACTCTCAAAGTACGACCAAATTCGGAACCACGTTTCGACATACACGGTACGGACAGTGCTTAGCAAAAGAGTGCCTGTATCGCAAAAGTGTTTTTTGATGTTATGCCTAAGCTCGCTCTTGAAATATATGAGGAAAGAAACAAAGGTTTGCATTCTTTTGTCTTTTTTTGTATTCCGTTCCAAGTTCGAGGTCTCAAAGTACGAAAAATAATGGCGTCCATTTTTTTTTATCGATGGCGCTTGGTCTGAATTTTAAAAAAACAAAAAATAGGGCTTTTGGCAATTTGCGTTATTATCATATCGTCGACCTGGTGTTGCACTATTATATGAAAGTCAAGATAGCCATTTCCGAACCTCCAGAAGTTATTGATCCTCTCATTACCGATTTAGCAGCATGCATTGCTAAAAGCAAACGTGTTCTCGTCATCACAGGCGCAGGCATTTCCTGCAGCGGAGGCATACCGGTATTGTGATTAGCCACGGTTGAGCAACCTATGCGCCCAATGAGTATTTGTATTGATTGACCTGTTAGGATTTTCGCTCGTCAGATGGTTTATATGACCTTGTGAAGAAAAAACATCCAGATATTGTTTTACGCGGCAAGGAACTGTTCGATGCTATGCTATTCAGAGACGAGAAGCAGATAAAATGCTTTTACACGTTTATGGCCGAACTCAAGCGTCTGATTTCGTCAGCAGCACCTACACCAACCCACGCCTTCATTCAAAAGCTGAAGCAAAACGGCCAATTGTTGCGTTGCTATACCCAGAATATCGATTGTTTGGAAGAATCCATCGACTTGCCTGTTATCCAACTGCACGGTTCCATGAATAAGGTGAAATGCACCCTGTGCCCCGCCACCTATAAATTCACGACGCGCATGGAAAATCAGTTTCGTCGCGGTGTCGCGCCTCCATGTCCTCAATGTACCATTGTCGACTGCGAACGAATTCGACAGGGCAAACGATCCTTGGCTACAGGCACACTACGTCCGGATGTGGTGCTATACAACGAAGAACATCCTAATGGGGATATCATTGGTCAAATGCAGACGAGCGATCTGAAAAAGAAACCAGACTTGATGATCGTGATGGGAACGTCCTTGAAGATACCCGCATTGAAGAAATTTATCAAGCAAGCGTCACGCATGATTCACGCTACCAAAACCGGACGCGTTATCTTTGTGAATCGTACACAAGCAACCAAGGAATGGGAAAAAGTGTTTGATTACGAAGTGCTTGGCGATACCGATCACTGGGTGAAAATCATTGAAAAGAAAATGGCCGACGAGAAAACCATGGCGGCGGCCGTGACGAGACTGAAAAGATCCATTTCATCCGTGAGTGACGAGGACGACAAGGAAAATACCATAGCATCCGGTACAAAGAAAACCGTCACTCTGAATGTCAGCAGCAGCAAACAAACCACGCTCAAAGGCTTTCGTGTCACCAAATCGGCTGCAACCACCAAACGCACTAAAACTGCGTAATGCAGTTATTTGCCATTTCCGTCATGATTTTCCCTTGTTTACTATTTTCAAATGTTTTATGTCAACTAGGATGCTTGATATTTATTGACCGTTTCATATCATACCTCTCACGATACTATCAATCCGAATTGCATTCAAATTATCTCTCTTCATCGCCTCTTGATGAAATGAGCAACGTATAAATAAACAGCACTCATTTGCACCAAATTCGGTTTTATTTGCTTGCCGTATGTTGAATTGGTTATCGGCCTTTGGTCGTTACTTGTGGTGTTTGGTAAAACAAGTTCAAGGAGGGGAAAGACCCTCATCTTGATAAGTTTTTTTTGCAAAGTTTTTCTGTTTTCAGGAACCCATCCCCCAGATGTTGGAAAACCAGTGGGCAGCCGAAAGTTCCGAAACACGAACCACCTCATTTTGGATAAAAATTTAGGCCAAAGGTAATCTTCTTTCGACCATCACACAAAAAAAAAGAGAATTGCCATTATTTCCGCGAAAAAACATAAAAAAGGTACAGCGTTATGGTCACACATGACTCTTGTCTTATTCACTGTCATTGGATGGTTGTTTACGGTTGATTTAATCATACTCTTATGGAATACCAATGCGCTGTCGGCAAAACCACTTCCGTTTCACGTGTTTCAATCGGCGCGTCACTTCAAAACCGTTTTTGGGCACCGGCCGGGCAACCCTTCTTCTTTATGACAAACTTGCGCAAAAAACCAACAGACTCGAGCCAAACGGCTGTCTATGCGTCGTTTGACGATGAAAAGAAGCCTAGAGTTAAAACGACGGGCGCTTGGTCCTCATGGCTGAGGTTACTCTCTTACTGTGGCATCGCATTTACCCTCGCCACCTACTTGCACTACCGACTGCCGTCACCGGATACGCATCGTGGCATCCATCCGACGACAGGACAGACCCAATTTTCAGAGTATAATGCTATGAAAACTATTTCTTATCTGAGCGACACCCTAGGTTACCGTAAGTGGGAAGACGATCAATCACTGCGCAAATGACGGGAACAATGTACGCTCAACCTCTTTTTTATGATCACCTAGGTATTGTTGGTACCGTGGAAGAGCAGCAAACAGCCGATTATCTTGAAAACGCAGTGCGTACCTACAAAAAAGAATCGCAGGGTTTAGTGGGGGCGCCCAAATTCGATATTTGGGTGGAACAAAAATCAGGCACCCATCGATTCGATATTATGGATAACAGTAAGAAGTGACCCCATCGTTGCATCCATTGATTGCGCTGTGGTGCTAAAAAGAGAACTTTTTTATTTATCTAGTGGTGCTGAAGGCTTATACCAACATTACCAATCTCGTTGTTCGATTATCTTGCCCAGCGTCGGCTTCTGATCCTGCCGGCGTTCGACCCTGTGAGGAAAATGCGGTACTCATTAATGCTCACTTTGATACCACGCTTGGATCGCCGGGGGCTACCGATGACGGCTCAGGAATTGCCGTGATGTTGGATATTATTCGGGTCTTGAGTCAAAGGGATTGGTCGAATTACAAGAATGCCATCGTATTTTGTAAGGGGCTAATTTTCATGCACATGCACGTCACGGCTGTAATGCTTACACAACAATATTGAACTAGTGTTCAACGGTGCCGAAGAGACTTTACAGGATGCTTCCCACGCATTTATCACAATGCACGATATTAAGGATACGTGAGTATGGAGATTTCGCAGTGGGTTTAAACGAAACCGGTGTCTAAATTACATATTTCTTGTCAGTATTCGGGCCGTCGTCAACATTGACGCTTGTGGTACCACAGGTCGCGAAATCTTATTTCAGGCAAATTCTAGAGAGGTGATCGAAGCCTATAAACAAGCCCCTTATCCTCACGGCACCGTCATGGTACAAACCACATTACTTGATTTCGACGGTCAGAGGGATTGGAATAAGCTGATATATCTTGTCTTTTTTCTTTTTTTCATGCTCTCAGGCAAATGACGTGTTCCGCACCGGGTTAATTTTGTCAGATACCGATTTTAGACAATTTGTGCAATACGGCAATTTGACGGGCATTGATATGGCGATCTACAAAAATTCGTACTTGTATCACACTCATTTGGATGTCACAAAACATCTTCAGCCAGGCGCTATTCAACATTTGGGTGAAAACACGCTGGCCGTGGTCAACTATCTTGCCCAAAATTCTTCGTTGGAAGGCATCGAACCCACCAGCGAAATCGTTTTCTTTGATGTTCATGGTAAATTCTTTTTTTCTTTCCTGGCTTGATAGACGATGGGTACGGAGGGCATATATTCACTCATGATCGTTTTCTTTGTCTAGGTTTATTCTTTGTCGTGTATTCATGGGCGACAGCTTATCGTATTCAAATGGCTACGGCGATGGTGTGCGGTCTTCTTTTTGTGTACATCGTGGCCAAAACTCATGCCTCTTCTCCCTATCGGTCAGTTCCCAATATTCTTGGTGCGTATGTAAAATCGACTTTGTCGGTAGTCCTGAGTGCCATTGCTGCTCTTTTGCTCCCAACCGTCGTAGCCCTTTTCCTTGCATCCGACAGCGTCAATCGTCACATGGCATGGTTCGCTCGGGAATGGTATGGAGCTCTCATATTTGCTCCCATGGCTTTCCTGGGTTCCTATGGCGTTCAGTACCTTTCTTACTGTCTTCCCGGTCCCCAGCATGTGGATGTTGAGTATGGCGTCTTTATTTCTCTCATGCTTGCCTTTGGTATCAGCACGGTGATTACCACTCAAACTGGCGTGGCTAGCTCCTACGTGTTTTGGATCTACTGCTTTATCCTTTTGATTGCTTGTCTTGTCAACGAATTCGTACTGATGCCCAAGTCCACCGGCAAAATGCAAAGTCCCAAGGTGCACAAGCTGACGTATGCCATCAGTGTGTTTCCATTGGCGCTATTGTACACCGATTACTCGCACGCCTTGGTGGATATTTTCGTGCCTCTGACAGGTCGTATGGGTGTGGACACGCCAGTGGATATCATTGTCGCCATTATTTTCGGCATGGTGTCTTTCATGATTTTCTTACCCTCGGTCGCTCACGTTCATCGATTCGGAAAACAGCTTCTCTTCCGCATTCTTCTGGGTCTTGTCCTTGTCCAGATGGCCGTCCTCGGTAGTGTCTTGCTGAACGGAAACCATCCAGGTGGATGGGCTTTTCCTTACGATGATATGCATCCCAAGAGAATGTAAGTAGATCGTTGCAGTTTTGGGGATTTTGGGGAGTTTGGTGGAGAGAATGTGTGAGTTTCGTGCATGAATCCATTGAACTCACTCGGTTGGTCTGCGGGTTAGTTTTGCTCAACATTTGAAAAACCTTACTTCTGGTGAGAACTATGTCGCCATTGCTGAAGCTGATCATGGTCCTTACATCCAAACCATTGTGACATCGCTTGAAAACGAGCTGGGCGTTCAAGCCGAACCTCGTCATGGATCCATGCATCAAAGCGACTGGGACTCGGTGTATCCATTCAGTGCCTTTTTGGGAGGCTATCGGTTTAATGCGGGTCCGTACATCAAATCCCATACAAACGATGCTCAAGTAGCGGCGTCTGATCGTGTCCTTGACCATCTTGCCGTTCCGGTTCCCAAGTTATCTGTGCACAATGAGCATTATGACCCTGTTACCGGTGTGCGTTCATTCACAGTGCTGTGTGTATCGCCAGGCTATACTTGGACCGTCATCGCTTTCGATGGTCACGTGCTGAAGTGGAGCATTGAAGATTCGGAACCGTTATCACATGAATCGCATTACGTCGTTCGACACGTTACTGGTTACGGTAATGATGGTTGGAAGCTGGACTTGTCGGTCAAGGTACCTGAAGAGCATCGTGCCGAAGCCGCGGCTGGACAATGGAAGATGCGATTTGAATTCACCGCTCTGGACAGAGAAGTATTTGCCAGTCGAGGTGAAGAACGCCTTATTGGCGGTGTGGGTATCTTGGGCGTGGTTCAACGTATTTTACCCGATTGGACCACTGCCACTTGGTTGAGTACGGTGGTGAAAGTATGGGAATTGTAATCTACTTTGTGTGCTATTTGTCATTATTTTTTTTTCATTTCGTTTTTATCATTTTTCTAATTTTTCCCTCAAAATAATACTGCCAGCATTTGAACCATTTATGTTTTCCGCATCTCTTTCCTGCATAAAACGTTAGATGACAATGAATTGTTAAAATGTGAATGAGGATATTGGGCTCCATCTGAAATTAGAGTTGATCCCAAAATCCGGAATATTATAAACTGGGCTGTTGTCATAGTTTATGCTTCATGGACATTTTCTGTTTTCACCCTTGCAGGTACAACAAACGGGCTTGAATAGGTCAGCATCATTTTCCGGTGATGCTAAAGCAATATGGCTTAGCTGTAAGTTTCATGCAATGTGCTTACCTATGAAGCGAACCCTGTTTTTTACACTCGCACTCAGAGCCCTAATCTACGTCGTACCTCCAACATGACTTATGTGGTATTGATCTGAAATATATCCAAATAAACTTGTGGAGGTGTCAGCCGTTACAATTACAGAAAACTATGATAAAACAAACTTTATAACAAAGCGCAAGGAAAACGACGATCTAATTCTCAACGAGGCAGGAGTCATGCCCCCGCCTTTCTTGTCTTAGCTTATCCAAATTATCGATAATCTGCTTGAAACTTGGCTTCAGAAACGACTCAATCAGCTGGGTGACCAATCAATGAGGCTCTAATCACATGATTGTGATAACTTGCCAAATAACTTTGCATATCCGAAAAGATTGCATGACACGGTTGCTCAACGGCATAGATGCTAGCAAAAGCAGTATATAAACATCGCGGATAGTAACTAGCATCCACACATCAGCAAAAATGGTAAAATACGCTTTCACTCTTCTGTCTTTCCTCGTACTTGGTTTCACAACGATGTCACTGGCTCAAGATGAACCAAATTGGACTGGCTGCTCATCAGATAATGACTATCAATGTCCACCTAGCCACCCGTCTACCTGCTATGCTCATGATCCGGCGGAGGCTGACGACGTTTGTTCATCAGATTGCGGCGATTTTGGTGACGCATGCCCTGAGGGGCAATGGAAGACGTGCTGCCTAGATTAAACAGCTCTTGTTCCCCTGGCAAAGAAACTTTTAACCACGTTGAATTGCGATCGTAGTATTTTCTTTCGACAATAAAACATTTTTCTTTTGCCTTCGTCACGTTGACATGCCAAAAAAAAAGAAAAATTATGATTCGAAGCTTGGCTTTGGAAACGAAACTCAATCAGCTGCTCACTGAAAGCTTTCACACCATTCATCTATTGTGCCAAATTATTTGCATATCCCAAAGATTGGAACCATGATATCGGCTACTGAACGGCATACAATGTTCGCAAGAAGCAGTATAAAGACATTGCAGATAGTAACTAGCATCCACGTATCAGCAAAATGATAAAGTACGCTTTGACTCTTCTGTTTTTTCTCATTCTTGATTTCGCGACACCGTAATTGGCTCAAGCTCAACCACCGAACTATTGGTCCCGTAACTGCTATTTTGGTCCGCATCCTTGTCCACCAGAGCGCTCGTTTCCTTGCTCTGCTGAGAATGAGATGACGGCTACACTTTGTCCACAAGAATGCGGCTCGTTCGGTGACCCATGCCCTGACAGAATGTTCAAGACGTGTTGCACAGATTAAACAGTTCTTGTTATCCTGGCAAAGAATCTTTAGCTTTCTTGGCTGCGACCGTAGTACTTTCTTACGACAATTAAAATGTTTACCTGTGCGGATGTGTCTTCGGTCGACATCTAATAAAAAGACCATTGCCTTAATGAAATCCTTCCGGTGATATAGATAGTATACTGCTGATGATCTTATTCATTAAACCATGCGTAATAATTTACGTAACTGAACTGTAAAGAGAATGCTTTTTTTTTTATCTACTATGCTAAATCTTGATCTCTGAAGAAGAATAGGGTTCCACTAGTTGGTAATACCTGATTTTATTATCTGCCTTGCAATGAGAGCTTATTCACGCCAAGTAGTTGCCGGTAGTTGACGACGGTATAAACCGTTAATTAAAGCGACGATTAAGCTCATTTCATCAACCTATCTGTCGTTCCAGAAATTGGCATATAATAACTCATCTTTATGACCATCTCAAATTTGTGCAGGTATTATTAGTTGTTAGATGCAAGGTCGCAGCTGCTGTGACAGCATTTACTTAATAATGAGGCATCTAAGACATGCTAATGAAATGAGTTATGCTTTTGAGGTGTAGGTTGCCTTTACGAAAGATTCGAGCGATGGTATCGTTTGCTTAATGGCGAACAAAGATGTGTAACACAGTATATGAGCACGACAAATTTGTATCCACGTTCAAATCTCTTACAGACATATAACACACATTTCAACACTTCCCTTCTCCCTGGTATTTGGTGTTTCTCTTTCATTCATCATCTTCTATTTAATTTTCTCTCAAAATAATACTGCCAGCATTGAACCTATTGTAACCTCGTACTATTTCCCTACATAGAATGGTAGACAAGTATGAACTGCGGCACCTCACGTAAGGTAAATAACTGAAATAATTTGAGCCCCATTTCCTGCATTAGGGTTGATCCCAAAAATCCGGAATATTAGAATCAGAGCTGGTACCATTGTGTGTGCCGAACTGATCCATGCGAGTCGGTTTTATGAACATTTTCTGTATCCACCCTTGCAGACATAATAAGCGAGCTTAGATTTTTGGCATCATTTTTGGTGATTCTAAAGGAATATGACCTGGAATAAATTTCGTGCAATATGCTTCCCTGTGGAGCGAGCATTTTTTTATACACTTGGTCAGAGTCCTGATCTATATTGGTTGCTATAACATGACTTGGTAAGTGCCATTGATCTGAATCACGTCCAAATAATCATTGTGAAAGTCGGTGCAGTTAGGCATGATAGTCATCAAAAATAATAATAATAAAAAATTATCAAAGCGCAAGGAAAACGATGATGTAACTCTCAACTAGGCAGGAGTCATGCCTCTGCCTTTCTTATCTTAACTTATCCAAAGTATCGATAACCTTATAATTTTCGTCCATCTTACCCGAAACATAAACCATTGCTTGAATCCTGTCTTCAGAAATGATTCAATCAGCTCATTGAGGATATGCGACTCCAACTACATGATTGTAATATCTTGCCAAATAGCTTGCATATTCAAAAGATTGTCGCCGTTATATCGGTTTCTCCACGGCATAAATGTTGTTAGCAAGATGCAGTATATAAGCACAACAAATGGTAACTAGCACCCACACATCAGCAAAAATGGTAAATTACGCTTCCACTCTTCTGACCTTCCTCGTTCTTGGTTTCGCAACAACATCATTGGCTCAAGATGAAGAACCACCGTACCATTGGACTAACTGCTCGGCTATTCCGTATCAATGTCCACCTGAGCGCCCGGATGCTTGTTATGCCAATAATGCGTCATGGGCTAGAGATTGTCCATTAGTATGCGGCAAGTTTGGCGACCCATGCCCTGAACGACAATATAAGGCGTGCTGCACAGAGTAAACGGCTCTTGTAACCTTGGCAAAGAATTTTAACCACCATCCTGGTTGCGATCGTAGTATTTTTTACGACAGTAAAACGTCTTACTTTTGCCTTCGGCACATTTCTGACATACTAAAAAAGGGGTTATTGTTTTCACCATGTCATTTCCCGTTGATATAGATAGATTGTATACTGATGATGGCCTCTTTCATTGAACCATTCGTAATAATTGTATGCGACTGAGCTGCGAAGATTCTGCTGTTTTTTCTCGTAAGAAATGAATCCATATATCATATATCATATCTACCAGGCTAAGTTTTTAAGTTTCAAGAAGAAATTATGTCGCAATAGTGATGACGTGGTTCTGCTATCCGTATTTGCATTGAGAACCTGTCCACGCCAAAAGCATTTCAGTAGATGATGGTACGCCGTTTTTTGAAGCGACAAGGACGATCATTTCATCAATATGCCGAGCCAGCAATTGACTTATGATAAAACCCGTCTTTATGACGAAACTTGCACAGGCTTTTTTGATTGTCAGATGCAGCTGCAGTAGAAGCTTAACTAAATGGTAAGTCGGCTAAGATGTTCTAATAACATGAGATTTATGCTTCTGAGGCATAGAAATTTTCCGACGGTTAAAGATATGACAGGCTTGTTTGCCGGCGAAATGCAGTTTATGATAAGACACTATATGAGCACGGCCAATTTGTACATGATTCAATCATTCGCAAACACGCTAAACACGTTTCAACGCTCTTGTTCTTCCTGCTTCTTGGCTTTTCTCTTTCTTTCATCAATTTTTCCCTAAAAGTAATGCTCCCAGTATTGAACCTGCTATATTCTAACATTTCTTATTCTGCAATAAAGTAGAGACGAGTATGAACTGTGGCACGTCCGATATGTTAAATCAGTAAAATTATCTCTGAATGAAAATAGACATTGAGCTCCCTTTCCTGAATTAAGTATGATCCGAATTTCCGCAACATTATAAACAGAGCTGTTGTCATATTTTGTGCCGGCACTGATCCACTGATGACAGATTCATGGACATTTTTTTTCCGTCCCTGCAGGTACAACAAGCGGGTTTGCATAGGTCAGCATCATTTTTCGGTGATGCTAAAGCAATATTAGCTGTAAGTTTCATGCAATGTGCTTACCTATGAAGCGAACCCTTTTTTTTACACTCGCACTCAGAGCTCTAATCTATGTCGTACCTCCAACATGACTTATGTGGTATTGATCTGAAATATATCCAAATAAAACTTGTCCATGTAGCAGCCCCTACAGTTAGAATTAATCAAGCAAATAAAAATTTTATATGAAAGCGCAGGGAAAACATCATGAGTCGACGGCATGTAATCCTCAAGTCGGCATTCATCACACCATCATTTTATATTACTTGCCCGTCTTACCGGAGTAATGGATCATGCTTTGAACTCGTCCTTAGAGACGACTCATCCGCTGACCGATGAAGAGAATCCAAACAAACGATTGTTATACTCGCTGATTGCATATCCGAATATTGTAGTCATGATATCGGTTGCTCTACAGCATATGATTATTTGCAAGAAAAGAGTATATAAGCACAGCAAATAGTAACTAGTATCCACACATCAGCAAAAAATGGTAAAATACGCTT